GTAAAAAAACAGGATATCAAGAGCTCGTCATTTACAAGGACAGTCCAACATCTCCACCAGCCTTAGCCAATGTCTCATAGACCCTAGGCGGGAGTTTGTATTTGATCATTCCAGAAAACACCATCAGATCCTTTGCCATGAGCACAAGCTCGTCAAGAAGGGTCTGCCGCATATCATTCTCGTAAACACCAGCGTACATCCTTTCTCGCTCGCGGCTGATACAGATTATACTCCATATCACTAGGTTGCCAGCATTGCGAGCAATGACGGGGGGTAGAGAGGAGAATGCCTGAACCGCGCTGCGGACGTAGGTGACTGAACCCTGGGCAGTGAGTGGTAGTATTTGTAGATTGTTGATATCCTGGAAATATGTTAGTTCAGGAGCGATTGGAAGAGATATAGTGGTAAATAGCGAAAAACTTACATCCAAAGCAGGAGCCCACTGGCCTGCCTCCACTTTTGATTTGGCCTCCATCATGCGGAGGAGAAGACCACATGCCTCGCGATTGGTAGGGTGGATCTTCTGGTAGTAAAGGGCATTTGTGTTGTACAGGCTGATCATATTCTTAGCTAAGACAACGGGATCATCCACTGAGGTTAGGCTAAGGCTGCTTCCTGGTTCAAGGGACGCTGCCGTTGAGATTTGGCCTCCTGTTCGTGGCTTAACGGGCTCAATCTTGATGGCTGTCTCACCAAGTGGGACAGAAACGGCATCAGAGAGGATCCGATTGAGAATCGAGACAACATTGTCATATTCCTCTGCGAGATGGTAAAGCAGAACGGCGTCTGCAGTGAGTCCCTTGTCATCGGCTACAGCGGCCGCCTGAACAGTGACAGCCTTGAGAAACTCTTCTTGGTCATCGAGGTTGATTAGTTTCAATCGCTGTTCGATCACACCCTTGATTCGAGTCCCATCGGATCTGATATCACCTAACAATTTGGCGAAGTCTCGTGTTTCAAGAATAAACTCGCGTAGAGCTTCGTGGCATACGGCAGCCTGAGATTTTCCCAGTTCTCCAGGAAGATCTGTGTTCAAGCAGATGAGAGTGAAATAGTCCACTGCGGCTTCAACGTTCCCTAGTCGGAATTCCCCGGTGTATTGCATGACTAGGGCTGCGAAGTTAATCTGCGGAAGTTGGCGTGTGGTGAATGACACTGTTGAAATAAGTTAGTAAAAGGTATAAACTTAAGTATTTGTGGATAAAAGATGAAAAACTTACAAAGCTCATCCCCAGAGGTATAGAAATCCGACACGCGTAGTAGACCATAATAGTCAAGAGCAATGGCAAAGTGGACTGCGTCTATGGGTGCATATGAACCAAGATATGCAACAGCCTGTTCAAACATCCCACCGAGAATCTGGAGCAAGAAGAAAATACCATAGGCACCAGGGGTTTCCTGGCCCTTGGGAAATACCCTCTGGCCGATTTCAGCAATGTCCTTCTTGATATCTTCTAAACCGAAAATATCACCAGCTACCTCCTCGGCCCGGGTGTCTTCCCGCGCCAGAGCGAACTGCAGCCACATCCAATCCTCTACTCCCTGACCCAAGCCGTCAAGCCGGCGTTGGTTTAGGTCGCATCTACCGATTATCTTGTAACAAGCCATCCGATACGGGTCAATGGTGTTCTCCGGCGCATTCCGTAGGCGTTGCTGGTACTCTGCGCCAATCTTCTGTTGTAGGTCACGGGGCAGCCGCCTGTGCTGAGCGTATGTGGTCATGTAGGTGACAAATTTATTGTCCATTGAGCGGAAACCCTGGTCGCGGCTTACATACTCAGCAGCCTCGTCAATGAACCCACATCGGAGGAGATAAAAGATAAGAATCCAGCAATAATCGTCATTCACCATCTGCAGCTCTGTTCCGTCAGGGGCAAGATCCTTCCGTGCTGCACGCAGTCGGATATAAGCTCGAATCTTATTAATAATGGTAGGGACACCACCCAGCTGGGCCTCCCGGGGGTTTTTAGCGATTGCTTCTTCAACTTCTCTGTAGAACGAACGTTCAAGATGTTTTCTTGACCCGCTGATGATTTGTTTTCTCATCTTTAGAGCCTCAATAGAATTGGGGCCATCTTCTCTGTAGTCCTTGGCGAATTGACGCGGTCGTAGAGCACCAGGCTCAAAATAGCCTACTGAGCTAGCAGGCTCATTGGTGATACTGATTAGGGCATGGTAGGCTTCAATAAGCTGTTTTGGGGTCTATAAATTTTTAAGTCAGCTCACAGTACTGTTAGCCAAATCCGCGTGGGTGAAATACTCACATCGCTATCTGCAACCTTTTGAGCTTCAGCAAACTCATGCAGAACCGGAAACGTCCTCTCCTGGAGTCTCATTTCGTTTAACTTTTGGACCTTCAAGCCAAAATGTCCTATCTTCTCCCGCATAGATCTAGAATCGCCACCTTGATGTGGTGAGGCAATAGATCTCGTGGTAGAGTCGGCAAAGATCGATCCGGCACCGCCCACGCTGGCAGAGCCTATGATTGACTTGGATAGACCGGATCGGCCAAAAACACTTCTGCGGCTGGTAGATTGGAAGCCTACATGCTCATCTCTGTCTGCCTTTCCGACCTGGTCACGTCTGGAGAAACCGAAGCTGCCAGATCCAGTGTCGTCTTTTGATACTAGGCCAAAATGCTCATAAATCTTCTGGCGCTGTTCGTCCCAGTTGAGACTAACTTTGTCCTCGAGGAAAGCGTCAAAGTCCTTACGAGCTCTGGCCAGGCTCTCGGCAATCATAGCCTCTCTACCGCGCTGTTGCACTCGCCGCAAGAACTTTTGGTTATCGGGGTCAAAGGGTTCTTGTTCGAAAGATACCGACGGAGCTGGCACCGGTGCAGCTGGAACTGCCGGGATACCTGTCTGTGTATTGAAGGTGTGGAGGTCCTGCAGCACTTTTCCCGGGGAGATACCAGATGCGGTGAGAGATGAAAGCCTGTTAAATGCAAATTAGGAGGATATCGTCAAGACGAACTGTGTAGTTATGGTCACCACTTACATTTTATGTTCAGTGATGGCAGGCATATGAGACGCTCTGCGAGGACTGGTCGATCCTAGACCGCGGGCAGATTTTCTAATGTCATCCAAACCAAGCTGGAGACTAGGCAACTCAACGGAGGAGACATTCTGGAAGCTCGAGAGGGGCCGCTTCTTGCCCTTTTCTAACAGGCTGCTGAAGTATGCGGGTTGAGTGGGTGGTTGCGCGGCGGTGGGAGGTTGTTGAGACGGGAGCCCAGTTGTTGCCGGGGTCTGACCAGCTTGGGCAGCGGTGGTAGATTGGCCGAAGATGCTCGAGCCAGAAGGAGGTTGTAGGCCGCTTGTGGTATCTATCACACTTGTCAGCAACAGCACACACACATACACACACCTGGGGAAGACTAGATATATTTTACTTGAGCTGGGCGCAAAGAGCGAAGGGCGCTGAGCTGGAGCTTGAGCTGTACCTTGGGCTGGCTGTTCAGCAGCCCCCTGGCCGAACAGCAAGCCTGTAGAGGCCGGCGACTGGCTAAGACCAAGCCCCTGAAACATAGCTGTAGCCTCTTTTGCTCGCTGGAGAAGGAGACAAGGTCCGCGTCGGTCAATTTCTCTGACTGCTTGCTCGATGTTCCTCCTCGTCGTCGTTTTCTTGTTGATGTTTTTTTTTCCCTCTTCGCTTTGGAGTTGCAGGATGACTAATCAGGCACGATCACGTGAATTTAAAGTTCATCATTACTGACTAAGCAAAGAGCCAGTTTTGGCCATTCGTCAGGATTAGTCATCCCCTTGTTGTTAGAACTCGCAGACTTGGCTCATGTTTTTTGTCCCATGGTCCTGTGGTCCATGTTCCAACAACCATTCGATTTGACAAAAACAGCCGTTGCAGGGTCATTAACTATTATTGCAGAGAGAGGCTCGGTAGAACCGTGGACTTGCATGGTCGGTTGATCACAATAACCGAGCAAGAAGCGGCCACCATACCGTGAAGGATTATCGCTTCACTCTTTGCACTCTTTGGCACGCTCAACATTTCCTCAGTGGTCCTCAGATGCATGTGGCTTTGATTATGCAGGTGCCAATGCCACTCTGTTAGTCATTGGAGGAGGCTCAAATGGCGGCTAACTTGCTGTACAACTGGCAAGACTGGCAGGTATAGGCGGGGTTGTTGTTTTAGGAGGAGATGATGCAAATCTCAAGGGCTTCGGAGCAACCATGTACTTGACCGCCATGGATCCTACAATACCATACTCAATGAGATCATACGAGTGGTGGGTGATGAGCTAGTCTACGCATTTGATGCGGTAAACCCTCCTGAAGGCCAGAGTCTACCTCTAAACGCTTTAGCAGGCTATAAAACGGGGACACTTGCTCGGCTTTTACCGGACAGCCCTGTCGACGAGACCAAGGTTATGAAGAAAGCAGCTGGGTTTATCGTATGAGACGTGTTTGGTGTTTGGCAAGCCAGCCGAACTTTCGCCCAAGAATTCTGGGAGAGGCTTCCGACATACCTCGAGGCCGACTAGATTAAACCCTTGAAATATACTGTCAGGCAAGGCCTCGATGCATATTATGTAAATGAGTAAATGAAGTGTTAGACAGTTACCGCAACGGAAAGCCGGTAGTCAAGACACTCATCGCCTTGTGAAGGCCCGCAGAGAAGGATCCGATTTTACATAAAGATATAAAGATGAGCTCATACATGATACAAGCATCTCCCTATGTACGCACGTATGGCTTTTCTCGACCATTACTTATTTTGGTGGGAAGCCGGCGTCAACCCCTCTCTATTTCACCAAGACTACTGTGTATGATACATGATCATCCTAGTATCACAGTGGAACACTACATCATTTAATCAAGAACAATTTCTAATTTAATTAACCCCCTAACGAGAAAACTATACACCTGGGCTATTCTGTTTGAGAGGGAATAATTCTCTTCGCGACTGATAGACTCCTGTTGGGACATGTACTTAATCCGTATTGCAACTTTCCACTGAAGTACAGGGAAGGGTTTCCGCCCCTATACTATTCCCAGAAGGCCCTCGGTAGTGAAGTGTTTGCTTATAAGTGCGACCAAACCGCCAAACAAGCACATGGACCCACTGAACATTGATACTTCAAAGAAACTCCCATATCTATCAACGAAGGCTCCATTGACTGGTGGGCCGATTAAGCCACCGAGGGAGCTGATAGACATTCCCATCCCCATGTACGTTCCAATATCTCGAGGGTCTTTGGGGCATAGAGAAAACGCTGCAGAGGCCCCGGAAATGATTGTACCAGACACAAACCCAAAGACAACCGCATATACAATTAATGCAGCGTCAGTTGCGGCCGAGTTCATACAAAAAATCACAATACCGGTTGTAACTCCTCCAAGGGAAAAAATATTCAAGCGTCCATACTTATCTGCTAGCACACCAGGAATGACACGGCCAAAAGTAGAGGACGCGTTAGTGATGGCAAGCAGATAACCAGCAAGCGTTGGATCCATGCCCCTCGACACTGCATACGTTGGAAGGAAGAAGAGAGGGGTGAACATGCCAACAAACATGAAAAATAGGGATACAATCAAGATGATAAATTTCACCTCTTTGTATGCCGCAGGTATCCAGAAAGCGGTCGATCGAGAAGGGAGCCGCGCCTTGACGGTAAGGCATGCAAAGAGCATGAATGGTAAAATGAGAAACCCTATAGTTCTTACTGACCATCCGAACCCCACGGTAGAGCTGTTCAGCATCTTTGACAAAGCAATAGGGATAACAATACCGCCGATCGAGGAGCCAGACACCACAATGCCCAGGGCAGCCGCGCGTTTCTTGTCAAAATACTGGGAGACAGCTGCAAAGGCCGGAAACTGCAGGAAGCCCATAATACTACCCATAAGAACGCCCTGCACAAGCATGATTTGCCAGTAACTGTTGCATAGGCTAAGTATCATTACTGCAAAGACATATACAACTGAGGCAGGTATTATAATCTATTATGAAGTCAGTCATGGTACAACTTGTTAAGACAATCCTTCAAATGGATGACATACCCAGGCGCCCAGGAGATCAAAGGACGGCCCGCCCATTATTCCCGTTGCGAACAAGAGAAAGGCTGATAGTGAACCAATCCATGCCACTTTATCAGGAGATTCTCCCCTGAGTTGATGGGAGAGATAGTATTCAGTAAATACACCGAAGGAGTTCGAGAAGCCCAGGCAACAGAAGAATATCGCAGAACCTCCAGCTGCAACGAGCCATGCTCTAACTCCACCGTCTGGCGCTTCCCCGAAACTTGGAGTTGTGGGAGACATCTCTTCCACTTTACCCTCATTCTGACGGGGTGTCCCTGGCGTGGTCACAGTATTCTTCATGATTGACAAGTATATGGATAGATGTATGTTAGCAATGCAAGCAAAATGGATATGCCGGTGTCCAAACTGTAGACACGCATATAAACGAACAGGAGGCCCTCCATAATGCTATACATGCTGTCTTTTATATCTGTCGTCCAGTTCAGCGCAGTGGCAGTGGCTCTTTTGTTCGGCTCCTTGTGATGCATTTGCTGTTGAGTCTTGACGTCCGGGTTGGCGGTCGGCAGCCAGACTCGGCCGGGGCTGAGGTCGGACTCGGGTTCGGAGCCGCCCGCCAACCTTAACTAGTTGACCGAGCGACGGGAAATGGGAGACGATACGGACCAAAAACGAAGTCACGGGATATTTAAAGTTCAACGTTTTAGGTAAGCGTACAGAATTTAAACTCCAGGATCTTACTACAGTCGTTCTTTGACAACGACCACTAACCAACCTCTGGCTCTGGCTCGTGGTCAAACTGATAGCTGCATCATTTGCCGATACCAACAAAACAGATTGCCGTTATGATGACCATTATTACTCTAAGCACTCCTGCTACTTTATATTTGGTATCATTAACCGCCAGCTATCCATCTTGTTGGCGCTAAAGACTTGGAAGTTGCATCGTGATGCTGGAGGCAGAGCGTCGGCAGCGAAGGCCTGCCGTGTAAGCTATCTCCACCTCTTCCTCATTACCTCACTATCGAGGCTGATGGTAAAGGTCGTATAGGGCCTGCTCCCTTTGCCGAAGAAGGAAGATTCGGTGCAACCGAGGGCAGCCTTGTAGCAACTGTGTACGGTCTCGGGCCAAGTCTTGTCTTTATGAGCATAAGTCGGTGCCTTTACCACCACAATTTGATACCAGTAATAAGCCGACAGCGCTTATCTCAGTTGAAGGGTCAAATCTAAAAGGCGCAGATTGTATATCCAGTGAAAGGCCTGCTTCTCAGAGCTATCCACCTTCGCTGACGGAAGGGTCTACAAATGGATCTGCCGCGGTAAGCCAGCAGTCCAATGACACAGTTTCTATGGATAGCACCAGGGCTAGCTCTCGAGTAAATCAACCACACAATCTCAACCTAAATAACTACAACACTTCGTCGCCTAGAATAAAAGAGACCTCATCGCAGCTCGGCGGTACATTTCAGATCCACCGTAGGGCTGGTTTGCCGGGTGGACCTCTTGCTATATCCGGTACTACCACACACAAAGGGCGTTCGTTTGGTCAAAGTCATTGGGTGAATCTGATTTCTCTGGTAAGCCCTATGCTACATGGAAAATTTTTCGAGCATCAGGTAATGACAGCTATTTAGTTTGATGACATTTGTGGGACAGTCGAGCGGCATTTACAACACAACCGACCTATTGCTCTTTCCAATGTTGAAAAATGTAAGGCGTTGGCTAGAACTATCAAGTCGCGGCGAGTACCCTCGGGCCCTATCAATCTCACTCTGGATCTCCCTTCCAAAAAGGTGTCTGACGAGCTTGTGGACTGTTACCTCCAGACGATAGAGTCTGTGTATCGAATTCTGCACATCCCAACCTTTAGAAGGGGCTATGAGGCACTGTTCCTGTCTGCAGTAAACCCTGCAGTCAACGACGCTTTCGTAGTTCAGGTTAAATTAGTACTCGCTATCGGTGCGGTCACCTACGACAAGGACTTCTCTTTACGGGATCTGGCAAATAAATGGATATATGAAGCCCAGGCCTGGCTTTTGGACCCTAAATTCAAATCAAGATTTAACATTCAATCATTACAGTCACATCTGTTACTTCTGTTTGCCCAAGAAATGGTAGGCATCGACGGAGATCCGATGTGGGTGTCAGTCGGTACCTTGTTAAGAAGAGCAATCTATATGGGGCTGCATAAAGACCCCGATGGAGTACCTGGAAATACCTTGTTTGTGATAGAAATGCGTCGCAGAGTCTGGAATACGATTCTTGAAGTTTGCCTTCAGCCGAGCTTAACTTCCGGGGGACCTCCATTATTCTCTATTGATGATTTTGACACAAAATCTCCGAGAAATTTCGATGATGAACAAATCGAGGATTCTACCGCTATACAAAAGAATGAATTTACCCAAACGTCGATCTCCATGGCTCTCCGTGACACTTTGCCCCAGCGCTTGGCGGTGATAACTTTTTTGAACAGTCACGGTTCTTTAGGCACCTACGAAACAACTCTTCAACTTGACAAGGATCTCAGATCTGCTTACAAGTCTTTATGCCACACTATACAAGGCTATGTTCGCAAATCTTGCCCCTCGCCTCTGTTTGAGTTTCGCGCAGTTGATTTAATTATACAACAGTATCTTTCCTGCCTGCATATGCCTTTTTTCGGTATATCTTTGCAAGAATCAGCTTATACATTCACGAGAAAGGCTATTATTGAGGCCGCTTCTAAAATATGGCATAGCATCTATCAGACTTCCTCCTTTCCCCCTCGCCAGCCGAATGAATGCCCTGCTTCGTTGCCTCATGATAGGTTAACTCTCCTAGCCACCTGCGGCTCGGGATTTTATCGAACTGCTTTACTTCAGGCTACCCTGCTTATCGCAGCAGAGCTTAGAGCACAGATTCAAGACAGTGAAAGCCTAGGCCCAATACCCTTAAGTCAAGATCTGTTTACAGTGCTGAAAAACGCGAAGGCCTGGTCTATACAATGTATAGAAGCCGGCGAAACCAACATTAAGGGACACCTGCTCATATGTGTAATTGATGCACACATTCAAGCACTCCTGAAATATCCAGTGGAGGATTGCACTCCCGCATCTTTAATAGGCGCGCTTGAAGATGCATCTGCAGCATCATTATCCATACTTAGCCGCGTGGCTACAATGGACAATGTTGAGCATTCTACTGGCGCACTTCACGAAATGCCTCTTGATAATATGGGTGAAGGAGCAGAAGATTGGCGGTTCATGGTAGGTGGTGAACTTCCCAATGCATCTCCCATCTTTAGACCCCACCTCACTCATTTCATTAGATGGCCGATTCAATGTTCAACCTAGACGGTAGTTTTGGTATGTATTATTGATTCGCCGTTTAGTATCGCCCACGCAATACGGTAACTATTTCATATTTCGGTTTCTCCAGTTGGTGTACCTAAGTTTCTGCCGCGACTTCAGCTGGAAGGAAATGATACCTAATTATGTGTGGCGTATGCAATCTTCGCTATATGAACGGTGTATTCCTCCCTTGACTTATCGCCATTCTACAAGCATTGTGTCTCCCTCAATTGCTTGCACGTACCCTAAGCTGTCACGCCATAGCTGCGCCCTCATTACCAAATTTTCTGATTCAGCCTCAGCCTTCGCTCTCTTGGACCCATTCATATATATTCCATTTGGGTGGCCCAGTGTGTCTATTTCAAACCCAGCGTGCAATACATCACCAGCAGATCTCCACGTTGTTCTGAAGGGCCCATTAGGTTTAACGTTGTGATGACTGCAACGATTTTGAGGACGATTTGGGCCAAAAATACCCCCCTAGCCCAGTCATTTCGGCGGCTAATTTCAGTTGGCATAGCGGCGGAGTCAACAGCTAGAACAGATATTCCAGACAGTTTAGGGTCTTTTTCTAGGCGCCTAGATAACTCTCGACCATGATCCATTATCAGAATTTGCCCGTGGTGTGTTTGGTGCTATTTCAAACACTTACATCATAACCCGGCAGAGTTTTGCAGCACCATGTCGTCTAATACCCGCTAGCCGATCGGCGGGGTGCTCCTTTTGTGAACTCCACCGTCCTTTGGCAATGTCACTGGTATCTGCCGCCTCATTAAAGATTCGTTGGTACTTCCTCGATTGGTAGGCGTTGGCAATGTTGCCTAGTCTGTTGCTTGCATGTTGGGTACTATTCATGGGTTAGTTACTAGTTGACTAACTGTTCAGTTGATGGAGCTTTTATTACTCGTGAGTCCAGCTTCCTATTACGATAACCTGGCCACACCTTTTATCCAAATTCTGAAGTAAAAGGAGCGTTAGCAAAAAATGCGATAAATAATTCACTTGAAATGACATATCAAAGCCGTCTTCAGTCCAGGCCTGTGTCGCTTGTTCATGCCATCCAACATTCAATATTAATGCCCTGATTGGTGGAACGATGCCATTTGATACCTGCTATTGATACGCGCAGCGGCCTTGCGTACACTTGCAAGGCTGGATAGATCAATAGCTTCAATGTTGTAAGAATGGTATCGATTCTCGGCATCTTCAAGCACCGTATTGACATTCGTGACTCGCTCCAGACTCATCACAGCGTAGATTCCATGGTAATTTTCCGCAAGACTACGCTGGTGAAGAATTCTGGGGACGATTGAGCAGCCAACGCCACCGTTGGAACCAATGATTAGGATGTGCCTTGGGTTACTTCAATCCTATGTGGTATACCACCACTACAGTAAAGTACGTCTGTCCATTTTGCCGTTCTCAAGATATTATAAACATTTGTTCAGCTTACACTTTCAGCACTCGCTCCAACAGCCTTGACCCCGATGAATTATTTCGACCACGATCCTTGCCCTTCCCAGAGGCTGTTCCGCCGTACGCATCTTCTCGCTTATTGGATTCCGATGATAGGAATTGAGTGAGCAAATACCCGTGAGCAGCATGAATTTCAACCCCTGCAAAGCCTGCCTCAGCGGCTAAAGAAGTGGCATCTGCGAACTTTCGTACTACATCCTGGATATCTGTTGTTGTCATAGCCTTGGGTGTACGGAAGAAAGCATGTTGACCGCACGAGCTGCGAGTCCATCCCCCAATTTAAGTGGTATCGCACTGGGGGCTACTACCTTTCGTGAAGGGGGGGCCTGACGACCGGGATGATTCAACTGAACAATTGCTCTCGTGCCATTCTCAGAGCAAGCCCGCGCCCATTCACTCCACGTTGATTGAGCAGTACTCTTTGGTATAGTATTATCTATCGTGAAATCCCCTCGGCCGCCCAAATATCGTGGATCTACTTGAATATTTCCTAGGTCTGCGAGTCAATAGGTATAACCTTGCAGAGGGCATTTTATTCCTTCATATTCGGCGACTAACCCGTTACAACCAGTCCCCAACCCCCCTTTGCCCATGTCCTATAGATTCATAAGCATTCTGTACCACCCGGTAGTTCATCATCTTTTACAACCTCCTCTGCCGTTGCATCCTTAACCAGCCTGTTTGTCAATGTCAGACTACATTCAAGCGTGATGGGGCTCCCGAGCTCCATTATTGCCCTGAAATTCAGCTATCAGATATTAGGTCGAGAGGTTATGCATGAACTCTTTGCAAGATTTCATATTATTATCCAAAAGTAGGCACCATGGGCAAAAACAGCAACCCAGCTGTCTCCATTGGACTCCAATTGTTTGCAGTTATAAAGGCCCGAACTATGCAGCCTTCTACATACCCCAACGCAAGGGGCCTTCCAGGGGCCTTCGCGCAATACTGCCGCGGCGAAGAGGGAGATGAAACGGCACCATTCCCGGGCGCCCCTGCAAGTGTTCGGAATATTCCGTTGTTAAGCCGAAGACAACATTGCAACCCTGGCCATCTTCCCCTCTCAGCCGCCCACCATACCCAAACTCTTTCTTTAACATTTGAGAAAATTAACAAATAATCTTATCGAGTTCACGGGTTCATATTGGTATTAGAATAACAGACTAGCTATCTCTGTTATCCTAAGGGCTGACACCTGGCTGGTTGATACAAGGTGCTTATCAACATATATCTGGCAATGAGGCAATCACAGTTTAATTCAGATCTTATCCTGAATTCCAGGAACCCTACACTGGTAGCTTTGGTTATAATCATTATCATTGCTATTACAAAGTTTTGTCTGAAGCTCTTCTACTATGGAGATTCCAGTCACCCGTCTCTACCGAACTTCCGGGGCGCAAGTCCTTCAGTCTCCGCGACCAGGTGGAGATACTATATGGATTGTGCCTCCTTGTATCATGATACCGCCAGAAAACTCCATGGAATGGGCAATGTCACAGCCAGATGATGTTCTCAGTGTTACTGAAGCCTTTTTAGAAGTGAATCAGACAGAGTACAGTCTTGGACACCGGAGATATTGGGGGGAACCGTGGCAGTTTAGCCTTGTTAAATCGCAGTTGATCACCATCCTACAGAAACTTATCCCTTCCATGAGCGATGAGATTCGCTTAGCCTTTGGCAAGAACTTCGGAACCAGCCATGACGAATGGAGGGAGATCCCACTAGAGGCAACTCTCCGAACTATTATCGCGCAAATATCCAGCTAGTTTACTGTTGATCAACCCTTATGCCGTAATGACGATTATCTGACCCTGGTATGGAAAATAATCGATGGCATGATGCTGGTCGTCTTTACCAGCGGAACAGTGCCCCGATTTTTACGACCAGTCATAGGCTCTTTAGAAAGCTGGCAGACTCGTCGTCATATCAAAAAGGTCACAAAATTGGTTGAGCCACTCTATAGTTAATCAACTATTGCCAAGAGCCAGCTTGTCAAACCAAGGATCCTTGAGAATTTTTCTACTTGATGCTCTCTCTTGTGGACGGCTCGAAACGCAATAACATACACCTACAGAACCTTCCTCGCAAGGAGTCGCGGTTGCCTAACTAACAAGAAAGCTAAACTATAACTAAATAGATATAACTTGTTAAAGGTCGTCGCTTCTCTTTCAAAATAGCTAAGTACTTAGTTAGTTGCGCCTTCCTTGACTCTGGAGTGCCTGCCTCTTTCTTTCTGACCCTCATTCTCCCAAAATAGAGCATCTATAAATAGAGATAGAGATAGATAGATAGAGAGAAGAAAGGCTGTTTATTTTCTATCTTGACAGCGGACTTTTTGTTACTTCTATGAGCAATCTTCCCTGGCTAATTCAATTAACCAGCTAGTTACTCGGCGCCTGTTGTCAGCAGTTTCAACCCTTAGTTATCTTTATCCGCACTTCATATGTAGATTGCAGCCATATTCTCCTTACGTCTAGGGCCCGACGACTCGTTATTTACATTACCAGCTCTATAGCAGATACAAGAAGAACAACCCATAATGTCACGTCATACAAGTATCCGTGAGCAGATAGTGTAGTAGCCCCTCCAGGCATAGGGGTTGGCGTGGGTTCCCCTGAGCCAACCACCTCGGGGAACAGAGAGGTCGAGTTGGAGTCGACAATGATCCAGCTGCGTATGGTAGCAGTGCCGTTCTCAACTGACTGGATCTGCTCCTTGGTGCAGGTGCTTGTGTCTAGGATATGACAGAAGTGGACGTGCTGCGGCGGAGGTTCGTTCTTGAAACCAAACGAGTCCGCAGGGCCCGAGGTGCCATAAAACTTGCCTCTGTCCATGCGCGAGGACGTGTCCTTGGTTCCAGTAGCGATATCCTTGTTGAACAAGGCACGGTGGAATATCTGCAGTGCGGTCTCAGGTTGGTATGATGGCACCTCATGGCCGGCCTCGTAGACGCGGGCGAAGGAGAGGTTGCCGTACTGTCTCACCTGTCCACCGATGTAGCTGCTATTGATCTGGATACCTGCATAGCCGGCATTATGGAATTCCTGGGTGTCAGTGTAGTTGATTCCCAGACTTGAGAGCTCACCACCGAACCAGTTGCATGCGTAGTCCCGATCACCGTAAACAAGCGAAACCTTGATGCCATTCTCCAGCAAAAAAGCCAGGTTCTCCAGCCACCCTGGCCGAGGGTAATCACCAATTGCACGGAATGCGGTACTCACAACATCGTTCGACTGCGTCCAGTTGAGTGGCACACCCAGTGCTGCCTGCACATGCGGCTGATTTAACCAGGCCATGTAAAATGGTGCTGGGAACGGGCTGGGGTCAAGCTGTCCGATGTCATAGTAGTTGCGGCCAGAGAGCTTGGTGTAGGGATCGCGAACATCATTGGAGCAGAAGGTCTCCGCATCCTTGCAGACATCATTGACAGTTGAGTTGATGCCGAGATTCTCAGGATCAGAGACAGAAGAAAGGGAGCGGCAGTGGTTAATCTTGTCTCGACAGCCACCGTCGCGGTAGAGGGCATCCAGCATTCCTGCATGAATGCTGGCGTTGACGGCCTCGATGCCATATGTGTTGTTGTACGCCATTTGTGGATATGCTGGCCATTGGACAAGACGGTCGATGCATCCGTTGACGATCATGAGGGTGTCCAGATGCAGCACGTGCATAGTTCCCTCGTGTCCCTTCCATGTACCGTTCTTGATCTTCTGGTTCTGCTCTTCAAAGAAGGCAGTAAAGGCCGGGCCATAACGGCCGCCGTAGGATTCGGTAGCAATGCTGATCTTGTTGTTCCTAGGGTGATATCCTGGGAATTCTTGGAACCAGACCTGGGCGAAGTGCCAGAGAGCCATGGCAGCATGCCTAGTTCCGTGTGCAGTGGTGTTCATATTGCGGCTTGCATATGTACCTACTAGGAAAGTAGCATTCTGTTCCGGAATAGGTTCTCCGGGTTCCAGTTTCGTGATCTCATCCGTGACTAGATTCCTGGTGAAGTTGGCCAAAGTGTCGTAGGACAGACCGACCTGCACTGGCTGGTCTATATACAGCATATTGACTAGCCACAGAACATACAATGTTAGCAATATTTAGTATTCCATCAGAAGCTGATGGCATACCTTCATTGTTCCAAGAATGAGGGTTCAGGCGAGTAGAATTGGAGTCAGCATTGACGAAGCAAGGCCCGTTCTCAGTCATCATTCCAAACATCGACGAGCTACCCGGGCCACCGTTCATCCAAATGCCGAGAGGGGCATTTTCCGGGTCCTTTCTTGCTTCAAAGAACCAAAAAAAGGTGTTGATAGGGTAGTCCTGCTCGACACCGAAGTCCCTGAGCGTGCCTGGAGGCAGATGAACATATCCGGCGTACGACTTGACGCCCTCTGTTGTCTCACAGAGGCCGGGCTAGTGGATTGTTAGCTACAATGTCTTCACATGGACTTTCTATGCAGCTAACGGACCTCCTTATAAGTGATGCGAGCACCGCTGCCGAACTTCGACTCCAAGACAGTGACACCCTCCGGTTTTGGTGGGAACTGAGCCTGCGCAAGATGGCCAGCAACTGTCAGCAAGCAGGCTGCCACTCCGCAAAATGACACCATTGTCGATGCTCCAAGTAGATATTATCGGATATCGCAGCAGAGACCGGAGTGGTAGATATATCAGACAGACACTTCTGTCTGACTATGGGTTTGCTTCTGTAGCCGTCTCTCTCTCTCTCCCTCCCCTGCCAGCCCACGCAGAGAGATGCCTCCATATTTAAATGCAGAATTCCCCCTGCAAGACAGCGCTGAAACCCCGCATTTAAATGTTGCCCCGGCACTGGCACCCGCGGTGCCGTATTGCTATGGCTGTCTGTCATCAAAGAAAACTAGCTCGTTATGCCTGACATGGATGTCGTTTAGCCATTCCGCCCCCCGCGATACGAGGGGCTGGGGACCTGTGCAGGGATAAGGGATAGAGGCACCAAATCCAAACTCGTTAACATGCAAAGGGCGCCGATCCCGAGTCTGGGGAAGACAAAACCACGCTTCTCCTCGTGACCCGAGGCAAATGAAGCTCTGATATATTGGCGGCTTTGTCCTTATATAACCACACTCTATGACCTGGACTCCATGGTTAGCCGACCTAACACGGTGGCTATTCTTGAAACCTGAAATATAATGTCTACAAGCCTCCTTTGAGGACACGACTTGACCAAGGTAAAATTAATCTGCATCATACCCTAGCAGTTAGACATGGGCGCACCCTGGATGTCATTCGTAGCGACAAGGCGCATGGCTGGATAGCCTCGCTATCAAGCACCCGCCATGGCAGATCAATCCACTTGGAGGCGACATATCAAGGCTTATATCAATGGTAATAAACCCTTGACACTCCTGATTCGTGAAGATAATGCCGACGTTAAAGTTGTTAGCAAACTATTAACAGTATTATTAAGATAAAAGTAACTACTTATTAAGTTAGAACAAACATCAAGTAGCTTAACTAGCGTTTTCTCTTAGTTTTTCATCACTATCGTTTGTACGATTTATAAATGTGTACAGCTAGATCTGTTGCTCTCTGTGATTTTCTCCAGTTTAACAGGCTAACCGTGCAGCTAAACCGAGAGAAGCTTGCCGCGCCTGTGTATAGAATAGTGATGGCATCCAAGGAGAGTTGGGTCAGAAGCTAAAGAAATAATAAAGAGGTAAAACGAGAGCGTGTACGGTATAGGTGAAGAGACAGGGAGACTCATGTATTTACGGAGTAATTGGAGGGTAGTTAATGATGAGTTAAGCAGCTTCTACCTACCTACTAAATCTAGATCTATAACTATGGAACTAGTTAGTTATTGGGTTGGAAGGGTTAATCAAAAAAGCTCTGGCGGCTTAAGGTCAAGTTAAACTTTGAGGCCGCTGTATAGGCACGGCATGCATGTATTCTTGTAGCAAACAGCAGACTGGATGGAGGACAGAATGCGTTCTACTACGCCTACTGAAGCGTCCAGTTAACTTTCCAGCTAATATCCACAAAGAGTCAAACAAGTCGAAACAACCGCCAATGACAAGCAGACCAAAAAGTATCAGTTTGAGAATTATATACTGGACTATGCAATTAGTTTTGTATCTCCCACCACAGAATGCAACATATATAACTGGAAACAAGCTAGTTCCCCTCCCATCTGACTATGTACTCCTTCAGGCAACAGACACGATCCTCTAACCACTGACTTGGAATGAGCCGTCATCGTTCCTAGCAACGCCGAGAGAAGTTGATTGAAACTGTTGGACACCCATCGTGCTGAGACTGGACAGGTAAAAGCCCATAACGACGAAGATATATGTAAGAAGCAGAATCGAGCCTTTGAAATAGTTGCTCTTCCCTTCACCATAAACATATGATAGGAGGAACACACACAGGATGACGGTGATCATGTCCCACTGCGGGAATATCAAGCTAGATCAGACAAGGACTGTTAGTAAAGGGGCTCACATATAGCACATTGGTAGGTTGTTATCTCACTTGAATGAATGCTCCAGAAGGTCAGAAGGGTTAAATATCGAGGTATGCACGGCACTGAATAGTACCAAGGCCGGAATTTGCAGCAGGCACACCTGCAGTGCGTACGCAGAGCCGATCTCCATGGAAAGCGCTATGTTCCCGTTCATTGCGAAAGAAATGGCGTTCTACTCCTGTTAGTACTCTTACTCCCATGAATCACACCCCTTCATTTTTGAAGCAGGGGAAACGCACCAAAAACTCAGTAGTGTTGGGAACCAAAGAAAATAGGGTAATTCCAAGGAACTTCTCATCAATATCATAGCTTTGTAGCACTACATCAACTGTATTCACCAATATCTCGGCAATCACTGCATACAGTAATGTTGCGCCTAGTAATATAACAAAACTTTTTGTCTTGCCCCAATTTGGAGCATCGTGTCCATGTGACTCGGCGTGAGGTTCTGTAAATACCCCTGCCTCCTCAGAGTGGCCTATTGCGGGAGTCCCAGTGGTTCCTACCGGGGTCTTGACCCCGGGTGTGCCTGATACATGCCTTGGGCCGGCGGCATCTCGGGCAGCAACTGTGGCCGCAGTTGCCGCCACTTCGGTGACCTGTCGGACCAGTTGATCGTTTTCTTCTGCAGTGAGGGAGGGAATCTTCATATTGTAGGGACCTTGGTACTTATTCTTGTCCTTGGGGGGTACAACGTGCACAGTTGCAGCCTCATTGGGACTAATTGCGGCAGTCGACTGTTCAGAACTTGGAGTTAAACCTACATGCTTGAGAGATTGTCCAAGAATTCGAGCGTATAGCTGCGAGTCTCGTATGGAACCCTTGAGGCTGGTACTGCCATGCGCATGATCAATATGTGAGTGAGACACGGATCTATGGGCATCAGAATGCGGCCTTTTCTCCTCAACGTCAGTGGACCAGATGATGGCAGCGTGAGTCCGAAGAGTAAACCAAAGACCAATGATGTAGGACAGAAAGAGTAGAACAGCAGCAAAGTAGGAGTATGGTTGTACAGCCTTCATGAAAAAATCGTCATCGACAGCCGGGACCTGGGAGAAGTAACAACGGCGGCAGTCTCTGCCTCCTGTAAGTTTAACGTGACTGCAAGAATGGCAGTTCAGTTCATGCTAGGAGAACCCCAATAGTTAGCCTAGTCAATTCCATTAACGGACGAAGAGGGCCTTACTCTGCCATAGATTTGATAAAAGAGAGTCGGGCCAAAGGCCGCAATAACGGCAAATAAGAGCATTGTTGACGTCACACCGGCTGACTTGACGTTAAACCTCTGAGTCTTGCGGATGATGGCTCCGAAACACATTGATATCCCAGGCAAAAACAGGATACCAGCGAATATACTGCCAATAATGCTCCCTTCCACGAGCTGGGCTTTACCTTGGGATAATGCAATGCAGTAAAGGTATACCTCTACCAAGGTAGAGAAGAAGGCATTGATGGCCGCACCCAGACCCATGGAAGACTGGGCAGATATGGAGGCAACGGCTTGCCCGATGAAATAGGCAAGTGGCGTCACAGCAATCAGAGCGAGCACAAATATCAGGCCAGGATGTGTGATAAAATTATCAGTGGGAAAGATCTTTCGCAAGACGTGGAAATCAAAGATGACGAAAAAGACGACAGCCAGTAAGTTAATAAGGAAGATGTTGGTTCCATCAACAGTGTATTTCCAATATTTTAAGCCGGCTGCACGGTAGGTACAAAGGAGGATTGAGGATGAAGGGCCTGACTGTAGCCTGGTGTATGTGCTATCTGAGTGAAAAGATAGGGCAAGGGGATGTCGACGAAGATGATGAAACAGGATGATCGTAACGCGGCCCATGGGTATCCAGAACACGAGGATCCAGCATATGAGGGAGACTGAGAGTAGCAGCGGGCCGACTAGAAGGTAGAAGAAGATGTAAAACATGACCCGGCCAGTGGTCCATTCGCCGCGTCCAAAGAGGCGGCGTTTGGTCCTAGCTGTTTCGCTATCATCAGAGTGGTGGCGTCCAGTCCTACCAAGCAGGCTGTCTCGCTCACTGGCAGAGTCCATACTATTTCTCCGTCGTCCCACCAGCGAGCGAGCATTCGCAATCGGACCAAAAAACAGGCCTCCCCGTTCAATGTCACCGCTCTGCCATTGCTCGTACTCGCTGATGCTTCTCCCTTCGCCTTCGTCTTCTTCGGCATAATTCTCGTCGGGTTTCAGACGAACCATGGCACCAAAGGGGTATAGCAGGTAGCCAGAGAGGCCCCAAAACACCCTACCATATGCTGAGGAGTCTGGGGAGAACCCGATGGCAAAACAAGCAATGGCACCGATCAACGCCGCCAGAGCGAGCCACCAGCCGAAGACCACCGTCCACAAAATGTTAGCTAGAAAAAGCCAGGGGCTGACACGCTGTCCAGGTACTGAATGAATATCTCCTTCAGCGGTTTTCTCAACAGACCGAAGTTTCTTGTATAAGGCTGGCTTCCAGATTCTGATACCAAACGGGTGAGTTTCGTTTATAGCTTGTTGCCTGTCTTTGAGAGTAAAGCTTTCGGCGTCGCTAGCATCATCGTCATCAACGACACCATCATCATCAGCCATTTCACCAATATCATCAACGTTGTTCTCTTCGTTCTCGCTAGCCTGGCTTCCGCTCGCAGTTGGACCATCTTGACGTTCGTCCTCGGAATCAACTCGAGTGAGCACTGTCGACGGCATGACGTTTCGACGTCTAATGGACGAGTGCTGTCGAGCCGTGGACCTACCAGAGAGAGCCGGCTGTCTCAAGGTCTTGTCTTCCACCTCGCTCACATCGTCATCAACAGAAAACTCCTGGCCCCTGTGTGGTTTCGACGAGACACGCCGTAAGATTGCAGGCTTCTTCGGTGTTCGTTCGGAGGACATAGCCTCGATCAGAGGTGATCTCGACGGGTCATAAGCGGAAGACTCCCCGTGGGAGCTACCAGATGTGCCTATAGAGCCTATCTTCCCGTTAGCACTGAGATGTCATGAACCGTTCTCAAGTGGGTGACTGGCAGACCATAAGTATACGCATGCCGACTCCTCGCGAGCTCTTCAGCGCGTTCGCTCTCTGTCCTAGTGATAGGAGCAAACTGTCTTGGACTCGAGGCCATGGAAGACGACTGCTCCTGGCTGTTCTCCGTATCATCGTGGTGGTCGTCTGCGGCATGTGAGGCCATAGCTGCAGGTGGTACCACAGCAGGCGTGTTTTTTCAGTATATCGGCAGCTTCACGACGAAAGGATCGCACCAGTTCTCCCACACGTGAGTGCAACGCTATTCATAGTAGACTGTCGATGCTTAGGAGACGGGTGTATTTTCCTGGGTAAACCGACCTATATTGTTATTATCAGCTTGCTAAAGGACACCTCATGTTGTGTTGCTTCGGAAACAAGGAGCGTTACCAGGCAAATAAACCACCCTGCCTCCAGTTCCCCTCAAGAGCTGCAGATAGAACAAGAAGCCGAAAGCGCCCGCCAGATGCCAGCTCAGCTCAGGAAGCCCTCCTTTCAGATCAGCTCGTCTTGGGCCTTTAATATCTTCGTCTTCCTTCGCCGTCGTCTTCCAGCTGACTTCGACCTCTTGCGGATGTTTTGCCGTCGTTGCTTTTTCTGCTCGGTAAAACTAAAAACGTGACCGAAGCAGATGACTGCTTAGTAATATTAGTCATCCCGTAGAAGTAGTCATATCTTAGTCACTATTCTTATCTAATCCATCTTAGTCAGCGGGAGCTCTCTCAGCTTTCTTTCTCCAGCGAAACAAAAACATCGACGGCAAACGTCAACCTCGTCCTCAGCACCAACGATAACGTCAACGCCGACATCAGCGTGAGGATACCTCCAGGAGCCCGTCGTGCGATCCTCGTATTGCTTGTTTTGACTTCCATTTCATTTGATTTATTTTTCTGCCTGCCGTTGATCAAGTCGAATCTCGGATCTCAAAGCCAAACCTCCGTTCGGCCACCATGGCGCTTGATAGCTATTACCGGAACAAGATAGAGAGCATGAAGCTCGAGATCATTCAGGGCCAGGCCGTTCTTAGGCGGTTAGAGGCGCAAAGGAATGACTACAACTCTAGAGTCAGGTTGTTGCGGGAAGAGCTGGGTCTTTTGCAGCAGCCAGGCTCCTATGTCGGTGAAGTGGTCAAGGTCATGGGTACCAAAAAGGTCCTGGTCAAGGTCCACCCTGAAGGGAAATACGGCAAGTCCACTCTTGATTTAATGCATAGGAGCCTTGTACTGTATGCTGAGTACTGACTGGATAACATGTCTAGTGGTTGATATTGCGGACGGTGTCGACATAGCAAAGCTAACCGTCGGAAAACGAGTGTCACTCCTGTCCGATACTTACAAGTTAGAGAAGATGCTGCCGTCCTCTGTCGATCCTCTGGTGTCTTTGATGATGGTCGAAAAGGTGCCAGATAGTACCTATGATATGATCGGTGGACTGGACCAGCAGATCAAGGAGATCAAAGAAGTTATCGAGCTGGGCCTCAAGCACCCTGAGCTATTTGAGTCCCTCGGGATCGCACAGCCCAAGGGTGTGCTTCTGTATGGGCCTCCAGGGACGGGCAAGACGCTACTTGCGCGAGCGGTTGCACACCATACAGACTGCAAGTTCATCCGAGTCAGCGGTTCCGAGCTCGTACAAAAATATATTGGTGAGGGAAGTAGGATGGTTCGAGAGCTTTTCGTCATGGCCCGAGAGCACGCTCCCAGCATTATATTCATGGACGAGATCGATAGTATTGGCTCTAGTCGAGTAGAGGGAAGCAGTGGTGGAGACTCGGAGGTACAACGCACCATGCTGGAACTTCTCAATCAGCTTGACGGATTCGAACCAACGAAGAATATAAAGATCATTATGGCTACCAACCGGCTGGACATACTCGACCCAGCACTTCTCCGGCCCGGCAGGATAGACAGGAAGATTGAATTCCCTCCACCCTCGTACGTACTTATTGTAGACTCCGCCCTCCCACACCCCAATTTGAAGGCTAACTTGATGCTTTTATTTGTCCACTATAGTGTCGAAGCCAGAGCTGACATTCTCCGCATCCACTCGCGCTCGATGAACCTAACGCGTGGCATTAACCTGACAAAGATTGCAGAGAAAATGAACGGCTGCTCTGGTGCTGAACTCAAGGGAGTATGTACCGAAGCGGGCATGTACGCCTTGCGAGAACGAAGAGTACATGTTACGCAGGAGGACTTTGATCTTGCAACAGCCAAGGTTCTCAATAAACACGATGACAAGGAGGTCAGTCTCGGCAAGCTGTGGAAATAAAAAGCGCTACAAACCTGAGCGGACCATATCAATTGGCAACAGACGGAGGGGTTTCTTTTTATGGATCATCGTGGTTACGTCTACTGCACCACACCACAGATACACAGGTTATCAATGTACGGCATGCTGCCGGGGCCTTTGCCATCAACACCTCCATCTTCATTATCTATTCTGTACACTACATAGCGATCATATGCAAACCCAAGAAGCCTGGCAGCGTCTCTCTCTCTTGAGTTCCGGGGCATCCCTGCTTGTGCAACAACTGTTCCTACACCAACGAAGCTGTATGACATGACCTCATCTAGCCATACAGGGGCGTGACTGCAATCTTCCTTCTTACACACCTCAACAACCACCTTATACTGTCTAGCGATACTGATTCAGCAGTAGAGCGTGTGCCAGCTGTCTGCACAGCCCAACATCCCTATCATACGGGGTTACTTCGATTTCTGCCTGTCTAAAACAAATAACAAAAAAACTCGCCGACTCTTATGCCGACTCGCAGTCGGGGCCGAAGGTCCTAAAAGCTTGTGTTTGCTTTTCTACACGCAGAACGAGCCACTTCAACGAGTATGGCATGCAACTCCATGGCCTTGCCCCTCGTAAACTCGATGCTCTATGACGAAACCAAATATTACTGCTTCGTCTACGTCTCCTCACTTGCTGCAACTCACGCTGCCAAATGGCTTTTCACACAGGCATTGATCGGCAGGCGCTCGAGTCCGTCAACAGCAGCAGCCTGAAAGTCCCCCTTAGAATACTCCGTTGGTCAAGCAGGGTTAAAATATGTCCCAACTGGTGGGAATCACGACCACATAGTGAAAAGGACATCTCCCCGCAAAAAGAAAGCTGTTGATGGACACAAGCAGGCCAATATGATGGGACATCGAGCAGGATGGACGGCTCCTCTATGGCCAGCTGACCTTGCTTATCTCTCGACCATGGGACATAGCCGTTGCCATCGACCACTTGCATAAAGCACACATACTATGGCAATTAGATGGCATCTATACGAGTCGGTTTGATGGCAGAAGCAAAGCGAGAAATCATCCGGCATCCCAGCACCGAGACGACATAAGCCAGGCTCGACGCACAAAGTCCAGAGTTGACCGTGCATGCGTTTGACCTTCCTTGCTATTCTAGGTGGACGTAGTCGTCGGTTCGGAGGGTTGGAGGAATCTATATTGTCTCCTCCCTTTCCACATGGCCAACTCTTCTATGAGGGCTTGCTAACTTACTTACCCCAGGTTTCTTCGGCCTTGTCTCCTTCGGGGGCCAGGGCATAATTTGATACATAAAGTCCATACCGAGCAGTAGCCAACTAGGAAGCTAACGATACGGGGCACTCCACTCGGTATCCGCCTACCCGACCCTGCTCTCCCGTACCGTCTCGGGGTGTATCATTCGCTGTCTTGCTCTCAAGCCTTTCGCTAAGCACTATTGAACTAATAGGAAGGCTCCCTCGCCAGCCACCCCTTTGATCAATCTTCATGTTATCAGGATCTTATTATTAATTTTAATATGTAATTTCTTTTTCTTTTTTCCCTTTCAGTCCTTTATCAACCAACTGCAATAATTGCTTCTTGGGACAGTGCTTGGCTTCTTTTTTATATCCTTTTTTTCATCCCCCAGCTATCCAACTTGTCTTCTTCTCGAAACCCTTCATACTCCAAGGAAGGCGTCTTTACGCATATCACTATTACTTTGCCTTAAATTTCCATATTGTTGTTTGTCTCTCTTTCATAACAGAGGCTAGGCCAGCCCCATCGTTCCCAGTTGATATCCCTCTTTCAATAGGGACGCCTTACCAAACCTCAAGATACCCCCAAATTTGACAGGATTCAACCCCGTTATTTCAGCGAGAACTTGGGGGGCATCTCGGATTACAGGACATGGCCTCAGCCGAAATATGGGCATCCTTGTTGACTGCCGTTGATCCGCTCAGTGTGAGAGCCATGCCGGCCATGCTGCAGTCCACCATTGACCTACTAGAGACAGAGCTAGCTAGAGCCAGGGCAGCGTTGCAGGAGCTTCAGTCCCAGCCGGAGCCATGCTATGTCACTCTCCAAAACGATGTTACCGGAGAGGCTATGGCAGCTTATAAGACTCATCTCCTTGAGCGTGTTGCGGCTTCCAGCAGCCTGAGCCTACCGCAATCACAGACAGAGCTCCGGAGAAGAGCAGGGCAGTTCGGAAAACGGCCGGTGTCATTTTGGGATATCATCTCCAACTCGCTTATCCTCGACCATCTAGCCCCATATCTGTCTGTGGCATCGCTCTTCTCCCTGGCCTCGACCTGCACAGCATTGCGGGCCGTTATCATGGACACTCCGTATGTGTTCCGGTATCTGGATCTCACCAATTGCAAGGGCGCCCAGCTCTCGTGGGTGCCTGCCATCCACGGCAACATAAGTGCTGCTCGTATGACAGATCAGCCCGCGGCGGACGAACAGCTCTACTCAGCACCCCTGCGGACCATATTCGACGACCTGAGCCGACGGTCAGTCCTCCAAGACGTTAGGACGCTGATTCTCGACGGCCTCCCAGTCACGGCCGAGCTGGTCTCAGACATCCTCCTGACCGACCGTTTCCGCGTCTCCCTCCTCTCGATCCGGGGGTGCCTCCATCTCGACGAGCACAAGCTCAGGCAGGTCATTGAATACGCGGTACGGCCCGACCGCGCCAAGGGGTCGCCAAGCGTAAAGGGAATATACTATTTCTCTCCCAAGCCCATAGCTGCTGTGACTCCCGCAACTCCTGCGACTCCTGCCAGCAGCGCCAGCTCATCAGACGACAGGAGGCTTCCAGGCTGCAACACGTCGACGCTTGGCCACCGAGACTCGTCAAACCATCGCCGGCACCGCCAGCGTCATCACCGGACCTTACATCGCTCTGATCTGGGCTCGGCTGTCGTGCAGGCGGAGGAGCCCGTTGATCGATCAGGGGTGCTCGCAAACCGCCCAGGCTGCCTATCTCTGGGCAGTGAGTGGTACCGCGAGCCAGGCCAAGTCCTGAAACTGCCCTCGGTGCAGAATGGATGGGCGCATACACTGCAGCTCTGCCAAGGGGTAATATCCTTTGACGCCCCCCTGTGTAGGGGTGCCAGACACGATCCAAATCTGTATCTCATGAACAACAATAATGAGAGTTATGAACAATACCACCAGGTCATCAACAGCCAATTTCAGCATCCTCAAGGCGATAACACTCTCTCGGTTGTCACTGCTGCCTCTGGCCCCCTTTTGCCTCCTGCCATTGCGACTGTCTCGCTAGGACCGGCAGGCTGCGACGGGTGCCGCACCTCTCCCGAGGGGCCCCTGGTATGGCAGCAGTCCCCCGAGCAGCATTTTCCGCTGCTGACACCGCCGCCCTTGCACTCTTACAAGACCGCCGTCGCCAAGGCTCCCGCCCTCCGCCTTAATGAAACCCCGGTGCTAATCGCCCAGTGTGAAGAGTGCCTAAGAGGCCGGCGATGCCACAGGTGCAACCGATGGATGTGTGCTGCATGTTTGCCTGATACAACCAAGCCGTGGCCACCAAAAATACAAAAACTTGGGCTGGAGACAGCAGGCGACTCAAGTTTATCAGTAAAGGTATCTTATCTACGGTTTTCTTTTTTTTTTTTTTCCCTCCTTGTTTATCATTTGAAACTAGCCTGATCTACGGAAGCCCACAGCTGTTGTGTATCTTCTGAGGCCAGCCTTTATTTCGCCCAAGAATCTTCGACCTTCTTGGCTCAGCCTTTTCGTTTAACTGTCAACTGATCTAATCTGACTAACCTTGGCTCCAGCATCAGAATCGACCATTCATGCGCAGGGACTGTTGGGAATGCGGACCTACTGTAAGCCTGCCTTCTCCTACTGATGTCCTCTCATGGATATTCCAGTACTAATAGGGCTGTTTCTTTACCAGTGCCTGTCTTGTATGATGCAGGTACTCCGTTCGTGCGTTGCCTGCGGAGGTGAATACTGTATCGACCATAATGATGGTTGCTCGCCTACTAAGGTACTTAAGCCAATAATAATGACCTCCGTCAAAAGCATATAGAGCTACATGGTATTAACATACTTCTCATAGTGCGATTGGTGCAATACTACTACTCCACGACGAATGATACGCGAGCTTCACTAACTATCGTATGTCATCGAACCCGTAGGGTGTTAGCCCGATGAGGTTTGACCAATTCAAGCTCGAGTGCCTTATCCATTTTTAATTCTGCCTTCACCATAACCTCCTGAACAGAGCCCGTATCTTGGACTTTAGCTTCTCTCCACTCTTGACCAATTCCTATCTTGTTGGCCACGTCTTTTACATACCCCATCTGCGCATCAAGTTTTAAGGCTCGATGTATCCTGTATCTGTTTGCTTCATGCCCTCTCTCTCTCCACTCTTATTTTTTTTTTTTTTTTTTTTTTTTTTTAACCGTTTCCTTGCTTCTTCCACGTCCTCTTTATCTCCCCGATTTGGTTGCTGGGTTGAGATTATATTTCGCATTGCATTGGGGCATTTTCAATGACAAGTGCGCATCCGTCTGCGGCGCATGCGGGCGAAAAGGCTTCTAGGGGAACGGAATGAAGGGAATGGTTGTTTTATTTTATGGCGTTCTGGCCGGCTTGTGGTAGATCCTAGCGTCATTTGGATTTCTATCGCGTTCTATGGATTCCACTCCAATTAAAGAGAATGTGCATTTTCACGGGTTCCCGTCTCTGGAACGATCTTACTTGAGATGGCTACAGGGCGGCTTATACAATTGGCTTGGGGTAAATCTCGTTTTCATTATACTGCTGCCTATAATAATACTCAAGCAGTAGAAAGGTAAAGGAAATGATGCCGTCTACTGTGAATATGGTAGGTTAGACATATTAGAATTCTCCATCTTCTAAGAAGAATGCCATCCCACAACGGCCTTGTCTACATCTGACCTGTATTCTTGTTGCTTATAGCATTGCTCCAGGAAAACCTTGTACTTAACCTCAAGCAGCTTCTTTTCGTGCTCATCTTTGGTTGGGTAAACCGCCTTACCGGGCTTGCTCATTCGGTCCATGATATCCCATAGGCCTTCAGTCTTTCCATCCTTATCAGCGCTGGCGGCCTTGGCTCCGAGCATGGCGGCACCATGGCAGACGGCAGCGTGGACGTAGCGTGGGACAAAAACTGGCATCGAGCAGGCCGATGCTATGAGGCCCATTAGAATATCGTTCTGGCATTGAGAACCAGACATAAATATCGAGGTAATATTGTGGCCAGCCTTGTTCATTGTCTCCACGATCTGGCGTGTCTGCAGTGCAATAGATTCCAAAGTGCCATAATAGTATAGGCACAGTCCATTGACAGATTTATCGCTGGACAGGCCAATGACCGCACCGGACATTTGCGGATCGGCAATTGGGGATCTATTTCCAAACAGGTCACCGTAGATGAAGAAGTGACGGCCAAGGTAGGATATGGAGGGAGCCTTGGATTCGGCTGCCATTTCTCTTAGACGTTCATTCAGATAATCGTAGATGTTAGAGTTGTAGGACTCCGCAACCGAGAGAGCTTCATTGAACGCTGGGTGGGTTTCGATAACGTGTTTAAGCAGCTCGCCAGTGGCCGACTGCCCGCCTTCTGCCATCCAGAAACCCGGCATTATGGTATCACGGTAGGGACCCCAGACACCAGGAACAAAGACCGGGTTAGGGGACATGGCCAAATGGCAAGTGGAGGTACCAGCCACGGCAGCCAGACGAGTGAAAGCCTGGGTTCTGTCGTTGTTAGCAGCATCAGAGCTCAACAGATCAGAGTCCAAGTCGACTTTGGCACCAACAGTCCCAATCCACCCTGCGTATGCATCGATTACACCGCTACCGACTGCAATGCCAGCAGGAAGGCCAAGTTCAGCGGCAGCAGATTCACAAAGTCCACCAACCAGCTCACCAGCACTCAAATATTCTCCGTTCTGTTACGTCTGCGTTAGCCACTCATTTTCGGCAGGAATATGCTTGGTGAGTTCAGTCATACCTCTCCGTTAACGCCACCCATCCTCTTGAAGTTATCGGCAGCAAGATCCTCCAAGCCAATCGCATTTAAAAAGTCAGGTTGCCATCCCTTGATGCTTCCATCAACGCCGACAGGGACATATCCCTGTTTGCAGACTACACTACAGAAGCTTCTCTTTTCGTTGCCAGTGGCCAAATGAGTGAGTGCGTCTGCTAGGTCATAGAACTTGCATCTATCAAACAGCTCCTTTGGCATGTTGTTTTTGAGCCAGAGGGCCTTTGGAATCTCCATCTCGATGGACATCTTGCCTCCGACATACCGGAGCAAGTTGTGGCCAGTAGCATTGATCTTCTCGGTTTCTTCCACGGGGCGATGATCGAGCCAGAGGATAACGTTGCGTTCGGTATCGAAGTTCGGTCCGGTGACAGAGATGGGTTCGCCGGTATCGTGAGCGAAGACAGCTAGTGAGCAGGTCGCATCAAACCCGATGCCTTTGATGGAGAGGGGGTTGATGTTGTGCTGGCTGATGACTCGCTGGACACACATGCAGATGCATCTCCAGATATCGGCAGTCGATTGCTCCTAGTGGACATCAGTCTCAAGGATACCAGGTATAGGTATGGTGGGCAAAACATAAGGCGACGAGGGGCAAGAAAGACTCCTTACATAGTAGCCTTGCTGGGGCTGCCAGAGACCAATGTTTTCGGATGCCAACCCAACGATATCGCCTTTATCGTTGATGATGCAAGCTCTAGCACTACCGGTGCCAACATCGACGCCGATGAAGTGATCCATCAACGGGTTGATCTCGTTCCTGGGATCCATGGTGGCCTGTCTCGAGACCTGCTGGGACGGTTGAAAGGAGCTCATGGCGAAGGGTGTAGGTGCAGGTATAAATACGCAGCAACTCTGGTTCTCTGGCACAGACTCCTCCCCACGCCGTTCGCCTTGGGTGTCTGTCCTACAAGCGAGGTGCGTGGAAGCGGGTGTGTGTTCCTGGCGGGCCGGCCGGCGGCTTCGCAAAAAGACTATACCCGGGCGCTATTTGGGTCGTTATACAGGCCAGAAAAAAGAGGCAATTCCTGTTTCACAGACAAAGAATGCAGCCTTGAAACCGGCGAGCACGACTAAGCTGGAGCTGCTGTTAGTTAGCCGGATTATTTGAGCCGTTTTTGCGTGAAAGCTTGAGGGTGAATATGGGGCCTTGCCTATCTTCTCAAATATTGGCTATTCCAGCCTCTCTTTTTTCACCTCCTTTTAGTCTCCCTAACTGATATCTCGGGCCTGATGTCTTTTATATAACTGTCATCCGCACGGCCCGTCCAGGTGTTGCTCCGTCGTGGTGAGCTGCGGTAGAGCTGCCTGGTAGACAGACCCCCCACTACTACGACTACCAGTAAAACCGGCTCAACGCTTAACTGAACCCACCAGCCCACAGCAAACGCCAGGATCTGGCCGGTAGTGATCCTCGCCATCCCGCGCCCTCGTTCTCCACTGCGTACGCATTGTCCTTCCTGTCCATCGTCTGCTCATCGTGCATCGGCCGGTCGTTCGTCTTTTTGCTTTGTTGTTGGCCTGCCATCTCTCCGTCGACTCCATCGCCGGTCCACAGATAAGAGGGGAAGAGGGCGACAGCGAGGCAACGGTCGACTTGTTCCTGTGCCATTGGTACTCCCAGCGCTGTCGATCTTCCTCCCGTCAGCAAGTTTCAGCTCGATCTTCGTCCTCCGTCCTTTGCTTCTTCTTGTTCTTCTTCTTCTTCGTCGTCGTCGTCGTCGTCGTTGTCGTTGTCGTCGTTTTTGCTGACGTTGAAAAAAGGTGCGTAGCTGTAGGATCACGTGATATCACCAAAGTTCGTCAACTTCAACGTCAACAAAAGACGGAAAAAGCGAGGTAGAAGACGAAGAAGACGCAAGAAGAAGACAAAGAGAGACAAAGGAAGGAAGCGGAGGAATCAAGAGGAGAGACAATGAGGCTGCTGTCTGTCCTGGTCGCCGCGACCAGCGTGGCCTCTGCTGCGGCCATGCTGCAGGCACAGCTCTTCTACCAACCGGTCACGGCATCCTCGAAACCAGTCGAGCTGGCGCAGATAAGCTACGACCCGGCTACGCTGCGGTCCAAGGTCATATCCTACTCTTCTCCCGAGCCCTCTGGCCCTGACGCAGCCGACGATCTAGTCCGCATCGGCACATCGCCCCAGTCGAGCAGCTGGGCCGGCGTCCTGGCCTCCCGCGCCCTCCTCCAGCCGTCTCCCTCGAGCAACTATCCGCCGCCCACTTTGTACCTCTACCTTGATCCCGAGGACCGTGTATATCATGTTGGAGTCTCGGCTTCGTCACCGTTGGCATCCACGGGCGGCGCGGGCAGCCATCTGAACCAGGCCGGGAAGCCGTTGCAGATAAAGGTGCAGCTTATCCGCTCCCAACCTGCTGCTGTCCCGCAGTTGAACAAGCCCATTGCCAGAAGGGCAGACGACGCAGATGACGAGCAGGTGGAGGTTCCCTTGATGAACTCGCTGCTCCAGAAGTGAGATTGCTCTCCTTGGCCCTTATACATACCATAAAAAAGGTGGTTGATTGCTAACTGTTCAGCAGGTACTGGTGGCTTCTGCCGATTGTCTTTCTGCTAGCTGTGGGAGGCGGCGGGTCTTGATTCTACGCAGTGTATAATACGGAAAATCGGCGTTGTCATTGAAGCATATAGTATGAGGGTATACACAAGATGATATTACCTGGTCTACGCATCCAAATCCATCTCTTCCCCGTCATCATCTTCATCCTCGTCTTCGGCTTCCATATCATCATCATGCATGTCTTCATCTTCATCCTCGTCCTCATCCTCCGCCTCACTCTCATCGCCAACAGCATTGCCGTAGGACAAAGGTCTCTTGCTTAGTTCATCTGCCACAACATCTTCCTCCGCTTTTATCACTCCCTTGAGCCTCAGCGCAGATCTATTCGAACCAAGTTGCCAAACCATCAGACCCTTGTCAGTCAGCAGGGTGAGTTCGTTCTCGCCGTTGGTAAACTTTAGTCCAAAACAAACAGCGTCCAAGTTAAGTATTATGGGCTTCAGTTCAACGATATCCTTCCACCCGTCTTCTGTCTTTTCGTAGTCCTCCTCTCCACTAGATCGAGGAACAGTACTTGCTCTTGCACACGCGCCGGGGTCTCCAGGATAATACATGGAAGGGGGATAGTATCCCTCCCTGTTTCGCATTAGCACATGGTATGGTTCGAGTGGCCAGACGTACAAGGTCTTCCAGTTTACAATCGCAAGCCGTGTACCCCTGGGCGAGGAAGCTATAAGCCCCGTCAAGTTGGATTCGTTGGGTTTGAATCCCCAGAGCTTGGCAACTGTTACCCAGCGTTCAATGCGCCTACCACGGTCAAGGTTAAGGATATGGGTACATCGGTCCGATCTGCACTGCGCTGTTGACCGGAGGATATACGCGCCTACCCGGCCATTCGGAGGCAGGCGTGTAAAACCGACTGATGCATAGTACCAGTCACAAACTCCGTTTGCGAAGTTCCTTATGTGGTACCCATAAAAGGGGATCCCTACCTGAAAACGTGAAGATATAGGTGGCGACGTTCCATCGTATTCGGGTCTTCTAGCATAGCAGATGTTGTCGAGGAGACGGCCCCGATGTGCAGAGCCAGAGCCAGAAGTATCTGCAGAGCTAAGAATGCGTTGGAATTGGTCGTATATGATGGACGACGAATGCCAGTATATAACCTGCTGGTGGCGGTCATTAAAGCGAACTTGCACAATCGGATCAGGTAGATGCATGGTTGAATCCGAGAAGTGCCGTCGGCGTGCTATTTCATCGCCATCCACTAAGGTAGTCGTGTTGTATTCCACATCTACAGTGAATAATCAATCCCGTCAGCCTATCAAGGACATCTAGAGGTAGAAAGTGGCACTAATCTGAGGAACCAAACCTACATGAACAGCCGTCCTTTCGAACCACAACGTCAGACTCATCATATTTGTGCAGACAAACTTTGGTGACCCGTGGTGACTCCTTGTGCTGCCATGATACCACAACACACTCCTGGTCTACGACATCAATTGCGAGAGGGGTGTATATTTCTTCCAGCTCAGTGGGGAACACAGTAAACACCGTCGGCCTCCATCCGCCTTTGGGGGAGTCGATGGAATAGTGAACCAATCGGATGCGAGCAGAGTAATACGGCATCATTGTGTCCTCAACAAATGGGTGCATGGAGGGCGAGTCTGCTGGGTTCGCCGGAGGTTTGTAGCGCTGGAGCACTGATATGACGTTTGGGTACGAACGGCTGTTGACGACGCGTAGTATCTCAATCTCACCCGGGACATCACTGGGGGACTCTAGCTTGCCTGCGGATAACATTGTTTCCTCCGGTCGTAGGCTTGGGTGACCCATCAAATACAGGTATACGGATGCACTGCCCCTTGGAACCAAAGCGAGTGATGGATGAGCGAAGTATTGCGGCTCCTCGTGGGGGGTTGGAAAGAAGGAAGAAGCCTTGGTATCTATCACACCCTCTTCCATCGTGTATAGTGTGGTATCAGAGTGGAAATTGGCCCCGTATAAATGAGTAGCTGCCCTTGACATGAGCTCCTGGTATAGCTGTGCAGTCGACAGCCCTTCCAAGGGGATGCCATCCTCGGTTTCCAACGGGCCAGGCAGCTTGAACAGTTGATGGCGTAGGACCTCGCGGCATGTCTTAGCAATTGCAAGCAGCGTCGAGCAAGTACGGATAAGCTGGAGAAAGCTGGGCGTCGAGCAGCACTTGAGCACTAGCTGGAGGAGTTCCACCGGCAGGTCCAGCAGGCTATTGATCTTTGCCATCGTCGCTAGCAGAGTTAGTTACAGAGCTCCAGGCTACAGCGAGACGCGGTATGGGTCAATAAGATAATAGCAAGGATATGTTAATAGCGACGATGGTGAACGAAGTCAGCATCTGGAGCTGTTGGGAGTGTTTTTTGGTTGTTGTTGTTGTATTTATAGTCGCTGCGGGCTGAGAATATTTAACTCGATGCTTGGCGTTGTTTCTTTTTAAGGTTGAGGCTCTGTTAGGCAGCAACAGCATCGGCTTTTTTATGGTCTAGCAAAAAACTCACGGCTAAGGATGTATTTTTGTACGAAAAGCGTATAAGAATATATATAGAACGCAAGTGAGAACACAAAGCACGCCGGTCTACAACTCCAACGCCAGTTTATGTAACCTCCAATTTCTGAAATACGTTAGAACGATCACCGCGGAGGCAAAAGTATTCGATACAGAGAATCCCCCAGTAGTCAATATGGGGGACCCGAAAGGGAGTAGAAGAAACACTCGTATCTCTCGCTCGTGTCTTTCTTTTTAAGTATGAGATGCCCACCATTCTAGGATGGACTCGTAGCAGAGGACAAACTGACGTAAACTCTGGACCATGCTTAACCTCTGGGATCGAAAATCTTCAACCGTCGAGGCCACAAGGTCGGTTGTGTCCTCGTATACCCAGCTTGGCTCTGTCCTTTCGGAGCTCTGGGACGCCTTCCTCTGACGCTTGAGCATGTCTATCACACTGTCAACGGTACAGAAGGTTCCTGTCCTACCACAGCCCGCGCTGCAGTGAACAATCACCCTGCGTTGACCTTCTGGGTCTGGATTGTCCTGATGATTCGGAGAGGAACGGCCGGTCGACCCGCTCACGACAGCGTCACATTCCTCAATCAGGCGTAAGAGATGGTATGGTTTTGCTGGAGTGCCGAAATCGGGCCAGTCCGAGTACTGGATCTGGGTGATCTCTCTTGGGGGTTCGAAGGGCTCCTTGGAGTTGGTCATGCTGAAGTGGCGGATAATGAAATAACCGGTCTCTGATGGCTCACATTGCCGCCGGTCAAGAGGGATGGCACCTTCGCTGACGAGCTGGACACGTAGATTGCCGTAGTCGGCAGACCTCCAGTATGGGTGGCATTTGACCTGCGCTCCATCCGTCTCGGCTGTTAGCATGACGATAAGCCGTACATCCTGTTCCCATACCACCCGCCAAAAGTCCTAAACAGACGTTAGTAAATGGAGGCTACAAAGAAAGCATATGGAAAGAAGTGGAAGGAGGGATGCGTACGTTGAATGTAGCAGGCATAGGGGCCTGGGTGGCTATGTAGCGTTTGTGGGAGCGCGAAGATCGGATAAAGCTGGCATTGATGTAGTCACAGCTGCTTTCGGTGGTGTCTAATAACTTGACACGGCAGTGGTCGTAAGGATAAATGTTGTTGTATCTGTTTTTGGACCCCTTTTCGATGCCGGCAATTCTGTATGAACGTTTGCCGGGGGTTTGTCCCTCTATGTTGTTGGTAGATGTCCCAGGAGCAGAGAGGGCCTGCTGCATACGGCTCTGTTCACCCTTTTCGATGTTGAGGAACCGGACTGCAGCTGTCTTTCCGGCATCTTCAGCATTGGCAATGCGTGAGAGCCAGGCTGGCAAGGAGAGTCTGGTGGCCTCGTCCATTGTAGGGGGCATGGTGACGGGAAGCTGGCCAACGCCACCGATAAGGTCAACGTTTTGGCGGATGTTGGAGAAGAAGGGATTGACGGGGTTTGACGAAGGCGTGGGCATGACGCAACCACCGGCGATTGATGGGGCGGTCGGGAGGGTAAGGCTGATAGATAGATTATTCTTCGCACGGCCAGCAGCTGTGGAAGAGGATGAATTGGGAGAAGTGCACGCGGCGACGGCGGCTGATGATGAAGAGGAGGAGGAGGAGGCAGAGGGCGCGGGCAGAGAACTCTCGATCCAGTCGGGGAACTGGGTTGAGAAGCGGCTAAAGCCGCCAGCCAGGACGAGGGACTCGCCCTTCCAGCCTTCTCTGGTGAACTTCTGGAGCAAGCTGACCAGCAAGGCAGCGTCCTTTGGCAGACTGGTAGAGGAGTCGTAGACTATGATACGGGTGCTTGACCGCCACCGGTTGAAGTTGGACTTGTCCTGCCCGGTACCAAAGGTCTCCTCGACTTTCTGCAGGTTGAACGAGGGCCGTTTGAGGAGGGTTGTGGGTATGCAGAGGTTGAGAGAGCCCTTGATATGGGCCTTTGTGAACTGAAGCAAGGGCCGCACGTCGAGCAGGAGGGTCTCGCTCTGGGACGAGCGTAGTATTTCCAGACACCGCTCGGCCGTGACCATCTTGGCATCACCGAGATCATGGCTGACGGGAATCGAGTGTGTTCTGTGTAGGGATATGGCCGACGGCTTCTGATGGCCCGCGGGCGACAGAATCCTGTTGATTTGGGAGGTAAGATGATGGCTGCCGAATCTGGCACCGCCGGCCACGACACCGACACCGCCGGCGGCGGCGGAGGAGGAGGCGACCAGCGGCGTCGAGGCACTGGAGGAAAACGGCGAGGGCTCCTCGAGCAGCGGGTGGAAGGACGACTTGGAGGGTCCCTTTTGCGGCAGTTTCGGGGTGAAGGAGTGTTGCTGGTGTATCAGCGGCGAGCTCGCGGCCGGCTCCCGCTCGGCAGTAGTCCTGCCACTGAACCGCCGCTCGAGCAGGCTATCTGTGCTCTTCCGCGAGGGGACAACAAGCTTGGGAGCTGCCGTGCCTGTTGATGGTCCTGATCCTGTTCCCGGTCCCGGTCCTGCACCGGTGCTGGCGGGGATGCCAAAGCTGAACTCCCTGTCTCGGGATGCCGACGGGTGAAAGAAGGGCACGGCATCGCTGGAGGGGGCGGCCGTCGTGTTTGCAACGAGGTCGAAGTAGCCTCCCGTGGACGATTCCTCCACGCATCGAGGCGAGAAGGGCCCGCTGCCGAAGAACGAGGCGGTTATCTGGCCGGCCGAGGGGGGCGTAGAGGGAGGCAGGCCAGCTGGGGTGGTCGACATGCAGCCCCAGGCCGGCGACGGGCGGGAGGTCGCTGTAGTCGTAGACATGCCTTTTTTTTTTGTTTCTTCGTTTCTTCGTTTCGATGAGAGAACGAGGGGGGTATCGCAGGGCTTCTCTTCTGGTGAGCTGCTCTCTTCAGGGTTATAGCTGGGTCGTGGTGGTGGTTGGGATGGCTGGAGACGAGCTGCTCGCCATCATCCAGACGCTGTTCTATTGACCTGCTGGCAGGGCGGCTGCGGAGGCCATCGTCAGTCAGTCTCGTCCGCAACGCATGTCTCTCGCGCAAGCAGTATATCCGGGTCTCTATGTACGGGGTGGCAAGGGAGTGGCCGGCGGTGCGATGGGATGTTGTTGTTTTCTTATATATATATATATACAGGAGAGAAAAGGCCAGGCCAGCGGAGGATGACGTTATTATAGGGAGCGGTCGCCACCAGAAAAAACGCAACCAGAGCAAACCACAGGAACAGGAGAGAAGCGAGAGGGAAGAAGAAGAAGAGAAGAAGCGAAGAAGCGTAGAAGAAGAAGAAGAAGAAGAACAAGGCTCAGGCGGAAGACGGGTTGAGGGTTCAGGAACAGGCGAGCGAGACAAAGGGGCGGTACGTACGGGGAGGATGGCGCTTAGCGGACAGCGACGCGAGGTCAAGCCGCCAGACAGAGAGAGACAAGAGAGAGATACGAGACAGAGATACGAGACAGAGAGCGAGTGAGAGACGAGACGATGCTGTCACTGACAATGTCGTCCAGTCGTTGGGTCGTGAGTCGTTGCAGTCCAGCGAAGAGGCAGACGTAGGCAGTAAAAACGCACAAGGGATGAAGACGAGAGCGAGACGAGAACGAGACGAGAAGAACGTCGGCGACCGGTCCGTTGGTGGACGCAGGCGAACCGTGGTTGAGCGCCAGGCGAAGGCGAAAGTCTCGATCCACGGTTGGCCGGTTGACGTAAGAGGGTGATATGATGGATGATGATGCGAAGGGGGAGAAGACGAAGACGCAGAAGAGAAGAAGAAGAAGAAGAAGAAGAAGCAAAGAGAGATCGAATTCTATCCGTGGCTGCAGCCGGCCAGCCAGCCGGCCAGCCAGCCAGCCAGCAGAGGGATTGGATTATATATGTACACAGCGCTCCTATCTTACAGCTCGAGGCGAGGACATCGTCATACGTCTGTCCTCGAAGACGTCCTCGCCTCGCCGTGATGTCTTCTCCTCCTCCACTCCATTTATAATATTTATCAGCTTCTGCTCGCTTTTCGTCTCGGTCTCAGTGGGCTTAGTCAGGCCCTTGGCTGACGTCAAGAGAGCGCGAGACAGCGACGGCGAGGTCGACCGGCGAGGTCCTACCGGCGACGGTCAACGGGTGTGCGTTTCGAAGGGGCGGCCGTCGCCTGGGGGGGAACCAGGTCAGAGCAAGACCGTTTCTCCTTATTACTCCTTAGGTGCTGTTTAAGACAGACGACTCCCGGCCAGGCGGTGGTTCTTCTGACGTCGTCGTCGTCGTCGTCGTCGTTGACAGCTGGCTAGTCAACTAGGCAATACGCCCGTCCGGCTCGCCCTTGAAGCGCTGCACCCGCTTCTGCTCCCAGTTGTCCAGGTCCTTGGCCATCAGTTTCTAACCCCCCGCCCCGTCAGCCAGGATTCACACAAGCAGTAGAGAAGGTAGGGTAGCATACGTAGTACTCCTCGCGCTCGTCGCCCAGGATGCGCCGCCGCGGGTTCCGGCGCACCTGGCTGGCGTCCTCGTCCGCGCCGCGCAGCCCCAGGGCCATCGCCTCCTCCTTGCCCAGCTGCTGCACCCGCCGGTCGTGTCGTTCGTAGCGCAGCGCCGTCGCCGGGGTCAGGAAGAACGAGCCCGCCACCATCACGCTCACGAACGGAAGCCCGAAGAGCAAGAAGGGGTGTCGAGACAGGTTGGCCCGGTACCGCGCTCCCAGGCGCTCGCCCAGCGACGAGGCGGCCGTCGTCGAAGGTCGGAACTTCTTCGACTGGAAGGGAGGCATCCCGTCGCTCTCTCTGGTCCTTTTGTCGCTTCTTTTGTCGCTCCTTTTTGCCGCCCTTCGTCGTCTCCGTCGTCGTCTCGCAGTTCGGTCGTTTTTGTCGTTTTTGATAGCAAAAGAAAAAGAGTCGAAAAGGGCGTTGATATGCTGACTCAGCGAGGATTGCAAGAGAGAGATAAAAAAAAAAAAGCGACTTTGGTTTGAATAATTAAGGAGGATAATTTGAATAACTATTATCAAGGCAGACAACTTGAAGACATCAAGGCAGATAACTAGATAGTTAACAGTTATAACTGTAGGAGCGAAGCTGCGCTTCAACAGCCGCGGATTCAACTCTGGTTGTCGCTCGTCACAGCTAAATTGGCCAGTAGTTAATGATACCCGTCTGATGATATGTACCACATTCAATGAGCTTTAAAACACGAAGCACTGTTGGAAGAATGGGCATGTTTGCATAGTTAGTTAGATGTCTCTTCAGCCATGGCATCTTTTGCACGACGAGCTTTGAACTCGTCTTATTACGCCCGGCCGGTAACACGTACACCACTGGTCGGCCCTTCGATAAGAATGCGCTCTCTCTGGAGCGGCCTCTGGAAGTCGAAGCCGGCCCCAAAGCTGCCTGAGCAACCAAGATCTCTCCCTGCCAGCGGCTTCCAGACTGTCGATGCTGCTCAGCTGGTGGAAGAAGAAGAACTGCCAGACTACAAAGCCGATAGGTTCTACCCTGTTCATCTGGGGGAAGTCTTCCAAGGGCGTTATCAAGTGCTGGGGAAACTCGGGTTTGGCTCTTCCTCGACCGTCTGGCTGGCTCGAGACCTCAAGTAACTATCTACATGCATACATACGGCTCCTCCTGTTATATCTATACCGGGCGGCTAACAAGGAGACAGGGACCATCTGTATGTCATGCTGAAGGTGTATGTGCATACCTCTGCCATTCATCGCGAGATACCCGTATACCACCACATCTCGCCGCATATCGAGACGGCCACAGCCCATCGTGGGCGCCTCAACATCCGGCAGCGACTCGACTCCTTCACGGTGGCCGGACCAGACGGCAGACATCTCGTTCTTGTCCACCAGGCCGCCCAGATGAGCCTGCGCGACATGAAACTGGTCTTCTTCCCCAACGGGTTTGATCCGGCGTTCGTCAGAGGTGCCATCATCGAGCTTCTCCAGGCCCTGGATTTCTTACACAGCCATGCGCAAGTTGTTCATACGGGTACAGAGTGGACTTCTCTATTATTATTCTCGTCTGTGTGGATAAAAATTGCTTACGTATTATTTTCTTGTATATATATAGATGTGCACTCTGGAAACATGCTTCTAGGGCTATGGGACAATACATTGCTTAAAAATCTCGAAGATGCAGAACTAAGGGCTCCCGTGGCCCGGAAGCCGGTTTCGGACTCCCGGACGATCTATCTATCGCGTCTGTCCAAGCCAAAGGAGGGCCCCATGCTCCTATCCGACTTTGGCGAGGCGAGGCTAGGTCCTGGGCCCCATCCCGGTGATATCATGCCACTCGAGTACCGGGCCCCCGAAACACTGCTCTACGTGACATGGAGTTATCCCGTCGACATATGGAGTGTTGGACTCACGGTACGTCATATTCAACGCCATATTTTGCCCCAAACTAACACTTAAACTGCACAAGGCCTGGGACCTCCTAGGGCTTGAAAGACCATTTACAGCCAGAGACGTGGATGGCGGCGTATACGATGCCACGCATTTCGCCCAGCTGATTGCAGCACTTGGCCCGCCGCCTCCCGAGTTCCTAGCCAAAAACCCAGAAAGAAGAGCCGACTTTTGGGATGAAAACGGTAGATTATTTTATTCTTAACTATATTCAACTGAAAGATTTCTCTCCAACATGGGAGCCGCTAACGTCGGTCTTCTAGGCGAATGGCTGGGTCTTGCGGATATTCCAGAGGGCCGGACCCTGGAGTCGCTCGAGACTCGCCTCGAGACCAGGGACAAGAACGCATTCCTGCGATTCGTCCGTAAAGCCCTGACTTGGATGCCAGAGCAAAGAGCCACCGCGAAGGAGCTTCTCCAGGATCCGTGGCTGCTGGGAAGCCACAAAGTCGGTTCATAGAAAGGGACTGTGAGACAGTAAAGCGATAATATTATCATCAGCTCCTCTGCAGGATTTCCCTTCTTCGTTCCCATCGCAAGTAGAGCTACCCGAAAGCGCATTTCTCCGGGTTAGAGAAGGCAAGACAAATAGTTATCTCGTCGCGGCACTATATATTACAGTTCATATAGAATATAGTGTATGGATTATTGTGAATGTAACATCCTAAGTCAACACGAATTCAATATCCAGTCTTCCACTGCCTTTAACACGGAGGCTTTATCGCTCCTTGATGACTCCTTTGATAGTAGTGAATCATCATCGGATTCATCAAAAGCCACCCAGTCGTGGTTACGTATTCCTTGCTCGCGTGCCGAGAATTCATTATTCCGGAGCCAGATAAAAATATTTCGTGTAGCATGTTGTGACGCTGATTCATCCTCTGGATTTAGAGCTTCATAGCTAATTGGTATATTTATTGGCAGGTCCTCCGTTAGTGTAAAGGTAGACATAGTAGTTGTTAGGCATATTGGATATACCCGTTTGCTGTCTCGACAGGCCCAATACCAATCTGCATACTGCAGTTCGTGACCAGTACATTGTGTGTGCAGGCGCACCTCAATTTCGGCATCTTCGAGCACTGTGGTACCAAAGGGCATCCATGGAACTAGCGGCCACCCACGGTTTAGTTCTGCTTGGCTGAGATAGAGAAGTCGGCACTCATCTGATCTTGAAAGCGCTCCGTTGGTGATTAGCAGTTGCGATACAGGCGCCTGTATAAACGATTGTGTGACACCACACCATGATGCGGCATGGGGTTCAATTGACGTTATACCGTATCGACCTTCTCGGAGGATATTTTTCTGAGTACCCGTGATTATACCACCGAGCCAAAGGAAAGAAACTTGCGGGACTCGATGCATCAGAATATAACCAAGTAGATGGCTCCGCTCGACAGAGTCAAGAACAGCAAATGTAGCCTGCGTCCATGGGCTTACGACATTGCAAGGTATCCCAGGTTCGTAAAATACACTCGACAAAAGAGAGAGTAGTCCTCGTGTGTTGCAACTCAATGTCAATAACCTGTCCAACTCTGGCATTATCTGATCCAATATAAAGCCACATTGTTTCGGCTCTTTGGTCTCCGGCATGGCTGATCGAGGGCTCGGCTTCTCATGAAAAAATGGCCTTGGGAGTGATACTGGGTTTTTCTTGCTATTTAGCATAGGGAGAAATAAAACTGACGAGAGCGCGGCCACAGCTTGGTCAACAATATTGTGTAGATTGCAGTATTCCGCAAGAAACCGAGCCGCAGTAGTAAACGAAGGCACAGGAGTCGGTACACGATAGAGAGGGGTACGGCAGGAAAGGGTATACTGCTCGACTGCCTCCAAAGAAGTCGACCAAGGGGATCGAACTATTGCACCCTCCCATGTAAGGGAGGCCTGCCATCCCTCTCCAGGAGACAAGACAGCAGCCCACCATCTGGCTGCATCATCATCGACGTCTCCTACGTCTACGATGACTTTGGTCCGCTCATCTCCCGTGTTGAGGCCTCTATATTCCGCGTGTTTTTTAGTATATATCATCTCGGCTCCGGGTATAAACTCGACCCAACGCACAGAGAATATGTAACTCCACGCCAATATAAGTACGGAAAGGTGATTGTCTCCGTGATTAAACCATTTCTGATATGTTGGTTCTTGGTCCTGAGAGAGAGTAAGCTGTGTTGGATTGTCGATAGAGACTGCGAGCGTAAGTCCCCTTTCCACACGAGGTAACTTACATTGGCCGCGCGAAGTTTCCCAGATTGACGTGCCACACGCGTAGAGACGATTATATTGACACTTCAGCTCCAAGTCATGGATCAATGGGGGTGTATTTTGGAGTGCGGGCTGTATGTGGAAGCAGATCTTGGGTAGCCCAGGCTCCAGCTGAGCGCGAGAGAGAAGCCTTGTCCAGGTACGAAAGCCGTTTTCATACACAGCGCGGCAGCTTTCTGGACTTGGACGTACGGAATCTTCAGATTCCATCATGAAAGGTAATGCTAGAGGGAGTGAGCAGGAAGTGTGAGCGTGCTTGAGATGAGGGAGTCCTCTGATGTATCTCGTATGCTCAATCCTCAAGAGTCAGGACCCCGTTTAACTAGTTAACTAGTTAAGTCTGACTCGATAATTGTGACTGGTGAGAAGGTAACTAACTAACTGGTTAACCTGACTTGATGAATCGCAACCAAGCTGTACAACATGGTTGCAAATACCTTAACGACTCCGTACTGACCATTGCACGATATCCCTACTACTGTCCCTTTCAATTCAGCATCATGACCATGTACAGCCACAAGTAGTAGATACGAAGCCATTATCATTTATTGCGTCTACGTCTATTCTCGCCTCTCCCGGCATTCATCATTCAATCTTGGACGCCGCAACTTCTTCCTTGTTGGTATTGCATGCTTCCTCTGGCTTCCCTGACTTCGCAACCTTTGTCATCGCCTTTCGCTTCGCCTTTATTGCAATCTCCTCCTCCTTGGCCCTTTTCGTCTCGTCGCTGCCATACATCTTTCGCCATTCATCTGCCCTTTCCGGCTTGATACGAGTGAACAGGTGCTCGGCCCTACCAATCTCATGACCAGGCTTGATAGAATCTGCATTCCAACGGTCTGGGATGAGAAGTAGATTAGCACGGAGCTGTGTGTTGATGGAATTGGCTGTGTCCGGCATGTATGGGGCAACAAGAGACGCAAGAAGGTGGACAGTATTAGTGGCTATACCAATGACTGCCGCACATTTAGACGGTTCGTTTTTAGCAAGGCTGTTGTCTAGCCTATTTAGCTGCAAAAACCCATTACCCTGCTGAGATATCTGGAGAACCGTCGACCAAGCTGAGCGAATCTTGACGGCATCAAGCTCTCGGATATATTGAGCGAGAAGCCTATTGATCTCTTCCTTGAAAGTAGCAAAGGAGCCTTCGTAGTACTGGGTCCAGTTCGGTACGATATTGTTGTAGTGACGTGAGTTGACAAATTTCAGAACACGGCTGACGAAGTTGCCCAAGTTTTTAAGGAGTAAGTTGTTATTGCAGTTAACAAGTGCGTCCCAGGTAAACTCGCTGTCACCAGTCTCCGGGCGGTGGGAGAGCAAGAAGCAGCGCCAGATATCAGTAGGGATCCCAGTCTTCTGGGCTGAGTCTCCAAAGACCCCAATACCACGAGACTTGGAAAATTTCCCGCCCTCATAAGTTAGGTAGTCTGTCGTAGACAGGTGATGGAGTTTTGTCCAGGTATCCTCCGTGCCAATTTGCGAGGCAGGAAATATTACAGAGTGGAAGACAACATTATCTTTGCCGATGAACTGATATAGCTGAACGTCTTTAGGGCTACGCCACCATCTCTCCCACTGGTCAGTATAGCGAGCAGTAATAGATACGTATCCAATACAAGCATCAAACCATGAATATATGACCTTGTCTTCATAGCCCGGCAATGGAACTCTTGTTCCCCAGCTAATATCTCTTGTAATGCTGCGTGGCTTCAGTCCTTCTTTGAGCCAAGATGTAGTGATAACAGCGCCATTATTCGACCACGAACCGTTCGCAGTAGAGTCCTGGAAGAAATTTTCGACCTTAGTCTGCAACTTATCTAACTCCAAGAAAATGTGCTTCGTGTCCCTGGTGACAGGCGTAGAGCCGTCAATTTTGCATCGCGGATTTCTGAGCTGCAGGGACTCCAAGAGCTGGCCACAGAGATCGCACTGGTCGCCGCGGGCATTAGCATAGCCGCAGTCAGGGCACTCGCCCTCCACAAAGCGATCTGCAAGAAATGAATGATGCTCCTCGCAGTATAGCTGGGTAGTCATGCGCTCCTCCAAGAACCCATTCTTCTCCAGCTTCAAGAAGATGTCCTGCGTAATCTCGGTCTGGAGTTGCGTTGTGGTGCGGCCGAAGATATCAAAGCTGATGTTGAACCACTCATATATCTCAGCATGAATCGCGTGGTATTTGTCGCAGAGTTCTTGTGGCGTGCAATTCTCTGCCAGGGCCTTTGCCTCCGTTGTGGTGCCGTACTCATCCGTCCCTAGAGAGAGTTGATAGTCAGGGGCTGTAGTCTGAACCAGAGGATAATTTCATAGACTGCCTGCTTACCACCGACATATAGAGTGTTGATACCGCGTCCTCTACAGTACCTCGCGAATGCATCCCCAGAAAGGACACACCCGATTATATTTCCAAGGTGTGGGACATTGTTCACAAACGGTAGAGCGCTGGTAATAAGGATATTCCGCTGGCCAGGCACGGGAAGAACGGTGCCACCAGCCATAATGATGGGAACAGCCTCGAGCCCGTCTATGGTGCTTTTAGGAGACCTGCCAAAGACCAACGATGTCTTTTGAGGGCAGTGGGAAGTTGTTGGAATAGTGAAGCCGTCAATGTCGCTGGCCGGTCTCCCTTGGGTCTTTGTTCTCCCCAGCCGGGCGTTTGCAAGTGCAGTGTCACCTAGCCATCAAACATGCTGCATAAACTCCGGCACCCCCTGGCCTTCGTCTCCTTGTCTCTTTGTCTCTCTGTCTCCTCGTCTTTCTCTTCCTGCAAGTAGCAGTTCCAAGTGCGATGGCAACATAAAGAGACGCTTGCGAGCGTGTGCAGTGCAAGCAACGCAAGTGCCAGCACTCGGAGCCATCAACCTGCCTGCGACACCACGAGGGCCTCCTGCTGCAGCACAAAATCGAGATCGAGTTCCACCCTCTCCATCCGTCGAAAACGCACGCTCGACGCCCCAGTGAATACAGTCGAGCAGACAACGGAGCTTCAGAGATGGCATTGCTGTTGGTAAGCTGGCGGACTTTATCCGTCACAGCACAACCTTGGCTTCACTAACCCGTCTCTCGACACACTAATGACGTTCGAGCGTGGTACCATGGAGCAGTTAATGGCTCTGGACAGGACGATAGAGAAAGATACACAGCATCATTCTTTGCACTACATGACGGTCTTGACAATGCACGTCTATCTCGCAAAGTACTGTCTCTTGCAGCACTATCACTGGTCCTCACCACCTCGGAGGAACAGCCGGATATACAACGTGATGCTGCTGTTTCCCATGCTCTACGCGGATATAAGACGGAGAATGATGCAGACCACCGAGTCCCTGATATGAGTGATGGACGACCCGAGACTCAATGGGCTGCATCTCCTGCTGCATCTCATGAACCAGTTACTTTTCAATGCGATGGGCTGCGATGCAAGGTGCATGCGTCTTTGAGTAGGTCATCTCGCGGTAATTCATCGACTCCTCTGCCCATCAGATGTCCAGGCCTCTTGCTAACGGCTTCTCTATCTCGGGCAACAAGCAAACGAAAGGGGTATCTATCTGCTTGTGAAGGCTGCTCATTGTCGAGGATTCATCTCCTGAACATCCTCTTGGACCATGGTTGTGACTTTGACTGTGAAAAACTCCCACCTCAGCAACACGCCACCCAAGGGGCATCCAAATCTGATCCGATGCTCGAACAACGCTGGCTCTCGACTTCTCCCTCCCATCGTCGACTGTCTGTCTGCTGTCTGTCTACTACTGCTGTCGACTTCATCCTCCGCCCGCCCGGCATCTCGAGTTTCATCTTCGTCAGCTTAGAGTGGCGAGCCAAGCTTTTTTTTCCCTTGCCGAGCCGTAGTCTTGGCACTGCGGCTGGAAGGGGCCAAGCCGACTTCCAAGCTTGTTTCTTTTCGTCGCAGTTTTTGCTTGATCGCTTGCTTCGTCATTATTGATTAACTACTCGTGTTATCCTGTGCTGTAATCGCTTGTCTTTCCATCCTTCGGCTCAGCCATCGCCAGCTATTGACCAGGTACCCTTTACGAGCGATGGGTGAAGCCGCCAGCTACTACAACCCCGGCGCTGGCACCGGTCAGCCGCCAGGGGATGCCAACTACCAGCACCAGCCCCAGCCCCAGCACCAGCCCCAGCAGCACCAGCAGCAGCAGTATGTGCCTCAGGACGCTGCATATGGCGAGCTAAACGAGAAGCAGACATTTGAGCAGGCCTTCAAGGTCGAGAAGCCCAAGTGGAACGATCTATGGGCTGGTATTCTGGTACGCAATCCCCCACGACTGATGATAATGGCTGGATGATGCAAATCGCTACTTGCAGTCGGCTAACCAACTTGCTCTTCCTAGTTCCTCCTCTTCTGCGGTGGCTTCGTCGCTGTGTCGGCCATCGCGCTTCGTGGATATGCAACAACGAGAGATATCCAAGGCGGAGGCATCTATAGCGGGACAAATAACTTCACCCTCAATACTGGAACGCTCATCCTCTTCCTCTTCGTTCTGGTCGTCGCCGTCGTGCTCGGATACAGCTATGTCTGGCTCGCGCGCCTCTTCCCCAAGCAGTTCATCTGGGTGACAGGCATCCTTAACATCTGCTGGGCTATCGGCACCGCTATCTTCTACCTGTATCGCCGCTACTGGACTGCCGGTATTGTCTTCCTCATCTTCGGCATCTTTCTCGCTTTCTGCTTCTGGACCTGGATCAGCCGCATCCCCTTCTCCGCCCTCATGCTCAGGACCGCCGTCGATGTCAGCAAGAAGTATGGCCATGTCTACCTCGTCAGTCTGGTGGGAGGGCTGATAGCCACCGCCCTGGGTGCCTATTATTCTATTACCCTGGTCGCTATCCACGACAGGTTCCAGCCTGCCAGCAATAACCGTGCCTGTAACGGTGGCAGCTGCAGCCATGCCAAAGTCATCGGGCTCATCGCCTTTGTTACCTTTGCAATGTACTGGATCTCCGAGTGGCTCAAAAACACGATCCACACCACCATCGCAGGCGTCTACGGCTCCTGGTACTTCTTCCCACACAGTTTGCCCAGAGGTGCCACTCGCGGCGCCAGCCAGAGAGCCTTGACTACCAGCTTCGGTTCCATCTGCTTTGGCAGCTTGATTCTCGCCATTATACAGTTCCTGAGACATCTCTGCTCCATTGCCAGGAACCAGTCCATGCAGGAAGGTGGAATTGGGGGAGCCATTGGTTACGCCGTCTTCTGTATCCTAGGTTGTCTTATCGGGCTCTTGGAGTGGCTTGCGCAGTTCTTCAACCGCTATGCCTTCTGCCACATCGCTCTGTATGGCAAGGCCTACATCCCCGCGGCCAAAGATACCTGGAAGATGATCAAGGACCGTGGCTTCGACGCCCTGATCAATGACTGCCTGATCGGGCCCGTCCTCTCCTTCGGCGCACTCTTCATCGCGTATGCGTGTGCTCTCCTTGCATACTTATATCTGCTCTTCACCAATCCCGCTTATAACACTGACGGGAAATACACACCCTTTATTGTTGCCTTCTCTTTCCTCATCGGATTCCAGATTGCAAATGTCTTCACGACCCCATTATCCAGTGGAATCGACACCATCTTCGTCGCAGCTGGCTGGAACCCGCAGGTCATGTACCACGAGCATCCAGAGCTATACAACGAGATGGTCCAAGTCTACCCGCGGGTGCAGCAGATGATCAGGCCCTGAGCCGCTAAACATCATCAAAACGTCTCTCGGCCAATATTAATGCTAGATTCATCTCAGAATACGCGATGCTGGGGAAGTGGTTTGGTTAATATGATGGTATTATTACAATGTTGATCGAAGACTATCGCCAGCTATTTATTTTAAGTTTTAACATCTTTCTAGTATAGTAACTGGTTATTTTTACCTTCATTATCTACTCTAATATTTAGTCTACTATTCTGCAACTCCCCGTTCTAACAATAATATATATAACTCATGGATAACAAGGAGTTGTTGAGTATTTTTGGGTATACTAATACTTCTGAAATTACCGTTGAAGACCGTGAGTTATGCTTATTATCATCTACTTATAGCTAATTCATATCCGTACTGATTACTTTCAAAATCTAGTTTTATACACCACTTATCTCAACATCGGCGTCGACGGCCTTTAAGCTCTTGAGCATTACAACTTTTAAAGCAAGACTTGGGGCCAAGTCCACCATTTGAGGTCCGCGGTCCCGGTCCACGGTACCATTTGAGGTCCACGGTCCACAGTCCACGGTCCGCGGTCCACGGCACCACTATTATTTTTAAAATAGATATTTATATAGCTTAATGGAGGCCTGGCGACGGCAAAATATATATTAATCGGCTCCAAATTGTCTGTAGAATATATCTAGGCTAGTGCCGAAACGATTCGGAGCACTTTTAAAAATAGTACCAAAAAATGGTACCATAAGGTCCATGGTACCATTTGAGGTCCGCGGTCCACGGTCCGCGGTCCCATTAACGGTACCATTTGAGGTCTTTTTAAAATGCATATTTATATAGCTTAATCGAGGCCGAGCGACGGCGAGGTATATATCAATCAGCTCCAAATTATACGTAGAATATATCTAAGCTAGTCCCGGATCGATTTAGAGCACTTTTAAAAATGGTACCAAAATGGTACCATTTAAGGTCCACGGTCCACGGTCCACGGTCCCATTAACGGTACCATCAACGGTACCATTTGAGCTCTGCGGTCCACGGTCCGCGGTCCACGCAGCAGCACGCTGGCCAAAAATAGTACCAAAAAATAATACCAAAAAACGGTACCAAAAAACGGTACCAAAAAACGGTACCAAAAAAATAGTACCAAAAAACGGTACCAAAAATGGTACCATATGAGGTCCGCGGTCCACGGTCCACGGTCCCATTAACGGTACCATCCACGGTACCATTTGAGCTCTGCGGTCCACGGTCCGCGGTCCACGCAGCAGCACGCTGGCCCGCGAGCAGCCGATAGTGAATATATATCGCCAATCAGGTGACTTTTGGCATTCTAACGCCAAGCCGAACCGACACATTACTCAGCATCACGTGACACCACATCAAAAGTCGACACAACTTCCAAAAACGGACGAAACGACAACGAAGGAAGGCAGATAGAGGGTTCAAAAAGTGGCCAAATGGTCTGCAGAGGCCTTATTTACCCACCGACGGCCATTATTCGCGAATGAGAGCCTGGCAACTCGTCAGTGCCATGCAGAATGAAGCGTAATAGTGGTCACCGGTCCCCAGCTATGGTGTCAATTTCTTAGAGGCTGTCGAAGTCGGCAAGCCACAGGACAGAAGGAGTGCCATTGCCATATTAATATTGACATGGTTGAGTTGGGCAATTCCTTCAGCCTCCGCGACATCTCGAGTCTTCCTTCATACAAAAATCCCACCTTTGAACCTTTGGCAGCCGTGGTATCAACGTATCAAACTGCTGAGCCATAAGGCGAGCCCGGCAGAGCTCTCTGCAAATTTGGACCTATTAATAGTTAATGTTGTACTCCTCGGAATCTGCAAGTACTTCCCAGAAACCAATGATTTCCTGCCATGCTTCATTGATCTGATGTACAGGTGAGAATTCATAAGCCATGCCTGAGAGTGAAGGCATAAGTCGTGTGAAGTGACTGTCGACGGTGAAGAGAAAAGAAGCGTTGCTGACGTGATGAAAGCCCACGACGGCCCTAAAAGGTTTTATTTTGACGACATTCACCAACTAGCTAACCATCAGTTACCCCCAATGAATAGAGTCCTCGCGATCTCATTCCAGCCACCAAGGATGTGCCCAAATAACAAGCTACTGAACACTCCTCCTTTATTTAATAGACGGGTTCCGAGGGCCGATGGCTGATAGCTATCGAAGACTAACTGGCTAGTTAGCTGACATCTTAACTGGTCGATCCCCCTAACTAACGACTCCATAGCCCGCGGGAAAAAGAGCCGCAGAAAAGCCATATCCGCAGCAAAGCAAAATATTCGAACGAGGAGCTCGTTCTAAGGCGTTCCAGGGCTTTCAAAACGACCAAGACCTTAAACTCCATTCAGACATTGCACCGCTATAACGGGAAACTCGATCTCTGCACGCAATATCGTATTTCTCGGGGGAAAGAGGGGCGACATGCCAATCAGCGCCACCGGAATCCGAGGAGCTTCACATCTTCGTATAACTACGGAGACGTGAGAGTCACTAGAGGCTGAAACTGGCCTAAAATTCAGTCTTCACCCTTCTTACCCCTGGACGGTCATCATCATCTGTCTCGCCCTGTGGTTGATGTTGACTCTTGTATACGAAGCAGCTCGTATAACTACCCTGTTGAAGTAACACTTGACTGGTTGAGCCGCAGTCAGACTTGGGCATCCATCCACTTTCGAGGCGTTTGGCGCAGTGCTTATTCTCACTTTTATATCCCACACTTGCATCTCTCGTGGCATTCAGGGGGAGACAGGATATTTTCCATCTCTCTGGCTGGTGCTACGTGCCTTTGACTCAGGGGAAAAAGCGACGATTATCGCGCAGGGCCCAGCGGTTGGGGTGGCTATCTGCTAGTTAAGCCAGAGTTACCCAAATTCTGACCCGTCCATGCATAAAGAACAAAAGTGATAGACCCTGGTCGGTTTACTTATGAATCTTGATTGTCGAGATGTAATTGGCTCATCACACGCAACCCGGGAGAAATAAAATGTTACTCTTTATCTGAGCCCCGTATAAACGGCGTGATGGGTGTGGTGCGAGAAATTAAGCCGCTATATATAGATATATATAGGGGAAAGGGAGGGGAGAGTCCCCCTTTTCAGTTCTTCTGAGCGTGTTCCCCTCCTGTGTCACAATTTCCTGCGTCTTTTCGACTCTATACCAGCAGTCTATGGTCATTATTACTGCTTCAAGGAGATACCGTGCAAAATGGTACACCTAGGGGAACTCACAGTCGGGTCGGTTTCCGGCATGATCGCCGCGGCCATCTTCTTCGGTGGGCTTCACTCTTTGGCAACTCATTTTTCAGGAGATTCGTCAGGTCAAGACTAATAATAATGGATTAATCAGTCCAGATTGCTGTACCACTGGCCCTTCCGCTTATTCTCCTTGGTTTACTTACGGAGCGGAACTCTTCCATCACTCTCTCTGCCGCGTCTTGGTAAGTCCTCTGGTCGAATGTCGTGGTGCATTTGCACTTACATGTTGGCAACCAGGTCCGTGGCTGGCAGGTTCTTCCACTCTTCCCTCTGGCCTCGAATTCTCCGTTCAGACTCTGCATCAACAACTGGCCTGCCTCGAAGTATTGTAGTTGTTACATTGCTCAGCACCATTACCACAATCCTGTTCGGTCTCACTGCTACTGTCACTCCACTGGGCTTGTATGAAGGAGTGTCTCCGAGGAAGGATACCAAACTTGTGGATTTCCACTACATCAAAGACACCTCGCCTATTGGCTATGGCACACCAGCACGAGGCAATGTGCGGTTCAGCCGTATCTGCGGAGGGTTTACTCCCCAGGTATGCCCTCACTCGAACGGCAATTTGACCTCGACCGAAAACTCCATGGGAGAACACGTCAGTGGCGATTGGTATGACACCAGAATCCCTCAGCGTGTGATAGATATGTTCCAAAGCGGCCTTTCCTCCCAGCAGAGCTCTGTGTCAAGTATATTCGACATCCAGTGGCGATCATACACCTACTCGAGGATTGAGGATAGACCCGATAACTTGGTAGTAGACAATGGCACGAGATACCCCGTGGGAGCTTTTCGACAGATCTCTACTTTTGTTCTCAACAACCGGATAGAAGCCGTTGAAGGTTTGGTTGTTGATACCAAGAACGGAGGGATTGGTTTCCGGAATCACACTGCACCTCCTGTCGAGCCATTCGGGAGTTCCTGGTCTGAAGACCTTCTCTTCATCGTCCCGGAAACCCAATGCGTCGACACCAACCTAACCCTGGACTTCTCTATCCCGCTGAAAAATTCTGAATCAATCAGTAACCAGATCACCAACCTTGTGTTGACCGATCGAGGCGGTTTTGCAAATCTTGTTCAGAAATATCCTTCTTGGGACCGCAACGATACTCAGAGAAATCCAGATCTCCGTAATCGTGCGTACAAGGCCGCCTGGATCAACAACGTTTGGTCCATGGCGTTTATGAACGTAACCAACTTCCGGAATGAAAGTGATCCGAAGTCGAAAGCCTTCTCGTATCTCGACTCATTCGTCGGCAAGAAGTTTCCACTCCAGTCTGACCACTCAAGTTCGACCACCCTACTCATTGAACCGGATAGTATCATCACAAACTCACTTTTTGGATATTATCTTAGCGGGACGGACCTGGCTATCAACGGGACCAATCTCACTTCCAGCCACATCACCACTCCAAATAAACCTCCTCTCTTTTCTAATCCTTGGAAAATTGACTCATTGAACTTCTCCTCTGCTAGTAAGTGCAAATCCTATATCCGCCATCTTCTTTAGGCATCTATTAGGGTAGTCACCGCATCTTACAATGAGTAACATGATTAACAAATAAAATGAAACAGGCCTTCTTTGCACTGGTTTGGGTGGACTCGATCTGGCAAACATAACCAACATTGCTGCCAGGTGCGGGCTTCAATACGGTGCACCGCAACGAGTTGGTGCAGGCGAATCTCTGATCTTCGACCCGGGTTCCAGCTGGACCGTGCCCATGTATTCATGCGCCTCCACGATAAAGGCCATTATTAAAACCGTTGACTTCCGCTTCAATGGCACCGAAGACAACCTCTCGTCTCTGACTGTAATGGGCATTCGGGAGAAGGAGTATCCCAACGAAGAGTCCAAGCCACTATGGGCTGTCGAAAATACCACGATGCGTCTCCGTGATGTCAGATCATTATGGGGTCTGGTAACGCCGGAGAGCGTAAAAGGAGACCAAAACATTTCCACCATCAGGAAAGAATCTCTCTACCTGCCAGGAGGTGACAGCAGCTCCCTTGGTTCCATCGATTACCAAAATCTTCCGGGCCTGAACTTCCACAGTGATGCTCTGGGGGTCGCCTACGGGGATGGCTCATCGAGCTTCAGCGAAAACTACAACGGCAAAAACCAGCTTGCAATGTATCGGCTGTGGCAGGAACTTTCCAGAAATGCCAGTACTGTAGGCAAGATCAAGGATCTCATCTGGACCGATGTCGCCCTCAACGCGGTCACTGGAACTAGAAGCATCAGTCCAGACGGGTACAACAAGCAGGTCCTCGCGAAACGTGATGGTGACCAGGCTGACAAGGCGAAGAGAATCCCTGTCACTATTTACGAGAGACGCGTGCATTATAAATACCGCTATGGTGTATTGGCCTTTATCTCCCTGGCGCTGATCGCAGCGGTGTTCTCCACGTTAATCCTGCTTTGCGTCCTGCGTCGTACCGGCTTCTCTAAGGCGCGAAAGTACCTTGACGAGACCTCCGTGGGCAGGATCCTGGCTGCCAGGACGACGAGTTCTGGAGGGCCTGGTGTCCACAGGGCACCGACAAATACCTGGGTGAAGACAACAGGAAAAGCGCCAATCACGTTAGGATCCAGCCAGCCCCCTAATAATGGACCGAATAGTACACCGGCTATACTTTACCCAGGGGGATCTGCGCTCGCGGCCAGTGCGGACAAGATCGAGCAGTCTTCCTACCTCCTTAACAACTAGGTGGCTAGCTGAAGAATATGCGCATTCGATGATGATAGGCGGGCGCTCGCTGTCTCCTGGCTGAGATATCTACTCATACTATCAAAACGCTTCTCCTTGAATGAAATGCTCAGACGAAGTGTTACTCCTCGAAATAAAGTTAAGCTCGTAAGAGCCGCAAGACTTCGTTGTAACAAAGTCAATAAATACTTATAGTCAACGACTTTTCTATTCAATAATATTATAATTAATTATTATTACACGTCAACTAACTGCTCTGGACTCTGAATACAACTAAATCTGGCATAAAATGAGATGGGCTCGCCTGTTGTCCTCCCTAGGCGTCTTAACTAACTGTTCTATATACACCTATACACCTCGGCGGGGATGCTGAAACCGAACCGAAGGCCCAGCGGATCCTCTAGTTAGTCAACCGGCCCGCGGTAGCCAGTCAAAGCGGAGGTCGCCGGCACTCTTCCTGGTTCGCGACGGACAGAGCCAGAGAAGAGTCGGGACGGCGTCTTTTGCCTGGTCGTGGCGGTCCCTCTTGTTGCTGCACAGGCTGACCGTCGACAAAACCTCCCGGCTGGCCGCACGAATATAAGACAGCATCGTCTTCGACACCGACCGCCTTCTTGTCCGTGACTAACTAACTAGTTAACTAGTTAGTTATTGCGTTCGCCGTTCGCCCAGAGAGCGCCGCCCGACTCTCGCCAACCTCGCCGCTGCTATCGTCCAGCCGGAGGACCCCGAGAACCACAGCGGGAGGGGACAGTGAGCCCGGGATGCGGAGTCCATATAAATGCAGCATCTCTAGTCCCGGCCTGCTTCTGCGTGTCATCGATGGCTTGTCGCCTGGAGAAATACCTTCGAAGACGCTTTAACTAAACCAACTCGACTATCATGGGCGAGATAACTTCGGTGGCCACGACCGGATGCCACAGCTTCACACTGTACCAGGGCACATTTATCCAGCTCCCACGCGAACCGGCGGCGCCGGCGACATCGACAACTGCTCCCGTATACGAATTGCTGGTCAAGGATGGTGTTGTCTGGGTCGATAACTCGGACGGACGCATCGCGGGGTTCGATTGGGCCGTCAGGGGGCAGGAGGAGCTTGAGGAGCTGGCAGCTAGCATGGGGTGGAAGCTAGTATACAATGATAACGAGGTCGAGAGCACCCAGGCGACGGTTGTCAGGGTGGTACGGTCCAGGGCAGAGAAGAACGGCTTCTTCTTCCCTGGTTTTATCGGTAAGAGAGATGCCTGCTGCAATATCTATATCTTTGTGCCACGACCGAAAGCTAACCGGGTTGAACAGACACGCATATTCATGCGCCTCAATACCCAAACTCCGGGATATTCGGGTCAACGACTCTGCTTGACTGGCTGAACAAGTATACATTTCCTATGGAGGCGTCGTTCGGTGACAAAAACGCCCCCGACACGCCTACCAAGAGAGCCTACACCGTGTACAACGCCGTCGTGGCCCGCACGCTGTCCCACGGTACCACCAGCGCTGCATACTATGCAACCATCCATGTCCCTGCTACCAACCTGCTGGCCTCGGTCTGCCATTCAAGGGGCCAGAGAGCGTTCATTGGCCGAGTCTGCATGGATAATCCCGACACCTGTCCTGACTTCTACCGGGACGAATCAACAGCTGCCATGGTGGACGCAACCAAGGCGTCCATGTCATATATCCACCGTCTAGACCCGTCAGGCACACTGGTCAAGCCCATCATCACTCCGCGGTTTGCCATATCCTGCACCAGTGAAGGACTCGCTCAGCTAGGCGAGCTTGCTGCGTCTACTAGCCCGCCAACCCACATCCAGACACATATCTCCGAAAACGACGATGAGATTCAGACAGTCAAGGCGTTATTCCCAGACTGCTCGACATACGCTGAGGTATACGACCGGGCGAAACTGATTACTCCCCGTACCGTTCTGGCGCACGGAGTACATCTGCACCAGTCCGAACGAGCCCTGATCCGTGAGAGGTGTGCCGGAATATCGCACTGTCCCACATCAAATTCCTCGCTGAGCTCCGGCATGTGTCCTGTTCGCGTCCTGCTTGACGATGGCCTCAACGTTGGTCTCGGCACTGATGTTAGTGGAGGGTACAGCCCAAGTGTCCTCGAGACAGCCAGACAAGCGTCTCTCGTCTCCAGGCTAGTAGCATGCCATTGCTCCAAGGAGGACGGGAACCGCAACAAGCTCAGTGTCGAGGAAGCGCTGTATCTAGCCACCAGGGGCGGAGCCAAGGTGTTTAATATGCAGGATGAAATCGGCGGATTTGAAAAGGGGATGTTCTGGGACGCACAAATGATCGAGCTTGGGGACAGCATTGAAAGTGACACTGACAGCATCGTTACCCCTGAGCAGCTGGATTTGCAACACTCTGGGAAAGTGTGCGTATTTGGATGGGAGAGCTGGGAAGAGCGAATTGCCAAATGGATGTGGACAGGCGATGATAGGAATGTCAAGGCTGTCTGGGTTGGAGGACGGCTGGTCCATGGAAGCACTTAGATAGGGTACTATTTGGATGTATATTTTGCTATATTGCTTTATATAATGACATTGGAATATAAACTACGGGAGTCATGTTTAACTTGTAATAAGGGTTTATTGAAATATCCAGGGAAGTGACAGTAAATAGTACCAGCTTATTCTTCATTTTGAATGCAGAGTAAACACAACTCGACTCCAAGACCAATCGATATCTTATGCTAAAAAGAAAAAAAAGAAAAAAAAAAAAAAAAAAAAAAAAAGGGAAAAGGAAAAGGAAAAGGAAAAGAAAATCGTGTTATCGTAGAAGTCATTAGTTAATAGGCTTGAAGACATCACTCCCTACTGAGGGCGGTACTGCACTTCACGGCCAACAGAGACCGGGACATGGAGACGGCTGATAGTCTCGACATCGCCCAGAGCACCTTTACCGTGGTTTCGAATAAAGACAGAGCTTCCCTCGACGATGTGGGTGTGGTCCCAGGAAGTGATGCGCCCCTTGCTGAGGGCAGAGTAGACCAGGCGTCTTCGACGCTGGGAGTTGAGGACCTGCTGCTGGATCCTGTCAAAGTCCCAGCGGGCATGGACTTCTTGCAAAAAGGCCTTGAAGAGAGAAGTGATGTCGTTCGTCGCTGTGGCCGAGGTGATCTCAGCGGCCGTAGGAGCCACGGCCTTCTTACCTAGCATGGGGGTGTCAGGGGGTGTCGGGACGGCGTGGAGAGACAACACGGCGGAGGCTGCTGGGTTCTTCAGTACCGGCGGTGAAGTCGTAGGAGGAGTAGGCAGGGCTGCAGGCCCAGTGACGGCGCCGCCGGACGAGCTGTTATCAGAGAGAGCTGGCAGCGCCATGTTGGCGACGAGGTTGTTAGATTCAGTCGGGTCCTGCTCGACGTTGTACAGCTGCGGAGGATCGATGGGCGAGTAGATGAACTTCCAGGCGCCCCGGCGGATCATCACCAGCGGTGCCAGAGTGCCCTCGCCCATGTACTCGCCCAGCACGGTGTCGGTCTTCTCGCCGGGGGCATCGTCCGCAAGGTACGGCATCAGCGAGACGCCGTCGACGGGCAGGCCGGGATACAGCGAGCCGCCGGTCATGGCCACAAAGGTCGGCAGCAGGTCCATCGTTGAGACGTTCTCCTTGACTCGCTTGGGCTTGAAGCGTCCGGGGGCGTAGACCAGCATGGGCACACGGGCGGACATCTCGAACCAGGACATCTTATACCACATCCCCCTCTCGCCGAGCATGTCTCCGTGGTCGCCGGAAAAGACGACGATGGTGTTCTCGTCCAAGGCACAGTTCTTCAGCGTGGCCAGCAGGGCGCCGATCTGCGTGTCGACGTAGGTACAGGCAGCGAAATAGGCACGGCGAGCAGCGCGGATGCGTTCGTCTGGGATCTCCTTGCCCAGGAGGCCGATGATCTTCAGGATGCGGCGGGAGTGAGGGTCCTGCTTGGCCTGGTCGAGGGCCGCGGTTGTGGGAAGGGGGATGTCGACGCCCTCGTACATGTCCCAGAACTCCTGCGTCATGGCGTACGGGTCGTGCGGGTGTGTCATCGAGACCGTGAGGCAGAACGGCTGGTCTTTACGGTGCCGGGCATGATCATACAGGTACTGCTTCGCCTTGTAGATGACTTCATCATCGAAGTCGAGCTGGTTGGTGCGCACACAGGGGCCGGCCTCCATAACAGAGGACATGTCATGATACCAGTCTTTGTGGACATCCTGCAGCAGTCAGCATATATACACACACATATATATACATATATACAAGTACAGATAAAGAGAAAGGGGTAGGCGGTTACTGGCATATCTTGCTCCTTAGTTTGTGCTGATAAAGACTTACAGGTTCATCCCAATTCACAGACCAGCCATAGTCACCGGGATAGATGTCACTGGTCAAGCGCTCCTCGTAGCCATGCAGCTGGTCCGGACCACAGAAATGCATCTTGCCAGACAGAGCAGTGTGATAGCCCTGGTCTCTGAGATAGTGAGCGTACGTGGGTGTGTCCGCTGGGAGGTCACTGGCATTGTCGTAGCCTCCAATCCGGGAGGGAAGCTGGCCAGAGACCATGGTAAAGCGGGACGGGGCGCAGAGAGGCGAGTTGCAATACGCTGAGTCGAAGACAACGCCCTCTTTGGCGAGGCGGTCGAGATTTGGGGTCTTGATGACGGAGGATGAGTTATAGATAGACAGCAGGGGGGCAGCCATCTGGTCTGCCATGATGTATAGCACATTCGGCTTCTTTGACTGAACCATGGTCGCCGGCTTGCTGATACTGTCTGATACACTGAAGCTCTGGTTGTTATTGTCTGAGAGAAAGAGAGAGAGAGCAAGAAGAGAGCTGGCTTAACGCTGCTGGAAGGGGTATCAAATAGAAGAAAAGAACGGCTACAAAGAGGAAAAGTGAATGGAGCTGGAAGTGAATGAAGAGAGAAAAGAGGAGATGTACAGGACAACTTATATACACTCGAGACCCAAGTGGAGAAAGACGAAGAGCGAGAGAAAAAAACGCCTTATTCGCGGGTTCTGGTGGGAAGAAAGCTCCTCCGCCTGCTACTCCTCCCCCGGAGACCCGCAGCAGCCGCCATAAGAGCAACCTGCCGCAAAGAGCAGACGAGCCAGCCGTCGGGAAAGACGAGACGGCCACGCCAAACCCTTATCCAGTTTAGTGGCAAGGGATCGAAGGCAGCCTGCGACGCTGAAGACGAGACACAGCCATTGCTCCGTATAGCGTGAGATTGCGTGACAGGCAGCCGCTTGACCGGGTCGATCGGTCGATCGAAGGGGGGTGCTACAAGGTCTTCCGCTCGCATCCTTCTCCCTCTCCCATCTCAAATCAACAAAGCTGTCTTCTTGCCAACCCATCCCAGCCTTCAAAAAAGTCACCGACCATCATGGAATCCCGAGAGAGACAAAAAAAAAAAAGAAGAAGCAAAAAAGCCGACCAAAAACAGAGTTTTATCGCGTGAGGCTCCCTTTTAGGCTTAGCGGGGGCTCACCGGCTCCTGGGCCGGCGGGATCCATCACGCTAGTCCTGATAAGGCTAGCCGGGGTTGGACTTTGTCGAGTCTGCAGCCAATTGCAGAGTTCCGTTTTCTCAGCCGTCTGGCCCTTGTGCACACCGAAAGTCCCGACAGGACACAACGCGACTGCTTTTTCGCTGCCAGACTGCAACCAAATGCTCTATACGCACCTGATGACCATATTCAGTGTCATAGACGCGCTCCACGTTCCCAAACACTCTTCCCAGTCAAAAAGACGGGGTAATCGTGTCGCTCATATAAGCTTTGGACCCTGCGCTCTAACGTTGTTCACATGACACGTACCGCCAAGAGACTGGTCTGAACACATCATGTGATGGCACTAGATCTTCTTGGCGTACAGTTGAAGAATCCAATTGGCTACTTAACGCCAATCACACATGCATAAAAACTCCACTGTGGAGCTTATTGCCGCTTAGCGCTTGACCCCTGGAACAAGCGCCAAGGATGCACGCCAAGCCTGTTGCACACACTCATCTGAAATACGCCAAACAGTAGGCGAAGCAGCCAGCGCATCACAGAAGACGTAGGCTAGTGCAACGAAGGCGTATCTGTTTAGCTCTTGCCGTGGTCAAGCGGGAGGGTTCTTTCCCCTATAATACATGTATATTATATCCCCATTCTCCCACCGCCGTTCTACAAGAGAAGTGATCGCCACATAAATGTGATGTTATCAAGTGGCGGGACCCCATCTTATCGAGTTTCACTTGTGGAGCTGGGTCAAGTCACCGCAATTTTTCTCATCGATTGGACGCTACGTCGATACTTCCGTTCCTAATTCCCATGCCACGAGCTATCTGGGGACTCTAAAAGTAGTATAGATTCCCGGCACTGGTAAGTTTCTCCCAGGTGGAGGTTCTGTTTTTGCATTGCCGAAAATGGGGCCGAAGCTTTTCCGAAGCAGATCAAGGTTATACAAGGTTTCCCTGTGTTTTCAATATGTGGGGATGAAACAGAAGCCAAGCAGGAGGAAGGGAAACGCGAAGATATGTAACTTGGACGGTATATACTATTATAGTATGATCATATTATACACATTTCAGGGAGATTATGACACATGCCCATTACATCTCAAAGTTCATATCAGCTGCTGACCCTTGCAAGAGGGTCTCCCATTGAGACCAGTCAACGGGATTATCCGGTAGCTCATAAGATGGTACGGCACTGGAGGAAGGCATGTTTGGCATCAATCCGTACCCATTGGTCATCTCATACGTGGGTACTGCCATATTTGTAGGTGGAAATAAGGGTGGTGTCGCTGAAACTTGGTTCTGACCACCAGCTGGCGGATATGTTTGAGCAATGTTTTGGCCACTTGTAGTCGCTCCCTGGGGTGACGACGCCGATGATGGAGGAGCAGATGCCATTCGCCGAGCTCGAAGGGGTTCAATGAAGCAAGGGGGCACAATGGTGTCCTGGCTAAGACCACCCGACGCTCGTGCAAGAGATACCTTCCTCGCGTCCCAGGCCTTCAGAGTGAGGTTCCCAATTGCGATGTAGAGCGGGTTCTTGGCCTCTGATAACAGCTCTGGTTTAGAAGTATACACGTTCCCAACTTCCTCCCATGCTCTGTCGACCTGTTCCCCTTCTGTACGTGTCTGAAGCTCGTTCAGTAGATGGATGAAGGCATGCCACTGGAAATTTGCAGTGACATGCCAGTAGTATCGTTGGATGCCCGGGGTCAAGCGGAAAGTATGGTAGTTTGCTATTATTTGCAGGGTATCAGCGAACAAAGCGTCGCGTACTTCTTGCGAATTTTGGGCATCTCTTGAGAATGATCGTGCTCTGAATCTCAGCATTACGATGCAGCTATAGCCGACTACCCAGGTCAAAAGATGGAAGGATATCGACGTATCACAATATTGCATATACTTGTCCTGGAGAAGTGCCTCTAAGGCATCAATTCGTTTAAGCCGGTCACTCAATGTTATTGACTTGTCGGTCACTGCTCCCCAGGCCCCGTCAAATGTGTTCCGGGAGGCCAAGTCACGAAGTAATAGGCCTACTTCATACCGCACCAGACAAAAGCTCATTTCAGTTATTCCCTTGTGCTCTATCGGTAGGTCGCGCATGCCGGGCGTTATTTCGGAGTCGTTAACATTGAGTGGAAGTTTGGTATCCCAAGACGAACCAGCGGCTAAGGATGCGCCCATGCCACATAATTCTCCGCAGAGGCCGTCAAAATATACAGTGGGCCACCACAGACGCCGCCGCATCTCAACCTCAAATATAGGCAAGCCAAACCGAGCACCATCCCTATGGAGCCCCAAGCGTTGTGCTATTCGCATAGCTACACCACTATACACCCATAACGTCTGTGCGTCTACGAATTCTCTTAGGGAAAGCTAAAAATTCCCTTTCGTCAGCAAGACCAATGTAGAAGAGTTACCTTTACACGTACCAAGTATAGAAGAAATGCTCGGTACACCGTCAAATCCGAGCTGGTAAGGAAATCGGCCCTGACCAATGCACGCTTGGCTCCCAGATGGAACCGGCTAAGTAGCGCCTCTCGTGTTTCCCCGAGTCGAGAAATGCAGTCATCTTCCCGCAGAGAAGCAACCGCACATGTATAAATGCCGAACATGAGCGCCTCGACATCTTTAGGTATATTGTCCAGGTCCGATGTTGCGTCTAATATCTGCTGCTGGACTGTTGGCTTATGGCATAGCTTCGTCACCGGGTCCATGTTATCAATATATATCTGCCACAGCTTAAAAATCTGTACCGTATCAGGGTGTAGGGCGCGCAGACTTCCTGACCCTCCAGTGGACCCAGCAATAATGAATTCTCCACCATCCGAGAGAGGGGAATCTTCAAGTGACAAGAAAGGGTCTCCATTACTATTGGCATTATCTCCTGCGACGTCCAAAATCGTATCCGGATCTCCAATCTCACTGCTCAAATTCACCCATAGGCTGTTTTCTAGGAGATGAGTCTTGCCATCCCTGATTATCATGCGGCCAAACTGGTTTTTCAGGTCTTCCTCCTGGTCTCCATCAGGGTCTGTTTTACTACCACTACCAGAGTTGTAGGTCAGCCCTGGAGCCTCCGGAGCCGCATGCTGGCTATCAGATTTATGTTCATCGATATTGCTCACATCCACTCCTAATCCTACGAGGAGTTCTTCGTATTTGCGCAGCCTAGCAAGCAGGGTTTCCTCTGGGGACCGTCGCTTGCGTCGTTTTGGTGCTGGTGGCGGGCGATATATACAGTTGACTTCATACTTGCGACAGCCTGAACATGGGCTCTGCCGGTCACATCTGACTTTTCGCTGTTGGCATAAAACACAGGCATATGGCTTCAGCGTTGGAGGGGCAGGGTCCGCCGCCACTGTCGAAGACATGATGTGGGTATCGAATAACTAAAGGGTATTATGCATACAAACGCTGGAGCTATCCTCCTCTCCTGCTTCTGTAGAAGAGGTTTTTCTTCATGCGTATCCTAGCAATGCCTTCTCGCATTGTCTTAACTACGCGCTGTTGACCTGATCCTCCTCCGCCGTCTGCCCGGAAGAATTGGATTTCCGTCTATCACGTGACATTAACAGTCACGTGGGTATTTAGCCCCTTTTTGTTAAGTTTCCAATTCTATAGCTTGCTTAGTAATAAGAGTGAAGAGAGGAAATCTCAAAATATTATTGGGTCCTGAATTTTGCTAAATATCACCAATCAGATCTCGGTTAATCCTGGACAAGCAATTGGGGGAAAAGTAGGCCCGCATTCCCATGAAGACACCAGGGGTGATATCTTTGTGGCTTAAGGACAGGTGGACATGAAACAAAGAAAAGAGTCCATTTATCATTATTACATCGAAGATGGATACCCCATAAGCTCATGAAGACCAATCAGACCATCTATCTCTTGGAATGATACTGTTGCCCTGTAAACTAATTCAAAGTGATTAATCCGGGGCCATGAAATGTTACCCATACATAATCTTGATTCAAACCCATACCATCCATAATTATAGGGTTAACAGCTGGCCTTGCATTGAGAGAGACTTGAATTGGCATAAAATATCAGCTTGTATGGCTATGTATGGGTATACCATCATAAAATGTGCACTTACTTCTGGCTTTTTGTCTACTACTTGACGTGTCTTGTAGTGCGTGCAAAGATATGGTTAAGTTGTCACTTTCCCCAGGAATAAGAATCATCGTTGGACCATCTGAACTGTTACTATGGTTTGCAACATGACCTGTGGATAAGTCACCTGGTTGAATGCCTGAAGGCAGGACAGTGTTGACGTTTGCAAAAAGTGCGCCATCATCTCCAGACCGGTCATACAGATTCGTATAGGGATCCCGCGTCTCGTTATCTGGATAGAGCCGTTTTCTGGGTCTCGTTAGTATAAGCTCCGTTTCTGCGTTTTAACAGTTAGTTCACTGTTATTTTGTCATATATTCCTCTATTGGGGTGCCTTGCCAACCCCCTGTTCGTTCAGAGATCTGGATTTGGTGGAAACCTCGAAGTTTGTTATGTTTGATGAAAGTTCATGAACGAAACTGCTATGGAGTTGGGTAAGAGTATCGGTGTCATCGGTGTCATCGGGGTCCTGGGTATCATGATCATGAATGCGTTCAGAGTCCATTCAATGGGCTCTCTCCATTCCAGTGGCGAGTGAATTGACGGTATTTTCGCTCGTCAACAACACTGGCTATATACATGTGTTGCAACTATGTTATCGAGTCTTCATCTTGTTCTGTGCAAGCCTCTATACAGATACGCAATCTGCCTCGTATCTACATTGGTGTCGCGATCCCTTAAATTAAACAAAGAAGCAAAATAAAATGATAGGACGAAAGTAATTGTAGAAATTTTGCCGTATTCTTAATTTCAGCAGTTCATTCATTTATCCGTGTTAGATAAGTTTATCTATGCACATTATTATTATAGCCATACTATATAAGATTCAAGAAATGAGACCCCACGAACTCCAAATAATGCGCCTTTGCCGAGATGAATCCAGAGAAGAGCGTAGAAGAAAATTCATGTCACGATAACCGGTCTAATTATGCTTTTTCCTGTCCTTTCACACTCTTCCACTCAATAGTGAGCGCACCAAGAATGGCAACGCAGGACATTGCCAGGGCAATGTAGTAAGTTTTGACCACTGAGTCGTTATACACTTCCAATACCAGCCTGAGAGTGTTTGGATCTTTAACGAGATCACGGATAGTGGTAGCGCCAACCTGAGCAAGGTTGGCTGCATCGAGGCCGGGGATATGCTGGAGCCCGGAGGTAAGTTTATTTGTGAAGATGTTTTGAGCGACTGAAATAAAGATCGTTCCGCCGAGCTGTTGAGCAAAGAAAATCAAAGAGGAGCCTATTGGAACGTCGACCTTGGACAGGACTGTCTGGCATGCGACAGAGCCCTGTTGCATACCCATTCCCAACCCTATGCCGTAGATAACCTGGTAGCCAATCCATTTTGCGTGGCCAGTGTCGGTTTGGAAGGTGGTTAAGAGGCCGGCACCCACGGATGAAAGGACGCAACAGCCGATCATAAAGGGGGCGTAGTATCCAATTGCCGTGACTAACCCTCCGCTCATAATCACTCCAATGACTAGGGATAAGATCATGGGGAGGTTCATAATTCCAGATTTGACGGCGCTAACACCTTTGATAGCTTGGAACCAGAGCGGGAGGTAGTAAATGATCGTCATCATCGAGGAGCCGAGACAAATTGTGAACCAGAAGGCGGAAAGAACACTGCGCTGGACGAATATGCGGGGTGGGACGGTTGCTTCCTCCTTGCGCCAGATCTGAACTGCGATAAAGGCAATGAGAAGGATGCCAAAAACGACAAACAGCGCAATGATTCTCCCACTTGACCAAGGGTATGTTGTGCCTCCCCACTGGAGGGCAAGGAGAAGGCAAATAACGCTCGGCATGAAGCAAAGAGTGCCTAAGGGGTCCAATTTGAGGAATTGTTGGTACAGCGTCAAGCTTGCTGTGCTCTTTCGAGGGATGTTGATGCGGAGGAGGAAAGTAACGATGACCAAGGTAACGGCTCCAATAGGAAGATTGATGTAAAAACACCATCTCCAAGTGACTTTGTCGGTAAACAGGCCACCAAGTAAAGGGCCAGCAACGGAAGCAATACCAAACATACCGCCCATCAAACCGGTGTACATCGGCCGCTTGCGCAAGGGAACGCTATGGACGATGATGATTACAGTCCCTGAGAAGGCACCAGCCGAACCAAGCCCAGCAATAGCTCGACCAACGATAAAGGCGGTTGAGTTAGGAGCCGCTCCGCACACTGCTGAGCCGACCTCAAAGATCACGATCGCAATGAGGTAGACCCATTTGGGGGAGTAAAGCTGGTAAAATTTGCCAAAGAGTAGCATGAAGGAGCATCCAGTGAGTAAATAGCTGCTACCATACCAGCCAATATCTTGAATGGAATGGAACTGATCTGTGATCTTCGGGATGGCGGTAGCGATAATAGTTCGGTCCTACGGTGAAGTTAGAAGAATGCATTATTGATGGTAAAGGGTGGAAAGGGGTAGACTTACCAGAGCGATAAGGAACACAACTAAGTATAGTGCTATCATGATTGGGATAACTTTCTTTGCTGACGGGTACTGGGAGTCATCTTGCACGACAACCTTCTCCTCGGTGCCAGTGCTCTCCTCATCGATAGAACGTTTCTCTGGTTCCCCCATGGCTGGACGTAGAACAACAGACTCGTTCGGGTAACGATAAAAAGCAGACGTATCAATCAGTCTGGTTGTAATGATAATGATATGCTGTATTGAATATTTGAAGACCTCTTGATGTGATGGGTATTTCCATCATGACAGTCAACAGGCGCGGCATGACTGTTAATTATATACTACAACTTTTCGTGTACTTTCAAACCGGCCAACTCTTTGAAACAAACTCCGAGATGATATTGTGTCTGCCTGAGTCAAAGGCATGGAGCAAGAAAACTCTATGATCTTAACTCCGGCGATCGACTCTTCCCGTGGTTCGGAGCGGAGCGCCCTTGGCTTCGGCCCCGAGACGGGCGTTCTGGGCGCCGACATCTTCTCGGGGCCATAATAAGCTGGTGCATTCAGGAAGTCATATTGGGTCTATCTCGTGCCCGAAGTATATATGCAGCCTTATGGACATCCCAATTGCTCCTGCGGCCGAACAATGCGTTTGTACCTGCGAACTGGATGATAATCTCGATGTTGACAACTGCGAACATGGGAGAAAAAGAGAGAGAAAGTCTGCTGACTCATCCGGGAAGTCGGCGTCTATTAAGCTCCGACATCACGTGTGGAGGCTTGGCATAAGAAGGCTTAAAAGCTTGATTTCGTTGTTTATTTTTAGTGTTTTTCACTTTCCTTCGCTTTGATTGGACGGACTTTACCTATTCTCCTTCAGTCACGGAGTTAGCGGAGACATCTCACGCATATACCTTATGAAGGCTCTCTGCTTCCTGTTCTCAGCGAAGGACAGGATTATCTTGCTTATCTTGAAAAATACTTGATAGATAGCCCTATCTAAAGGAGAACACGGATATAGTGAGTAACCAACATGTTCTCCAACGTTGCGAACCACGTATGGCTCAAACCCAGCAAATCCTCATACAAACATCACCCAATCACAACCCGCTACCATTGTATATAGAAGCGACCAGGTAGCCCCCAGTTTGGGATTCTGGATAGATGTAGGCCAGTACATGTTTTACCTGAAATTACTGCCACATCAATTACGAATGCTGCCATTCCTGAGGCTTGGGTGGCTGAGTAGGAGCTTCCAGATACTGTCACAGGTCTATTACTGTGAGTCTTGTTGTAATGACAACTCCGGGGGCATAGAAATCAACTATACATATTATAAGTATTGTCAACGTAACAAATATAGCCGAGAGAAACTACATAGAAACTTACCAATGGAACCATAACTACTGAAACTAGCTGGGACATCGGCTAGCGAGCGGGCTGGAACGGTACGGACACCATTAGCTGAGGCAGGGGACCCCTGGCTCGCATCACGCTAAACAACATGATTAGTTGGAAGCCATATTGAGAAGCGTAAAAGGAGTAAGTGTATATTCCCTGCACCAACTGAGGCAGCAACGAATATTCACGCCTTGATTACGTTTTCGGTCGCATGGCTCATAGTCGCGGAGAACGACCCTCCGAAACTCGTATTCATGACTGCCTTGCCTACAGTATTCCTTCTGGTGACAACACTACTACTCCAATCCATCCCCATTGTTATGCCAGAAATGGAACCAGATCCATTGTTATCCAGAATCTTGACACTGGACCACCAAGGCGTTTTTGACAACTCCATAGACAGTTCCAGCTATTATTTCGGCAGCAGAGGTCCCATGACCACTTCTGTCACCATCTCCATCGGGTGTGGTATTGATTCCCTGGATGGTACGGCCTCTCAGGTCACAGTTGGTGCCATCACCGCCAGTATCGCGTGGTTATTCTGTCCTGCTCTTTCTTCATAAACGTATTCGGGGTAGGAGGCAGCTTCTTGTGCGACATGGTGAGCTCCCTAGACTTTACCACTCACTTCAAGATGCATTATGCTCCTAGTAAGATGCCATACTCCGTACTACTTACCTTCACCTTCCGATATGCCCCGGTCTACCAAACGTAGTTGAAGGCATCAGAGCAGGAGGACTCCCATACATCCTCTCTTTCTCCGGAGCCAGTGGACATGAAGACAAGGGAGTTGGGGCTAGAACATTATCCTCCGCAAATGCGTTCGTCAGGACATGGGTATTTTGGGACCTAGAAACTTTGACCAAGGGAGTTATAATGGAGGTAGAAACTGATCCTTAAACTTAGGACTTCAACTGGGCATTTTGAGAGCGTACAAAAATGGCGGAATACGAGTAAATAAGCAGCAGGATTTTCCCTTTCGTACCCATCATTCTCTCCAGACCTTGCCTCCTGGCTTATTCCCCTTAACTGGCTCCCCTTGACTTAGGTGTAGAAAACTCTCTGTACTGTGTTAGAACCCAACTATATATCTTTAAGCAGGTGCCTCTTAGACTTAAGGCTTTCTCACCTTGAACTTTGAGAAGTGAGACTCTCTTTGTCTCAGTAGATGTTCCTGTATTTTATCCCTTAACTTCTCACGTTGTGCAGCCCGGCAATCCTTCTTATGCACACTATGATGTTCTCTGCGGCACTCCAGCGAGCAGTACCTATTATAGTAAAAAAGAATATTAGAACCTTAGGTAAAATCTGGAGATGGCTACCATCTAGCTCTAGGCTAATAGACTAATACGCTGTATAAATAGAATAAGTGAACTGTATAGAGAAACACTTACCGAACTACCTTGCAGCCGCTACAAAGCATAAGGTCTTCAGTGCTTCCACACATCATACAGGAGGGAGAAGGTGGCGTGGCGAGGCCAGAAATATAGGTGTCGCGTAACTCGGCTGTAAGTCGCCCAGCTTTTTGATCGCAAGATCCAGCAGTCCGGCAAATAGGCACACCATAGCCCCAGACAGATCGACGGATGGGGTCAACGGTCCCAGCCTCAGGAGACAGAAAAGAGACGACTACCAGGTTGAACGTTGAGGCTTTGATACCGCAGAACTGGCAGTCCCAGGACCTCATGGCAAGTAGATCGGCATGATGGCGCGCAGCCAAGTTCGCTACAAAGCGGCAGGCCAAATGGGCCGATTCAGGGGTATGGCCAAAGCCAGGCAGGCAGATGGCTCTAGGAGCAAACTCGGCAAAGGTGAACTTCAGCCCATCTCCTCCGTTGACTCCAGGATGACGGACACCGCAAAGTCCCTCATAGACAAAGGGGACAAGCTGCCCAGGGGGGTTAAGGACTTCACTAGGAGCTTCACGGGGAGGACGCGACATTTTGATAACTGTTTATTTGGCGCCGAGAAGGTTCAAAGCAAGTACCAAAGAAGACGAGATAAAGAGGATAAAGTAGATAAAAAGAGGCAGAGGAAGGGGAAGCTCAATATCACCATCCTTTTGTGGCTTGATGAAATCCAAGGTGTATTGTCATGAGGCGCGACAGGAGGACACTAATATGTGTTTGTTGTTATGTCCTCTAGGGAGCTTTGGTTGTCTCGCTAATGACAAGCTGACAGCCCTAGCAACTTTACCCTTCCAAATAGTAAGATATACTTCCAACCAAAGGTCGCCCATTCTAGGTATTCGGGTATCACTTTGCCAAAAGATAGCAACAGTACGTATTTAACGCTATAAATAAATAGAAATTGAATAGATTTTATGTATAGCCAGTGGCCATATAGTCGATAAGGTAAGGAAAATGAGTGAACAGACCTAATGAAGGAAAAGATGTCACATATGATCTAGAATTAAACAAGCATATTCAACAAACCATGTATATATGGACATAAGGAAGTGAAAAAGAAGCAGAAGATAAAGACGCGGAATCAGTCATGCAAAATAAACGTGAGGCATGGTGTAGCTAAGGCAGAGTACATTGGGTATTTACTCTGGCTTCTTGCCAACCATGAGGAACATAGGAGTGAAGAGTTTCATCTCTCCGCCCTTGACTAAACAATCAGCAGCGTATGCAAGGCTGTCTCCAGTCTTCTGAGAGCCTTGAGGGAAGAGACCAAACTTCTCCATGGAGCCAAGGACGCGGTGGACTATGGAACGACCCCACCAGGTCATTCTCATGATGGTGAAAAGATCTCCAATTGAGGACATGTGCTTCCAGGAGCCAGCAAGGGGGTAGTACCATGGGCTGGGGTCGGGACGGTTGGCAAGATCTTCCACTTTAAGAAGCTCAAAACCGGCGGCCTTCATAGCCTCGACGGCAACGGATTCCTTTACCATGTTTGAGATACCATCTCCCTGTTCGATTCCAAGGCGGATCTCTCGGTGAACAGGGTTGTCGTTGTCGTACTGATCAGTCATGACCCATTCATAAACGCCAAACACACCACCTGGCTTCAGAACCTTGAAGATCTGAGAATAAACACCTTCTAGAGAAGGGGCGTGAACGGTAGCTTCTATAGCGTAGACGGCATCAAAGGTATTTGGTTCAAAGGACATTTGCATAAAGTCACCCTTAACAAATCGCAACTGCTTAGAGAGACCTTCTTTCTCGGCGTAACGCGTGGCACGCTCAATTTGATAATCGTTATTGTTCAAACCAACGATATTGACACCGGCGAATTTGGCGATCTCTCTAGCAGGGCCACCGACACCGCAGCCAACATCCAGTACAAGCTGGTTCTCTTTTAGGCCGATCGAGTGTGCTAGATAGTGTTCATGTCGGGCAATGGCTTGACGGAAAGGTTCGCCGTAGGCGAAACGGCAGAAATGGAATGAGCTTCCCCACCCGTATTCGTAAAAATCGGTGGCTAGGTTGTAATAACTAGATGCGATTGTCAGACCCCGCGTCCATTATTGCCATTCTACAGACAACCGCAGCAGAAACTTACTGTCTGGTGAGAGTAGCATATTCAGCTCTTCGTGCCTGCAGAATGCGATACCCACTTAGCATGGTGATTGCAGTAGTCAGTGGAGATAGCGCACCTCTCTGGTTTCTTCAGTCTCATCAGCAGAGGGCTTCTTGTCCCAATGCTTGAAATACTCATCAACAGCAGCCTGCTGGGCCTTCTTATCCTTTCCCATCATAGCAGCAAGGCCACCCTGGGCCTTACTGGTGTTGCCGTGCAGGACCTTGTTAAATGCCGCATCGCGCTCATGGTTCTCGGCTTCAAGTTGAGTAGACGACATCGTGGTATATCTGTTTTATTCTCTGAAATCGGCGTGGATAGCGAGCGGGAACAGCGATCGAGGATGTGCGATAACAGGTGAAAAAAAGGGGTTGTTGTTGTTGCTGTTGTTGTGAGTTGGCAGTTTTGAATATCTTGCTTGCTCGCTTTTTTTTTTTTTGCATCTCGAAATGAAAAGAAAAATAAACTTTCCCAAAAGGGGCTCAGAGGCTTGGCATAAAGCTGTCCCTTTTTGGTTTAGCTCAGCTGCCAGTCATGTGATGCGGAACGCCGGGCTCTTCCATTTTGGGATCATGCCATTATCACGTGAAAATTTACTAATAAATGACTAATGTAGATTACTAATATAAATTACTAATCAAATCTACTCGCTGAAGCAAAAAAGATTCTAAGGAAACAAAGTTGAAGATAGAAAAAAGCAGAAGAAGCAGCCAAGCATACAGCAGGGAGACGGGCATTCATAGCTGTTCTGTTCTCGAAGATGCCTCCACAGATCAAACAAGATATCAACCGGTCAGGATGGGAGACCACAGACTTTCCATCCGTGTGCGAACAATGTCTCCCCGAAAACCCTTACGTCCAGATGCTCAAGGAAGACTATGCCGCCGAATGTAAAATCTGCACTCGACCCATGACTGTCTTTCGATGGAAGGCGGATCGGACGTCTCGAACGAAGGCGACAAATATATGCCTGACGTGCGCGCGACTAAAGAACTGCTGCCAGTGCTGCATGCTGGATCTTTCTTTCGGTCTACCTATCGTTGTTCGAGATGCGGCTTTGAAGATGGTTGCTCCGGGCCCACAAAGCTCAATCAACAGAGAGTATTATGCGCAGGAACACGAAAAGGAACTGGAGGAAGGCAGGGGAGCTGTTGAGGAATATGAAAAGACGGACGAGAAAGCACGAGAGCTGCTACGGCGCCTGGCCAACAGTGAACCATACTACAAGAGACAGAGGAGGTTAGAGGCCAGTGGAGAGGCCAGCAGCTCCAGGGCGGCTGCAGGAGAAGGGCAACGATCATCTGAACCGGAGAAGATAGGGTATGGACCCGGCCCGGGTCCTGTGCGGACAAGTGACTTGCGTCGCGGCGCCGGTCGAGGTAGAGGCGGTGGCCGAGGCCGTGGAACACGCCCATACCCCCCAGTATCTCAACGACCTCCAGGGCCACAGGACATCGAACCACCCGCAGACCCCAATATCACTTCCTTATTCATTACCGGAGTGGAAGACGATCTCCCCGAACATGCTCTCCGCACATTCTTTACCCCCTTTGGTACCATAAGATCGCTCGTCTGCTCGCATAGATCACATTGTGCGTTCATTAATTTTGCGTCACGGGAATCAGCAGAAGCAGCGGCAGCCAAGTGTCAGGGCGTTGCGGTGGTTCAGGGGTGTCCCCTTCGAGTTCAATGGGGAAAGCCTCGCCCGTTGGATAACATGGAGAGAGACGAACGGATACAGAACGCGCGTCAGGGAAGACAAACAGTTGCAGCCGTCAAGGGTGGAGGAAGAAAGGCAATTACTCAGGGTTCATCCGCACAAGAGGGAGACGGAGAGTCAGATATCAAGACTAGTGATCAAAGTTACGCCGTGGCACCGCCGCCTGGCCGTGGAGAGGTCCAGTACGCAAGCATGGCTGGAGATTGATACCGTTTTTTGTTACTTTTTGTTTTCATTTCCAATATCTTTAATATGTTCCAGGGAGGCATTAGCGTTTTCGTACCGGCGTTTATCTACTGGCAAGGTGTCAAACTAAGAGTCATGAAAAGAAATGAGAATAATTCAATATGATACAGATTTTGAGCTTTACAAACGCGTCAAAACAGTCTATTGCACATGGCTAACTTGAAGTAGAATGATATATGAAACCGCCAAATAATGCATCCAAACGCCGCCGTTCCAAATGTTGAGTATCCCAATTGACATGGGATTTAATAATACTCTCCATGCCATAGTCGAATCCGAACCCCATCTTTAACGGGATCAGCGTATCCTCCCAGATACTTGATGTCAAGCAATATTATGAGGAGCAGCATCCCTTTCCAACCTTAACTGGCTTCTCACCAGCAGCTTTTATAGTATCATTGTCTCCGCGCTCCGTATATTCGTGTATCCGCAAAGCTGTAAATTGAGAATAGGTTAGTTATAGTTCAAACGACACAGTAGTTAGAAGGAAACATACAGTATCGATCTACCTTCTCTCCGCCCTCTTCCTTAGTCTCTATCTTTGTCCCTTGAACAATATTTGTCTTCAGAATATGCGCTGTTTCGAGCGCATGTTGAATTTTCAATGGAGTATCAACGCCGAGTTGTCGGTTTTGTTCAAATTGTTTGCGAGCCTCTGCTCGAGCAGCATAGAGAACGGGATAATCTCCTAGACAGCATATTAGCACGCCGAGTTTATTCCATGCAGCAACGAAATCCTATACCATTGAATGCGATCCGAGTAGCCCGGAGTAGCTGACGGTATGCGCTGAGAGCGGACACCGGGCTGGTTGCTGCGGCCATAGAAACTTATTTTAAAGGCGAAACTGGAGTGGTAGGAACAGAAAGAAGTCAAGGACAGGTATAAATGATCACCAAGGGTTAAGTTGTCTCCGGTTCTATATCAGCTATTCGTAGTTTGATGTCTCTTCCCTTCGTCTTTTCTTCCTCCTGGGCGTAGAGGTAGTTAATGGCCCAAAGCAGACTAGCGCCAGATCCATCGACTTTTTTTTTTTTCTCTTTACAAAAACTTCATCCCACTTTGGAGAGTGAAGAAATGACAACGAGGTTGATAGACGATACAAGTTAAGACTGCGGCAAGATGTCGAGCATAGAGACAGTCCACCTACCGCTCCCTCGCCTTCCTGAAGGCTGGGCTGCTGCAGACAAAGACTTCAAGGCAGTAGGATGCTTGTCCGCTGCGACCAGACGCAACGTTGAGCCCGTTGGCCCGCACTTTTTAGCCCACGCTCGCCGTGTAAGTCATGCCAATTGCATAATATGATAACATTATACCGCTCAGTTATCTGATATGCAAGTTTCTACACTTATAGAAGCGCCATAGACGAACTTTCTCTGAGGATGAGCGAATCCTTGCGCAGGAGAATGTCAAGAAGATTGAGGAAGACGATGCCGACGAGATCAGCGAGCCAGAGGACCCAATGATGCTACAGAGAGATGCTAAGGACTGGAAGGTATATATTACTTATCCGGTTTGATAACTTGCCGGTTGGATGCTGTTGCTAACCGCTTCATTTGCTATCTAGGGTCAAGATCACTACGCTGTGCTCGGTCTTAGCAAATACCGATGGAGAGCTACCCCCGAGCAAATCAAGAAGGCTCACCGCAAGAAGGTCCTCAAACATCACCCGGACAAGAAGGCTGCTGCAGGTGCTGGTGATGAGAACGACAGCTTCTTCAAATGCATTCAAAAGGCCACCGAAATTCTACTCGACCCTGTCCGTCGACGCCAGTTTGACTCTGTCGATTCCGCTGCAGATGTTGAACCGCCGAACCCTAAGAAGAAAGGGGACTTTTTCAAGCTCTGGCATCCGTTCTTCAAGGCCGAGGCTCGTTTCTCTAAGATTCAGCCTGTTCCTATGATTGGAGACGATAACAGCACGAAACAAGAGGTCGAAACTTTCTACAACTTCTGGTACAATTTTGACAGCTGGAGATCATTTGAGTACGAAGACGAGGATGTTCCGGACGATAATGAAAACCGTGACCACAAACGTCACATTGAACGCAAGAATGCCAATGCCCGTAAGAAGAAGAAGACAGAGGACACCGCCAGGCTACGACGAGCCGTCGACGATGCCCTCGCCGCCGATGCCCGAATTAAGAAGTTCCGCAAGGAGGAGCGTGCAGGCAAAGACAAGCGAAGACTCGAGAAGGAAGCTGAAGCTAAACGCCTAGCCGAAGAAAAGGAGAAAGCTAAACTTGAGGCAGAACGACTGGAGAAGGAACGTGAAGAAGCCGCCAAAGCCGAGCGAGCTGAAGGCAAAAAGGCCAAAGAAGCCGCCAAAAACGCAGCTAAGAAGAACAAGCGTGTACTCAAGGGCAGCGTTAAGGAGGTCAACTACTTCGCAGAAGGAGATCCGTCTGCGGCTCAGATCGACAGCGTCCTCAGTGACGTCGAGCTGATCATGAGCAAGATCAACAACGATGAATTGGCCACTATTGCATCAAAGCTTACTGCTGCCGGCAAGGATGGTGCTGCTGTGAAGGGCATTTTTTCTGCAGAGGTCACCAGGCTAGTTGGCTCTGGGGCCCTCAAGGAGGGCGATATAAAAACACTGACTGTTTAGATTCCTTTTCTTCATTTTCTTCTTTTCTTGATTATGGAGCAGAGAATCGACTTCCTGGTTCAGATGAGATATAGATGGCAACGAATTGGCTTTTATAACCCCTCGAAAATAATGATATTTCTATCCTGACTAGACTCCCTGGAACCCCGGCGTATAGTTAACTCTCCTCCATCCGCCTAGCCTTATACGATGTGTTTGTATCATTGCTTGCTAGTTAAAAAGGTATCAAAAGTAGACGGTTCAGCGGTAGCTAACCAGTCAACTAGTGGTAATTCGTTTTTTCGCTGTAGAAAGTATATTAACTAACTTCGTTTACCTGCTGCAGGCTGATTCAACTCGACTCCATGACCTCCTCGTCTCTCCACCATCGACACCCGTCTCTCATCCTGCTTCTAGAGACCACCATTGATATCAACAGCAACGGTGTCCTACGCTGCTCCAGTCTTTTACCTACCATTGCGTAGCAATGATGCAAGTGGCGCATCTCGCCGGTTCGAACGACTGTCTAGAAGAAGCTTATACCCCATCGTCGATTAACTCCCGGATGTAGCTTTATGAAGTCATCATCATCAACAAACAGAGCAAAACTAGGAGAAACAGGTCCCTTTGACCTTGCTACCCATCCATGGTAACAGATTCATTGTCTACAGGGAGAAGACCGGATCAAAAGCCGCCACCGGGTCTCCTGATGCCTCCAGCATCACCCTTGCTGAGTGATTAACTATGCTATCGAGGCAAACTTTCCCCCTCTTCTCTTAAAAGAAGACCTTGCCATCCGGTTCCGTGGAAGTTCTACCACTTTTTTCTACTTTTTGGTTGGGATCCCTCTGTTGCATGGAAAGAATTGAGATCTCGATTGGTATATCTATTTCACATTCGGCCCATACCTCTGATTGGAAGACATAAACAGCCGCTACGACTTCGGGATATACGGAATCACCTGTTTTGAAGAACCAGTCCCGATATAACCACCGCCAATATGGGACTCATGTCTACTCTTGTCCGTGTGTTTTTGATGGGCAGTCGCTTTATGCAGTTTGCCTGCGCTGGCATTGTTCTTGGAGTCAGCGCCTGGTTCATCCACCGACATGGAGCGAATGGCCATCTCAAATATGATATAATTATTGTACGTCTCTCCCCATACTCGTGGTTCATGGCTGAGGATTGCTGACGAAGTGGGTTCATGGTGCAGTCCGTTCTATCAATCGTTTTCTTCCTTCCAGGCCTGCTCTCACCTATAATTAGGACACTTGGGTTTATGACTTTCTTCATTGACCTGGTTTTCTCCTATCTGTATGAATGGCATGTGTCACTGTTGTATAAAACGCTTGCTAACCGTCGAAACTTTTTCCACTATAGATGGTTGACTGCCTTCATCTTTGCCGTACAAGACTACAGCAGGAGTGATTGCACCAATACTTCTCCTCGTGGTGGAAGCTGCAAGTACAAGAGACTTATCGAAGCCTTCACCATAGGAGCAATGTTAGTACTATCATCATAAGTTATCAAATAAGCAGCTACTAATTTTTGATCACTAGGTGGTTCTGCATCACTTCCCTGGTCCTGGAGGTAATGAACGTCATGAGCCATCATCGCGAGAAGAACTCATATGATGGTGGCCATCACAAGGAGATGCGTCGATCCGGGGATACCGGCCGGAATGATACGTACGGGCGACATATCTAACTGGTGAACCCGTTACATTGCTATTCCAACAAGTATGTATGGCCAGGGGCTAGCTGGTCGTTTTTGTATATACATCTGGCTGGGCGGAATGCAATGGAACCAGATCAGGTGTGTAAGGGGGAGGTGCTGAGGAATGGATAGGTATTTACTAGTGAGTTAAAGCTTCTGGGGACAGGAGATCAATTTTGGCGATAGTTATTTGTATGCGTTGCAAAGCAAACCCCCATTTGGCCCACACATCTGCGTGATAATCTGTAATATCCGGATGGTGAGTTGAAGGAGCAGGGTGGAGGGTCTGGTTTTCTAAAATTGTCCCTCATTTTGTGAATTAGTATATATACATATTGTATTAAGTCTTCAGCTTTTTAATTGATAATACATTGCATGTTTTATCTACTTTTTAACCATTAGAGAGTAGACCCTAGTGAGATCCAATGGGGACACTGTAGCTATACATAAATAGATTCATTAGACTAGTAAGCAGCAATATACAAGGGGCAATCAAAGAGAATAAAGGGAAGATAGGAGGGTGAAACCATGAACAATCACTAGAAACAGAGGAAAACACCAAGAACACCGATTGCTCGTGAGTGTAAATGCAGAGGATGAATCCTTAAACAGACATCCAGTATGAAACGCCGCTTAGACTACAGAACATTAATAGCGTGAGAATAGCTGCTCCAGCTGTGTCGGCGCCGGTGATAGGCCTAAGTATCTTAGGCCCATTATCTTTCCCTTTACCAGAACCTCCGGGACCACCCAGGCTTATTCCACCAGAAGATTGAGTGACAGGGGGTACGACCTTGCGGATGAGATTAGATTGAAAGATTTCCATCGCAGCCAGTTGCTCTCCAACTCCAGTACTGCCGTCAAATTTTCCAGTGGTCCATTTAAGGCCACACGTGGTTCCTTCTTCACCTCCAGTACATGCCTTTGCTGCTCCCCTGGCGCAAGCGCGTAGTCTGCGCATGATAAAGTCGGTTGAAAAAGGGGCAAACTGTGTACTAGCTGCCATCCAGCGGGAAAGATAAGCCTTGAATGATCTCTGATCTGTCTCGCAATTGCCCTGTTCCTCACACGAAATCTCAGACATGATATAGGTTTCGGGGTGAAAGAATGGGCGCAGGCCATCGAGAATCCCTTGAACTCGTTCTGCCCATTTGGGACTGCCGTCGGTCTATTAATGTTAGGTATACATTTAACAGTATTTGAAGTCAGAGCAAATTTACAGTAGCTTACATAGTTATACATGGCAGCTGCTCCGAGGAGGTATACACCCGCGTTGTAAGTCCACTGGAGTCTGTTGAGCTCTGTGCAGTTCAACGTGTCACTTGAGCCATCAAAGAACTGATAGTTCTCGTTTATGAGTCCTATCGCCCTGGACCAGTCCCATGTCTTCTCTGCCCACTTCGCATATGTCTCATTACCGGTATACCTGGCTAGTCGAGCGCCCATTTGAAAGAAGGCTCCGTTTGATATTGTGTTTTTATAGTCAAACCCTCTGTTAAACCGAAAGATCTGCCACCTCAGGCCTCCACCACAAGTTGCGGTATCCCAGCGAGGTATCTGAGAGTTGAAAACAGCTTCAACTAGAGAAAGCCACTGCGGTTTATCTGAGGGGGGGTTAGGAAATTTTCGTTCCGCGGCCGACATGGCTGCAATCGCCCAGAATGCCTGATCGTCGTTCCCTTCCGTCAAGGTTTGGTTAGGAGGCATGAAGTTGGAGTCTGGGCCAACTTGCCAGAGCATTCCTTGAGTGACAATGTCGTTGAACTGGCTGTCTCCCGTATAGAACCAGTAATCTATCAAGCCACCGAACATAGCTCCTGTTTCCCACCAGAAGTAGGGGTCAGGTAGGTTTCCCGGTACACCTCCTGGCTGGTGACCTGTGTAGTATTTCATCATGGCCTTCGCAGCTGTCTTTGCAGCAAGTTTGATCGAGTCTGCGCATTATCAGTATCGACGAGATTAGCACTGCAATGTACTCGAGTAGTCAAAGGGATACCTACCATCGCTTTCCAGGTCGAGTTTGATCGCCGACGCAAGCCAGGACTGTAAGAGAAGAAGCAGAACGACCCATCGAGGGGATAAAAAAGACAGACGCTTCAGCTTCATGTCCGCTAAGCATGTATCAGGAGCTTTCAGCCCGCGTCGAGGTACCACTTGAACGAGTTGAGTGCCTCTGGATGAGCATGAAGGTCAACAAACTGGTATAAAGCGGCTATTACAACAAATCTAGCCTGATCTAAAGCCTAGAAAGCGTGAATATCTCGAGAATAGAGGCAAGTGTGCGGGTATGCTGAGGCTGCAAAGGTCAAAGTGAAGGCGTGACGTCGTGAAGTCGAAAGCTCAGGAAGTTGACGAAGCCCACGATGACTTCATCCGCGCGGAAGAGCCAAAACTCTCATTCGCACAACAACTTTTCGCCTTTTGCGACGAAAGCAGCGGACGCCATTTTCATTTATTTCATTATATTATATATATGGACGATATATATAAATTTATGCACAGAATGAAAGGTATAACCGAGATGGTTATACTCATGCATCGTTTTTTGATGGCTTCTGCCGTTAAAAGCTGCCAAATCAACGTCATCCCGCTGTCATCTCGCGACGGTGTCACAGATCATCATAAGCCGTTAGTTATTGGCATCAGCAGTCTTGTCTGTGTCATGTTCGATGTCAGAGCGGACAAGAGACGTCGTTCAGATATTTATTCCACGAGCCATGAGTTTACTTGGTGGATTCGCTAGGAACAGAGCCGATTGGCGCGCAGATCGCAGCTAGGGTTACGAGAGATGATATCACCATGTCCTTGGCTTCCAACGTGAACATGTATTCGAGAGTTTGACAACTTGAAATTTGCTACATGAGAAGAAAAGAAGAAGATATGGAAAAGGGAAAAGACTCATTCAGCCCAGTCTCACGCATCGTCCGTCTTATAGTTGCCGTCGGGTCGGCCGCTTAAAGTATCGACCATCTCTCGGAATTTGAGCCAGAACTCGTTCTTGGGCCGTCGGTGCTCCCAGTCGGTGTCAGTCGCTTCCAGCCCATCCTTACCACCAAGGGGGCTGAAGACCACCTCGCTACCTCGAATGCCGATGACGACGGTAGACATGTCGTCTGCCGCGATCTCGTCCGGGCTCTTGTCAGCATACTCTTCAAAATGTTGAATGCATTTGAGAGACATGCGAAGGGCGCGGATACGATCCATGGGAGAGGGCTTGCCGCCCTGCTGGAAGTGACCTGGGACAGCAGAGCGGGATTCGAATCGTCCCTTAGCCTCTTCCTTGATCATGTCGGCTATCACTTGGGTGGTGTATGTGGCGGAGGCACGCTCGTTGCGTAGGATAATCTTGCCAGCGTGGTTGGCACCGCGGTCGGTAGCAAAGCTTTTTCGTAGATTCTCGATGTCGTTGGCAAGCATCTTGATACTGATACCCTCTTCGGGGATATACACTGCGTATGCGCCGACGGACAACCCAGCGATGGTTGCAATGTAACCAGATCGTCCTCCTTGCGTCTCAATAACAAACACTCGACGTCGAGAGGAGGAAGCTGACTGTCTAATGACATCGCAAAAGTTAACCAGGGTGTTGAGACAAGTATCACTTCCCAGGGAGTATTCTGTTCCGGGGACGTTGTTGGAGATAGTAGCAGGTAGCTGGATCATCGGGATCTTGAAGGCATCATAGTCCTTTCTTGCTTTTCGCAATTGGCTTACAGCAGTGAATGCTTCAAAGCCTCCGATGACAAATAAGGCATCAAATTTATAGAGCTCAAAGCATTTGGCAGTGGTCTCCATGTCCTCTGATGGGAGGCCACGGTTAGTACCAATTTCTGAGCCACCCTCGTTGACCCACGAGTCCGACTCGAGCCATTTGACCTCTCTGACAGAGCCCAGGGGTTTATCGTCATGATGCCTACAGAGACCTGGGAAGCCATTGTAGATTCCAATGGGAGTGTGGCCGCGAGCCAGACAGTATGCTACTGCACCTCGGGTAGCGGGGTTCATTCCACCAGCTGGAGCTCCGACATGAATAATAGCAATACGCATTCTCTGTCAACATCAAAATGATTAGCATCTATAATTAGCAATCTCTCGATTAAACGCTGAGCCATACCTTCGCTTCTGGAAGTAGCAGTTTTGGATGGTGTGGTGTGGTAGTGTTGATATATGCTCTGTGGAGAGCCATGAATTCGGAGTCACGCAGTGCCATGGCAGTAGCAAAGTCCTTCTTCGCTATGGCCTCAGAGACACTTTTCGTAACCCTTACAGCCTCGACTAAGGAGGTCCTTTCGATCTTGTTCTCTCGGATAGTGATGATTGGCGAAGGGGAGCCCGGCTTGGCTTCTAGGACAGCCTTGACAGCTTCAATGCCCTGGAGTGTAGCTAGCCATCGGTCATAGGCACAGGCTGCGCCACCTCGTTGTGTATGCCCTAGGACAGTGACTCGGGTGTCGAGCTGCAGCCGATCACTGAGAATATCTTTGACCTTATTGGACGTGATCTTTTCAAGATGACTGTCCTGGGCTCCCTCAGCAATGATAACAATAGTTCGTCGTTTACCTCTTCGTCGGTTCTATCGATCGTTAGTATATCAAAACAATTGGTAACCCAATCGCGGAGAATTACCTGAGTGATGATATCACACATGTCATCCTCCCAGCCGTCTCGGGGAGGCATCTCAGGAATAAACAGCCAGTCCGCTCCGGTACTGATGGCAGACATCAATGCCAACCATCCACAATGCCTACCCATGACCTCTATAACAAAACCCCGCTGGTGGGAAGAAGCGGTATCAAAGACCTCGTCCACAGCCTCACAGATCCGGTGCAGGGACGAGTAACAGCCAATGGTAGCATCTGTTAAGGACATGTCATTGTCAATAGAGCCCACCAGTCCAACAATATTCAACGACTTGAAGGGCTCAATCTGTTTTGAGCTGAGCTCTCCATTCTTCACCAGCTCTTCCAGTAGACCGGGCCACTCGGAGCGAAAGATATCAGCTCCAGTCAGCGAGCCATCACCGCCACACACAATAAGGGCATCAATCCCACGAATAACCATATTCTTAGCGGCTTTTAGCCTCCCCTCACGCTCTCTGAAGGCCTTGCACCTTGCAGACCCGATCAATGTTCCTCCACGAGACAGCCATCCCCGGACATCCTCCCAGAACATTTGCCTAAAGTAGTCCCCTCCCTGCACCAGACCATCGTACCCTTCGTGAACAGCGTAGGCCTCGCAACCACAGTGAATCGACATGCGGATAACGGCTCTCACGGCCCCGTTCATTCCAGGCGCATCCCCCCCACTAGTTAGAACGGCGATGCGGCGCTGCTTAGCCGGAGCTGCCACTGGCGTAGGGGCAGCCATCTTGGTCTCTTGTTCAGCGGGCGGTGTGTGTCACTGTAAAGATCGCGGTCTTAGGGTATGTAATGTCGTCCTCCGATTATTCAATTGGGGCTCAGGTGCTCTTCGAGACTAACCGGGCAGCCGTGATGTGCCTCCAGGTGATGAAGCTCTTATCTTTATATAGTTTGTTTTTCTTGGTGGGAGGGAATTTCCTGCTGCACTCAACGTCGGCTGCGGCCAAGTCGGAAGCTTACCAGCCGCCGAAGATAAGAAGTCATGGAGACAAAGGAGAAAAGAAAAACCATCACTGACCACTGTCAGACTCTTCTCAGCCTGCTTGTCTTCTCATCTCCGCATCGTCATGTCGCTTTTTATGTCTTCAGCTTCATCGTCATCGCGAAAAGTAGCTTGAAAGTCACGAAATTTGAGTTTGTCACGTGTTTCTGGTGGGAGAATTAAACTTCAGGACTTCCTTGGTACATAATGTGATTAATAAGCAACGCTAGTCCATTCTGGGACCGGAAAGGAGGAACTATTCAACGCGTATTATGTAATATTTGGACGCTTACCTAATTAATATTAAAAGTGCACCTAAAGCTGCGACCATCGACCAGTTGACGGGGAGAAAGATAAAGACAACAACGTTGGAAGGGAAGAAGGGAAGCGAAGTGAAGAGAGGACTAGGGGATATATGGTGATGGAACGGTTTGAATGACAGGGGAACTGGGCGCGATTGACTTTCTCCGTGGTTTTTTTGTCAGATCAAGACCCGACCCGCGTTGACAGATCACGAGCTTCAATGTGATATTTGATAGCCTGCTTTGAAAATGTCGGACTCGTTTTCTCTACCTCTACGGCCTGTTCGGAAGAAGATTGACGATACAGACACCTTACCGATCAGAATTGCCCAAATCAACGCACAGAGGGGCTCGTTCAAGGATGTCACCGAAGAGAGCTTGTCGGAGGAGATCACAGCCCTTCGCGTATCGGGTAAACAAGAGCTCGATATACAGGGGACAGAAGAGTCCGGAAATAATGCTGAAGATAGAGAGCAGCAGCTCTTTACCAGTCGATCAGAAATGCTCGAGTTTGCGACGTGAGTGCCTGTGCGTCAATATAAGAGTTCCAGCTCCCTGGCGCTGACCCATTAATTAGACAGGCTCAGATCGAAGCTTGCTATGCCCTTGATTTTGTCTCCCTTGCCCTCTCAAAGTATACGCCGCGGCAGGTAGAGGCCTCCATGACCCCTTATGTCAAGCAAAAGATACCTAGTGGTTCTCTAGGTATCGACCGAATAAGGACGCCCGACCGAACCGAGGCAAATAAGAAGGATATCGAGCTTGTCTCCAAAGGGTGGAAGCTAGAGAGCTTTAGCTCGGCAGCAAACAACCTTCTGGAGGCTGCTACTCGTCTTCAGAAGGAAGTGGCTGCGGAGACAAAATACTGGTCTGAAGTCTTAGCAATTAAAGAAAAGGGATGGAAGATATGCCGGCTCCCCCGCGAGAGACAAACCCTTGGAGTACAGCACGGCTTTCTCGAAGGTATGCATGTTTCCCTTGTCTCTTGGGATCTTGCCCACTCCGATTGCTTACAATGAACAGCTGCCCCGGTGTTTAGAGATCGCGGACTGGCTGCACTGAGACGGGCGGATGATGGGTCCTTGTACGTTGACCGGGGAATACACGCAACGCCTCCAAAAGCCGTGCGTATTCGAATACAAGACGATGGAAATATCGTGGGAGTGTCCCAGCCAGCCAGAATCAAACATGACGATAATACATCCATTCAGGAGACTCTTATTCACCAAGCTAGGGACTCGCTATTCGAAGAGGAACTGTTCTATGAACTAAACCGTGAAGCCAGATCCCTTATTCGCCATGGAGTTGAAACAACACAGAATCAAATCCTTTTTCAGTTGAGCGATAACCGCCAGGTTCTTGTCGATTTAGTGCCGGTGGACGACGCAGCCGCCTCTGACCAAGATATGACCCACAACCTTCCAGCCAACGACCTTGCGCATGCAATTGCCTGCTCAATACGCCTCCTATTAAATCACGCCCACCGGAAAAACCACCGACGTCGAACGTCTATACCCGCTGCTATTTCAATAAAGAAAAAGCCAACTGGAGAATACTCGCTTCTTCAGCCCAGCATCGCGTATCTTCAACACAGTTCCCACCTCCAATGGCTTACTTCGTGTCTTCACAATATTACCGCCACTCTATTTTCAGCGGGGCTCAAATACAGATACTGGAAGACCAAACCCCCCTCAAAGGACACTCAGGAAACGGTCACCAGCCAAGAAAAATCTATACCACTTGTAGAGTCTCTTGTAGACTCGTTTCTTGGAGTACAGGAAACTAGAATGGCTGGAGGTTTCTGCACGCAGAATAACTGGTATAAGATTATGGTTCGTACTGATCTCAGCCCTAGCGCCCTCGGAACTGAATTCGTTGTCTGGACCGTCCATTCTGCTCTCCCGCAAAAGCATATTACCCAAAGATTTGGCACTCGCGAGGATCTTAAGGAATTCCTTCTTTACTTGTTTACATTAGACATTGTCCATAATATCCCATTCCGCGGGAGTAGGAAGCCTGTGTCTTCTGCATCCGGTGCATCTCACGAGGAAACCGAAGCCACTGTACACGGTGCAGATGGGGATGATACCAAATCTACAGCCTGGGAGCCCACATTTGCTGAGGATGGGGAGATAACAGCCTCAATGCCCGGGGAAAAATACAATAAGAAGCTTAAATTGACATTAAACGAAGAATCATTAGAACTGCTTTGTATGTCATTAAGCTCGACAACTGGCATGGTAGAGGAAAGTAAGTATATATGGCATGTGGACGAAACTAAAGGTGAACCCCATACCACTCTTCAAGAAACCCTCAGACGTCTTGAGGCCGGTGGGTGATCAAGCGAAAGCTTCAGATACATGACCTTTACTGTCTATGTACTTAAGTGCCGACGATTTAGTTGAATCATCAAGCAAAGTTTCGGGAACTTGCTGAGCCATAATTACAATGGTATACAACCTGAGAAGATTTATTATATCATGTAGGGCAGTTCACGCCCTAGCACCCTGTTCCAGAACGGCGAGTTCGTCAAGTAGTTGAACTGTTTCACCAGGATTAGATATCCACGCAGTGGTGCATGCAAGTCGTGCCTAAATATAAGATTATCAGTTAGGAAAAATGAGTCAAATGGATAAGGAACTATAGTCCATACCTTAAAATCATTTGCCCCAGCAGAAAGGAACTGGTCTCCTATATGCAGAGTTTTGGATCTATCAATGCCACCGAAGTACTTCTGGCAAGCAAGGACACCCCACGATTTATCCCCAATATCTACAAAGACATCACTTCCACCTATCACAAAGTAGTGCATTAGTGTCACCGTATTATCGCAAATAGACTGCGGGTACCTTACCATTGAATGCGCAAAATGGAAGGCGCCTGCCAACCTCAGATGTTTCAATAGTTTGCTGCGCCACCAAAACAGTCTCCTCCAGTTGCTCACGATGCATTCGATGTCCCTCGAGCGGATATATACCCACGGCCCTCTCCTTTCTCAAAATTGCAGCGGGGAGCCTCAAGTTACTGACACAGTCTCGCAACGCGGCCTCTGCGATGTCTAGTAACTCTTTGATATCCTCATCGTTCCACTGCTTCATTTCATCCAGCTGCCACTCGCTCTGGGGCTTATAGGTGAGCAGATCGGGGGACTGAGGATCAAATTCATACATGAAGTTGCTCTCGCCTCCAAGAACAATGAGATGATTCTTTTGCTTGACGCTGAGATCAGCGGAGTCCTTGATAGCTTCCAGGAGGCCCTCGAGGCGCTCTTTGTATTTTGCAGCAGAAGAGTATCCGGCAGCAGTCACAATACCGACTCTCTTGTTTTGCTTCAAGAGAAGTATTATCCTCTTCACAACTGGGTTATCTGCCGTGAGAGAACACCCATCATCATAGAGTGTTACATCTCCGTCAAACGTAATCAGCTGGACTTCACTACGGCGAACAAGACCCATTAACTGAGCAGTATTAAGCGTGAGACGGATATCATTGAATGACGGAGGCACAAATCGTCTGTGACTAATAAACCTCTTGTTATCCTGGTATATGAAGGCATCTTCCAGCAGTAGTGGCGTAAAGAAGGTACCAACAGAGGGAACAAGCAGTTTCAATGTAGATTTTCCGCTAGCTCCCGTTTTCTGGAGTTCAACTATGGCCAGAAGTCAGTCTAGTGGTTTATCTAGTTATCTGTTTGAGTATTTTTTTTTTTAATGCAAACCACATACTGTGGTCATTGATCAGATGTTCAACATCCCGCATAATCTCAACATATCTATTATGTGTCCGTTCGGCAAGATGTGCGAGGTTGGGGCTGTTTTCCTTGTAAGCAGCAGTGGGTTGCGAATGCAGAACGAAGGGAACTGCAAGAAGGCCCTATATAAACCTATTCAGCGCAGGTTATTCAGCTTTTCCTTCCTGAAGAGCTGACCTTGATCCATTCAATCTGATATTCGTAACACAATGCGTTAGTCCAGATATTGAGTTACCCGGGAGCAGGAGACTGGTGTACGGCTGATGATCTCCTTGGATCTTACCAGTTGGTCACGGCGATGTGACTGTGAAGAGACGACGGTCAGACATGCAAATTCTATTATCCCCGCAAAGTACAGGATACAGTGGAAAAGTCCAGCCATATTCCTTAAGGCATGGAGAGTGTAGGATCATTAAGCTTACCTTGAGGGCGTCTATTTCTGGTGTCAGTCTTTGTGTAGTTATCGCCTCCCCCGGCCCAGTTCCCCTGGGGTGTTGGATGTTACTTACACTCGACACGGTAGCGGGTAGTCATGTTTCCTGTCTGTCTAGGCGCTTGATCTACTCACCTCTCTATGGCTCTAGTTCCCTTCTTGTTGGACGTTGGTTTCTTGATACTTTTTGCATCGTCGGTTAGTTAACTTGTACCTCTGGAGTGGAACGTGCCCAAAGGCGGGCAGGTCTTGGCGGCAGAAGGGACGGGCTTTTCCATGTCATGTTTATCTCAACGTCAACGGTTTGTTGCTCCTACAGCCATCTATCCTAACTAGATACCTGAGAGGTATAAACAGAGGGCCTTGCACCCGGAGAGATGAGGTTGCCATCACAGTTCTCCTCTGCATTTCCGCCTTACTACCACTACCACTTGGTACCTCAGATCCACCAACAAGCGACTTTTGAGCTTTGTTACTAGTTACTTAGCTATATCACCATGTCTTCTGTTGCCAATTTTGCCATCATTCGGCACCATCTCAATAATCGGTTTTCGGAGACTCCGACAAGTTTGGCCGAGTATAGCTTCGTTGCTGCGTCCATCTACCTCAGTCTTTAGCTACTTTCTACCTCCCACATTCGCAAGTGCCTTCCTTGCCCGTCTAGTAGTGCAGTATAATAACTTACTAGAGGAGCCGGGCTATATAGTAGGATACAAGGGAGTATGACACTCGCCCTCGGCATGGTCGATTCTATCCACGTTAATAACATTATTCGTAAGATTTTTCTCACGCCAGGTGTCAAGGCTGAGGGGCTTAACTTCTGAGTTTCTGCCGTAACTACTCTGTAGTTACCCCATAGATCTCCCTGTAGAACAGGCTGCTTGTCCAACCTGCTCTATGCGAGAGCCTGATCGTCTGCGGGGACATCTATAACATTGCTTGTCGTACTGACGACTTTTGGAGCTTGCGGAGAGAGAGACAGCGGCTCGATCTCCTGGTCAGACGATGATGCAATGCTATCACGGTGGCGAACATTTTCGTCTTCATCCTCCCACATAATACCACTGCTATCGTCATCATCAATGGTATCAGCGAAGACATCCGCCGCCCCCCTTAATGCAACCAGGCGCTGCAGGGTCCACTGCAGGTCCAGGAGATCCCAGCTGGGCAGTGGCAAGTTTTCGGGGTCTCTGGTCGTCAGGACGATCTCTCGCCCAGACGCAATCTCCTCGCCTGTAAAAGTGTTCCAGGCCCTGTAGTCCTTGGCGATGCCAACGAGATCCTCCGGTATGGTAGGGTCAGTCAACAGGTCGACACCCTGAGCTGCTGGTTTCCGCAACGGCAGCCAGTAGAATTTGACAGTGAATTCCTTGCCGTCGTCGGACCGGCGAATTGGCTGCAACCCAAACAAGCCCTTAGAATGCCACCGATAGATTGTAGGTGCAAAACACAGTAAGTTCTCCACTACCTCGGTAGTGCCTCGTGGGAATGCGGCGGCCATCCAGGTATTAACACGACGCTCCGTCCAGAATAATTGTAGCAAAGCCCAAAATAGGTGTTTCTTATTGTCTATTGAGAAGGAATTCTTCAATGAGTGCGGAAATATATGTGCCGCGTCAACGGGGTCAAGAGATTTTGTAATTAGGCACCTATTCTCATCTCTAAAAAGACATTGCCTCCGTGCTGTTGACGATCGATCGGAGTCTCTGCGCTGGCGTTTAGCTGGAGGTGTGGCTGGCTGCGACGTTGGCTGCGGGGCTTGCTCATCTTCGTGGACGTCGCGGTGTAAACCTGCTTGTCTCTCGATGGTCGAACGATGAAGCGGGGATGACTGGCTGGGACTCCCGCGCGGTGAGGCGAGTGGGGACTGCGGTGCTGACGGTGATGGGGAGCGGGACTTCCAAGGATCAAGCTGTTGCCATAGGAGAGCGACATTTTCAGTCTGATGATCGAGTAGCCTAAAAAGCTCTGTCCGCTGATTTGGGTCAAGGAGAGCTTCGAGTATCTCGATGTCCGCCAGCCACAGACCAGCCCAGGTGGTAGAGGAAATTCCCTGGGGGTGAATTCTTCTAAGCAGATCCTGTAGCGAGCTTAGCAACTCACGACGTCGTTCACAAACGAACTCCTCATTCGGGCCGTGAGTAGTCATATTGAAGATTTCGGCGAAGAAGACGGGGGAGAAGGCTTCGAATTCAAATAATACTTACACTAGGATGCGGTTTGAGGCTTGCAGCAAGGTTGTCTGGTCCAGGAAGTCTGGTCACTATTATTTGTCAGGATTAGTCATCCTCTTGTGTCTGTAGAACTCGCAGATGGCTCATGTTCCGTTGTGGACATGGGGCATAAGGCCTTTTTGTCCCATAGTCCTGTGGTCCATGTTCCGACATTATTCGCGGTTGCAAAGTTACAATTGGAAGGGGGAAGAAGTTTAAGTCGCGGGTAAGTGGGTCACCTGACGCCTCTAGCCCTATTAGTTTCGGATAGAAGGAAGATCAAAGCATTCTATTGGTTGAAAGGAAATAAGCATTATGTTAAGGTTCAGATCTGTGGCTTACATCATCAGTCTCTGCCGTGCTAGGCCCGAGGTGCCCGCGATCTACCTGACGGGCGTGCCCCTGCTAGTTAACAATTGCGATGGCAATAATGACATATCTGTGCTATCATACACGATCGAAACAAGATGGTGGGTGCCTATTACGATACCTTCCGTCACAGGTAGTTAAGTCGGACGGAATATCCTCGAGTGAGGGAATGCGACATCATATCCTGCCTGAAATCATGATAGTACGTATTCAAGAGAAAATCTTACGAATAAGGTCATTATTAACATGGATGGTAACTAACTACCCCGTCTTCCGGAGTTCCTCTGTTCGCATTCGCGGGAACTGGTGAAACATGGTCCATCTAGTCCGCCGTAACCAGATAACTAGTTAACCTCAATATAAATAAATACGTGGCTGCCTGGACACTCACATCCGTTCTTGATTTCAGCTCGAATTACTTTCCATCACCATCGACCCGGCACAAGAATGAGCAGTTAGAGATGTTCTTTCCCCTCATTGCTGCCATTGTGGCAGCTTGTGGTCTTTACTATGTATACCTTACCACACTTGATTATTTGGCGCTGAAAAAGATTCGTGTACGCGAAAGGACTCGACTTCCCCCGAAAGTCGAACAGTCTCCAGTGAAGTTTGGCATCGACTTCTACGGCAGAGTCTCAAAGGCAGTTGAAGAGAATCGCTACTTGGAATTAGAGATGGAATTGCTCGAAAAGCATGGCGATACCGTTTCGGTTTCTATGTTTGGGAAACCTATGATCTTGACTCGCGAACCAGAAAACATCAAAGCAATGCTTGCCACCCAGTTCGAGGATTTCAGCCTCGGCGCCTCGAGGTACAACAGCTTCGTGCCCATGCTTGGTGACGGTATATTTACCCACATGTATGGAGGGGGAAAATCGGGTCAACCATGGCGCCATTCCCGCAGTGTTCTGCGCCCACAGTTCGCAAGGCAGCAAATCCAGGATCTTGTAGTTCTGGAGTCATTTGTACAGAACATGTTTAACTTGATCCCAGAAAAGAAGACCGTCGACCTTCAGGAACTCTTTTTTAAGCTGTCAATGGATACAGGTACTGGAATGTCTCATTGACAACCCAACCCTTAACCCAAGCCATCTATCGCTAACCTGGTGTTGACAAACCAGCAACCGATTTTTTATTTGGTGAAAGTGTCAATAGCTTATTACCAGACTGTCTTGCACAAGAGTCCCAGTTTTACAATGACTTTACTCGAGGATCAGGTACGGCTTCTTTATCCCCCACCTCTATTTTTATCTATTGAGGTTTAGATGGTAATAATGCCGGCCTGTGGTAGAGATTTTACTTCATCGAATTACCCTCCAAGAATTTTACTGGCTCCAGAAAGACAGTACTGAATTCAAGAAGATATGCAAAAATATGCATGCATACTTGGATAAATTTACAACAAAAGCTATAGAGCGACAAGCTTCTGGCAAACCAACCAGCCACGATCTAGGTGGAAAGTATGTTTTTCTAGAAGAGGCTGCAAAAGAATTCCAAGATCCAGTCCGACTTCGATCAGAGCTTTTCAATATCCTGCTTGCTGGTAGAGACACAACTGCGGGTCTTTTATCTATCTGCTGTCACCAGCTCGCAAGACACAAAGACGAATGGTTCCGCCTTCGAAAAGAAGTAATCGAAACCTTGGGAAACCGAAAGCCAACATATGAGGATATTAAATCCATGAAGTATCTTCGCTATGTTCTTAATGAAAGTCAGTTATATCGTCTCTTTACCGTTCACAAGCTCTATTCTGTCTTATGCATGTCACTGCGTTCCGGTCCGCAGCAAACGTACCCGTTTGTGAAATGCATACTAAGATAATCTGGTCCGCGTCATTCAGCTCTTCGTCTCTTCCCAGTTGTACCATCCAATAGTCGTGAAGCAGTCAAGCCTACAACACTACCTCGTGGTGGCGGTCCAAATGGAGATCAGAAGGTTCTGATTCCCAAATATACAACTGTATTGTACTCAGTTTGGAGTCTTCATCGTTCTGCAAAAATTTACGGTCCAGACGCAACTACCTTCCGCCCCAGCCGATGGGAAACTCTCCGAGTGGGATGGAACTACCTACCATTTAATGGTGGCCCTAGAATCTGCTTAGGCCGTAAGTGAAAGCTATCTCTTTCTTCCTGCGGCATATTTATTTGCGGGAGTTTGAATTGCGGTCTGATTTACCCATGCTAACCCTTGTAGAACAATACGCATTGACTGAGGCATCCTACGTGTTAATACGTCTTTTGCAGACATTTGAAGATATTGAGAACAGAGATCCAAATCTACACTTTATCGAGGACTTGAGGTTGACCCTGGCATGCCATGGAGGGACAAAGGTGTCGCTGACAAGTGCTAACTCCAAGCGCTAGTTGTCCCAGAGCTTGTAGGGTATTTCCCTTTTCCCCCATATCCGCTTGAGACATTTATTGTGGAAGGTACCGTTTAAACTCAAAAGCCTAGTTATAGAAATCTAAAGCCGGATGCAAAAGTCTAGCTGCAAATGAAAAGAGTTGCGAAACACATTATAGCGAAAGGTAAACAAGCTGCTAAACTAACAGCTGTCCAGATAATACAAACAAGCAGAGAAGTTCACAATATGAAGAGAATGTTATTGTCCTTGTCCCTCAAATTGAGTCCTTGGTATCTGCTGACGTTCAGACTCATAACCATCAATAGCCCGGTCTATGAAGGAGTTTGAAGGAACTTGTTGAGGGAAATATCGATCAATTTCTTCTAGGGCTCTATTTGTTTCATGAGATTGAGGGTTTGTCTCGAGGTATCTCCGCATTGAGTATGACAGACCCTTAGAGGCCATAAATCCAGCTTGGAGTTCATGATACTGGCTCGTAGCTGAGGGGCATTCTCGGGTACCGGTAGTCTGACCGAGATATTTATATTGATAACCTGGAAGGTTGGCTTGATGAGAACGGCGAGTTTCGTTACTATTGCTTATTGGCATCCAGTGGTAGCCGGTTGAATACATAGCCGGGTGACTGGAACTTGATACCCTTGCTACCTTCGAGCTGGAATGGACCCAACTATTCTCGTGGATAGAGTTTGGCGTCCCTGCGGATACAAATTCACGAGCATCAAGTTCAGAGAGGTAAGACGGCTGGGTATATGTTTGTACCTGCTGGGAGTTGACAAGTTCTAGGTTTGTCTCACGTAGAATTCTGTCGTGCCCGGGAACAAGATTCTGGTCAGACACTAAGGTACTTTCCTGACTGACATGGCGACCCAGGTCGAAACAGCATCTATTGCTGATATTGTACCCAGGAATTCGGCGCGATTCATTAGGCAACTCATTGGTGGCTTTGCGCTTTCTATTCATATTGAACAGTTATAGAATACGTCCAGCAATGATGCTAACTTGATCAATGTCTCAAGTAATTGACCAGGTCAATATGAATGCTCAGGGGATAGCAAAATTAACGCAATGTTGTAAAGGATTCCATAGACAGCATGATGTCTAGTCTTTCCTGGCCTGCTTGCAAAGCCACTCGAGGGGCATTCGGATATGAGCTTTTGTGGTTTTGCAACGCCTTGGTTGGAATGCATGAGACGATTTAACCAGCTAGATAAATTGAGATCTTCTGCTTTATCCGCCTGAATATGTATGGGGAAAAAAAAAAAAAATTCAATCAGGCACTACCACCTTGCCCAGCCCCTGGAAAGGTGAGGCGCTGCTTTCGACTGGCGCTCTGCTTGTGAGCCTCGCAAAATGGTGTAGAAGGCTGGGCCCCGGCCAAAAATCTGAGGGCTGTGTTCTATATATGCCAGGGCATACTTGGAAGTGGCAGTGTCCAAGCCTCACCATCACGTTGATCTTAGAGACCCCTATATCGTAATGACCCTCCATTGATGCAAGTTGGGACTCTTCGGCATCTCAATTTCTGACTCTCTTTTTTGCCTAATGAGAAAAGTGATTGAAATAAATATTGCACGCACTGCCTCGGAGAATTTAGACTTTGAATGTATGAAATGGTAGACGCTGACCAGAACTACGAAAACTCACAATCAACAAGAGGTAAGTGGAAGGCAAACTCGAAAATCGCCTAATATCATCACATTCAATCACATGGCCATCCACCATCAGAAGAAGTAATCGAAACGAGAACCAAATCGTTGCCATACGCTTCATTTTCCATCCTCAACATCCTCGCGATTTATATGATGGACCTCAATCTTGTGCCTCCTCAATTGGTCAATCCTAGCAAATCCCGCGGTATTCTTACACCCAGGTATGTTGCACTTAAACGCTTTCTCGTGTTTTTGTAGATGTGTCCTGAGAATCTTGTTAGCTGTAGGAGCTGGGAGAAGCTTATCAAGATGAACTCAAAAGAGGGTACATGGGACGCCATTCGTTATTATGGAGGGGCACACTTACTTAAAGGAGGAATTCCGCCCAAATATAACAACCTTTCCATCGCGGAATCCGCCCTTTGTGCATTTTTCACCATATGGGCATACCCAGTTCCCCACCCCACGTCTGTTGAGGTTGGGGTACGTGTTTTGGAAGGCTTCCATAGATACTGGAAAGGCTGTTTCCTCCGCTGCATTGTTCGTGCTCGAGCTCCACGAAACCGTAGGCGTAGGTGATCCTGAGTTGAAGTCAGGCCCCATTGCACAATTTGGGTTAATCTGACTACCAGTTGAAGAATTGTTGTTTGACCTGCAAGAAACCATGGCAGCAGATGCTGTCTGTAGTACATCCCCCATGTGATGGGGCGGGTTGGGGCTTCGCCGCCAGACCATTGATGTTTCATTGGCCATTTCCTCAAGTCTAGTTGCAAGTGTACTGTGCGCCATTAGTGAGCGTTCCATGGTCAGCCAAGCCGGCAGATAAGTACTTATTCATGAATTCTCTGGAGAGAGTGATAAAAGAAAAACCCTAGGAGGGTAGAGTATATCAGAGATAACATTTGATGAAACTATTGGTATACGGAGTTCTATTGAGCAAATAAGATGGAAACACTCGAAGGTACTTACTTGAGGTCACGCTCCTTCTCACTCATATATGTAACCATATCCATATCGGAAAGATGATGCATTTCATTTAGTTGTTGGATATGAGCCTCGATATAAGTTTTTATATCTTCTGCCTCGACCAAGGCAGAGGCTATCTTCGAGGTTAAAGCCATCATATCAACAAGGAACTCCCCAATCTCGACTAGCCTGCAGCTAGAAGTATGCGCAGGCTTTTTATCTGCCTGGACTGAAGGCGCAGGTGTGGGACCAGAAGGCTGTTGTAAGAGTGCCCAAGGAGAACCGCCATCTCCGGGCGTCGATAAAGGCTGTGATCTAAGCCCTAAGTCGGGAACAGTAGCATCATTTTCTTCACGAACGCTGGTACCGGACAAGTTCAGTTCGCTAAGCTTTGTTCGGATGATTTCTTGAAGCCATGGGCTAAGAGGCTGTGAACGTGACAGAAGTATGTTTGCTGGAAGATCGCTGGACGACATGGCAGCCATTTCTTGCATACATCGGCTTGGGATAGTGGTATTACTGGGCAGTGTTTACGCTGTAGGCGTTCTTATGTATGCCTCTCTCGCCACGTCCTGGCAGGCAGTTAGGACACAAGTAGTAAGCAACCCAATGTGGGATGAAAGGATCGACTTCCCACAAGAATTTCGCACAGGGCAGGGCGACGAACGGGAGCAGAGCAAGGTGAAGCCCAACCCAGCCATAAATATAGTCCGTGGGTGTCCGGGGTAGCTATGTACTTTGCTTCCTCTCTTAGGCAAATGGATGTAAGGGCGGGTTGGATATGTACGTCAGGCGGGCATCAGGCAAGGCAGTGCTACTTACCCAGCCTTGCGGCCTGCTTCAGAGGGGAGAGATTGGAAGTCGGGCAGAGTGAGCAAGACCGGAAGATCCCAGTCACTCAGTTGGTCAATTTGGCAAACCCTGGGCTAGGGTTGACGAGGGAGGCTTATGCGCAGGGAGATTAACATAGTGAGTTACCGCAGCATGTGTTTTTTTTTTAGCGAACCCCCCTGTCCCAGCCAGGCTGACAGACTTGCATGCGCCCTGATCTCTCCTGCAGCTTCATGAACACCCACATGTATCCCTTGGTTGCCTCTTTCCTCTCGGCTTGCTGTCGTTCTCATCAATATCTTCATTATTATCAGAGTCTGTCGTCCGTCGAAATGTTTTTTTTTGTCGTTTTTTCGCTCTTCGCCCAATGCGGATCCACTTATTTACTCACGTGATAAAAATAGAACCTTATTACTAATTAACACGTGATGCGGCTCATTGTTTGTCATCCGGAACGGGCCTTTCACCGCCTTCCGAGTGCGGCATAGCGGGGCTGGCAGAATATATTTAGTCTCGGCTCAGCCGCAACTAAAAAGAGGCGCTTGCGGCTTTGTTCTTTCGACCTCGATCACCCGTTTCTTCTGGCGCTTTTGCTGTTGGATTCCTTTGCCATTCCACCCATGACCTGAAAGCGCCTCGAGTGGTGAAGCTTGATCGCCAGTTGTATTCCTATCATGCGAAGAGAGATATTATGTCCCTTGCCAAGAAGCGTAGCTGGTGTGACGAAACCATGGATCCACAACAGAGGCAGTTCGCCAGCTACAACTTCGACCCGCCGAATTCAATATTTTACTGCCCGGAAACTCTAATGGAGTTAGTCCAGCAGGACTCTGGAGGATGGAGCGAGAAGTCAGCGTTCAACACAACAAGGAAGATACAGGGAGGAGCTCCGCGGTTCAAACTTATTAGCAATGCTCCGTCCCAGGAGCCTAACCAAGGCGAATCTAACCAGTCGTTGCGTAAGATAGCTCTACCACCATGATCTCCAATTTGTCGGCGTTTGCGCATTCTTCGCTAACTTACGGCTCAGAAGAACTGTATTTCAGCACAGCGATGGACCCTAACAATATGCTCAATTTCAGTGACAACATGGGACACCAACCATTCCTGGGCCCTGCGGTAGCTCTTCCCTCCACGGCGATGGCTAGCAATCGGAAAGTTGAGATGGAACTTATCAACCCTTTCGCACGGAACCAGGACAGGAGACATAAGTTTTCCAGAGATATTATCATACCACCAGTGGATGGAGAAATTAGCAGTTACATAAAAGTAAAGCTTCGAGTACCTAAAAGTCAGAATGATGATCAGAATGCCTTACACACTAAGCGTGGTTGCTCCAACTCCCGAGCGGTGATTCCGCTACATTCAGAAAGATATTCATATCCACGTCAAGTTAACAGAGGAATTTCACTTATACCCTCAGTCATTCCTCCGACTATAGCCATGCATAGCGTCTTTGCTGAACATCAGTTTGATGGACAGTGCCTGAAATTTTGTATGCGCCCCTCAACTCCCTGGTATGGTTAATGTCTTAGACCGTGAAGGGTGGTTAGTTAACTAAAGAGAGAACAGACCAAGCAGCATTTTGTTCTGGAAGAACTCTTCTTGCTGGAACTAATTTCTGGATAAAAGAGATATTAGCCATGGCCCAGCATGACGAGTGTGTAAAGCACGCTGTGGTAGCTTTGAGCGGCAGCTATTTGCTGGATTATAACTCGCAGCAAGGCCTTCGTGACCGTGTCAACTATCATTATGATCAAGCTAAACAAATGATAAGCGTTGCCCTAAGAAGCAGGCAAAACCAAGACATTGGTCAAGGTGACAACCTTGTTGCTGCTATCATGTTGCTTCTAGTGGACGATGTGAGTTATCAAACATTTCTATCCGATTTTTCTGCTGGCTTTTAAGACGCGCAGAACAAAATTCAACAAGAAAGAAGCTGATACAACTAAGTGTGTGAATTGGGAGTTGCGGATAAATAACGCCGAACCTAACTGGATATTGGCTGCGAGGTTAGCCAAGTCCATACTTGACAACTCGGACCCTGGGTACAGATACTGGCGGCCTGATAACACCCAATATAGCGCTGCAAGACACGGCTATGCGAATTGGGTGGCTCTTGCATGCATTCTCAGCGAGCTTGTAACTCCATTAGCACCTCGAGGAAACCCGAATGATTATGGTTGGCTGCTCGCAGGAACGCAAAAGGAGAGCTGGAAGATCAACGGCGGTACTGGTCTTTGCCCCAAGTTACTTCATATAATATCACAAATAACGTATCTGTCTGTCTTGGTGAAGGAAGTAAGTAACTGCGTTGATAATATATTAGTTCTCCCACATACACTTCCAGTTGATTCGTGTCTGATCCTTGTTTTAGGATTCCTCCATGGCGCCCATATATGCAGCAAAAGTAATCAGCAAAGGGCTGAAAACATTCCACCAGTGGTCAGAACTTTCTGATGGGTATCCAAGTGCGGAAGAGCTGCTTCGATCATGCGACCTAGACAAAAATGGAAAAGTACAGACAGCAACGAAAGTGACCGAGCTGACTGGAGAAACTTGGGTTGCCGCCGCCCAAATATACCTCCACTGCCGACTGTTGAGGTAAGGTTCCTCTTAAACTCGATCTACCCAGGATAGAATGGAGGCTGATAATAGACGTAGAAAACCTCGCCATCACCCAGATGTCCAAAAAACAGCCAAAGTTTTATGGAAATGCGTCACCATGATGCCATATTCGGGAACGCTGTTCACGTCTCAGGCTCCCTTTTGTCCTATTTTTATTGCATCCCTTGTCTCGATAGAAAAGAAGGACAGGATGATAGCCGAGGAATGGTTCACAACCGTCGGGCTGAAAGGAAAATGTAGATCAGTAAGTCGGCACGAGGTTCCGAACAGTTTCATATGTCACCCAGCCCTTGAACCTGCCCACATTTGAAAAATTACCAGTCAATAGCCTAACGAGGTTTATTAGAGCGTTCCCCCGGTGTGGGCAGCAGTCCAGGCAATGTGGACGTGGATGGATGGCGGTGGGGTTAGCCACGTCTTCGATGAAGGTGTGCCAGTGCACAAAAGACCCTCCTGGTGGGAAAGTATGGTTGATCAGCTCATTGCAACAGTAGGTTATGTTAGTTTAACATAACTCCACCCTCAACATGCCCGCGGGTGAATCCAGCTATTCAGTTCTATAACTAGTCCTTGTTCTTGTAAGAGAATAATATATAGCATATTTCAATTGTGTCATTGACTCAGCTTGAGTAGTCTTGGACAAAATGATAATGAAGGAGAATGTTTACACTGTCGATATATCGTCCTATTCAGAACAGTCTAGGAATTTCTTTGACGTATTCTGTAGAAAAATTTGCAATGAACTGCGCCTTTGGAGTTTGAAGATGTCAGCCTTCGGGATCCATCCAGGCCCGATTTTACAGCTTATGTAATCCACAATGAGGCTCAAACTTATTATGTAATGATGTTACACGTGACTGTTTTGAACTTCCTTCAATTTTCTTATTGCGCCAATAAAATAATGACATTCAGCATCAACTAACTATTTGATCAACAACGACCAGCGTCTGTTCTAAATACAAAAGCGACATGCTGCAAGGGACTTCATGGCTGTACGTCAAGTCAAGGAAAAACAAACAGCGCTCAGAATGTTGAATATGCTAAGAGGAATTCAAATGTCAAAACACCACCAGGAATGGTCAAAAAGTGAGCACAGCCATCGAGATGCAAGGCGGTCTGACCGTTGGGGTGAGAAGGCGGATTCCACCTCGACTCCCCCCCCCACCCCCCGGTCGCTACCTAGTATTTTGTGAAATCGGAGTTCATTAAGAGATATTCGTCTGCATTGGTGGGAATGAGTCAGTAACGGACCTTGACATGAATTCAACCTTGGGATCACCTACAGAATGGACGGTTGCCAGGGGCCTGCCACCTCTCCACCTCGACGAAACCCGCCATCTTAAACTGGCTCCTCATCCTCTCCGGACCGTACTTCCACGCCTCGAAAAAGTCGACACGTTCCCCCGCGGAGAAGTGAAGGCCAAGAGGGTGGCAGTGTACGTCCCGCCTAGCAATGATGGAGAATCGGTGGACTGTGTCTGGTGAGCTATCAATGCGGCCGGAGATTTCCCAGTCCTCCTCTTTGTACCAATCACACCCTAAAACTTCGTTCGAGTATTTCAGGCCATTTCGAATGAAGCCATCCCAGACTCGTTGGGGATCATGGTATGAGTCCCATAGCTCCGGCGGGTAGTCGCAGGCATCCAACCCTAGTAGCATGAGATCGTTGCAGCCCATGACATGTTTCCACTCCTCCAGCCTGGAGACGGCGAGGGAGAACTCATCGTTCCCGAACATGGAGCCCAAGGAGAGAATAAGTTTGGGAGACTTGACAGGCCTTAACCAGTTCAGACCATCGCTGAAGTCGCCCCAAAGGCCGAAGCATCGGACATAATGGAATTCTGGGACAAGTTGCTCCATTGTCTGTTCCAATGCCTGCTTGGAAAGATCAAGAGCAAAATATTGCACTTCTACCCTTAACTGCTCAAGGTGCGCTAGAAGAGGCAGCACCTTTCGGGTATCCCTTCAAGAACTAAATGTTACCATTTTATTCAAGAAGACATGATGTCAGATCAATAATATATAAGGCAAATACATACCCGCTACCCATGTCGACGATTGTGCATCCCTCCACTATCCAATCTGCTATCTGGCCCTTAAAGGAGTTCAGAAGGTTTATTTCATCCTGGGTTTGTCGGTATTCCGGCAAATGAGTGATGTCCTTCCAGATCTTCAACCCTCTAGTATTATAGAACAGTCCCGTTGGAAGGTCACGAGGATTCCCACCATTTGACCCTAGGAATTGATACTCTGTTAACTCCTTGAGTGAGCTTTCCAAGCGGCCGCCTCCAATGTCGATTACCGTCCCTGCCTCACACATGAGCGTGCGGGTGTCCTATATATGACATACATCTATGTTAGATTTGGTATCTGAAGAGGAGCAAAAAATATTCTAACCTCGCGAGGGAAAAATGAAGGCATATTGATCACAGTCGGTGGTTCCCCTCTTTCGCGCAACTGGACTGGCTTTGAAATGTCACTTCGGCAAGAATCCCCTTGACGTATGCTGGTAGGATTGAGCTGGGATTGACAGATATCAATACAAAATGTGGTGATTGTAGTAGTTGACATTACCATTACTTGGAGATATTGAAGAGGTTTTCGACCTCTTTTATATTCCACTGACCTACATTTAGGCGGCTGTTTAACAGCAAACGCCTGGACTACGGTGCAAGGCATACAGCTACTCATGGCAGAAGAAGCCTTTAGCAGGATCGAGAAGTAAGGCGGATGAGAAAAGATCCAGTATTTTTGCAATCCCACGCCTCTTTCTGTCATGTTCTGTGTGTATTGTTAAACCAGTTTGTGCTGAAAACACGGCGGAACAATGCTTCAACAAGGTCGCCTTTGCCGCCTTGAAACATGATTGGAGGGAAAGGCCGCTTTTGGCTAGGCTTCAGGCGTTTGTGAAAGACGCTCTAGTGAGGCGAGAGGGAGCCTTCACTGCCTTGCACTTTAGTTTACTCATCAATTGTTGCATCGCGCTGACGCCCGTCGTCTAAGAGAGGAACTACTGTCGATTTAGCAGCGATCGAGAGATCCTGAGTCTTCCATGCTTATCACGAGCCCTTCGTAACCTGTATTCGTGTGTTCGTGTGTTTGTGTGTTGCGGCTGTTCAGAGGTATAATCCCTGCTACTACCACGTTGTATGGTCCAAGAGATTTCGTTGTTATGCATGTCATCTCTCATTCATGCTTCTAAAATAAGCCTGACATGAGTAACACTGCCGGAGAACAGCGTAGCCCCGAATATTACATTGAAGATCCCTTGTTCTACATCTATTTGTATAACTACATGGTTGACCACGTTTATGTCAATAAACAACTGAAAATAGGACTGTGGTGGCTTGTGCTTACGATTGAAGCGAGATAACTATGCATAGAACATTCGCGGGTGTCGAACGGCCAATAATCTAGCTGTGTAGCTGCCTAGAACGCTCAGCCAAACAGTCCCATGTCAAACTTATGTCTGTATGTAAAGAAAAGGATCGCACCCAACACATGTAAGTATAAGTAACGATCCATACATTAAGCCTCCTAGGTTGCCCTATCAGAAAGGCTTGCATATCGATCAATAATCAAGGCCTAAACTACTCCTTCAAGGTCTCTTGAAGGCAAATACACAGCACATGCACCTCCAATATTTGCCCGATCCCAGGCCCACCGTTTAGCCATATCTGGGTCCAGCTTCCCTTTGATCATCTTCTCCACGTAGCCCCCAATACTAGGCATAAATTTCCATGCATGGAATGATCCTCCACTCGCAATATAAAGATTCTGAGAATGAGGATGGGCGCATATAATAAAATCTTGATTTGGAGTTACAGCATCCCTGCCTACGGTTAGTCGATTACTCCGCATGTGATAGAACTGGCAGTCATACCAACACATGCGGTAGAATTCAGGAACAAGGCCACCAATATGCTCGCCATAAAGCATATCCTTGACGTACTTGACCTCGTTTTTCAGCTGGGCTGGGACATCCAAAGTCCAGGTGCTGGAGATCGGATCCTCTGGCGGAGCAGAAATGCGCCGATGTGAATCGTTATGGTAAAGCATATTGGTGAAACTTAGTTCATGAGTGCATTTCAGCAACCCAGTTTTTCCGGGGGGTATGCTTTCTCCTATGCATGATTAAAATCAAGCAATCCAAGTCAGCGTCAAGAGGCTAGGGATAGGACAAACCAGGGGTAACCCCAACAGGGTTCACCACAATCGGCGCAAAATCAAACTTTCCCATCTGTTCCGTAGGAACACGGTAAGCACCCATGATTGCAGCAGCAGCCACCATCCTGCCTCCGACTTGTAACGTCGGTTTATCCGGAGCGCTATTGGCTATCAACCAGGCAGTATTCGCTCCGGTGCATAGAATGACATGCTGTGCACGTAAATCGAGCCCTGTAATTGTTCGTGCACCAAGACAGCTGTGCCCAGTCTCGTCAAACAATAGCTTATCAACAGCGTGGGGGACATATTTCACACCCAGCGCAATAGCGGACTTGATGACATTTTGCAATGCGTTCTTTGCATCACCCCATCCTGCCTCTGGGCTGAACAGACAAGTTTCCACCTTGTCCAGACATGCATTTCGGAAAATGCCACCGAACCGTTCCTTGGCGGTAGCTGGTTCGATTAACTCGATGGGAGCGGGCTGAGAAGTAATGCTGGTATAATTCTTTGCAATCTCACTAGCATTCTCCAGCGTTGTGGGTAATAGCATGCCCACCCGGTGAAAATAAGGGCTAAATATAGGATCGGATTTCCACAAGTCCATGGCTTCTAATGCGAGGCGCATATAGAACGGGTCCGTATATTCTGCGCGAATGATCTTGTTCAGGTCATGGGCAGCTGCTGACGGGCAAGGGAATGGAGTACGGTCCAGCAGGGTGATATTAGAAGCTAACGAAGGATCAGAGCGAGCAAGCTGCAGTGCGGTTGCGGCTCCAAAGCAGCCAGCACCAATGATCAAGTATGACTGCGGAGGGCTCGAGTTGCACCCGGAGGGGGAAATCGATGGTTGTTGGCCAGGCCCAGAACCCATGGCTATGGACTAGTTATATAATGTGTTAACTAGTTGAAACAGTTAACAAGATACCTTACTGGCTAAGTCCTTTTAGTTAACCAGACGAAAAACAAGATGCTCCCTTGCTCTTCATCACCAGTATACACCACCAGAAGCGGCTTGTTGTTGCTTGCTGGCCAAAATCGACGTTTGGGGCAGCGATGCGGGATGACCAGCTGACTAATAAAATTCCTATCTCTGATATCAGCAGAAATCAGCCAATCAAAACAGTTCCTCGGCTAAGGACGGTGCCTGGGAGGTAAAGGGCAGTAAGTAAGTAAGGAGGATGGAGAGAGATGCTAACCGGCATTCTACACTTGATTTATGGGATATCTTGCTTAATGATGCACAAGCGAGCCTATACTTCTCCATGCAAGTTTTGCTTCAATAGTCACCTGCCACAAATCAGCTGCTTAATCATCGGATAACAACACCACTCTCGGATAGCATCCCGGCCAGGGTCAGGCCAATGATTAATGAACGATCTAAATGTCAAATATTGAGTTATTTACGGTTCGACGGCCCTCTCAGGTAAGATAATGAGATATATATATATATATATTGGTTTGCTTTATACAGAAGCATTGTCGAGATTTTGAACATTAAAGAGTTGCAAATATCGTGTCTATATGTCATACCAGTGTGGTAAAATAATCCAGGTTCATGTCGACAAACCGGAGACCCCATAACTGCCATATCCCCGGCTACAAGGTGGTGGCTGGATAATTCCACCCTGCATTGGAGATGGGGGTAACTCCATTGTAGCCGGGATCAGCTCTGGTGCTACTGTTCCAGGAATCCTGCAGTACTCAGCTTGCCACAGTAGTTAGCCCGTCGAGAATTGTGTCTCTGACAAGCAAAGATGAGACGAAACGTCGTCAAAACGAAAAGAAAAGGTGGTCGGTGCGTTTTATATGCTTATATAATCAACCACTGCGGCGGGAAGCTTCCCGTCAACCTTATTTTCTTCTCTCATCACCGTTTCTTCTTTCTTCCATTATCCTCTTCTGCTCTTCATCATCTCGAGCCGCCACCACCAATAGCCTCAAGCAGCGAAGAATAGCTGCACTCATCGATGGTTTGGCTCAGCCGACCCCCAGCTTGTTTCGGAGACAAGGATAGTTTACAAGGTTGTCACTCGCTGCCCCCTTTTACATTTCTGTATGCCGTTACTAATTGGCTTGACCAGCGATCCACCCACGTTCTTGCAGCCGTCGCGCGGAGAGGAGAGGCATATCAAGAAGTCAATACGGGTAGTTCATCCGCGAGAAGAGCAACAAAGAGTCCCGCGCCAATCGCGCCTTTATCCTTCCACGGGCTTGCCCGGATTTAACCATGGCTACCGCGGTGTCGCCCCGCCAGCTCGAGCTCGAGCAACTCTCCTCCTCCTCCTCCTCCTCCTCCTCCTCCTCCTCATGTACCCCCTCTTGCCCACAATATCCCGCGCACTCGCAGTATACAATGGCCGATTTCGCCGGTACCATCTTCCTCTTCTTCGTCCAGGTCCTCCCCGGGCTGCTCTACTCGGTCATTACCTTTACCACCATTACCGTCCCAACAGCCCTGTTCACCCTCTTCTCGATGAGCTTAACCTTCACAATGAATTTCACGACATTGTAAGTCCCGGCCGGCCTTTTCCTGCATTACTCTATATACCCACGGCTCGGTGATTAACAGATAATATAGACTATTAATAACCCTCTTCCTCGTCTCAACAATCAGCTGGTTCGTCCGCTATCGGTTCTTGAATATGTACGCTCACCTCCCTCCGGAACCGCAGCGGCAGGAACCACAGATAGACCTTTTCCCAGACACCCAGGAGGGAGACTCAAAGCCGGGACTAGCCAACTATCTAGATGAATTTTTGAGTGCTATAAAGGTCTTCGGTTACTTGGAACGGCCGGTCTTTCACGAATTAACCCGGACGATGCAGACCCGAAAACTTATTGCGGGCGAGACACTTTTGTTAGAGGAAGAAAAAGGGTTCTGTCTTGTGGTTGATGGCCTTGTACAGATATTTGTCAAGTCGGCGAGGGAGCGTGGTAAGGATGGAGAAAGTTCCGTGGAAGACTCAATGGAAGAGGAAGAAGAACAGCACCACCGTCATCACCAGGGGTACCAGTTACTCACAGAAGTGAAGAACGGTGCATCCATGTCCTCTCTCTTCTCCATACTATCTCTGTTCAGTGAAGATGTGAAGCTCCGCTATCAGGAAGGGGAAGAGCCTGCTTCACCCAGCCCTGTAAGCCCTTCACCGTTCGCCAGCAGCCCGCGGTCTTCCTTCCAAGACCGCCACCATCATCACCGCGACATATCCCTCCCATCCAACGGCGGACGCCTTCCTACAGTACCGCCCATGACATTAGACGATACCAACTCCGCCGCTCATTTCTCTACAGCTCACACCCCACCAACTTCTTCTGCTCAGAATCGACGTACCCCAAAGCGTCCGAGAACAAATTCCGTTCATCCAGATATAGTTGCTCGCGCTGTGGTGGATACGACCATTGCCATAATTCCTGCCAGTGCATTTCGTCGTCTTACTCGACTATACCCCCGTGCGACAGCCCATATTATACAAGTCATTTTGACTAGGCTGCAACGTGTGACTTTTGCCACAGCCCATTCATATCTTGGCCTCACTACAGATGTCTTGAGTATAGAAAAGAAGATGAACAAGTTTACTTCCTTTGATTTACCCAATGATCTCCGCGGGGCGCCACTGGATAGACTCAAACAGAAATTTCAGAGAGCCGTACAACGTCTTGGGCCGGAAGAAGGCTCAAAGGGAATTGCTCTACACAACCCTGGTGTCAGTAATAGGCGGAGATCGAGCAGTTCTCTGCGGAAAGATGCTTCATTAAGGGCCAAGGCGTCTGCCGCAAACGGGCAGGCTACATCACCACCAACCCCGCCTATCACTGATAAAGAGGCAGCAGGTGTAAGTCCCGGAGATTTGCTTTCCACCATTCAGCTATCTAGATTTGGCCCACGGCATGGTATCGATCGACGACTCGCTTCACGGAGTATTCTCCTCGACTCGACTTCAACTTCTGGGATTAAAACTCCGATGCATACTTCCCCCGATGCCAGTTCACCTGCAAATTCCATTTTTAATTCGCCCTCTACTGTCCATGTAAACGAAGATAGCCTCTTCCGCGAATCGATACTCGATTGTATGGTGAAGGCATTGGGTCTAACAGCAACTACGCGGGAAGCTCTCCCACTTCCCAAAGGTTTTGGGTCCGCTGATGGCTCTCCACATCTGGTCTCTTACGACTCGCGGAAACAAAAAGCGGTGTTTAACAACGCGTTTGGCTACATAGATCCATATGAGGCGTTTGGGGATGGTGACTCCGAATCTCAGATGAGCATTTCTGTTACAAGCGCAGGCGGTACGCCGCCAGTAGCCAATCTGAAAGCCGAGTTGAGCAATGAGATCGAAATTGTCTACTTTCCCAAAGGTTCAGTTTTGGTGGAACAGGGAGAGCGTAACCCGGGATTATATTACGTTATCGACGGCTTTTTAGATGTTGGTATCCCGGTGAATGATAAAGGAGAAGACCTGATCGGTCCATCGAAGAGTAACATTCACTCCGAACCGCTGCTTCCCCTTAGAAGACCATCAAACGTCAATGCACAAAATCAGCGGAAGAAGACCTCCCGTCGATCCCTATATATGGTCAAGCCTGGGGATTTAGAGGGTTACATTGGTTCCATAACTTCATATCGATCTTTCACAGACGTCACGGCGAAGACGGACGTGTATGTCGGTTTCTTACCGCGAATATGCCTTGAAAGAATTGCCGATCGGTACCCGCTTGTGCTTCTCTCTATGGCGAAACGACTAACCAATGTCCTTCCTCGTCTCCTGCTACATATCGATTTCGCCCTGGAATGGGTACAGGTCAATGCCGGCCAAGTCATCTATCATCAAGGAGATGAGAGTGACTCTATCTACATAGTGCTAAATGGACGTTTACGATCAGTTCTTGAATCTGGTGATAACAAAGTAAGCGTGGTTGGTGAGCATGGACAAGGCGAGAGTGTGGGTGAGCTTGAAGTCATGACCGAAACAACTCGTCCTGCCACTTTACATGCAATACGAGATACAGAACTAGCCAAATTTCCCCGTTCGCTATTCAACAGCCTTGCACAGGAGCATCCTGGAATAACAATACAGGTGTCTAAACTGGTTGCTCAGCGCATGAAACATCTGATCAACACTAAACTACTTGAAGCCGGTGGTGAAAAGGCTCATGATGAAGCAAGCAGCCTTACTTCAACGCTGAATCTGCGGACAGTCGCAATCCTTCCTGTGACATCCGGGATACCAGTTGTAGAGTTCGCAAGTCGTCTCCTCAGCGCATTCAACCAGATAGGGGTTCCAGATGGGGTTGCCTCGTTACACCAGGCGGATATATTTAATCATCTGGGGCGCCACGCTTTCAACCGTATGGGAAAGCTAAAGCTTTCACAATATCTTGCTGACCTTGAAGAACGGTATGGAATGCTTATATATGTCGCTGATACTAGTGTCAATGCCCCTTGGACGCAAACCTGTATCAGCCAGGCCGACTGCATTCTCCTAGTAGGTGTTGCTGGAGCCTCACCCAGTATTGGCGAATACGAGCGTTTCCTCTTAGGAATGAAGACGACAGCTAGAAAAGAACTAGTCCTGTTGCACGCAGAACGATACTCTCCACCTGGTCTTACAAGGCAGTGGCTTAAAAACCGCATGTGGATTAACGGTGGGCATCATCACATTCAAATGACATATCGTGCTACCCCTGAACCTGCACTACCACAAATCAAAAAATTCGGTACTGTCCTCAAGCAACGCGTGCAAGTTATCCAGGCTGAAATACAAAAGTATACCTCACGACGGATCCGCCAGGAGCCTCTATATTCTGCAACAACTCCGTTCAAGGGGGATTTTCACCGACTAGCACGTAGATTGTGCGGCAAGTCCGTTGGCTTAGTGCTTGGAGGAGGTGGAGCTCGAGGTATTGCTCACATAGGAGTTATCACAGCACTGGAGGAAGCCGGTATTCCAATTGATATTGTAGGCGGCACATCTATCGGTGCATTCATCGGTGCACTCTACGCTCGTGATGCAGATGTGGTGCCTATGTATGGCCGAGCAAAGAAATTTGCAGCCAAGATGGGCAGTATCTGGCGATTTGCATTGGATCTCACATACCCTTCTGTCTCCTACACAACGGGCCACGAGTTCAACCGTGGGCTTTTCAAAGCATTCACCGACAGCCAGATCGAAGATTCCTGGCTTGAGTTCTATTGCAACACCACGAATATCAGTCAGTCTAGATCGGACTACCATTCTTCGGGCTACGTATGGCGCTACGTACGTGCATCAATGTCACTAGCTGGCCTCCTTCCGCCGCTCTGTGACGAAGGTAGCTTGCTTCTGGACGGCGGATACGTGGATAATTTGACTGTTTCACGCATGAAATCTCTCGGTGCAGACGTCATATTCGCCGTGGACGTGGGTGCCATCGACGACAACACTCCACAGGTATATGGTGACTCACTATCTGGATTCTGGACAGTTCTCAATAGATGGAATCCATTTACTAGCGTCCCTAATCCGCCCACTCTCTCCGAGATCCAAGCCCGTCTTGCCTATGTCTCATCCGTGGACGCACTTGAGCGGGCAAAAAACACCCCAGGATGTCTTTATATGCGTCCACCAATTGACTGCTACGGGACTCTGGAATTTGGCAAGTTTGATGAAATATACCAAGTAGGCTATCAGTATGGAAAGGGATTCCTAGAGAAGCTCAGGAAGGAAGGCTCTCTGCCAATGCCAGAAGAGACCGAAGAGAAGAAGAACATGCGGAGGACTATGGCGCCAAGACGAGCGAGTATTTAAAGGGCGAAGAAGAGCAGGATGAATTCCAGGGAGGATATATATATATTTTCAAGCCAACTTTCTGTTCCTTTTTCTCATACCTCAGCATCATTATATATACCCAGCCGGCGATACCCTATATATGGAATCATGTCATTCCAATGGTTCATCTACGGAGCATTAGCATGAATACTGTAAAATACTACATACAATGTTATTAATTTACCGTGCTCTTTACTAGCATTACTAGGGTGCATAATTGAGGTTCTCGAATAATCAATTAGTATACAACAAAATGAAATTACGGTCAATAAATAATAATGATAATAAAGAATAAATCACTACAACTCCAACCATGATGCCAATAATAATGTAATTTTCTTTTAGCCTAACGGCTCTTCTTTGGTGCCTGGTGAGCCTTTTTGACCTGGCTCCAGCTCCGCATCGCTACTCCAATCTGCATCTTCGCCCGCGGACAAACCTTCTCTCTCATATACATCGCTGCTAACGCTCGCTTTACGGTCAATCTTGTTCCCAGGGCTATCGCCATCTGTGGGGGTAGAGGGTTCTACCACGACAACCGGTGCCGCTGGTCTTTGAGGCATACTCTCACTCCGTCTACGTATATGTTCTTTGCGAAGCATATCATGAGTAGCGGTATCCTTTTTCTCCTCACCGTTCCAACCGCCACACCCAACACAGCGCCATCGTCCAACTTCTTCCAAGGTGCGAATACCAGGCGCAGCTTGTCCGTTGACTAACCGGCAGTGGACGCATATCAGTGCCAGGCGGTTTTTTGGCAGCGTTTCGTCTTCACCAAGGAGAACGTCAAGTATCCTGTCATACCACTGTGGCTGACGGGGTTCAATATTCTGGGTTGGAGGGAAGGCACTGGGATGAAAACCAGGCTCATCGGGAGGATGGTGCGGTGGCTGTTGTTGCATTTGCGCTAACTGTAAGCTGGATGGGCTCGGTGGGTTTGACGGAATAGCAATTTGTTTGCGATCGTGTCCCTGTCCCATGGGGCTTGAAGGGAGGGAACCGGCAGTTTGTGGCCGTCGAATATTAGCTGTAGGAGGGGGTGTCATTCTGGTTCTTGGTCCTTGGAAGGGGAGAGAAGTTCGAGAACGAGGACCCTTGCGTGAGCCTCCATGCTGATTCATCCCTTCCATGTCATCAGCACCTTCTTGTGGAGACGGGGACCTCGGAGGCTCTGCGCCATATTTCTCGAGTAGTTGCAGAGTAGAGTTGTATTTCGTAGCTTCTTTCAGCTTTTCAATAGTCTCGTCACGTTGTTTCTGCAGTTCTTCGAGGTATTTCTGTGTCTTCGTGATTCGATACTGGAAGAACGCTGCGCCTATCCGCCGAACTGTATATATTCTATAAATCCAGACATGTTAGATCTAGAACACCAGAGTTAAACAAAATCAAGGGTATCATACACTACTGGGCTACCTGACAGGGCCGTATACTCTACAGGCCCCCACCGCTCCCAACCTAACACCAGTGCCGCAATGAGTGCGTACAATATGTACGCAAAGGTAGTATACAGCGTCCAGAGGGCCTTGAACCGGCGAGCACGTTGCCTGTGAACCTCTAGTCTGCCATTTGATTGTGCGATCTTCTCAGACAAGCCTGCGAGTGTCTTCTCAAATGACGCTGGAGAGTTATCCGGGCCCTGTTAACTCATCGTTAGCTGCTGTAGACCTAGTTCATGTACTGCGAGAAGATAACACTTACTCTCCATGGCCAGAGGGACACCATGGTGATTCAGTATCAGCGATCCTGCTTCATATCAGCATGTTAAAATGGCCGTTCAGCGCTGTACCATGGTCTTCTTGAGCTTTTATCCGCGTGTTGGCCGTGTTAGAAGCCATCACAGACGTTGCTGGCATCAAGAAGAGCCAGTTGGTGGCTGCTGACTAAGCACGGCCATTCTACAGAGTTAACTATTTGCTTCCAGCAGAAGAAGCACAAGTAAACATTTATTCCAACTACAGCGCCAGGTATATACTTGATCCTAGAGCTACGACGGAGTCTTCTTCCTGTGATTCGGGGGACATGAAAGTGTTAGTCTGCAAGTTGGCAAGGCTGCAGTACTTATACCGGAGCCAGGGATCGAGCTGTTTCGTCTAAATAACTAATTGCCAGGGTGCTCAACCGGATCTCAACAGCCAGCCTTTTTGGCCATTGTCAGACATCCCTATAGCAACTGACAGCCACCCACGGAAGTTCAGTATTGGGGAGTGCGGAATAATTTGTACGCGATCATCTTTTGGATAACCCCGAAAAGGCCACTGTTACTCGAAAACGGCCGCAATGTTCCAGGTGAGCTCATGCAACTGCAACTAGGAGCTGCGACTCGAGCTGACACAACTTGATCCCAGCGTATCCGCGGTGCTATCGATGCTAGGATAGCTGAAGAACAGGCCCGGCAGCGCGCCAGTCAGGAAACTCTGTCCCGTTCGAACTCAGCGGCCCGAAAGTCGAACAATGCATCCCCATCTCAACGAACAAGCCGGATAAAGCAAGATAGTTCCGGAATTCCATCCCGTGGACCAGACCCAGCCGAGTTTGATGGCGAGGCGATCACCGGAGATGATGAGCCGATGACAGAGACCTCCTCGTCTAATCAAGGGTCTGAGAAGGGTGTATTTGGGAACCCAGGGCAGCAGTCAGGGCAGCAGGCAAAGGGAGATGCAAAGGAGGCATCTACAGCCGGGTTGAAGGATGGGTCCATGAATGAGTTACCCACCGATATCCGAGTGAGGCTGCGAAGGCTGGATAAGCTAGAGGCTAGGTATCAAGGTATGTATAGGTATGATTCTGCAGTTAGGATCCCGTGAGTTAACAATCACATAAAGAACTGCTCAAGGCTTATCGAGCTGCACACGCCCGAGTCCTGACTATAGAACCGTTCGAAACTGCCCTTCGTGAAACTACGCCTCTTACTTCTATTACAGACCCTCGTGCCCTAACTGAATACCTCAATCAGATTTCATTAAAGGGTGATATGGTGGTGGAAGAGTTGAAGCGGGTATCGTCAGAGCGTGATGAGTTCAAGGCTAAGGTGGAAGCTGCAGAGAAATCTGCCAAGGATGCTTGGGATGAGGTATCTAAACTCAAGAGCAAAAACGATTCCGCTGGAGAGAGCCAGGTGGAGAGCAAGAAGGATGCTACACAGGCTCCGCCGATTAGTCCACCAGGAGAGACTTCAGAAAATCCGAAGAAATCACCGACCCCTTCTGTGACTTCTATGGCCACCGCTATTCCTGGCTTATCCATATTTTCTCCAAAAACGAAACCTGTTTCTTCGTCGCCGCCAGTTGAGGAAACGGAGGAGTTCTTTTCCTTCGACAATGAGATACCACGGCTAGAGTCCGAGATAAAATCTCGTGATAAGGAGATTACTGGGCTCAAATCTCAGATTAAGACATTGACAAACGATCTCGCCGTGGCTCGCGAATCAACAGAGGGCATGGTTCATAGCTTGGAGTCTGCTACCCGTGAGCTTAGCGGCCTGCGTGAGCACAAAGATCTACAGGAAGCTAAGCTTGTGAGCCAGGAGTCATCCTTCAAGGAACAAATCGCGGCCTTGGAATCAAAATTGGCATCAGCTTCATCAGAGCTAGATAACTCTACTGCGGAGATGGGCAAACTGAGGTCTCAGATCAAAGAGACGGAAGAAGAAATGAGCCGGATAAAGGCAGATCTGAATGCTCAAGAGCAGAGCAAGGCAAACGATAAAGAAGCTGGCAAACGGCAGGAAATACTGCAAGGAGTTGTAACAAATCTAAAGTCGCAACTCAAAGAAGCCGAAGACACAATGTCATCCTTGAAGGTAGAGTTGTCTGCTAAAGCAGCCGAAACAGACTCTCTCAGTGCCGTTGTTAGCTTCATTGACAAGGGTTTGGATGATAACGAGACGTGGAAATCCGCCAGGGATCGAATTTCCCATGGTGAGTACGTTGATTTCGCAGAAATCAAGAGAAGTATTAAAGGGACAGACCCTTCGAAGCCCACTGAGGACGTCAATATTCCCGCTGCTACTAATGCTACCCCTGCTGCTGCGACTTCAGGGTCCAAAAAGAAGAATAAAAAGAAGAAGAAGGGGGCAAAGCAAGAATCTGACGAGACTGTTGAAGTGTCAAATGCCAGTATACCTCCGCAAAATTCTGGCACCATCAGTGATCTTGAGCTTAAAATTCAAAAACTAGAAACAGAGATTGCGGAGAAGGATGCTGCAATCGATCGTCTCTGCTTGAAACTTAAGGGAGAGGAGAATCTACGCGAGGAGATAGAAACCCTGCAAGATGAAGTGGTAAGCCTTGGGCAGGACCACGTTGAGGCAAAAGATAAGGTCAAAGAGTTACTTGCAGAGAAATCTGCTCTTGAGAAGCGTGCTGCAGAATTCGAAAAAGAGATATCTAGTCTACGGTTGAGCTCTACACAATCATCAGATGCTGAGAAGGCTCATAAAGGTTTGTCGGTGGAGTTTGAGGACCTGAAGTCAAAAGCATTGATTCTGGAGACGGACCTGAACGCTGCTCAACAGCTGGCGGCTTCTAGGTTTAAAGATCTCTCCGATCTTCGAGACACTCTGCAGAAACTACAGCCTGAGCTACGCTCCCTGAGAGCAGAGTCAGCAGAGCTTAAGAAAGCAAAAGAAGAACTGAAGACAAAGACATCACAGGTGTCAGACCTGGAGCATAAACACGATGATCTACGTTCAGAAATTAAGAGCCTACAATCCTCGATTGAGGAGAAGGATTCCGAGGTGAAAACACTGCGCCAAAAGATCAGCCAGGAGACTAATGGAAGACTGAAAGCAGAGCAGGCCCTCGAGGTAGCGCAAGGCGATTTGCGTTACTCTGAAGGGAAGAAGCAAGAGGCGATTGAGGCTAACGAGAAGACTCTACGTGACCTTTCAAAGACTGAAGAGGAACTTCGAGCATCACAGTCTAGGCTTCGTGATGCTGAGGAACAAGTATCCCAGCTTAATAGAGATATTGAACAGTTACGCGATGACATCAAGCTGAAGACGGCCCAGTACTCCAGCGCTCAAAGTCTGATGAGCAGCATGCGAGACCAGGCATCAGAAATGGCAATGCAAGTAAAGGAAACAACTGAAAGATGCGAAAGTCTAGAAGAAGAGGTTGCGGATGCTCATCGCCTTCTATCTGAACGGTCTCGTGAAGGAGAAACGATGAGGAGGATGCTCTCAGATATCGAAATGAAGGCAGACATAAAAGTGCGGGAACACAAAGAGAGACTCGAAGCCGTCATTGAAGAACGGGACCGAGCCGAAGATGAGGCAAACTCGGTAAACCGAAGAAGAGCCCGAGAGATTGAAGAGTTAAGGACGAAGGCAAGGGATGCGGAGAAAGCCCTGAGAAGGGTAGAAGAAGACAAAGACGAGGTAGAGCATGCACAAAGGGAGTGGAAACGGCGACGAGGGGAGCTGGAATCACAGCTGGAACGCTCTAACCAAGAGCTCGCCGAGGTTAAAGAAGCCATGTCACACTTGCGGGATGCGCTTGATGAAAGCGAGCGCCATGCCAGGGACCTAGAAAAGGAGAAGACTGCCCTCCGCCGGTCTATTGAGGAAACCAACCAGCGGCTGGAGAAGCTCAAGCGGACCAACAAGTCCCTCGCTAGCGATTTGAAAGCTTCCCAGCTACCGAACAAGCGCGGGATCGACTCTGGGAACAGATCACCGCGCTCTTCTCTTGAATCGGCGAGACAGCGCGGTGTTACTTCTCCGCCCCCAGGCACAAGCAGCGGTCGAAACGGCTCGATCACCCGGAACGATACACCTACTCCGATTGACTACGTTTACCTTAAAAACGTATTGCTACAGTTCTTGGAGCAAAAAGACCGAAACCACCAGAAGCAGCTGATTCCAGTTCTTGGGATGCTGCTACATTTTGATCCGTAAGTTGTTCACCTCTGACAGTTGGGCTGAATATTCAACTAAGCTATTTGCTATCTACAGAACGGACGAGCAGAAATGGATGTCGGCTATATCATCACGATAAATGTAGCGCCTGCTGTAATCTGCATGACTCACATAGCTAACTAATACGATGTAAATTTCGGCCACAATCCGTATTGCTATTTAGCCTCTTTCTTGAGCGCTGTCAACCTTCTCAGCAAACCTCGGATTCTCTGTCAAAGGGCGTGAGTGTCAGTTCTAGGTTGCGATAACGGGTATTTGCCACAGGTCGGTCAGTATTCATGTAGGTATATAATGGCCCAAACACCCGGGATTCTTTCAGCAATACTGAATTTCTTCCCGTTAAAGAGAAGAAACCTAGTTATAGGCATCAAAGCACAGCAAAGCATCAACCCGACAGCATGGCCGACCAGCCGATTACCAGGCTTGCAACTGAAGACGGTACGAACACACGCGGCTCGGTTCTTTGACAGGGAGGGTAACTTGATAGTAGAGCTAATCAGACAAGCAGACATCCCGATCATCCTGCAGTTCATCAACGAGCTCGCAGAGTACGAAAAGGCACAGCATGAAGTCCAGGCCACCCTCTCTTCGCTAAGGGAGACACTCTCGTTCCCCGACTCACCCAAACGAGGCTCTGTCTATACGTTTCTCATTACTCCGCCTGCCACCAAAGCCGACAACAGTCCGAAACCCGTGGGGATGGCCCTCTTCTTCTATAACTACTCAACTTGGAGATCAGCGCCCGGTGTCTACTTGGAGGACCTCTACGTTCAGCCAGCCTATCGAGGCAAAGGTTACGGCTTCAAACTACTACAGACACTCGCCCAAGAAGTCATTCGTATAGGTGGGAAGAGACTTGAATGGTCCGTTTTGAAGTGGAATGAGCCCAGTATCAAATTCTACAAGTCCATTGGCGCGGCACCGAAGGATGAGTGGCTGGGGATGTGCGTCTCCGGTGATGCATTGAACAACCTGGCTGGTCAGGGTCCATAATTCGGCATTGACACTCACCCTCTAGATGTATATGAACCAGTTGATTATCACAGCCTTTTACATTTGGAGTACTGCAAAGTAATACAGGCTATAGAGTGTTTTTTTCGTGACTTCAGACACATCCACACTTACCACAAATGCGGCCAGAAGAAGGCCTTTTCTTTCTTCACTGAAAAGCTTTGGATACATTAGGTCTAGAGAAGCCTACAGCTCTCTTTGAGCTTGTCATCTCCGTCATCGAATGACCTCAGCGAACTTCGGTGATTCGGAGAGCCTCAAGGCAAATCGAGTTCTCTCTCCTGCGCTGGACCTGATGATTCCCGCTTTTGCCACCGCTGGTCCCCAGAGCTGGTCTGTGATGATAGCTTTCGGAGACGACCTGTAGTTAACCTTGACGGCCGACCTCCCCGCATAGTTAGCTGACGAGTCAACTGATGGCTTGAGGCTGTGAAGAATGGCCGAGCTACCTTGGAACCGTTTGAGCAGAGGACGGCGAGCTGGCCATCAAAGCGGTTGACTTTTTAGTCAACTGTTTAACCGCCTTTGTCCTTCACAAGCTTGCAGAGTTTGTCACGTACGAGACCGTCGACTGGTCCATCCATTCATTCAAAACTTGAAGTCTAACCTTGTGCAAAGGCTTACTCTGTCCTGATATCAAGGAAAGGTAAGCGAAAGGACAAAGAAGAGAGAACCGATGGTTTTACGGTCGAAAGCCTGTGCGCAGGTCCTTGGCTAACTTGCTTCTTAGACATGACTTACTGAACCAGCCCTTGACGGCCAGAACCGATTTCCGTTGAGATGAGATGTCATGACCTCAGCGATGTATGACCTTGTGCTTTTGCCCCCTCCCCTGGCGGCAGCTGGGAATTCTCCTTGCAGTCGGTGCCAGGGCGAAGCTACTCTTCTGCCCCAAGTCACTCGACATAAAGCACTCGGTCTGGCCGCAAAGGTGTACATGGCTATTCCTTCATGGTCGGAGCCTATCTCCCGTAGTCCTCAAAGGGTTGCTCTGGCTACACCAATATCCCGCTTGTTCCATGTATAGAGGACTAGCTGCTGCTCTGGCGCATGCCTTACGCCACAAGTAGCGGACACATCTAAGCGCATGGCAAGACATCTCCTTTGTCTAGAAGAAAGAAGACAAAGCATAATAGAAAGTAAGCGTTAACTCTACTTTCTTGTCTGTGGGGGTAGAACCAAGTTTAGATGGTGGCCGAAGCTTGTGGAGAAAGCGGATGCGGTATCCAGCTAGCTATCTATATATACCTACAGACAGTTATTCCACGGATCCCATTTTCAATGTTTCTTCGATATTTCAATTGCTTTCAAGAGATAATCAACCGTTGTCACCTACTCAGTACCGTACTAGATATCTTTGGGTAATTCTACAGCGACATTTTTCACTGTACGGAACCAACACAAGATACAGGCGGAAATGCTCACCTCTCTATCTGTCTTACGGCTCTATTCGACAGATTACTTGACGTCTGCAGGCTAGAGGAGCAGACCGTAACAGAAGAAACCGGATAGTTGTTGACACTCAACATCAAACTGATACCAAAACTTCTACTTAATACCTATCACCAAGACCCATTGTTGATCGGGAACCGTGAAGATGGAGTTCCCCGCTGGTGGAGTGATAGTCATCGTTATCAACACCATTTTTACTTCGCTCGCGATCATCGCCGTGATCCTCAGATTCTACGCCATCCATGTCATTGGTAGGAACTACTATATGAGTGACTATCTTATAGTCCTGGGTCTGGTATGGCGAAACTACCCCATCAAAATTTTACCGCTATGTGGCTAACACTGGCTGCCAATGATATCTGCAGATCTTTACAGTTGCCACGGCAGTCCTTGCAATGGTTGGTAAGTTAAGGAGTCTATCAGCTTCTGGCATGGCGGTTGCTGACGTTTTATTGCAAACGCCTAGCTGTTATAGATGGCGGCGCAGGCCTACACATGAAACAGGCGACCGACCGCCAGCTTCTGATGTTACTGAAGGTATGCATAGAATAAAATGATAATTTGCATCTTATCGTACCACATGACGCATTTAGGAATCTTCACTAACCTGGGAGCATAGACATTCGTTGCAGGGCCTATAATATGGTCCACTGCTACAACATTTATCAAACTCTCCATCTTATCCTTCTACCACAAAGTGTTTGGCTCGAAACAGTCAATGAGAATCGCTGTTTATATTGAGAGCACTGTCACTATAGCCCTCTACCTGGCCGGAATCCTAGAGCCCTTCTTGCTCTGCCGGCCGTTCAACTATACCTGGAACAAAGACGCACACGGAACCTGCGGTAATGCAACAAAGGCGTATCTAGCTATAGCCGTGGCCAACCTGATCGTTGACTTGTCCATATACCTGCTTCCAATACCGGTATTGTGGAACCTCCAGATGAATTTGGTTAAGAGACTAGCACTGTGTGGTATATTTGCCATCGGTCTAGTGTAAGTACAATCCGCCCCTTTTATTAAGTGCACCCATGTTGATGCTGATACTCCCGGCTAGTGTTTGCGTTTTCTCTAGCCTTCGGATATATGCCGTTTTGACCCTCAAAGTCAATGATTATTCCCATTCTATGATCAAGGATGTAACTTTCGGTGGCTTGGAGGTTGAATTGGGTGCAATAAACGCTTGTCTCCCATTCTATCGACCACTTGTCGCCAAGTATATCCCGAGTCTCAAGTTTGATCGCAACTCTAGCAGAGGGTCATATGATAGCGCAAAATCTCGGCCAGGTCATGTCCCCTGCAGTAGTGAGGGCGCATCCCGGGACTCACGTGGGTCACAAAACCCATTAAACCCTCCAAGCTGCAACCCTTATGTTGACGAAGTAGTTGGTGAACCATATGCAAATGGAGATGGGCATATCCAGTTAGACGATAGCTCGCTAGAAAAGGGAATTACCCAGGAGCAAAGGGCTACCAGTCGTTGATCAAAGGCAGGCAAGTCCCGCACGATATTCTCTTGATCATCCATACCACATCACCAGCTCCACAAAGTCGGCCAAAGCTACAATCATCCTCTCCGCAGCCAGTCGTCCTTCCGAGGTATTGTCCAAGATGTCGCAAATCCAACTCGAAAGTTGGCTCCCAAGCACCGTATTTTTTGCGAAGCACCGCCCACTCAAAATGCCACATGAACCAAACATCAGCCACATGATGGCAGTTATCTAGGCACTAGCAGGCAGGGTCCGGAGCTCCCTACCTATAGTGCTTACCAAAGTTTAATTGGAAAACCTCTAGTATGATGGCTATCGCTGGGCCTTGTGGCTTTCCATCCAAAAACTGATGGATATTGTTCGGTAGTAAAATGACATTATTCCGAGCGTTGATACCCCTGTAGCCTGGATCAATTGTAAATAAAAATATTCCACATAATATCAAACGAATGAGTAACCCAATGCAAATCTCCACGTTCATTATATCAGCTCCCACTTGTTCAGTTTCTTGGCCATACGGTCAAGGTAATATAGAGCCTCAGGTCCCGCATAAATGAGCCGTTACTATGAGTGCTGCATCTAGATTATTAATAAGTATAGTATCTATCTATCGTCAGTTATATTTCGATTCTTTCGCCAGAAGCAGTACGAGAGGTCATGTGAAAGCCGAGTAGCCGAACCGTCAGGTATTTGTCTGCATCCCCGACCTTGATTCCTCCAGATCCTGAGTGATTTATGTACGTTTTTGTAGAGAGGTTATACCACAGAAATATATGGAGCCCTCAGTAAAGTAGTGTAGTTGTATGGAGCAAATACTTCCATGGCACAAGAATATTGCTTAGTCATTAGCCGTATGTCACATGACGAATTATGTAATCCTGCCCCGCCCAAGGGTAGGCGAGAAGGGCCGCCGGGAGATCCGGGAGACGCCCGTATCAGATCTGTTTTTTTCTGCAGACCTGAAACGGGAGAGAAGATAGGAAAGCAAAATAAGCCAGGTCGAAGTTGTATGATAAGATCAACACGAGCTAGAAAAAAAAACCCCTCCGGTTGCTGTCGGTACTGGGAATCGGGTTGGGGCAGCCACAATGCTACGTTATACTATAACTGTGTCATACAAGAGTGCCACCGTACTGAATGGAAGGGGAGTTTCATTCTGAGCTCATGCGCGAAGCATATGCCCCGATGCAGAGTTGACCATTCCCATTCTGAATGTTATTGATGCACGACATCGCTCGGCTGTTTCCGCAATGCAGATGGTGTTTCTAGAAAGCTGCATGGTAGATTTTCCATGGCTCTCGTGTTAGGGGTGGTATTTTTGTCTCCCGGATTTATGATTCGTGGAAGAGAAATAAAGAATCACGATCCAGAAGCAGCACCAAAACTCTATATAATGTTAGCACACCTAGAGCTCTCGTCACAGGCGTGCTTAACTACGGGGAAAATGCTGTCAATGAAATTGTATGTCTTCGCGAAAGCAGCAAAAGTGATCGTAACTACTTAACCCTTATTACTAAGCAATAATAGTTAAGCTTAAAGTGGCCCCACATTAATTAAGGTTACCCCAAAGTTCAGATTCTCTCTGATTGGCTGGAAGCCCGGCCACTGGCAAGCCAGCATCTCGGCTTGTTTTCTGCACGAAAAGGAGTGTAATCTGCTTGCATCCCTCTGCATTGCATTTCAGCCCGTTGGAAGGGAGGGACAGCACATTTTTCTTCACCATCTAGCATACTCATACTCGCTTTCCCTCCCGACATCATCATGGATAGGTCCTCAGGTAGTCTATCTACCGGAGAGATGAGCAGCCATGGAGCTCATCTCCAGGGGACTGAGCTAGCAGAGGCTCCCGACCTGGAACTACTGGGTGAGTGCAAGAATTGAAAATTCTTCCAGGTCGTCTCATAGAAAATATGCTAAGGTATATCTAGCGGTCATGGGCTATAAGCAGGAACTTCGCCGACATTACTCCACGATTCAGGTGTTTGCTATTGCCTTTAGTATAATGGGATTGCTGCCGTCAATTGCATCGACGCTGTCCTTTTCCGTGCCTGCGGGGCCAGCGGCTATGGTTTGGGTACTTAACCCCCCACCAACACAAGTAATAGTTAGTAACACAGGACTCTGGGGATATGGCTAACCACTGTGCACTTCCATATAGGGCTGGTTCACTGCCTGCTTTTTCATATTCATAGTAGGAATCGCTCTGGTAAGTTAAAAAACTAGGCGTCGCTTAGCTCGTACGGGCAGTATTACTGAAGTTTAACTAATAATAGGCTGACCTCGGCTCCGCGCTCCCAACATCCGGAGGATTGTATTGGTGGACACACCACTTCGCAGCAGACAAGTGGAAGAACCCCCTTAGCTTTCTCGTTGGTTATAGCAATACCATAGGCCTCATTGGCGGTATATGCTCGGTCGATTGTAAGTGATTTTGTGCCCAGTAGTCACCGCCAGTTTTATGCTGATGAACCTTAAGACAGCTTCGTGCTTATGGTATTTGCCATCGTCTCCTTCATTCGTGACGGCGAATGGATGGCTTCAAGAAGTCAGATATATGGCATTTATGCCGCTACCATAATAGTCCACGGCATACTTGCCATACTGGCGGCGCCAATTATGCATCGCATACAGTCAGCCTGTATCGTTGCTAATGTTGGCCTAGTACTAGCAACTGTTATTGCATTGCCGATCGGAAGATCAAGAACCGCCGAAGGTATCAATTCTGCAGCCTATGTTTTCAGCCACGTAGAGAACCATACTTCATGGCCAACAGGGTGGGCATTTATGCTCGCGTGGCTGTCACCCATCTGGTCCGTCGGCGCTTTTGATTCCTGCGTCCATATGAGCGAGGAGGCGATGAACGCTGCCAAAGCTGTTCCCTATGGAATCCTGGGAGCCATTGGCGCATGTTGGTCCCTTGGTTTTCTATCTCTTTGCATTATCGCTGCCTGTATAAGTACCGACTTAAGCTCAGTCCTCGAGAGCCGGTTTGGTCAGCCAATTGCCCAGGTAACTTCATGTCCTAAGCGCACTTCGTAGGTATCAAGCTAATATATCCGATTCATAGATATACTATGATGCTCTGGGGAGAAATGCAGCAATAGGGTTTATGGTGACCATGGCAACAGTCCAGTTTTTCATGGGATTAAGCATTGTAAGGAACCCTTCGGCTAGTCGCTTAGAAAAGAGACTGTCTTAACAATATATCCAGGTGATCGCGGCATCTCGACAGACATGGGCCTTCTCCCGTGATGGTGCCCTCCCCTTCTCAAACTACATGAAGGTAGTCAGCAGAAGATTCCGTTATCAACCAGCGCGTGCGGTAGTGGGAGTCACTATCACGTCCGTCATACTTGGCTTGCTTTGCCTTATCAACAGCGCTGCCACAAACGCGCTATTCTCGCTAACCGTCGCTGGAAACAATGTTGCCTGGGCGACTCCGATATTCTGCCGTATATTCTGGGGCCAGAACAAGTTCAAGCCTGGTGCATTTTACACAGGCCGGCTCAGCACACCAATCGCCATCCTTGCACTCGCGTATCTCTCCTTCTCAGTCACTCTGTCGATGTTCCCAACTGCCGGGCCAGCACCATCCCGTAAGTACTTTCCCGCCATCTTTCTCCAGCATTATGTGTCCCATGGTAACACCAATATTTCCATAGCGGATGGCATGAACTACACTATCGCGATCAACGGGTGTGTCTGGGTCGGCTCGCTGTTGTACTATTTCGTATCTGCCAAAAATTGGTTCCATGGGCCGCAGAGGACTCTGGACCCAGCATCGGTGTCTCTGGAAGGAAGCGAAGACAAAGAGAAGAGATGATGTGAAGTTCCCTCGAACTGGTGTTATATTGTATGTTTTGTCCTCTGCGGTTGTTTTTTTTTTTTTTTTTTTTTTTTTTGTTCCATCTTTTCCCGCCAGAGGGATAAATTTACAGTTTTAGAATTAAGCGTAAGTTACTAGAGTTTAGATAAGCTATGCTGACAAAGCAACTCTAATTTGACTGCTGAAACATGATAGACCGGAATATCAACCAAGCCATCTCCATAACCAACGAGCGAACCAGCAGACGGGGTAGTGACATCGGTACTTCGAGGAATTCTCAGCCAATGTCTGTCGTTTCACCACTGAAGGATCCTGGCTTGGCGGGCAAATGGTGCAATCCGCCACAAACTTCTTGCACTTTTGCGACATCGGACATGTTGCGATGCGTTTGAGATCCCTGACCATGGAGCACAGGCGAGTTTGTCTCCAGAGCTTCGCATCGCTTCGTGTCTTCCCCGCCATATAGAGGTAGTTGAACCGTCGGGTAGCCGAAGCTCTCCTCAGAGACTTATTTATGCTGCTTGCTCCCCCCCGGGTTCCTGGCTTGCTGAGGGGGCCCGTCTTCGCCTTTGTTTGTCCTGTTACTTTCCCCCTGTTTTTTGCATTCCGTTGGAAGAATACATTCCAAGTCTAAGACTCCACTTATAGACCTGGAGGCCGGCTAGCAACTGCAGCTTCTGTTGGTGTTGCCGGATACTTGTCTGGCGCCCGTCTGCATTACCGACGCGGCGACACAGAAAAGTTCAAAAGACGGAAAAGAAGCAGGAAAAAGGAAGACGGAACCGCCGAGGGTCTCTCTCCATGATGGCTGTTACTGAAACCCATACTGATGGCGCGGATACGATCATTCCCACGAGTGCGCATGGCAAGCCACCGGGTGATCCAGTCCTGCTGGAGAGTGCAATGCCCGAGGAAACTCCCCAGAATGCCCCGTTGCACCGGACTCTGAAGTCGAGACATCTTCAGATGATTGCCATCGGAGGTGCGTCTTGCTTTTCTGCTTTGGGGTTGTTCCTCTATGCCTGATCAACCAGTTAATGTTATCTTTTGGAACAGGCATTATCGGCCCCGGCTTGCTTGTTGGATCCGGAAATGCCTTACACGTTGCTGGACCTGCCGGCATTCTCATCAGCTTCACACTCGTTGGAATCCTTGTTTTCTTCGTAATGTAAGTACTTCCTTTGTGATATACAAAGGCTGTCCGGTATTTATACTTACTATATAAGGCAATCTCTGGGCGAAATGGCTACTCTTATCCCCGTGTCGGGATCGTTTACAGAATATTCAGCTCGTTTTGTTGATCCGTCGCTGGCTTTCGGTCTTGGTTGGGCTTATTGGTATTTATGGGTTACCGTTAGTTTCCATTCATCCCCACTACGCGTTTTCTTATATTTGGACCATCTTCACGATTACTGACGATTCTCAGGTCCTTTCTAACGAATACAATGCATTAGCTCTTGTTATGGGCTACTGGACAGATGTTGTACCGCAATGGGCATGGATTCTTATGTTTTGGGTCATATTCTTAACACTGTCAAATCTTGGAGTTCTAACATACGGCGAGGTTGAGTTCTGGCTTGCCTTGTAAGTATCTACACCTTGACCCCTTTTTCTGTCTGTTAGCTAATCGTAACTTGTGTATAGGATCAAAGTCATCTCCCTCACGATATTCTTTATCCTTGCAACAATCATCAGTGCCGGTGGTATTGGCGGCAAAACAATCGGGTTCAAGTATTGGAGCAATCCTGGCGCTTTTGCCGACTCTATCAACGGAGTAGCGAAGACATTTGTGATCGCAGGCACACTCTATGCTGGGACTGAAATGTATGATGCACCATCCACCTTATCGCTCCGTTGAGTCTCTCGTCTTACACAATCTAGGGTTGGTATTACTGCTGGCGAATCGGCGAACCCCCGAACCGCCGTTCCGACCGCTATCCGCCAGGTGTTTTGGCGTATATTGATCTTCTACGTCGGTGTGTACTCCTTCAATAACGCCTCTCCTATATCGTCAACGAAACTAACATAATGTTAGGAATGATGTTCTTCATTGGTATCCTGCTACCATATGACGACAAGCGCCTCCTGTCCTCTGGCTCCAAGACAGCGCAGTCACCTCTGACTATTGCACTCTCCGATGCCGGTATTCTTCCAGCGGCTCATCTGATCAATGGTTTGATCGTTATATCTGTGATCTCTGCTGGTAACAGTTCGCTATATGTTGCATCTCGCACGATACTGTACATGGGACGATCTGGCAAGGCGCCGGCTATCCTAGGTCGAACAAACAAAGCTGGTGTTCCCTGGGTTGCTTTGCTGTTTACCAATCTGGTTGCTTGCATTTCCTTCCTTTCCTTGTCTTCCAGTGCCGGAAAACTATATTCTGCACTTATTACTTTGTCAGGAGGTATGAATCCAAAAAAGAACCCCAGCTAATGGCCTGCATATACTGACAAGTTTCCCTAAGTGTGTACATTCATCGTTTGGGCTGTCATAGCCATAACCCACATTCGTTTCCGACAGGCACTCGCCATCCAAGGCGAAGATACCTCTGTGCTACCATTCCAAGCTATGTTCTACCCTTGGGGAACATATATCGCCCTCGCAGCAAACATATTTTTGATTTTCTTCCAGGGATACACCGCTTTCCTCCACCCATTTAGCGCTGAAGATTTCGTTGTCAACTATATCCTCCTTCCCGTATTCGTTGTTCTGGTTCTTGCTTGGAAATTCGCTAAACAGACTAAGATCGTCAAACTAGAGGAGATGGATATATGGAGTGGAAGAAGGGAGTACGGAGATGATGTTACAGAAGATGTCTCCAAGAAGACTATTTGGACCAAGATTAAGGATATCATTGTTGGTTAATACCCCCCGATATTCCTTTTATCCCTTATGATATGATGCATATAGAAGTACACGTATTAGTGATCAAATAAATAGTATGATTTTATACTCCGTATATGGTTTTTGTATATATTTTATTTATCTCATGAATCATTGCGCTACTCTGAATATCTAACGCCAAGCAGAGCCAATTACAAACAAGAATAGTAAAACAGGACAAAGGGAGTCTTGGTGCGCTGTCGCAGTGGAGGTTAGAAAGAGATTTGTCAAAGCGCCCAGCGCCATTGGTTAGTTTAACTTAAAGAATCGGGTCTGGCTATGCATTAAGAAAGGAATGTAAGGGAAAGAATCAGGATTTGTGTGACAAGGGAATCACATAAATTTTCTCTGTTTTATCGGACTAGGGGTCCGTAGATGATCCTGGGACGCATAACCGGATGGTGGGCCAAGTTCAAGCCGTCTCTGAGGTCGGCCTTCCGGCCCCTGATCGTCTCTGAAAACACCCCGGTGGGGAGGTTGACTGAAAAAAGGGTTATCTGTTTCTAGTCTCGAATGACCTGATGTATAGCTGCTGACATGAGCCTGTTGGGAGGGCATATGCGGAGGTGGAGAGTATCCAGTATAGCCAGGTGGCATATGGGGTGGATTGTTTGATTTGTTGCGGAAGAATGAAAATGTGAGGTTGGAAACAGTGACGCAGGCCGCTATGGAGGATATAAAAAAGAACTGTGCGCAGTTAGTACTGTAACATCATTGTTCGAAAGAGGTCAGGTAGTGCCAACTCGTACCATCGCTTTGAAACTGATTGGTTCAATGAAGCCGTTGAATATCTCCGCCAGCGTCTGTGCAGATACCCTTGCTCGACCAACCTTTGCAGGGTCTCTATGCATACATCTCTCCCAGTTGTCGCAGACCGTTTCCAGAGCGGGTAATCTTCTCCCGTCGGGATCACCGCAGCGGTTCTCGACGTAGTTCTTCGTGCATGTGGCTATCTCCGCCAGAATATCTGCGGACTGGCTTTCACTAGCGATCTCCACGTCGTGTTTAATGGCAAGCAAGAAAGCAACAATGACATATAATATCAGAAATGCGATTATCAAGTTAAATGTAAATTGGGCGTAGTATGACAGTATTCGAGGGATATGCGGATGAGTTTCGAGAAACGTAAAGAGGCGTGAGAGATACGGTATGTGGCTTGTGTTTTCAATCTGGTTGGATTGTTGAACCTTTCCTGGCTTTCGGTCCAGCTCGCGACTGCTCGGCCGGTCATCACTGCTGTCTTCACTAGCGTGGCGGATGTGCCTGAGCTCCCGGTCTCGTCTCCTCCTCTTCTGGACCTTTTTCACCAGGGAATTAGAAAACTTGTGCGAGCGCGGTACTTCTCCACGACCCGAGCTAGGTGCAGCTGGAGCATATATACCGTAGAGATTGAAAAGGGAATTGCGTCGTGTAGCCTTTGACGGTTGTTCAGGGGTCTCGTCATTATCTGCATGTTCGGGAGATGACAGGTTTTCCGCTCCTGAGGAGACGTCCGCGTCGAGTTTGCGGGGAGTTGTGAAGGATGAGCCGCGGGTAAGATTGACGTTTGCAAATGAAGGTTGTGTGAGGTTCTTCGACTGTGCCGGCTGCTCTCGTGGTGCTGGAGCCTGTGGTTTTATGGGGGACGCAAATGTCCGACGAGCATCTGGAGAGGAGCAAGTTAGCAAGGTTACCTACTTCACACGACACAACCCCCGCGTTCATACTTACTTGCGTGTTCGTTCTTCAGGGCGAGCTGGTAGAATGGCGAAGTGGCATCTCCTGGAGCTCTTGTCTGCCACTCAAAGTCCATGGGAGCTTCGTTGGAGCGGTTCTGCATGGTGATGGTTCGCGATTAGCATGTTAAGGACCGGCGTCCACAACACGCGCAGTTCAGAGCTGGGAGCGGTCAATCGTCAGCAGAGACGTCCGAAAGATTTGCAATCCTTTTATGCTGTTCACTTTCTTTTCTTTTGATTTCTGGTTGTTCTTTTGCTATTTCTTTTGATTTCTATTATTTTTATTTTTATTTTTATTTTCTGTTTTTTTGTTGATGTTGTTGGCCAAAGCTTCTGTTGACTAATCAACAAGGTAGTGTCATGTGACTTGGTCTGGTTCTTGGTTTTAAGCCTCTTTCTTATGTAATCAATGACATCACTTTCATTATTATTTTACCTCAACTCGATTGACTGAGAAGACACTTTGAGAAGTAGACCAGAGGGCTTTGTATTGTAAAACATAGAGCATAAGATTGAATTAAACCTATATATGCAATCCACTAGTCTATAAGGTGAGAAATGCACCTGAACAATTAAGTATACTGACGCCCTAAATGCCAACTCCTAAAGATATTAACTCGACAATTCTAGCCAATGTGCAGGACTGTACCTAGGTATAAAGCTATACAGAGCTTGAAACGTATGTACGGATGGAGGGAGTTATCCCCGAGAGGTATTTATTAGTGCAGAGGCATTCGACTGGAACGGCCTCTCCTTCTCCACTTTGAGACAAAGTGGAGAGTATATTGTTATATCACTCCGCGGCGCAAAGGATGTAGATCATCTGCATGGGCTTCTGCGGCCCGGAAGGGGAGGGAGGGAGGTTAAAGTTGAAGCATCTGAAGCAGGACCATTATGCGAGCGTAATCCACCAGGGAACAGTGATGATTCCGAGGGACAGGATTTCATGAAACCAGATGGAAAAGGTCCGAAACCAACTTTCGTTGCTGTCAATAAGGGAGGATGTCAAGTCCCTTGTCAACTATGTAAGCTACAGTGTTAGCCAGGCACCCAAGAGGAGAGATATGCGACTCAAAACTTACCCATAACCTTATCCCATCTAGTCTTCCCTTCTACGTCATCACTCTTATCTCTCATGGCCCATAAATCCTGTAAAAATGTTCGACAATTCCTTGCATTTCCCATGCCATAGCGATGTTCAAAATTCAAAAGCAAGGTATTGATGCTGTCCCTGTCTGGCCCTGCAGATGCTTCACAGCCAGCTGTAAAGAGAGGTTGTAGCACGGCAATTCCAGGGCAAGGTTCACCCAGGAACCGAACCTTGCATATCCGACTGATAATATGCTTTACCGAACTCTGAACCAAGGGATCTGTAGAGGTCAGGTTGAGGATACGGCGATATATTTGAACGAGTGCGACATGGTGAAAGGCTTCATCAACAGTGGCAAAGTCATTTTTGTGCACCGAAGCATCGACCGTAGGCCTAAATCTCCGTTCTTGGGGGCCCATCTTTGAATGTATCTCATTGATGAGCTGATAGCTTTCATCAAGTACTGAGAGCGGAATGCGATTTTTGGGGTCTGAGTCCGCAGGTAAATGTCCTCCTTCATCTTGTTTGAGAGCCAGGTCAGCTTCTATCGCAAGACGGTTGATTTGTTTGAAGATCGGTCCTAATGAGGACGAGAAGCCAGCCAAATCGTCGATTTTATCATCGCTTATCAACTTTCGCATCTGGAGTAGGGCGCGAGAGTCGTTTGGCATGACCAGATTTCCTGTTAATAGAGCAACGGTTTCGATGGACAGATACCATCGCCACAGAAGGGACATGGTATTGGTGAGTGAGTCTGGAGAAGCCTTTGACTTCTCTAGATAAGAAGATATTATTGTCGTTGTTCCTTGCAGGTGAGAACGCCATGAACCAGGGCTACGGCCATCCGACACAAAGTCAGAATGACACAGGGTAAGGGTAGTTGCGACTACTGATTCGTCCAAGCTAGCCCCGGGCTTGGCCAGAGCGTCTTGCAGCTGACGGAGACTGGAGGCCTTGAGGTGGTTGAGCTCTGACATGCTTTGGTCCATGCCCAGGGTCAATCTGTGAGTGGCTGCAAGGCTCAGCAGGGCGTTCATGAGATGAGGGGTCTGTGTAGCCATGGGTATGAGAACCCGGCAGAACATATCCTGGATTGGCGAATGACATGACATCGACAAGGTGGTGCATGATATGAAATGATCAAGGAGTTTCTGCTGCTGTTTCGGCAGCCAGCTCAGCTCAAACGGGCTGGCTTGAACTTCGGGTGTCGGCGGAGTATATCTGATCAGGCGGCTTTCGAATTCGATGGGGTCGTCTGAAGCTGACGAGGGAGGCGGCGTTGCCAGCGAAGAGTCTCTTCCATCATTGATATCAACTAATATATTCAAAAGAGTTAGGCAACCAAGGAGAATAGAACAGTTCAGCATTAATGACCTAATAAATAAGCCAGGATTGCTCGGAGCACAGCTGCTGCCCGCGAGATAATGAGAGTGGGGCCCCATACATTGTAACGCCTGCTGCCCCTGCGACTGTTCCACCACGGCATCCACAGAGCTTGACGAGCGCTCTCCCGCTTTTGACCCATAAATAAACGCCGTGCTACCTAAACTCGCGAATAATGGAGAGAACGAGATGAAAATTTTAGCCTCATAAAACGTGTGTATAACTTTTTTCTTTTGGGGGGAGAAGGGGGGGTGCGGCACGGTTAAAAACGAAGAAATAATAATAATAATAACTTCAGCCCTGCCATGTGGCCCTGCGGGAGAAGCTCCGTCTGGGCATGCCAGGGTCAGACGAGAGCGGGAAGTACTAATAATAATGATAATAACAAGTACTCCGAAGTCACTCCGTCGGTGCAAGGTCAGGCGGGAGGAGGACGTGGGTAGGAAAAATGCGAGTTACGTACCTGAGGACGAGACGACCGGCAGCTGCACCAGACTGGGATCGCTCTTCATGCACTCGCCAAACCGGGACTTGGAGAAGGGCCGGCCCCCCCAGGAGAGCCGCATGGTATAGGTGCATTGCTTGCCGGCGCGCTCGCACCCTGTGCATGCAGGCTTCTTCTCGTCACACTTGCGATGCCGCTGGCGGCACTCAGTGCAACCGGACCGCGACCGCCGCTTCTGCGCCTCGGGCTGCATGGCCAGCGGACAAGGGAGTCGGTCGGCGTCGGACAAGGATCGATAGTGAAGCGGCTCGCCCAACACGCCAGGCTGGGCATCAGAGACGGCTTTTGGGATGGCTAGTCGGTGGGCTCAGGCGTCACGAAGGGCGAGTTTGCGTGAGAGTGAGAGCGCAAACTTCGTCGCTGGCTTCCTGGCTTTCCTGGCCGTCCTGGCCGTCCGGGGGCGGTGCGGCGTGCAGCAGCCAATCAGCGTCCGCAGGTGGTTGTAAGTTCCCTTGTAGGCTTAGCGCCGGCGGCTATTAGGTAATTATTAGGTAAGGATTATTAGGTAAGGATTATCTAGTCAGCATCAACAACATTCAGGGGGTCTTGACTCTAGAACACTGGTATTAAAGATATCTTCGTCCTGCTGGCATATATATAATTATATATATATACATTATATTGAATTGGAAGCCCTATTCTGTGGGTAGAAATTCACTTTTGTCGCTGCTGACTGCTGCCATTCAAGTTACTTATTCACGTGATTAAAGTTGCTTAATAAGCCCACAATCTCTCAGGCTCGTTTTTTTCCTGGTGGGATGCGCAGAATCAAAGTCGAGGAAGCACGAACATCGAAAGCCAATGGCTCAGGGTGATAGTTGATTGTTATCTATCAAACGAATGACTTCGGGTCAGGATGAAATGGACAAAATGCAATGCTGAGTATACTGGTACAAGTCATGTCATCAAGAAACGCCTGCGTCGTCCCCAATAGTTCCTCTCATGATGCTTGACCAGGAGGGGGAATGAAGGACAACAACGAAAACACCACGCAAGGCAAAAACAAGACAAAAAGGATCCCCCGAATCATTAACCGTTCGTCTCTAGCAGTCGTCATTAACTCGAGGGAAATAGATAAAGTCGTCTTCAAAACGGAGCAATATATCGGATCGGCCAGAGATCATTATTGCCGAGCAGGATGTCAGAATATCGTCACTAACAACGTACAGTGGGGAAAGTAAAGAAGAAGAAGAAGAAGAAGAACCAGAAGCAGAAGCAGAAGCAGAAGATGGGGGTGCTGAGTGGGAGAATTAATAGTTCACAGGTTCGATGAGCTCGAATCCGTCCTCGTGGCCGCCATATCCCTCGTCGAAGTCCTCTGGATCGACCAGGCCGACGAATTCGTACTCTCGCGCAAGCTTCTCCGTCTGCTTGGTCTCGAATTTGTCTACTGCCTGCACGACAGCGGCGCTGAGCACATGGCCTCCCTGGGCAGGGCTGGTGTTGGCGTCAAAGGAGTACAAAGGGTCTAGGCCCTCGGGAGTGGCTGGTGGATCGAGCTCTTCCTCATCAGACGAAGACTCTGCTCCACGGGACTCCATTACGGCTTGGTTGATGGCATGCTGAATCGATACCTTGACAGGCACCTTGGAGGTGGACCCCGCAGCACTGAACGAGCCGGATCTCCGTTAGCTGTGGCATGACCTGAGAACGGAACTGCAAAACATACCCCGGATATTCAAGCAGAAGTTTTGGTCGCGGGCGGCAAACTCGGACCTCCTTCTGGCCCCTCACGGGGCGAGTATTTGGCACAAATTCCGAAGTGTTGGTATTCTTCGATTTGAGGCCGGTCTTGGGAGTTGCGGTAGCCTTCCGAGTCTCTTTGCTACGGTTGCCAACGTGGGAGTTTCGAGTCATAGTTTGGGCTGAGGTGGTGACTACGGTAGGAGAAGGGAAAAAGAGTGGAAGGAACACCAGGAGCCGATGGTAGGCTTCTAGCCTGTAGGCTAAGATGGTTGAGGCTCGGTCGATAGCCGGCTTCTACCGCCTGCGCAAGGTGTGTTCAACAAAGGGTCAGTCAGGTTGGGATGGACAGCTTTCAAGAGAAGGTAGGTCTGGGTGGTTAATATGCCAGAGAGAAGGTGTCAGGTCAACTTCCGGCTGGCTAGCATCCCGTCCGGGTCACAGTCTTGCCTTATATATCCTCGTCTCGCTCAGCTCACGAACGCCGGTTGAGTCACAAGGTGAATCATCCGCCTGCAACTGGCTCTGCCCCTGGTAACGGCGAAACGAACCCGATGACGACACAGGCGGTTACAGCGTCACGTGGTGCTGCCTCGGGTGTATTTTTGGTATCAAATTACAGCAATACAGCTTATCTCATCCTTATCACAGGTACCTTCTGCGATAAGAGACTCGGAACATATTTTGGACAAGCCAGTTATTTAATTATATACAGAGATAACCTTGATGGCCTCACCTCGACCGTTCTCAACTTTTCCTTTCGGGGGATGGAGGTACTGTCTACATCTTCATCTCCGTCCGCGTCGTCGTCTCTGCCTGCGTCTATCCACGCTTCTACCTTCGCCTTCACGTATGCCTGTCCAAAACGTTTGGGCCGAGTCTTCCTCAACTCCCGGAGTCACGCAAGGCGGCTTCTTCACAGCTGACACCATGACGAACCGCAATTTATCAACAGGCTATCCATAGCGTTTACTGCAGCGGAGGGTTTGATATAGTCAAAGTCGGGACCACAGCACCCAACCAGGTACTTGAACACGGAACTTATAGACTGTCTCCCAAATTGTCAGGGCCAGAAATAACTCAAAGCAACAAACGTTGTTTCGTCCACACTTTGTCGCTACCCGACACCTCAAGGGACAATACTTTCAAGTTGCGTATACGGGAGAGTGATAGCGGCTGCATGATCTCACGCCATATAAAGAAGCTCCTTAATGACGGGGATTTCACACACCCCATATCTTCCCTCTATCCCTCTCTTTTACTCGGCTTGGATTTGGGAATGCCATAAAGGGCGGTCGAGGTATCAGTTCTCCCGGCAATGAGCTTCTTTTAAGGTCAGACATTCACGGAGAATGGGACAGCTACGCAATAGATGTGAACCCCGCTGATAATTACCGCGTTCAGAGCTTCAGGCCGAATACAGACCTTTACCACAATACCATACTTCATCCCCGCCTGCCGTAACCCCAATGACTCTAACCGTATTGGTGACCCGCTCATCCAGTGGCACTACGAGCAAGGTGTTTTATTCAATATGTGTGGTGCAGGCGAGATTTCGTTCGAGTTCGAATTCCCCCAGGTACGAGCATGATTTAGGGAAAGGCCAAGAGCAAGCCAATGTATGGAGGCCGAACTCTTTGGACGTCTATACGCTTATGATAATGAACAAGTCGATGACTAGATCCAAATCCATAAACTGTTACGAAAAAGCTCGAGAGCGTAGGAGGTAGACGGAAAAGAACAGCAAGGCGGGAGATGAGCTGGTGGAAGCTTGCGGATGACTCAAACATGCTGGGAGTAAAGGATTATGTTGGGTTGCGCCGGTCCCCTTCCCGCACGAGGACCTGGTTACTTTGTGAGGATGGATGCCTGGTTACTCTGATCGATAGTCGGCAGCCTCGCTCACAAAGAGTTATCTTCGAATGCCCTTGTCCAGCTACGACTTGCTCAACTGTGGCAGCGCCAAGCAGAGAACCATATGTCGTTATCCTGCATGTTATTGAAGCATGATTGAACGATGCGGGGAGCTACGGGAGCCACCCCTGCTTCCGCCTGCTTCCCACTGATTACTTGAGGGGGGTAAACATGGCGCAGCTGGCCAGTCAGACAGTCAACGAGGTGCAACAGTTGCATGGGGTAGCGAGATAATACCTGATAGGCACGATATGGATATAATTAGCTCTGCATATTCTTAAATTAAATTTAACCCGCTCCTCCAGCGGCGTCGTCTCCAACAATCCTAGCATCCAGCTCTCCCTCATCCTCCTCATTGGGCAGCCGATCCGGGAACCACCCGAACCGTGCCATATCGACATAGAACTCATTCATGCTATCAGAGCGTACAATGACCCCTTCTTGCTCTAGAGCTTCTGCCTGTCTCGCTGCCGAACCAGGCCCGCTGTTGGCATAAACCATGTTAATCTAAATTGCGAACTGATCGTCTCCTTCACACGCGGGGTCCAAAGGCGTCATACCGATGGGATATCATCCCTTTTGAATTGATAACCCGCTGCCAGGGTACGTTGTCATTGTTATAATACTCGTCTGGGCTTGACGGGAGATGCTTGAGGCAGATGCCAACCTGTCGAGACCGTTGAGCTGTACGACCATATATGTTAGACACATCAAGGTAGATCGCAACGGCTATGAGCTATCACTTATTTATGAACTCACGGTGTCCTAGCAGACGAGCTATATGGCCGTAGGATGTCACTTTGCCATGGGGAATCTGCTGGATGGCCTCGTACACTGCGTTAAACCACCACTCTGCTTCGTCTGTACGAGCCATGGAGCCCCAGCAATGACTCAACAGCTGGAACTAATGGATATATCATGCAGGACGAGGAATATCAATCAAGCAGGGTGAGAGATGGCTGAACTTGTCAGTTGGTTAACACTAACTAAACATAACCAGTTAGTTCTTGCAAGGCTGAAAATACGAGGTTGAGTCAAGCTTGGTTGGTTTATTTCGTCTCACTTTGGCTTCTTTTCACCTTCAGCACAAGAAAGGCCATCATACCTGGTCATTCTCTCTGGTTTGATATCATCCTTTCTTCTTCTTCTTCCTCTTCCACTTATGACCGTTATCATCTTAGAGCTGCTTGATATACATTCACTGAGCCATCACATCTCTGGCCTAACGCCTAAATAACTACCAACAAACACTGTAATAACTTCACCAAGTTATCAGTTCTCTTCCCATCTACCCATCTAGTAAAGCTAGATGAATACTTATTTCAATCTCTCTCTCTCAATATATGCAACAAGATAGCTTTTCCCTCTTTAGGGAGCTTTGTTATCTGATTCCCTCAATCAAAGTGGCCGAGGTCCATTTCAACAGCCTTGAATATCTACCAACTGCTGTCTGATATTTCTCTATACCAGAGTCTATAACAGAATCAAGGACTCGGATATGTCAGAAAGGCGACTACGAGCATCCAAATTGCCGAGGTTTCCCCTACCAAATGTCGTCACTAACCGTCAAGGAGAAGAGTGGATGGATGGCATATCAACACTCGACTTTGACTACTTCCCACCGTTCCACCATGTGATACCCGAGGAGAATCTCTCATCTGCTAACTTGCCGCCATTTTACCGTCTGCTCTGTGATGCTCAGGCGATGGCCCTATCCAAATGGGGATCCAAGGGCAACATAGCAAAGGAGCTACTTGGATTATACTGGCCGGCGGACTTTAATACAGACGGGAAGCTCAAGAGGAACCGCTTGTCATGGAGCATCGGAAACCAGGTCCGTCCGGCACAGCGCCATCATCTCACCCACCAAAGCTGTGGAAGGCCAATGAAGTCGATGCCAGTCCAAGCTATTGTTGACGAAGATGACGACTCTAGAGCAGTAGGAAATATTAGCCCCAGCAAGGCCGACCGGCCATGTAAAGTTGTCCTCCTGCGTGACTCAAAAGAAAGCGAGCGCGTGGTCGAGCTTGAATATGAAATCGACCGGTTGAAAGCAAGCTTGAAGCGTTCTGAATCGCAGCTGGAAGGGATGCGGTCTCAAATGAACCAGGTAGAAACCGCAATGTCGGTGAGATCAGAGCTGGTCACAAATGCAATTGTCAACTATCACTTTTCGCGAGCAAACCTGGAGCTGCTGTCGCCCTCGATCTCGTCCCTGGTAGACGAATCCGTCTCTGCTGATGATCTCTCCGAACTTGCTGGCGGCGCAGCTACACTTGACCATCGCATTAAGGTTATCCAAGAGGTTGCTCGCCGATTGCAAATACCAGTATCTATCCCCCCGGAAATCATTGGTGAACCAGACGACTCGGACCTGCCGGTTGATCCCAGTATTGCCTGGAGCATGCAGGTAGGCCAGAACGGCAAGTAAATGGCATATACATTTCCCTTATTCCGGATCTCCCAGCACTTGGAAATTAGCCAGCCGACTGGAAGGGATACTAGCTCTTAGTCACGCTTACTGGTATGAAAGCCTGCCGGGGACCGAGAAGATCTGGCCTATCTTCGCCCGTAACCTGACGGGCCGAAATCTGCAGTCTGTAACAAGCAAAGGCTAGCTCGAGCAAGGGACTACCTTTTACTTCTCTTTTCAGCTTATCCGGGCCCCTTCACATTTTACTTGTTAGGGGGGATTCCGGCCGTGGTTCTCTGCCTGGTTGTAGTAGCCAAACCCCCTATCCTATTTGCTTAAAATCCTTTGATCCTTGATTTAACCCAATGGATATCTGGCTTCTTTCGTTTTAACTATGCATCTTCTTATAAGTAAGCTCAGTTTAACTGTTACAATGCCAAATCAGAACTCCCTTTTATCTGAAGTGACCCCCTTTTTTTAACCTGAGAATGCCTCGTAGCAAACTATAGCTAGGATATCTTGTAACCACCGGCCCAAGGACTCAACTTATCCAGCCCTTGCGGATAGGGGTAGATACGCACGTATCCCACCAGATATATATATGGCCTTCGTACATGTACTCGCCAGAGAGACAGCATCGTGACCCTCCTGGCCTTGATGCAGCGTTTGTTGTCTTTAACAGCCGGTGTTACAGCGCGCTGCTCGTCTTCGTCTTGGAGTCTCCATCCTGGCCGGCGCTGCGATGAAACGGCGGCTGTTCTCCGTCGGTCGCCCTCCGCTGCATTCATACACTTATACATACGATCTTATACTTATATAGCTGTCGGGGGAGTATATTATAATATAATTACTACTGGCATCACCTCGACCAGCACGGAGTATCACCAGTTGACCAGCTGAAGACCTCGCTGCCGCTGCCGCTGCCTGTAAGTCAGTCCATCGAAGCCCCCGAGCCACAGGCAAAGACCTCAAGCCACGCACAAACAGCCGAGGAAGCAGAACCACATGGAGTGGATGGCGATGAAAGCTTCGGCTGCTGCGTCGTCCTCGTCCTCGCCGTCGTCTTTCTTCTTTTCCGAGGCGTTTCTCGTGCGAGACGCCGACTTACTTGGTCGTCAACTAGTTATATCACTGGCTGGATATAAAGCTGCGGCGTGCTGACCGGCTGGCGAGCTAAGTTAGGACGAGACAGAGAGAGAGACACACACGATCAGCCTCAACCGACTCAACCAGACAACAACAGACAAGACCACAGAGAGGAGGATCGAGAGAGAGACAGAGCCAGAGAGAGCCAGCGATGGCCAAACTCACGGGCGCAGAGGTCGCCCAGCACAGCTCGGCGGCGTCGTGCTGGGTGGTGCTGCACGGCCAGGCCTACGACGTGACGGACTTCTTGCCCGGTAAGCAAGGCCTACTACGATTGATACCAGCTACGGATGCAAGGCAGAGGAGCAGAGACGCTGATGAGGCTTAGAACACCCCGGGGGCCAGCAGATCATCCTCAAGTACGCGGGCAAAGATGCGACGGCCGAGTTCGAGCCCGTTCACCCGCCAGACACGCTGGACCGGTACCTCGACCGCTCGAAGCATCTCGGCCCCGTCGACATGGACACGATGGAGAAGCAGCTCAGGGCGGCCGACCCGGACGAGGAGCAGCGGCTCGAGAGGATCCGCCGCATGCCCTCGCTCGACCAGTGCTACAACCTGATGGACTTTGAGTCCGTCGCCCGCCGCGTCATGAAGAAGACCGCCTGGGGCTACTACTCCTCCGGCTGCGAGGACGAGATGGTACCTCTCTCTCTCTCTCTCTACGATTGTCACTATGAATATGATGAATGCTAATAGGATAGACCATGAGGGAAAACCACACGGCGTTCCACAAGATCTGGTTCCGGCCGCGCATCCTCGTCGACGTGGAGAAGGTCTGCACCCGCACGACGATGCTGGGAACCCCCGTCTCGGCCCCCTTCTACGTCACGGCCACCGCGCTGGGCAAGCTGGGCCATCCGGACGGCGAGGTCTGCCTCACGCGCGCCTCCGCTACCCACGACGTCGTGCAGATGATCCCCACCCTGGCGTCGTGCTCCTTTGACGAGATCGTCGATGCAAAGACCGACAAGCAGACCCAATGGCTGCAGCTCTACGTCAACAAGGACAGAGCCATCACCCGCCGCATCGTCGAGCACGCCGAGGCCCGCGGCTGCAAGGGCCTCTTCATCACCGTCGACGCTCCCCAGCTCGGCCGCAGGGAGAAGGACATGCGCTCCAAGTTCGCCGACCAGGGCTCCAGCGTCCAGGCCACCACCGCCTCCTCCTCCTCTGCCGCCGCCGTCGACCGCTCCCAGGGTGCTGCCCGCGCCATCTCTTCTTTCATCGACCCCAGCCTCTCCTGGAAGGACCTGCCGTACTTCCGCTCCATCACCAAGATGCCCATCGCCCTCAAGGGGGTGCAGCGTGTAGACGACGTGCTGCGGGCCGTTGAAGCCGGCATCGATGCCGTCGTGCTCTCCAACCACGGCGGCCGGCAGCTCGAGTACGCGCCCTCGGCCATCGAGCTGCTCGCAGACGTCATGCCGGCCTTGCGTGCCCGGGGATGGGACCGCAAGATCGAAGTCTACATCGACGGAGGCGTCAGGCGGGCCACCGACATCCTCAAGGCCGTGTGTCTGGGCGCAAAGGGCGTGGGAATTGGCCGGCCGTTCCTATACGCCATGAGTGCCTATGGCACCGAGGGCGTCGAGAAGGCCATGCAGCTCCTCAAGGACGAGATGGAGATGAACATGCGGCTGCTCGGATGCACCAGCATCGACCAGCTGGGACCCGACCTGCTTGACACCAGGGGGCTCTCCGTCCACACCGTCTCGGGGCCCATCGACAACCTCTCTCACAGCGTTTATGACCCCATGAGCTTGCCTGCAGACAGGCCTGTTTCAAAGCTATAATAAATACAATACCCATCTTCTTTCTCTTCTCTTCTCTTCTCTTCGTCTTCATCTTCATATTGATCTTCTTCATCTGTCATGTTGTCCCTATTTATCATGTTTCTTTGCGTGGTATCTCTCTGTTTCATTCTATACCATATGTTCTTCATTGTCCTGTATATATATAGGGGGATCTAGGAATCAATTGTATAGAGTTTTTTTTTTTTTTACAAGTCTACCACTATCGGCCCAGCAACGATTCTCTGGCCCCGGACGTCCATACACGCCGGATTGACCATCCACCCTTCTCTGCCCAACGGCCTCTCCCCTCCCCATATCCTCGTCCAGATCACGCCCACCACAGACCCAAACACCACCCGCACCGCATCCCTCCACGCCCAGCACACGCTCACCAGGTCCCGCACCACCGACCACCGACGAAACAGCCACCAGCTCCATCCTCGCTCACCCCGGGCCCAGAGCATGCCCCCTTCTCGCCGTCGATGCAACATCATCTCCCACGCCCGCTGCGCATCGTCATAGTACGCTCGCTCCACGCCTCGGCCAGCATGCGTGTGGCCAAACACATACAACGCAGGCTTCACCCGCCACGCAGCCTCCAGCAAATGTGCACATCCAATGCTGTTCGGAAACAGGTCTCCATGGTGCAACGGCGGGCTATGAGACACCAGTATGTCCGTCTCGGCCGGCGGGGCCGTTGGCCAGGGAAGCCCAATGTGGTACGGCGGGTACTGGAAGGCGTGGATAGTAACATGCGGCTCCAGCTGGGGAATCTGCGGTATCCCATGCACCGTAAGCGTCCGCGAGCCAAACGCCAGCGTAACAGACGAGTTCTGCAGATAGCATATCCCTTCCCAGTCTATCCGTGTATCATCAACAGCGCTCTCGTCTATCCCGTTGAGCTCGGCTATCCGTCCGCGCACACCTGCGTCCAGCCACCCGTCATGGTTCCCGGCCACCACCACCTTGTACCGATGCGGGAGGCTCTTCAGCCAGTCTGCTGCCTCCTGGATCTGCTCCGGCGTGCCCAGGTCCGTCAGATCTCCAGCGTGTATCAGCAGGTCGCCGTCCGGTATCTCGCCCACGGAGCGGTGCTGGGAGTGCGTGTCCGACAGGCAGACCACTCTGACGGCCGGCTGGGTGGGCGAGCGAGTGTACGGCGGCGCCCGTAGCGCAGACAGCAGTCCGTAGACCGGTCGTAGAACGCATATCAGGGGCGAGGCCAGCAGCTGCGTGCCGGCTGACGGAGCGTCCCACGGCGGCATATCGTCAGCAGATAGTCAACGTAGTAACAGTAACAGCAACAGCTATTCAAAAAAAGGGGTATCTCAGCGGTGTTCTCACTCCCTCACTCGCCGGGCTGTTCCATCCTAGCCGCCGTCGATGCTGTCTGAAACTGTCGAGTTGTCTGGTTTGTCTCTTGCCGGCGCTTAGAGAGAGAAAAAGTTCGATGTTGTTGCTTTTGCCTTTTTCGGCTCTTCCGCCAACTTTTTTCTTCACCTCCAGATCTACAACTTCACGACAACAACAACAACAGCAACGACAACGCCTGAAAGCCAACACTGGCGCCGTCCAGACCGCAGACTCACCCTCTTCCTCGCCTGTTTCTGGTGCAAAGCGTCAACCGACCGCCGGCTCAGCGTGATCTGCGCCTCCACCAGCCTCTCTGCCGCGAGAACCAGCCCTCTCCCACCCCCCACCCTCCCCCTTCGAAGAAACGCATCTACCATCGCCTTCAGGGCCTGATCAACTGCCATCCACGGTGCCAGCTTCATCTCATCTGCTTCCTGATGCCCTCTCTACCGCCCAGCTCCCCGGCCTGCGTGTAGAATTGGCCTGCTCGAAGCGCCCGTTAACGGTCGTCCCGCCTCGCCGTCTCTCACGCTCCCACAGCCACCTCTCTACTACGAGTACTATTACTACGACTACTACTACCTCCACCACCACCACCATTGGGCATTCGCCTGGGCACTTCGGCTCCCGCTTGCCTCCAGACGCCATACACTCAACCACTGGCGCCCGACGATGAATGGCGGCGATCTGAAAAAGGCTGCTGCCGCTGCTGCTAACGGTACCGCGGGCAAGAAACGCAGGAAGGCCTCTGATCTCAAGCCCATCATCACCAACGAGGAGTCTGATCCAGCTACCATGTCCAGCACCCAGTCCGTTTACACCTCCTCCCTCCCCATGTTTGTTTGAATAACAGCCAAAAGGCAAAAAGACGTGCCGCCCGCCTGCTAACTCCTGGATAGACAGAAACTTTCATATAGTTCGCCCCTGTCGCGAGCTTCGTCGTCCTCGTCAGAGGAAGAAGTCGACGCTGCAGACGAGGAAGACTCCGAGGACTACTGCAAGGGGGGCTACCACCCGGTCTCCGTGGGCGAGTCCTACAACAACGGCCGCTACATCGTCGTCCGCAAGCTCGGCTGGGGCCATTTCTCGACCGTCTGGCTGTCCCGCGATACCACCACGGGCAAACACGTCGCCCTCAAAGTCGTGCGCTCTGCCGCCCACTACACCGAGACCGCCATAGACGAGATCAAGCTTCTCAACCGCATAAACAGCGCCAACCCTGACCATCCGGGCCGCAGACATGTCGTCAGCCTGCTCGACTCGTTCGAGCACCGTGGCCCCAACGGAGTCCATGTCTGCATGGTCTTCGAGGTCTTGGGAGAGAACTTGCTCGGCCTCATCAAGCGCTGGAACCACAGAGGCATCCCCATGCCCCTCGTCAAACAAATCACAAAACAGGTCCTCCTCGGCCTAGATTACCTGCACCGCGAGTGTGGCATCATCCATACCGATCTCAAACCTGAAAACGTCCTCATCGAGGTTGGAGATGTCGAGCAGATCGTCAAGTCTTGCGTCAAGGATGAAGAGAAGAAGGCCGATACCAGAGACGATAATAGAAATGGCAGACGGAGACGGAGAACTCTCATCACAGGCAGCCAGCCGCTCCCCAGCCCGCTCAGCGCCAGCTTCAGTGGCGGGGACCCTTTCCGCAACGTTACTCCCTCCATGCAGAGCTCCCATAGCAGCCTCAACCAGGTCCTTGCTGAATCTCCTCGTAAGATACTCTTATCCCTCTTTCCCTATTTTTGGATTACCTTAGTATCTCTTCTAACTTCCACAGTCTCTGCTACCCCTACCACTCCCTCCAAACAATCCATGAAAGATAAACTTGGCATAAAGGATTCGGACGCAGCTGCCGACGAAAAACAGAAACAAAGAGAAAAAACTACGTAAGTCATTATTTCGTTGTTCTATCTACACACATACATAGTATACTAACTTCAGCAGCGACCTGCTTGAACGCGAAGTCTCAGGCATCTCCCTCAACAAAGATACAGACCAGTCCATGGCCGGCGACCAGTACAATATCGATATTATCTCCGTTAAGATAGCCGATCTGGGTAACGCCTGCTGGGTTGGACACCACTTCACAAACGATATCCAGACCCGACAATACCGCTCGCCGGAAGTCATACTCGGAGGTAAATGGGGCGCCAGCACCGATATCTGGAGCATGGCTGCGATGGTAGGCGACCCGCACAACTCTCACCTGATCCTCAGTTACTAATCTCTCTCTCTCTCTCTCTTTCTTTTTTCTCCAGGCATTCGAACTTATTACCGGAGACTACCTGTTCGACCCGCAGACCGGCACCAAATATGGTAAAGATGATGACCATATTGCTCAGATCATCGAACTTCTAGGTCCTTTCCCCAAATCTCTCTGTCTATCCGGAAAGTGGAGTCAAGAAATCTTCAACCGGAAGGGAGAGCTCCGCAATATTCACAGACTACGCCACTGGGCACTGCCTGACGTCCTTAGAGAGAAGTATCACTTTTCCGAGGAAGAGAGCAAAGCCGTGTCCGACTTTTTGATCCCGATGCTCGAACTCATACCTGAACGAAGGGCAAATGCAGGCGGGATGGCTAACCATAAATATCTCAACGGCACCAAAGGAATGGATCACATTTCCCTTAACATTCCTGTGGGAAGTCGAGGAGAAGGCATCGAAGGTTGGGCATCAGAGGTCAAGAGGAGATGAACTAGCTCCACCGTCCTCTGTATCTCTTTTGATCAAATGGTACCATCGAAATTATCGTTAACGGCGTTCAATCCTGGTGTCCCCTCCTCTGCTCTCGGCCGCCATGTGGTCGTCTCGTCCCTCTTTTTATCTGTCTCCTGCACTCTCATTGGCTTTTCATCATCCATCCCCCTCGGCACCTCCAACGCCCCTGACTTGCCGGATGAGACGAAATGAGATGCTGGCGATGACTCGGGATGAGAAAAGAAGCAAAAGAATGAAACTAACCTACATGACTTTTATTGGATCATCGTGGCTGAATAGATAGAGTTGTTCATGCTAGTGCTTTGTCATGCTTTACCGTCCTGCTGCTACGCTGCTGAAAGGGGGTGTTGTTGGTCTCGTTTTATACTTGTCATGCTATCTATATTCTTAAGGAGGGCAATATAACTGTCTGATGCAACTGACGGGCTGCTGAGGGTGTCGTGTGTACACTGAAGCTGGAGCTGGAGCTGGAGCCGGGGTCGGGGTCGGGAGCTCAGGAGGGGAGCTGATGGTGGAATTGGGGATATAGGTCATCTCACGCTCACTTGACCTACAGACAAAAACAAACACAGCACATTCTTTCCTTTGAAAATAGGCGAAGAACGTATGATTGGACGAATTTCATTTCATACATACGGTGGTTTATTTGCCCTTCTGTTTCTCTTGTATCGGTTCGTTCGTCCATATTTATATTGTCCAGAAAGTAAATAGGAACTTCCGCCATCCAGTCCGGGAATAAAAAAAAAAAAGTACAATCGAGCTTCCGTGAACAGTATATATCACTCATCCATCTGCCAGGCATATTCCATAGTTTCCATCCTGCCCCGACGGTTCCGCGCCTCAAACCATTTATGTTCAAACCCGTTACTCCTGTCCACTCCATCCCATCTGAAACCTGGCCGGATTCCATATCGGTTCGGCGGTGATGGACCCTTATATACCTTTTTCCCTCCCCCAGCAGAGCTACTGCCAACACCAGCAGCGGCACCACTCTTGGGCTCAGATAAAAACGCCGCTGCAGGATCATTCCACCTTTGTCTGGCCTTCAGCTCGGCATTTAGATCTTCATCCTCTGCCGTTCGCGCAAGCGGTATAAACTTCGCTTCCTCCAGTGCTTGACGGCGAGCTTCCTTCTCCTGCCTCTGCACATCGCCTGTCAGGGCCTCCTTTGCCGCCCGCTCAGCAGCAGCAGCCTCCTCCGCTGCCTTGCGTGCCTCCGCCCTCTTCATAGCAACGTTGATTATCCGTCCAGACGCATCTCGGTAAATTGTTTCCGACTCCAGTCCAACTTCCTGTTTCCCTTTCTTTTTTCTCTCCTTCCGTAGCTTCTCGGCTTCCTGCGCCTGCTCTCGTTCCTGAGCTGCTACCATCGCCGCAGTATCAGCTGCGGTCTGCAATCCAGCTCTCATACCTGACTCCATTCGAGGTGTGGAGTCGTTTTCCTCGGCCACCATGGGCCTATCGTCGTCAGCTTCCATCTGAGCTGTCCGTTCAGCAGCTGCAGAAGCTAGAATCGCGTCTGCCGCAACCTGCTCGTCGTTTGTAGGAGGTTGTGGTCCAGACACGCTCCGCCATTGTGAAGACTTGCTTTTCCGGAACTCGCTGCTTGTTCCGGCCTGTGCTGCGTATGGTATTTCATCGTCCTCGTCTGAGTCGTATCTACCCGGCCGTCTGGATCGTGAGGTCTTGTTCGAGCTAGAGAGTAGTGGAGGGTCGTCATCTGCGATTATCAGCCCGCCAGCGCTGGTATCCTCGGCCACAGCATGCTTGTTCTTCTTGCGTTTCTTCTTCGGCCGCTCCGACGATAGCGTGTCTGCTGTCAGGTAGTTTTTCGCTAGGTAGTCGGCCAGAGACATGGTGTATGTATGTATGTGATGTGAAGGTGAGCTTGTGATGGAATCACATTCGACGTTCAAGATATTTTTGTTGAAGAGCCGCAGTTTTGCTTAGTAAGCGGCAGGTTCTAAAAGACCGCCCAGATAGAGAGAGAAAGAGGCCAGGCATGCGGCATGCGGCCTGCCTGGGGGGTCGATGGGATGTCACAGGCCGATCGCCGGCGGTTGGCCTGATAACTAGAGCTAGTCGTTAAGGCGTAGTTAGTCGTAGTTAGTTGCTGGTAGTTATTCTTAGCTGCACTGCTAGTGTTTAGCGACTCCAGTGTTATCACCGTCACCGTCATCGCCATCGTCATCGCCATCTCACCTCCAGGGCCAGCGCCAGACAGCAACATACGACATACGACATGTAACATGAGCAACAGCCTGGAAGCCAAGATCGTTGTCCTCGGGGCCCAGGGTAGGTCCTCCCTCTCCACGGTGGTCTGCTGCGACGCTTCTACTGACTGACGGGCTGCAGGAGTCGGGAAGACCAGCCTGGTGCAGCGCTACGTCCGCAACTCGTTCAGCTCGACGGCGCCCGCGTCGACCGTCGGGGCCTCGTTCGTCACCAAGCGGGTGCTCGACTCGACCTCGGACACCATTGTGCGGCTGCAGATATGGGACACCGCCGGCCAGGAGCGCTTCCGCAGCATCTCGCGCCTCTACTACCGCGGCGCCCACGCGGGGCTGCTCTGCTACGACATCACCGACGAGCGCTCCTTTGACGAGATGCGCGGCTGGCTGCTCGAGCTCAAGCAGAATCTCGGCGGTGCTGCTGGCGGTGCTGCTGACGGTGAGGCCGCGGATGGGCTGGTCATCCACGTCGTCGGCACCAAGTCGGATATCGTGGCGGACGACCCGGCCCGTCGACGGGTGCCCTTTGAGCGTACCATCGCCTACGTCGCCGAGCAGCTGTACCCGTCCCAGGCATCGACGCCGCCCCCGAGCTCTGGCATCGGCAGTGCCAACAACAATAACAACAATAACAATAATATCTACAGCAATAACTATAGTGGGAGTATGGCGCCAGACAGCAAGCGCAACAGTGGGTTCTGGGCCCAGGACATCGGCTGGGACTGCTGCCACGAGATCAGCAGCAAGGACGGCGAGGGCATCGACGAGGTGTTTCGGGTCATCACCCGCAAGCTGGTCGAGCAGCGCACCCGGAGAGAGCGGCAGGGCGAGGCGTCTGGGGGCAGTGCCGGTGCTGGTGCTGCCGGTGCTGGTGGTGCGCGAGCTGGTGCTGGTGCTCGTTCTGGCGCTGGTGGTGCTGGTACTGCTGGTGGTGCTGCTGCTGGCTCCTCTGCCATCCACACGCCCGGCAGCAACGGGAGCATCAGGGCCCGGTCGAGAGCCGGCCGCACCTCGGGAGACGCTGACAAGAGGCGCAGTTGGCTCAGTTTTCCGCCGGCCCTCATAGGCGATGCGGAAGACGAGGCCGAGCAGGAGGGCGGCGGCGGCCTCGACCTCACCGTCCAACGCAAGCGATGCTGCTGACCCTCTTCTTCTTTTAATATTTCTTCTTCTTCTCCTCCTCCTCCTTTTTTCCTTTCTACGTTCATTCTTCCGGGTAGTTTTGGAGTCTCAGACGGAGCACCACTGCATGGCGCATCAGGCACTCAAATTTGAATATCAGCACACACTCGGGCATCTCAGGCGCATCTCTCTCTCTCTCTCTGTTTCTCTTGCTTCTCTTTTTTTATCCTACCAGGATCCTGCATGTCTGTACCATGAGTTAGTTAGTTAGCCTGTCTAGCTGCGACTAGTTATGGGTCTGAATGATGACAATCTTTTCTACTTCGTCACTGCATCCACAGCTACCAAATATTCACACCATCCATCCAAATCTAAAAAAACACAGCCCTACCTATAATATAACTACGGAGTAACTCGCTAGCTACTCGAGATAGATAGCCCAAGATGAACGCGGAGATCGAGCTCCGGACGCAAGAACTGCCTCAGGAATCACGCCATGAAGGAGTAATGGAAGCGAAAAAGGCCACCAGGATCGCGGCCGCGGCCTTTTGCTTCCTCGTCGCCGGCGTCAATGACGGCAGCCTCGGGGCCCTGGTCCCTTATCTGCTGCGCTCCTACGGCCTCTCCTCCTCCGCCGTCGGCCTCATCTGGGGGCTCTCCTTCGTCGGCTGGCTCCTCGCTGCTCTCACCGGCAGCTGGATGCGCTCTGCAACGGGGCTCGGGGGCGCTCTCGTTGCCGGTGCCGCTGCCCAGCTCCTGGCTCACCTCCTCCGCTTCTGGGTACATCTACATCTACATTTACATCTACATCTATACCCTATCTATACCAAAACTACACAGTAGCTGTACGATGCTAACAGAACAGTTGTAGACGCCCCCGTTTGCTCTGTTCGCAGTGACCTTCGTCTTCGCCGCGCTGGGCCAGGGATACCAGGACGCCCAGGCAAACGTCTTCGTCGCGGGCCTCCAGGGCGCCCATCGCTGGCTGGGGCTGATCCACGCCAGCTACAGCGCCGGATGTCTCGTCGGGCCTCTGCTGGCCGCTCTCGTGGCTACCCATACCGATGAATGGATGTACTTCTACCTGGTGCCGGGAGGGCTCGGCCTGCTCAACTTGCTGCTTGCCTGGTGGGCGTTCAAGGAGCACGTCTGCATCTCGATCTCATGGAGCAGCAACACCAGCCCTATCAACGACAACGATACCAATGCTGATTCTACTACCTCTACGTGGACAGAGATGAAGCTCACGCTGCAGTGTAGGCCCGTCTGGCTGCTCAGCCTGTTCTACTTCTTCTATCTCGGCGTTGCCATCACCGTCGGAGGTACGACACAATCGCCCTCACCATCCACCCCCCCCCCCCCCCCCCCCCCCCCTAAATAGCAAACTACCATTACAAAGTCTGACTGTAACTATAACTATAGGATGGCTGGTCGAGTACCTCGTCCAGGAACGCAAGGGAGATCTCTCGCGTGTCGGATACGTGCCCACGGGATACTTCGGCGGCATCATGCTCGGCCGTCTCCTGCTGGCTGAACCGGCCCATAGACTAGGCGAGAAACCCGTGATTCTCGTCTGTTCGCTGTGCTGTTTGGCCCTGCAGATCGTCTTCTGGCGTGTCAACAATATCATCGCCGACAGCGTCGTCGTCAGCGTCTTTGGCTTCTTGTCAGGGCCGTTCTTTGCCTCGGTAACTAGTTAACTAATTAATCCTGTCTTTTCCAACCCACTTGGCTTTTACCAATTTATTAACAGCTTCATAGGGAATGTCCGTGGCTTCTAAGCTGATACCAACGCACATTCATACGGCTGCCCTCGGTAAGTCACTAGTATCATTATAACTAGTTATCAGTTGTGCAAGAGATTAGATTACTTCTAACGCCAGCAGGACTCATCTTCGTTGTGGCTCAGGCCGGCGGAACGGTTTTCCCAGCAGTCACCGGCGCCATTGCTTCCAAGGCTGGTGTCAGTGTCCTGCAGCCCATCCTGGTCGGCCTCATCGCTCTCATGGGACTCAGCTGGGCCTTTGTCCCGAGCGTCGACAGGAAAAGGGATTAGAATATCTCTTTTACATTATACTTCTGACAATTATATATAGAATTGTTTGTTTGTACAGACACTAGCAGTTAACGTATGTTTTCGGATCAGATCTAGAGTGGAGCTTCGATATTGTACAATATTTGACTAGGACTCAAGTACCCCTAACGCGCCAGGCATCTCTTCAGCGGTCAGCATGAGCCATGGATCGGTGAAAATTTCATTCGTTGTAGCTCTCTCCTCCGGATCCCACGTCAACATCCTTCGAATAAAGCGTAGGAACATCTCTTTCTCCTTATCACATGAAATGGTTGTGACAAAATCTTCAAGGCTACTCTTTGGTATCGGCGCCTCTCCTATATACTTCCCTGTTCCCCAGTGTAAGTTACTCCGGCCATTAAAACAGTAAAGACGTGGGGGGGAATACCATCACCATCAAAGTACTGGGATACAACTGGGCTTTTGCTCATCAGCAGTGGCGGAGGAGGACCAAGGTAGCCTATGTACTGTGCCATTGCTAGCGGGTACACATACTGCCTATGCTCGTGATCAATCGGGTCAAACAGATTTCGGCCTTCTATCAGTTCGAGAATCTTGTGAACTCAGTCAGTTCAACTACTCTAAGCTTGGACGTCATATGTTGAATACCGTGTAAACTCACCATGATGCCAACAGACCACATATCAACCGGGCAACCCCAGGGGAGCTGCAAGAGAATCTCTGGGGCGCGGTAAAGATCGGGCATCCACCAGTCGCTGAACTCGCCATCATCTAGAAGTCGCATCTGGCCGAAGTCGGTGAGGACGGGGTGACCTGCCAGTTCCAATCTAGTAGGCCGAGACTTGTAGACTATACCGCACTCAGTTCCAATCCCGTCCCTGGTAATAACGGGTACGCTCGGATCCTTGGTCTCTTGTTCTTCAACCTCTTTCAGGCCAATTGAGTCATTGTCAATGCTTATGAGGATGTTCTGGGGCAGTATATCTATCATAGTCAATACCCCGATTAACAGGAAGGGAAATATGAGCTTGAGAAGTTACCGGTATGCACAACGCCACCACAAGTATGTAGCCAATTTAGCCCAATGATCAGTTGGTGGACTATTGTTTTCACTATAATCCTAGGCAGTATACCACCTGGGAACTGGTCCTGCAAGGAGCGGATACTGTTCCCTTGTGGTCGCGAAACAATGCAGTAATGATGACCACCAGTTTCTGGGTTATCAAGCTCTAGAATCTCGTCGGCAAGACGTAGAAATTTCAATGCTGGGTGGTTAGTCTCTTCCCTCTCTTCAGCAGTTAACTTCAGGTGTTTGAGCATCTTGACTTCATTGACCACAGGGGGCGTGGAGTCCCGCAAGACATTATCAGTTTGCACCGTAATTTTGAGTGTTTTGTACTCCTTTGTCCTACACTTAGTGTCAGTATATATATATATATATAAATCAACAACGACGTATTCGCTAGCTATGGAAATGCATAAATACCTATTATCTCTCGCAAGCCAAACAGTCGAGTATCCACCGTAACCAAGTTTTGCAATAACTTGGTATCGACCGTTGAAAACTTCGCCGATCTTGACCGGATAGTAGTTCTTGCGATGGTAGAATGAGAGAGCCTGTTCTTCGACCAGCTCCTGCTGCGCCATCTTGTGAGTCCAACGGCGGTGGTAGGTTGATATTGGAGATTTAGTACAGCAGCGAATGGTTGAAGCAGAGCAAGATGATGAAAACCGGAAGTGTAATCTCATGAACATGCTGGCAGCCATGGCTACTCAGCTTTTTCTTCTTCTTCTTCCTCTTCGACCTGCTGCTGCTGCTGCTGCTCTAACTCCTTTATTTTTCCATCTCGAAGGAGAGAGCAGTAAGTTTTACTTACTTGCCGCCCGCCCGCCAAGGGCGCTTAGAGCTCCAAAGGGGCTGGGTTTTCCTCACGTGATGAACGATTATCCAGGCTTGGCGTTGAGGCTAAAGTTAGTTGCCGCCAAGGTTTCGGCTATTTTTATTCTTATTTCATGCCATTTTTTCCTCCGCTACGCCGCACACGTAATGAATGGACGGGGCACTCCAATTGGGGGCCGGCGGCTGCAGAACAGCCCTGATAGGACAGATCCGTTGTCAATGCATCCTCAAACCTTTAGCTGATGGTTGACTAGTCGGCGGAGAATGGTGGGTTGCCTGCTCCACAAACCAGGAACGGAACTCCCGGAACCTTGACCAGAGAAGCAGCGGAGTTTTTTTTTCACAGTGCTCCTCGCTTCAAGCTGCTGGTTAGTGCAGCATGGCTCTTTTGGCTCCACCATTTTGATATTCATGGATGCATAAAGTTCAAACGGCCGTCCTGCTCGATATCGATCATGGCATAGGTCGAGTCAATGCTGTGGGCCATGGCAGTTTTGGGGGCCTCATTTAGGTGTGCTGCCATGCATATCCCAGCACTCTGGGACCGGCGTTACGCCATCCTCATGATAACCCTTTTGATAACCTACTCTAGAACTACTTCCGACAAGATCCATAGAATACCACTTTTACATGGGCCATGTCATTTCATTCGTGGATGGATGTATGGATTCCCGAAACAGAAGTGCCTCAGAATCTGATGTACACTATTGAACCATTGGTTCGTAATGGTTTATATCCAAGCGCCGATTTATTTATAGGTATATGTCAACAGTGATGGGGCATCATGTTCCAAAGATTTAGGCCATGATGCTCTCTTTAGAGACTACACCGATGCCAAGTTGGTTATAAAAAGGGGTGCCTGTCCCGCGGTGATATCCTCAATACCCCCCAGAACAGCTTAAGAAATCACCCCGAACAAACTCTACCATTTACACCTAATTTGAACCGCTCCTATTATACAACCGCCCGAACTTCCCCGCAGCTGCATTCCCCATCTTGACTTTTCGGATACCCACTGCCTATCTATCAATTTAACCCCAAAACTTTACCCAAGATGGCTGGACGAGCGAAGCAACTACCCCTCGAGTTGATCAACGCTTGTTCAAATTTATTCCAGTCCCATATCAAGGCGATTGTGGAAGGCAAAAATCCGCATGTAAGCTGACACCCTTTCCTATTAGTGGAACGGCTACTAACTACCATGCAGGTCACGTTTCCCTTTAAAGGGATCAAGCTCCCTCGGGGCACGAAAGAACACTGTCCCTTCACTGATCTGGAAGAAGTACGCAACTCTGTTACTATCCAGTTCCTCGGCACTCCACATGGCAACATTACGGCACATCTGTTCAACGATGGAACACTCAAAACGTCTACAATGATGCACCAGGAGAACAACCGGCGCAGGGAACAAGAAGCCAGATTGCTCGCCGAAGAAAACAAATTCCCACATCTGAACCAGACGCCTCTGCGCACCCAAGCATACAACAGGAAGATGGCAAGGATTCGAAATGCACGGGACAACTCAACCTGGAGTATCATGAAAAAGCAGTTGGAGAAGGCCACCGCGGAGGAAGAGTATAACCGGTTTCTCCAGGAGCAGGCTGAGCAACGAGCCAAAGCTGCAAAGAAGTAGGGGTCAGGTCCTTGGACCCAATGCTGTGCCAGAACAATGAGGACAAAGAGGGAGCCTATAACAGGGGCCAGAAGGTTAAAGCTATTATTCGGCAGGTCAATATACGCAACGGAGAGATATCACTGTATGTTCATGGCGGAGGAAAAGAAATGTTTCGGCTGTCATTTTTTCAGACGTTTTTGCATTTACATGTGTTTTGTTTATCTTTGCTGTAACTCTACAATTACTCTTCTCTACTCCAATCGATGTCTTGTTTTTATCCAACCGGATGGCAGACATAACTGTTGGAATGCTTCCATGGGCTCCATCCCTTCGAGCCCCTGACATGATTCCACAGCCTCCCTGCTCTTTCACCCATGCATGTTTTCGGAGTTGTTCTTTCATCTCGATGCCCCTAGTCAGGGGCACATCTGGAATGCACGGTTCCTATGGAGCACAGCATCCACACAAGCAGGCAATCAGCCGAGCTTCGAGTCCATTTATAACGCTTCTCCATCCAACGATTGGGCAGCTCATAGACCAATCGCATGACCTAGCTGCTGTCTAGAACAAAGACCTGGCGCTGGTCGAGGATCCAACATATAGCTAGCAGTTCGCGGCATATATAAAGGTCTCCATCGACCCCGGAGTTTGACAGCCCCCCCCCCCCCCCCTCCCCCTGAATCTCCATACATCTAGTCGACTCCACGACTCAGATAACTACAACTAGCAACCGACCTGGCCCCTGTCTGCTGCCATCCATGCCATCGCAGAGATAACACTAGTTAGGCCGGTGAGATAACGACCATCGCTACCCCTCGCCTCTCATACGCTGCATCCTCGCATGCCTGGCGCCGCCATCCCGCATCTCGTATCCCCAGAGCCCAGAAGAGGCTTGCAGGCGCCGAGATGCCGCTCATCCTCCCATGTAAGTACGCCATTCCTCTGCTTGTTTTCTGGATTATTCTTCCCTTTCTGCTTCTTTTTCCTTGTCTTGTCTTGTCTGTCTTGTCTGCGTCCATGGCACTCTCTGCCTGTTCTCATCCGCTTTGTTCTTAACATATAACTATCTATAGGTCGCTTCTACCCAGCCGCCGCGCTGGCAGGGACTCGCAGCCATGTCGAGCATCATGTCCCAGCCTCAGATGGACGTCCGGTCCGTGGGCAGCTGTGTCGCCGCAGGTAATCCTCGACTCAGACCATACTTACGATCGGGCGACTGACTGACTGACTCTCTTACTAGTTGTGGCCGCATATAATGACGCTGCGAAGCTGGTCAAGCGTATCCAGTCGGCCGCCCCTACTACGGCTCCATCGCCAGTTGCTACGACTTCTCCAGATTCGCCGGCTATAGACGAAGCGAGCAATACCACCGCTCTAGCAGATCTAGGAGACTCGCTCATGCTGGGTCCGCCGATCGTACAGGGCCAGTATGAAGAGAATCTGATGCGACTGGGCAATGCATACGCCAACGGCGACCAGAACGCTCGTGAGACGCTCAAGGACGTGGTCATCAACCTACAACTGACGCTGCTGGCGACCCTGCGCATGGCGCTGTTGGATAACCTTGAGCTCGACTTTGCAGCCCTTCAGCGTGCTTCGGACGAGAGCAGAATCAGTGCGCTGGTCTGTCTCTTCCAGCTCGGCCAGCGTCTCAGCCTGGGGAGTCCATCTATGCTCCCGAAGGCTCCCCTGGCATCCAGCACATCGCCCACCAGGCCTGCTGCGTTGAGCGACCCCGGAAGCAGCAGCAGTCCCTTTGCTGGGTCTTCTTCCACAGCAGCAGCAACAGACCCCCGGAAACCACCCCCTATTCCTCCCATGTCCCCCTCACGGGTGGCCTCGAACTCGATATCGTCTGCAGATCTAGGCAACCGGGTTTCGCGAGAGAGCAACTACACCAACCATCGGCCACCCAGCAGCATCAACCCCGTCTCACCACCTCTAACGCCACAACCGAACTACCCTCCTCCTAAAGCCCCCTACAGTCCCAGTGCCGGTCATGGCCATGGTGTCAAGACACCGCCCACTCGCCTGGCCGAGTTGCAGGGCTCACAGCCCATGATCAGGGAGGAGTCAAACAGATCCGCAAGCGTATACAGCGTGCTTTCATCCAACAACTCCAGCACCAAGGGTGTCGAGGCACCAATGGACCGGTACAGATCAAATCCCAGCAGCGGTGACCCTCATATAGAACCAGACCAAAGTGCTGTGGAACTGAGCGCTGGTATCTTCTCTCGCACCTCCTCCTCCAGATCAAGTTCCAATGATCCCCGCAAGGCCCCCCACCCGGGAACAGAAAAGGTCATTTCTCAGTTATCTTCCTCGCCGGGTACGAAATCCTTACCCATGTTCAAATGGAAACCCTTCGCCCGCTCGACAGGCAGCTCTTCAAGCAAGAACAACAGCGCAGACCAACCCATGCTCCCGCCGCCAGACCTGTACCTCCCCACAGAAGAAAACAACTTCGCGGGATTCTGTAAGGGAGCCTGGCGGCTGCAGAACAGTATGAAGAACTCGTTCCGCATCGACAACCGTCCTGTAGGAATGTACATGCTTCAAAGCTCATGGCACTGTTCCAAGTGTTCCTTTGAAGGAATTGTGCAAGAATCCAAATTCAGCGGGAAAGCTCCCGTTCTATCCTCCATGCTTGGCCCGGTCAAAACGTCTATCATTCAGGGTATGCGTGTCCTCCAGATGTTTGACCAGACGGTTCATCTTCATGGACCAAGTGGGAACAGATACCGATGGATCTTCCTGGCTAAATCTCACGTTGAGTGCAAGCCTCCCAAACCAACTGATAAGGTGGTATGTGGGTTCGGATGCATATTCTGCAGTGCACAGAACCATGGGCCCGCCCCGATATATGGCAACCTAGATACATTTATGGAACATCTGCGAGAACATGGAGGGAGAGGGTACGCTTGGGACAGGAAGAAACCGAGCCAGCCGCTCTTGGACTGGACGAGGTGCATCCTTGGGCGTATTGCTGATGATTCTGAAGATTTCGATATTAATATACCCACCGTGGCAGAAGTGGGGGGTTAATATAACTATGACTTGGTTACGCTTGAAATGTCCTTATATGTTTTATGTTCCTTTTACCCGATGTCTTTATTTATACCATTGATGCGAGCGTTTTGCCTGGGAAATTCCATTGTTGCCAAACCTCTGAGCGACTGTACATGTATGCTGTTTAGTGAATCCAAGGAAATCATATGCCACTAACGGAGTATCTCAGCGTACAAGTTCAATACTTGATATTATTGTATTAGAATGAACGTCAACATTATGTAGATCATGACAGATGCAGCTGATACAGCTTATGCAAGGGGGGAGAGGGTAGCAAGGAGCAAATATTAACAACCACCAGGGGAAAGGGAACCAGCAAAAACCTTCCTGGAAGAACCTTGATCTTGAAAGTAAACGAATGTACCATGAAAACCACACCGATGTAGCGAGTGCATTTACATAACAACACAGCAGCTGTTCTGCTTCTTGGCCTGGCCATAGAACATCTTGCTCTGTGCGCTTAGGCCGTCACTCTTTGCAACACTGGTAAACCGTTAGATCCATGACTGCTCCAAAGTATATACTGTCGGAAGGAGAAACTTACAGGCTGTCAATCTTCTCCCCTCTCTCCAGAACACTTTCAATAGTCTTATGCAAGACGATCTTAGTCTCATCCAGCTCCTTTTGAATCTTCATGATGCTGTCTGCCTGGGTGGGGTCCTGGTATTTAACAATATACTCCTTCAACTCCGGGAAGTCAAGGGGGCCGCCTATTTCCTTGCCAATAAAGGATGTCCGGGGGTGCTTGACGAGGAACTCATCGACAATCTTGGAAAGAAGCTGATGGGCGACAAGAGCAGGGTAGTCTGCGTCCGAAATGATGACGCCCGCTATACCTTCGGACCGGCCGTAGACGTGAAATGTGTACGATTTCTCTTCGATGTCCTGTCGCTGACCGGGACGTGTGCGTTCGGCAACTGTCTTGCAGAAGAGGGTCATAAATTCACCGTAGCTGTAGGCCGGGATATTGTTAGCTGGGGCTGCAGACTGGAGGCGTAGCTAGTAGGGAGGGTGGCACACTTGTCCCTGGTGAAGCGGGAGAAGCTGCTAAGGTCCATTTCACGGCATAGCTCGACGGCGGGCCGGTCTTCGTTCCGCAGAATCTAGAAGACTCATCGTCAATATAACGTCTGGGAATCTGGGTTTGCTTCTTCCTCACATACTCCGATATAAAAGAGCTTCATGTTAACGGTGTAGTTGTTTCCAGGGGGTGCGGGCGCTTCGGTGTGTGTTTATGATGGAGGTTTATGCAGCCAAAAAGAGCGGACGAGATATTATCAGCCGTTGAATAGTCCGTGAACCAGATAGTCTCAAAACGAGATAAGGCCAAATCAGTCTAACTGCACTCGATCTCGAGTTCTTGCTGCTGTTGTCTGTTGTCTGTTGTCCGTTGTTGTAGACACGGAGAGGCGTTCTTCAGGCTGTCGCATTTCCAGCAACGGCCCCCCGGATTATGTAAGCTGGGGGCGGTGGGAGTCACAGATATTCGTTTCTTTTTCGGACTTCATCTCCTCGACTACATCTTCGTCGTTGCATCTTTGTTAGCATTGAAGAAGTCTTTCTTTTTTATATACGGAGTACTGCTAGAAGAATAGATAGATCGGTGTATTTGACGCTCGTTTATTGTTCACCATGTCGGCCGATCTAACGCCAGAAGAGAGACAGTGGCTCGACCAGCTGACTGCCATGCGGCAGGAGATAGAGAAGCTGAATCTGCCAAACGAGCCTGAATCAGTTCTCTATGGCTCGGATTTGAATCTGAGCGATGATGACTTCTCCTCGCAGCCAGGGTCATCCGACGATATCTGGGACTTGATCAGTGACAGTGGTGAAAGCGACGAATTTGACGATATCAATGGAGTGGCTCTGCCTGTTGACTCATCCCACGATGAGCAGAAGCAGGAACATGACCGTCGATGGCTCGCAAAGAAATGTGAATCCATTGCTCAGCTTAAGGAAGGCCTCAGTGGGCCTGATTTACAGCAGCAGATAGAGGCTCTTCTCGCCTCTGATATGTCTTCAGATGAACTCCAGATTGCTTTGGCGGAAGTCATTGGCTTTGATGAGCTAGATTTTGTCATCGAACTGCTATCTCATCGTCGGGAGGTTCTTTCAGGGCCTACTATACCAGATTCTCAGCCTACTTCGGCTATTGGGCGACTGCAAACCCGGGCAGAGAGGGAAGAGGCCCTCCGCCGACAGGACTATGAGCATAAGCATGCACAGCTTGCGGCAAAGGTCGATCGTGAAGGACCGCAGTATCCCCATGTTTACAAAACTTATCAGGCTGGGAACACACTGTCTGTAAATGGTCGAAAATATGGACTTCCCGTTGGGACTATCCATAGAGAGGAGCCCCTCTATACTGAATACGCCGTCCCCGCATCAAAAGTCGGAACCCTTGGGGCTGGTCACAGGCTTGTCCCAATATCAGAGATGGATGCCCTCTGCCGGGGCACATTTCCGGGATATAAGTCCTTGAATCGTATGCAGAGTTTGCTCTACACTGTTGCATATAAAACTAACGAAAACATGCTTATATGCGCACCAACGGGAGCTGGTAAGACTGATGCCGCTATGCTCACCATCCTCAATGCCATAGCTAGACACACTACCCCAAGCCCACTGGAAGACCCCGAAGCTACGGATTTTGTTGTGCAAATTGAGGATTTCAAAATCGTCTATGTCGCTCCAATGAAAGCTCTCGCGGCTGAGGTGACAGAGAAACTAGGCAAGCGTTTGGCATGGCTAGGGATTCAAGTCAGGGAACTCACCGGAGATATGCAATTGACTAAGCAGGAGATTGTACAGACTCAAATTATTGTCACTACCCCTGAGAAGTGGGATGTGGTCACAAGAAAGAGTACTGGAGACACTGAGCTAGTCCAGAAGGTTAAACTATTGATCATCGATGAAGTTCACATGTTGCATGATGAGCGTGGTGCTGTGATTGAGTCTCTCGTAGCCCGAACTCAACGTCAAGTCGAAAGCACACAATCCTTGATTCGGATTGTTGGGCTTTCTGCAACCCTCCCTAACTACCTGGATGTGGCAGATTTCCTCAAAGTCAACCGCATGGCCGGTCTCTTCTTTTTTGACGCTTCCTTCCGCCCAGTTCCGCTTGAACAGCATTTCATCGGAGTGAAGGGAGATGCTGGCTCCAAGAAATCCCGAGATAACCTAGACAAAGTCTCATTCGAAAAAGTAAGGGAAATGCTTGAAGCGGGCCATCAAATCATGGTTTTCGTCCATTCCCGAAAGGACACAGTCAACACTGCTCGCCTTTACGCAAAAATGGCCATGGATGAGCAATGTAGTGATTTGTTCTCCCCTGTGGATCATGAAAATTACTCTCAGGCCTTGAAAGATCTTAAGGGTACCCGTGCTCGAGAGTTAAGGGATCTAGTACCCAAGGGAATGGGCACACATCATGCCGGTATGTCGAGATCGGATCGAAACTTGATGGAGCGCCTATTCTCTCAAGGTGTTATCAAAGTTCTGTGCTGTACAGCAACTTTAGCTTGGGGTGTAAACTTGCCAGCCGCCGCTGTCATTATCAAAGGAACCCAGATATACAGTGCTCAGGAAGGAAAATTCATCGACCTTGGAATTCTGGATGTCCTCCAAATATTTGGTCGAGCTGGTCGACCTCAATTCCAAGATACTGGTATCGGCTTCATATGTACCCCTCAGAGCAAGCTACAGCATTATATATCCGCCGTCACCTCTCAGGAGCCCATTGAGTCTAGGTTCTCCCGCAAATTGGTGGACAACCTGAATGCTGAAATAGCGTTAGGTACCGTCACTTCGGTCACTGAAGGTGTTCAGTGGCTCGGATACTCTTATCTGTTCGTTCGAATGAGACGGAATCATTCTGCCTATGGTATAGAATGGAGTGAGATTCGTGATGATCCTCAACTCGTTCAGCGGCGTCGCGATCTTATTATAAAGGCCGCCAAAGTACTTCAAAAGAGCCAAATGATCATATTCAACGAAAACACCGAGGAATTACGTGCAAAAGACGTGGGACGAATTGCAAGCCAATACTATGTCCTTCAAACCAGCGTGGAAATTTTCAATTCCATGATGAACCCTAATGGTAGTGATGCTGATGCCATGAAGATGATTAGTATGAGTGGTGAGTTCGACAATATTCAGTCAAGAGATAATGAATTCAAGGAGTTGGACAGATTACGAGAAGAAGGTCTACGAACTGAGGTCGAAGGAGCAAACGATACTGCCCATGCAAAGACCAATATTCTTCTTCAGTCTTACATCTCCAGAGCTAGAATTGAAGACTTTGCTCTTGTCTCGGATACCTCATACGTTGCTCAGAACTCTGCCAGAATTTGTCGGTCACTTTTTATGATTGCATTAAATCGACGATGGGGTTACCAATGCCAGGTCCTGCTATCGACCTGTAAATCCATTGAGAAACAGATTTGGCCTTTCCAGCATCCATTCCATCAATTTGATTTACCGCCAACCATTTTGAAAAATCTTGATGAAAAGTTCCCTGCCTCGTCTATTGAATCAATGAGAGAGATGGACACCGCGGAACTCGGCCAGCTCGTTCATAATACGCGCATGGGCGGGACTTTGAAAAAGCTACTTGACAACTTTCCAACGTTGAGTGTTGATGTTGAAATATCACCCCTTAACAGAGATGTGCTTCGTATTCGGCTCTATCTCTATGCAGACTTCCAATGGAACACCCGGCACCATGGCACATCAGAGCCATTCTGGATATGGGTAGAGAATTCGGAGACTGCAGAAATATACCACCACGAATACTTCATACTGAACCGAAGGAAGCTCCATGACAGTCAGGAATTGAATTTCACTATTCCATTGACAGACCCTCTACCAACCCAGATATACGTTAGAGTGATCTCAGATAGATGGCTTGGTGCTGAAACCGTTGCCCCAGTTTCATTCCAGCATCTTATTCGCCCGGATACGGTAAGCGAGTATACAGATCTCCTCGAGTTGCAACCTCTGCCAATAACGTCTCTGAAGAATCCTTCGCTTGAGCATGTATATGGGAAGAGATTTGACTACTTCAACCCAATGCAAACCCAACTTTTCCACACACTCTACCATACCGATATGAACGTCCTTCTAGGATCCCCAACCGGAAGTGGGAAAACTGTAGCTGCAGAGTTAGCTATGTGGCAGAACTTCAAAGATAAGCCAGGATCAAAAGTCGTTTACATTGCTCCCATGAAAGCGCTTGTGCGAGAACGTGTCCATGACTGGAGAAATCGGCTTGCCACGCCCTTGGGCTTAAAATTGGTAGAATTAACTGGTGATAATACCCCTGACACAAGAACTATCAAAAATGCAGACATCATCATCACCACACCAGAGAAGTGGGACGGTATATCTCGAAGCTGGCAAACAAGAGGATACGTTCGCCAGGTTGGATTAGTTATTATTGATGAAATCCACCTTCTTGCGGGTGAACGTGGTCCCATCCTGGAAATAATTGTTTCCAGAATGAACTATATTGCATCTCAGTCCAAAGGCTCTGTTAGATTAATGGGCATGTCTACTGCTTGTGCTAATGCTCGCGACCTTGCAGACTGGCTGGGAGTGAAGAAGGGCTTATATAACTTTAGACACTCTGTTCGTCCGGTGCCTCTGGAGATATTTATTGACGGTTTTCCGGAGCAAAGGGGCTTCTGTCCCTTGATGCAGTCGATGAACAGGCCAACTTTCCTTGCAATCAAAAATCACTCGCCTGATAAGCCTGTGATTGTATTTGTGGCATCTCGACGACAGACACGCCTTACAGCAAAGGATCTAATCAATTATTGTGGGATGGAAGATGATCCTCGAAGGTTCGTTCACATGTCTGAAGAAGACCTGGAACTCAATATGTCCCGAGTTAAAGATGCAGCACTGAAAGAGGCCTTAAGCTTCGGAATTGGCCTCCACCATGCAGGTCTTGTTGAGTCGGATCGACAGTTAGCCGAAGAGCTCTTTGCTAATAACAAAATTCAAATACTGATTGCGACCAGTACACTGGCTTGGGGTGTCAATTTACCAGCTCATCTAGTTGTGGTAAAAGGAACTCAATTCTTTGATGCAAAAGCCGAGGGATATAAAGACATGGACCTTACCGATGTGCTCCAGATGCTTGGACGTGCGGGCCGTCCGCAGTTCGATACTTCGGGTATTGCTCGTATTTTCACCCAAGATGCAAAAAAAGCATTCTACAAACACTTCCTTCATACCGGATTTCCCGTGGAATCAACATTGCACAAAGTCCTAGATGACCATTTAGGAGCAGAGGTCAGCTCAGGCACGATCACAACGAAACAAGATGCCTTAGATTACTTGACCTGGACATTCTTTTTCCGAAGATTGCATAAGAATCCGTCATACTATGGGCTCGAAATATCCGCTGAAGAACACAATTCAGCTGCAGCCCGGGAGATCGTGTCTGAGTTCATGGTTGAACTAGTTGACAAGTCACTTGGGGCGCTTGCGGAATCCTCTTGTGTCTTGTTTGACACAGCAACTGGCTTTGTCGACCCAACTCCTTATGGAAAGATAATGAGTTACTATTACATATCTCATAAGACCGTTAGATACTGGATGACGCATGCTAGACCCGATCCCACGTTTGCTGATGCTTTGGGATGGATGTGTTCTGCGACAGAATTTGATGAGCTCCCCGTCCGGCACAACGAAGATCTGGTCAATGCAGAGCTTGCAAAGAATCTACCACTGCCTACCACAGCAATCAGCGACCATTTACCGCTTTGGGATCCTCATATCAAGGCATTCCTGTTAATCCAAGCGTTCATGTCTCGTGTTGAACTTCCAATTTCAGATTATGTTGGTGACCAGACGTCAGTCCTCGACCAAGGCATCCGTGTTATCCAAGCCTGTATAGACGTGCTTGCAGAGCTAGGTTACCCTAGAGCTTGCTCGATGATGATGACGCTGCTTCAATGTATCAAATCAGCACGCTGGCCAACCGACCACCCGCTGTCAATATTGCCCGGCATTGAACCCGATAGCGTGGCTGATGGTAGCATCAATGCTAGCAAGCTTCCACTGTCGCTTACGAAATTGGTATCTATGCCAAACCCCGCAATATCTCGTATGCTCGACACCATTGGTCTTGAGCAACCCCTTGCTTCACAGTTTTCAAAGACAGTGCCCATGCTGCCGAACCTTGATGTGTCAATTGCAGATTTGACCCTTGATGGATTGACGGTTGTCTTGAGACGGAAATCCAAGGAATCGGACAACCAGAGACAACCACGTTCTCATGGAACAGATGGATACAGAATCTATGCTCCGCAATTCCCCAAGCCACAGACCGAAGGATGGTTCGTCCTCGTGACGGCAGCCAAGGATCAGAGCAAAGGAAGAGAGGAGTTGCTAGCCTTGAAGCGTGTTTCGTTATCACCGCCGGCTTCGGGAACCCGAGGAGCTGGTCCCCGTGGCAAATTAAACGGAGATTCTTCTACCAGGACAAAGGTCCATTTCTCAGGGGACATTGAGTTTGGAAGCATGGAGGAAGTCAAGGGTAAGGTGAGGGTGAGGGTCATTAGCGATGCGTATATCGGGATGGAGTGGACGGTTGCCGGTTAGCTTAGACGAGGATGAACGCACGGAAACAGCTCCCGATCCAAACCCGTGGCATGAACGGAGAGCGCATCACCTCAGGGAGTTTGATAATAATTAAAAAAGCCGTTTAAAAAGCGCCGATCCCAAGACCTGGACCCCCGGCTAATTGTCTGGATAATAGCTGTTACCTAATACATTGAAGCATCGATTGCCTGCTCCATCCGAGCTATCTGACAATCTGAAGCAAAGAGTAGATCAACCCATGAACAGCTGTGCATATCTCCCGTCATGCGTGTATGAGGATCCCATAATAAAATCAACCTAACTATAATAGTTACTTTACCCTGGCATCTTAACAAGTGCTGTTTATCTGTTGGGAATAAAAGGGGGGAGGCGATCTTTCCATCCAGCATCGATCCTAGGCGAGGATACCAGCAAGATCGTTGGATGTGCCCCTGGAACCTGGCCAAGGGTCGAAGATTAAAAGCTAATAGGAGCTCGTTCATGCTTTCGGAAGGGAACAGACCGGGCGAGTTGCTGGGCTTCTTGCTTCGTTTTCGTCTTTGCTCTTCTCCGGGGAAACCCTGCATGTCTTCCTTCGAGGGATGATCAAGTGAGTCGGACTTCGTATTTACGTCAATGCATGGAGATGCATGATCACTGTCGACCTTTATGCCCAATGCGGAGCCCCCCTATGGACCTGATATGGATATACGAAGTGCATGCATGTAATGTGGAAATGACAAAAATCTAAAAGGGTTCTATATTTTAGTTATACTCCAAACATCCTGCCATGATCGCTATAGATACTCCACAACTAAACAAAATGCATTGAAGGAACAAGAAAATGGATTGAAACCTGAAGTCACCCCTGACTCCATCTCCGGGCATTGAATATTGCAGGAAACAAGGGCTCGTGTGAATCATGTATATGTACTCCGTATATATGGAAGACAAAGGAATGGGAAATGGGAAATCTACGGAAGCGGGACGGGGCCTGGATCGCCGGGTACCGGGCCGAATGGTGATGTAGGGGGGCATGACGATTTTGACAAGGGGATGAGGTGTCAATGTATAGAGAGATGGAATATAGGGTGGGATATAATGATAGGATTTAAGCGAACGCGAGATTAGAAGCAAAAAGGGCGCATGCAGAAGAGTGCCAGCTGACAATGCGGTGTATGAAAGAAAAAGGGGGTAAAACATAGCGATATGTTATATGATTCTCGCGTAGCTGAGAAAGAACGAAGAGAAGCGGTAAGAGTGGTCAGGAGGCGTGATATTGAATGGAGGAAAAAAAAGAGAGAGACTAGGCGTTCTCGATCAAAGCGTTTCTAGACTTTGCATAGCGATGGCCAGGTTGAACCGCCAGCTGGGCTGGGATACCTGCGCGCTTTTCGACAAATCGCTCACCAGGTCGGAGGAAGCCTGTTCTTGCACCGACGGGGACTAGAATCTTTTTCTGTCCCTTACTTACGGATACGGAACGTGCGATTGAGATTTGAGCTGTATGGATATCACTGTGTAGGTCGTCGGACATTGAGTCTATGGATAGACTTTGCTTGTGACCCGACTTTGAAGGAGGGCAGGAAGAAGCTGTCTTGGGCCTGAGGGAATCGACACGGGGGTGCGCAGTGTAGTCATGGTTTGTGATGCTGTTTTGAGGAGGTGTTGATGGATGGATGATTTGAGGGATGGATCCGTTCAGTTGCTCGCCGGGTTCAGAGAGGTTACTGCTCGGAGTCGGACTCAGCAGCGGATAGCGGTTCTTTGGAGGTTTGTGTTCATTCCTTTTGTTCTGAGCCGGTGTCACCATCTCCCAATCTGGTTCAACCAGCTTGACCGGAGGATTGACCTGTAAACGCACTGGGTTGAGGTATTCTTCATCATAGCTTGTAGGTGAATACAGCGACCCATCGCTGGCATCATCCGCGTTTGGAAAAGTGGGAGGCTGTAAATCTCGAGGAGAATCTAGCCCACCTCTACCACCATCATGGCCCCAGCGTTCAAAAAGAGCCTTATGCGGAGACGGGTGAGTGTTTGACCGCTTTTGGCGTGGTGATTGGCGAGGAAGACAATATGATCCTAATATTTTGGACTGCTTATCTGTTGGAGTGGACGGGAAAAGTGAAAAAACTGGTGACCTGGCAGGCCCAGGAGAAGTAGCACGTCTTGGAGGAGGTAATGGGCCATCATCTTCCTGCAACAGATTAAAAATGACAAGCTTTAGTAGCTGCTAGGGGGGAAAGGGGTATGGTATGAGTATACTCACCTCCTTGTCAGGAATTTTTAGCTTGTTCAGTGCCCTACTCCGTCTGGCCAGTAGAGATGGTGCATTATTATCGATCAGCCCGCCAAACATGACACTATACCTCTCCATTTCAATGCTGGGTATATCCACTGAAAGGAAAGGCGAGCCGCTGGGGGTAGTCTGGAGAAGATCCGGTGCTGATTCAGGTTCATCTGCTGTTGTGTTCCAATACCTTCTTATCTCGGCGTTCTTGACTAGTTTAGCTGGAGTCCTCTTTCGAGCTTGCTTAGGGGATTCTTCGGGTGAAGAAGATCGGCCTGACGATGGACACAGGTCCAGATGAGGCCTACTGACTGGATCTGAGCCGTTGGCAGTGCGTTGGCGTTGATGACGATGGTGGGCGCTCTGACGAGCCTGAGATCTCGAGTCTATGCTTGTCTTTGACGAGTTCACGGCATCCATTGAGTTTGACGGGTACTGGTTGCCAATGTATACCTGAGGCTGGAAATTGGGGCTCTTTGCAGGGCGAAGAGGTTTGTCATTGACCTGGACCTGGTAGAAGAACTCGTTTTGCGGGGACTCGACCTGTTTTGCACGGAACAGGCCGCCGAACTTCTTCCATTTACTAGGTTTCCGCTGCAGTGGCTTTTTGGCAGTGACTGTGTTTGAAATTGTGCTTGACACTGTGCTCGGGGCCGTGCTGGCACGGGGCTGCATCCGGCCACCGCTGCCCGTGTGTACTTCCCTTTTACCTGCACTTGTTGGGGCACTTTTGGCGGCGATAGAAGACAACGGAGTGATTCTTGTAGTGGGTGGTACGGGGAACAAGTCCACGGTTGGGCTGCTCAGGGCAACCCCGATCATCTCATTCCATCGAGGGTCCTTGTTGGGATGTATGGAGCGAGCTTGTCCTCCGCGAAGGGGCAAACCTTTGTCTGCAACCGGACTCAATCGCTTTTGCGCATATGTTCCAGCACTGCGACTGCGGTTGGCGGCGGCGGTGTTACTTCTTCTAGGCTCCCGTAGAGAGCCATTATTTGCTGGACTGTGCACATTATCAGGAACGTTGTAGGCCGCTGCACGTTGGTGGTGCAGGTTGCTGGGCCGTGGCGATTCGTGGGGCTGCTGTTTGGGTGTCCCGGTGGTCGTGTGAGCCCTTGGTCTTGATGAGACAGTCTGCTTCCCCATATCGTCACTTAGTTATCCAGCATAGTAGTACAAAAACATGTACACACAGAGTCTGGTCTGCTAAATTATATTGGTGGTCATGAAAAGAAAACCAGCTTGACAGCAGTTGGCCGGGTATATAAACAAGTTCAAATAGGCAGTAAGTAGTAATAGATATCTAACAGTAAGAAAGCACTGGTACTGGCAATTACCCAAAGCCTGGGACCGGCAGAGCCAGGAGGGAAAACCGTGGGGTTTAAAGCGAAACACAGGAAGTAAAGAAAAGGTAGAAGAGACGAAACCTGCTTAACATGCGCTGTTAAGAGACGGGAAGGGATTCAATTAAAGCAATTTGCTTATATTGATATGAGGCAGCCTCCTGAAACAAGGGCTAAAAAGGTTCATTTAAAGATGGAGACCGACGGAGTCAGCCTGTGGGGAGGAGGCTAGGAACATAACGGGAGCGCGGCCAGGGACAGCGTTTCCGTTAGCCAAAATAAGAAATAAGAAATCTCACTCCCATGGTGCTCTGCGATTTTACTGGAGTTGAACGATGCCGTCAACTGCACTAAAATGCTCCATCCCTTCGTATCGAGCAGGCAGACTCTCCCGATCGATGGGCCATCAACAACAAAACAAAAAAAAAAAGACGATGGAGAAAGGAGGTTAAAACAGAGAAGTTCGACTAGCACGAGCTAGTCGGATCCCTCACAGGCCTAATCTCTTTTAACTCGGCTGATGCTTCTGCGCAGCTTAAATAACTGCAAACTCGCATTGATGTTGGCTGGCGACCCGTCAAGCTAACTGCTGGTCGGTGAGGTGGTCGACCAGTGAGGAGCGTACCAGCCAGGCCGGGATCCCAGGGTGCGTCAAACACGAAGCCATGACCGGCCGACAACGAGGAGGGAGGAAAAAGAAATTCGCTTCCATGAGGCGGTTAGCCATGATGTGCATATCGACGCCGGCGTTCCCTGTTCATTTCGATGCCATCTTGGCCATATTTAAAAAGCTGAAGCTGCAGATTGCTGATGCTTCTGTTTGCTTCTGTGCTGCTTCTGTGCTGCTTCTGTGTTGCTGCTGCTGCTGTAACCGCGGGCCTTCAGCTGTTTCGTTTCACCGGTAGGCACCCGCGACGCCGCGCTGAGGTGTAATAGGGCGACGCTGCATCTCGCTCCCCGACGATATCAGGCCCTGCATCTGTCTGCGTTTCTTGTTGTCTGGCCGGGGGATCCGTGGCGTCTGGTTGAAGATTGCAGGGCTGCCGGTACCTCCACCACCACCGCCGCCAGAAGACGAGAACGACGGCCGGGAAGACTGCTCTAGACCTGGAGATGCCGCCAGCCAGCCATCGATTCTGTCTGCAGATGTCACTGCTGCTGCTGCTGATGTTGTAGTAGATGTTATAGTAGTTGTAGTAGTTGTAGTTGTAGCAGTTGTGGTTGTTGACGTCGAAACGTAGCAGCGACGCCGCCCCCACTTTCGCCCTGAGTAAGAAAGTAAATAACTAGAAAAATAAAATAAAAATAAAATAACAACATCCCACCAACAACGCAGGCAAACTCACCGACAACCTCGACATCGCCGGCTTCGTCCTTCGCACCGCACACTGCGCAACAGCTATCCGCACTGCTCAGCCGCTCACAGACGCTGCTCTGCTTCTATCGCTGCTGCAAGGCTCGCCCCCAACGACCTCCAGCAGCATCCGCCATCGCCGTCCGACCTCCCGCTGGCCACCCCGCCGTCACCTGTTCAGCAGCAACCCACCGCACACAGATAGGCATCACCAAGCATCATGTCCTGGCAAGGTATGTCTGCTGCCGGCTGCTTTCTCCGTCGTGTATGCGTGTAGAGACCTGCTAACTGTCGTCGGCAGCATACGTTGACAGCAGGTACCTGGGCCCCCGCGTCTCCCTGATCTATCTATATGATATATGATGCCAGATCGGCTAGAGCGTACATCTAACACCTTTGACTCTGCAGCCTTGTTGGCTCCGGCAACATCGACCAGGCCGCTATTTTCGACAAGGATGGCACCAGCGCATGGGCTACCTCTCCTGGTTTCAAAGTATGCTTTTTTCCGCACTGGCTTTGCTGTCTGCCTGTCTGTCTCGTTGCTTCTGGTCTGACTGACTCGACCCTAGGTGAGCCCCGAGGAGATGAAGGTTATAATAGATTCGTTCTCGGCCAGCGATAATATAAAGGATATACAGACCAACGGCTTCCACGTCGGCGGAGAGAAGTTCTTCACTCTCAGGGCCGATGACAGCAGAGTCTACGGCAAGCTTGTACGCATTCACCTCTTTAACTCCGAATTCCGTATACTTACAGCATCTTAGGGGAAAACCGGCATCGTCATCGTCAGGACTAAGATGGCCCTCCTCCTTGCACACTACCCAGAGACCGTCCAGCCGGGTGCCGCCACCAACACCGTAGAAGCCCTGGCAGAGTACCTCAAGGGGGTGGGCTACTAGAACAGGACACGGTTGTCCCTTTTGTTTTTTACCCCCACATACATCCTCCCAACACACCAACCAACAAACCTCTGGATCTGCCAGACAGCTTGATCCCTCTCTCATTCTCGTGAAGAAAAAGAAAAGGAGAAGACAGCCTGGTACAAATGTCTGCGGTTTTCCATTTCTTGCATATAATTTTGTTTTTCTTCTTTTGTATGAGATACCATCTTAAGGGATTCGTCATCAGGAAAAGAAAGAGAGAGAAAGCAAAACCACTGTACATTCCCTCGATGAATGGCATCTAGTTCCAACTAGCCCGTTTTATCATCTCGGTTCCATGTCAACTCCGCTATTCTTTTTTTTATATCTCGTCGAGAATGGTAGGTCCTCATGAATCAGTGGGTATTATCATGAACTGCTATAATACATATATTATATACAGTAGTATTATAAGAGGCCACCGTTACCGTGGCCGCTCACCTCTGTATATTAAAGACGGTTTGTCCATCCAAAGACGTGCCCGTCATTTTATACTGGCAGGTCCTGGTTTGGCCGTCTTCCTCCCATGGTACCCAGCCAGACCAGTGCCTGTCTCAGATACGGCCCTACCACCGGTATGCTGCCCACGAATCCGCCGAGAGTGACCAGGAAATCACCAAAGAGGACAAAGAGGCCGTATAGCTCGACACAGAAGCCTATCAGAGGCCAGCGGAAGAGGATAAGAAAGATACCCAGGGCGAACGTGACTGTTCCCGTGAGCTTTTGTCGGCGCGCGAAGAAGGCGAGCGTCTTTTGCGGTCCGAGTATGAGGGGTAGGCCGATCAAGAAGAGGATCTATTCTCGTTAGACACGAAAGGTCAAGGTAAGTAGACGAGAGGAATCCAGGAATCCCTACATTTCCCATAGCAAGTCTACGAAACCGTTAGCAAGCCGAGGATAGACAAAAAAGAAGAGACGAATAAACACCTACAGTGATCGATCAAAAAACATGAGAATCCCCAGGAAGAGGAATAGACTGCCTGTGATTGCATGCCCGTGTCAGGTCCCAACAGCCTTCAAGCGTATATACTTGGGGAGTCAATGCCAAGCTCTCTCACCTACCGCCAGAGCAGAACACCACCCCAACCTCTATACATCATCATCATCACAGTCAGTCGGTCAGTTACACCACACGCCCGTGCTTTTAACGCTTTTGTTCCGATACCAAACACTCACTCTGGGTATCTGTCAGCCACATGGACGGCATGGCTGCGGCTCTCCTGTCTGTCCCCTTGTAACGAAGTAGACAATCCTCAGCTCCAGCTCCAGATCTAGCTTCAGATCCAGCTCTCTTCCACCCCCAGGTATATATGTAGAGCTATCCCGGGCCGTATAACCGAGCAGGCGATCGACGAGATTGAATCGGCGGGCGCGGACTGATCAGACACCCTCTTAACTTAGTTGGCAGCGACGTAATGAATTATCCGCCGGTCGAGAACTGATAGGCCTGGCGCTGGTATTATGGGATTTTATCAGCCGGGGGAACAAGTTCATGAAACGCCCAAACACTCCACCAGCGACACACCACCGCGATCTTCCGGGAGGGATCAGGGAAGAGAAGGACTAAGGACTCCTCTCATGGCGCTCCACTTACCTTACCGGCGAGAGACTGATATAACCTGCACTCTTAATTATCCGCAGCTTGCTTGCAGCGGGAGGGAGAGAGGTGAGAGGCCAGATAGCTATTTAGTTAACTAGTTAGCTGGCCAGGAGGAACCAAGTAAAGTGGTTGGCTGGGCCGGGATCGCAGCAGGGAACGACAGCTTGGGCGGAGCTCCAGTCCTAGCATCCCCTGAAGCAGCCTGGCATGAGATCCGTCGTAGCGAGGAGTCGTCTTTCGTCTTTTTAATCAATATCAAACGCCGAATTTCTGTCGAGCCGAAAGTCGATTTTACTTATTTTTCATTTTATTTATTATTTTATTTTTTATTTTTCTATTTTCTAGATCATCCCGCGCTAAACCCCTTTTGGCTGCTCGCACTTCGTTTTCTCCAACATCGAAAAACTCGACAGCAACAACAGCAGCAACAACGGCGACGACAGCGAGATGTCAGCCTGAGATCAACGTCAAAAGAAGTGCTGCAGAGGGTGGACAGTCGACCTCGCAGCGAAGGAATGCAGCAAGTCCAAAAGCTAACCGCGTAATTCTATTCAAAGCTACCATACACACTCACGCCATGGCCACAGTGTCTCCTTGACACTGTAACTGACCTCCCTTCTCTTCCATGGGAGGACGGTATCCGTCAATAATAAACTGTTCTCGGACAGGGCGCAGAGAAAAGCAGCCTGGCAGGAGGAGCACTCTCGCTGTGGCCTCTCCAGGTCTGGTGGTCCCGATTAAGCCGGAGCGTTATTCTGAACTCGTCTCGAAAGGGGCTGCGTGGATGGATAGAGCTTGACTTTGTGGGCCGAACATGTAACTACGCTGGTATCTGGGCGTGATACTCCGCCATCGCAGCATTGAAACCTGTTGTAGGGGAACACTCCCGTAGGTGAATTGCTTTATTTGAGGACGGTGTGAGCTCCTCGGGCTTCGAGGTAGTTCTCCGCGACTCCCGGGCCCAACGACCTGATCACGCCAAAGACCTCCTTGTTATGGTACCGTAGTCGCGTCTTCGGGTCGGTGTAGGGAGCCGGGAGGCCCGTAATGTCGCAGTATCGTTTCTGATGGCCGTGCAGGGACGGGGCGGCGTCGATGTTGGTGTATGTCACGGCGGGCCCCGAGGGGGCACCGGCTCGGAAGTTCTTCTCCAGCACCAGGGTCGACAGGCTCTGCGCGGCCTGGGCAATATTGGGCTGCTTGATGCTGCCTTGCTGCTGGTGTGCGTGGGCAGCGGCTGTCGAAGCTACCATGGGCGTCTGCGCTCCCTCCGCTGATCCCACGCCAGTCCCGACGGCCGAGTTGGTGCTCATGGCAAAGGGGGTAGAGCTGCCGCTGTTCGTCTGGCTGGCAACTGCAGAGGCCTCCCTTCGCGACGTCTCGGACAGGATCTGCTTGACGTTCTTGTTGCGGCGAGCGGACGGCTTCCAGTTGGGGTTGCGGAAGGGCTTTGGGAGGCGCGCGATGTCGAGCTCGTCGAGCAGTCTCTGGTGCGAGTCGTCCTGGACTGCAGCTGGGGGCGCCATCTCTGGTCACTTTTGAGGTATCCTCGTTGGTATTCTTGCAGCTGTTCCTGTTGATATCGCTGTCGATGTCGCTGTAGCAGTCAATGTCGCTAATAATGTCGATGTCTGTGTTGATAGAAGATGCAAACAGGGCAAACTTGGCCAAAAGAGGCAACTTTTTATTTATCTTCTACTTTATTTACTTCAACTTCAACTTCTTTGCATCTTTTATAGATATTTCATCGTACGAGAAAGAGCAGAATTAGATGCTCTTGGGTGCTATCTGGACGGCGGGATACCATGGTAAGTGATGCTCTCCTGTGTATCTACGGACGCCTGCTTAACTAGTTGCCTGCTTCCAGGAGAGCCCACACGAGCACCAACAAAGCCAGCTGCTGGCGCGCATCATCACCAACGTTGTCAGTAGACAGACTCCCGTCTCTGGAGGATGCTGATGCTGACGGATCCTGCAGGAGAAGCTCAATGAAGCCATCACCGTGTTGAACAAGGGACTCCAGGTACTCCTTAGTTGCCTGCGTTGCTCAAGGGGAAGCAGACGGCTGACAGCATGATAGGAGGTCAATGTACAGAACATGAACGTCGAGCTGGTCGCGCAGATGTTCAAGAATTACCAGTCGAACGTCCTGTTCCATCTTGAAGGTCTGTCTGGGCCCTTTTTTGCCTGATAGTCGCATGGCTGACGGGAGTACTATAGCTACCGAGAACCTGAAGGACCCCTCATAGACACGTATAGACGAGAAATGGCCATGTACATGAACTAATACCCGTTAATGAAGTCACGTATTCTCCGTCTTTTAGCATGTTCTTTCATTAAATCGTCCTCTTAGTGCGTAGATGTAGATGTAGATGTAGATTCGTCCAACCAGCCAAAACTTCCGCCGGCCAACTTTCGGCCTCGCAAACCTCAAGAAAAACCGCTTCAACGGCCTCGAACAGCCACCAACAACCACCTCTCCAGCTCGCTGATACCACGATATCTCCCGTATTCTCGTCTTGAAACCCTCCCGCGACCCCTGTGCCAGCTCGAAATCTGCTATGGGAGCTCTCCTGGGCTTCATCCGATAGCCAGCTGCTCGCCACACCCGCTACCTAGCTACCTACCTAAACTACAGCTTCTATCAGCCACATCAAGATGGTCATCACTTCGTCACAACGCATCCAGAGCCCAGATAACAGCCTGACAGTTCAAGAACGGAGGGAAGCAAAGCTGGTGCCCTTCCTCTACAACATCGCCGAACAGCCACTCAAGAATAATCAAGAATTCCCCGCTGAACTGGACCTACGAGATGGCTACGAACGGAGCAGACACGACCCCGAGAACAGCGCAATTGTGATAGACAACGGTGGGATACCCTTGTATACCTCGTCCTTGTAGTTCATTGCCACTAACACGTATTATATCTGTAGGCTCGCACACGGTCAAGGCAGGCTGGTCGTTCGATGAGAGCCCGCGGCTAGTGATACCGCCCGTTGCGTCCAAGTACCGCGATCGCAAGCTGAACCGGGCCTGCCAGTTTGTTGGATACGATGCCTACACCGATGCGACCACCAGAGGCCAGATGCGGAATGCATTTGACGCCGGGACGGGCGTGATAAGCAACTGGGACGTGGTTGAGGGTTTGTTGGATTACATCTTCATCAAGCTGGGAATAGAAGGCGGAAACGGAGGAGTTGACCGTCCCATCGTGCTGACGGAGACGATAGCCAACTTGGGATATTCCAGAAAGAGTAATTAATACGTGTGCATTGTGTTGGAAAGGTTGAGAGGCTAACGGTTTGGTAGTGATGAACGAGATACTGTTCGAGTGCTATTCGGCACCGTCTGTGGCATACGGGATTGATGCGCTCTTCTCGTACAAATACAACTTTGGAGAAAACGGGCTAGTGATCTCGTCTTCCCATTCATCTACGCATGTCATTCCCGTACTGGGATCAAAGGCGATGCTGTCCAACTCGGCTCGGCTCAATTGGGGCGGTTACCATGGCTCCGACTACCTGATGAAGCTGCTTAAGCTTAAATACCCAACTTTCCCGTCCAAGATGACGGAGAGCCAGATACAATCGTTGGTACGAGAGCACTGCTACGTCTCCCTGGAATACGACAAGGAGCTGTCCGGATATCTGGACTGGACGGGGCTGGAAGACCGCGACCGTGTCATCCAGTACCCATTCACGGAGCACGTCGTTGTTGAGAAGACGGAAGAAGAGCTCGCTCGGATCGCAGAGCGCAAGAAAGAAAGCGGCCGACGGCTTCAGGAGCAAGCGGCCAAGATGCGGTTGGAGAAGCTGGTGAAAAAGGAGCAGGAGCTCGAATACTACAAGGGGATCCAGGCGCGGCTTGCCAACGAGACGAAGAAGGAGATCAGACGACTGCTGGATGCAGAAGACATGAAGGACGAAGCAGCGCTGGAACGAACGATACGAGAGCTAGAGAAGTCCGTCAAGAAGTCACGCAACAAGGACCTGGGCAACGAGGAGAACGGCGATGCGATGGAAGAAGCGTCGTTCCCTTTGCTAGATGTGCCGGACGAAGAGCTGGATGAGGCCGGGCTCAAGGAGAAGCGACACCAGAAGCTGATGAAGTCGAATGTGGAAGCACGACAGCGTGCAAAGGCCGAGAAGGAGAGGGAGAAGGCCCGGATAGCAGAGGAGCAGCGGCTGGACGATGAGAAGCGAGAGAACGAATTCGACACCTGGATTGAAGAGCGCAGACAAGCTCGTGAGGTACGCCTATACCCCCTGATCCTTTCTAGATACCTACCTGATACTAACGTGAGATGCCTAGACGATACTACGCAAGATCAAGCAGCGAGACAGACTCAAAGCCGACGCAGGCAACCGCAAGTCTCTCGCAAGCCAGATCCGCATGCGCACGCTGGCCAACCTCGCCTCTGACGGCCCCAAAAAGCGTCGTCGAGGCGGCGAGGACGACACCTTCGGCGCCAACGACGACGACTGGGGCGTCTACCGCACCGTCGCCACGGGAGACGCAAGCGACGACGAGGAAGAAGAAGACATAGACGGCATGCTGAAATCCGTCGAGGCCCAACTACTCCAGTACGACCCCGAGTTCACTGAGAACCACACGCTCGAGGCCCAGACGGATTGGACCAAGAGCATGATCCACATGTTCCTTCGCGGACCGTGGCCATTTGATGCCGAGAGCCAGCGTGAAGCACACCAGCTGCATCTCAACGTGGAGCGCATACGGGTTCCCGAGGTGATTTTCCAGCCCTCGATAGCGGGTATTGATCAGGCGGGACTGGTAGAGATAGCGGCGGACGTGGTGTTGCAGCGTTTTCCAGCGGGCGAGGACCAGCAGCGGCTGCTGAAGGATGTGTTCCTGACGGGCGGGAATACGATGTTTGAAGGGTTTGAAGAGCGGTTCCGGAGGGAGTATAGAAGTGTGCTGCCTACTGGGTTGGAATGTCGCGTGCGAAGGGCCGGTGATAGGGTGCTTGATGCGTGGAAAGGGGCGGCCGCCTGGGCGAGCAGCGGTGGGCTGCGGACTGCGTCTGTCTCGAGACAGGAGTATCTTGAGAAAGGAGGCGAGTATCTCAAGGTGAGTCTTTAACATTCTCTTTTTATGATCGTTTTGATGTTGATTTGATACGGCTGACTGTTGGGATAGGAGCATAACTTGGGCAACGCTACGTAGGCAGAGGGCTACATATATCTACGAACAGAGATAGAGTGTATGAAATGAAGAACCGTCGGCACTTTTATGCCAAAAAAAAAGAGATATAACTAACGTATACAAGTGAAACGCAAGAGCTAAGTAGATACAAGAACGAGAAAGAAGCATGACGACCAGACCCAGACTCCAGAACACCATCCCCCCCTAGGCCCCCTAGGCCTGCCCATCCGCAACATTCTTTATCAATAATCAATGCAGTAGAAGCAGCAGTAGTAGAGTAGCAGTATATCAGCTCGTCAGGAGCCAGACGAAAAGAATACGCAGATAACCTAGCCGTGAGAAGGAGAGTAAAAAGAGAAAACAAAAATGGACGAAAAAAAAAAGGGTGAAACAAACACAATCATACGAGTTCAAAGGACATGTCAAAGCAAGAGCCGAATCCGTCTCCAACACCGACGCGCGTAGTAGAGAGATTTAGAGTGAGATTGAGAAAAGGAAAAGCGAGGGACGACAGGAGGGAAGAAAATGGGGGGGAAAGAAGGAGAATATAAAGAGACAATGGGGGTGGGATTTTTTTTTTGCTCTAGATCTGTTCTGCTTTGGACTGTTCTCCGGCCTGGGAGTCGTCCTGGCCGTCCTGTCTGGTGCGCTTGGAGAAGTTACCGCCCTGGCCCAAGAAGGCTGCCTCTTCGTGCTGGTGCTTTCTCACGCCTAGCCCGGCGACAGCAATGCGGTTGAGAGCGTTGAGTTCAGACTGCGAGCTGTGTTGGCCAGCACCGCCTTGCTGGTGGCCCTGCTGGCCCTGCTGCTGGCCCTGCTGTTGACCGGCCTGCTGCTGACCCTGTTGGCCCTGCTGTGCCTGGCCCTGCTGGCCTTGCTGACCCTGCTGCTGGCCGCCGGAGGTGACGATGGCGGGCTCTGGACGGGGCTGGCTGAGGTCGATGTTTCCCGGCAGCTCGGGGACCTCGTTCTGGGAGTCGATGAGTCGCGACTGCAGGCTGATGATGTATTCGCGGAGCTGGTAGTTTTCCGCCTGGATGGCTTTGTAGTTGTCCAGCAACATTTCGTATTCCTTGACCTGCTCCTCGAGTTTACGGATGTAGCCTTCCTTACGCTGACGGAAAGCGCGCTAACAAACGCGTTAGTACCAACCATAACAAAACAGAAAGGAAAAAAAAAAAAAATAAAAATAAAAAAAATAAACACAAGGATGAGCCTACCTGGGCAGCACGGTTCTGAGCAGCTCGCTTGGAAGACGAGAGCTCGCGTTTACCGTAGACCTTGCGCGGTTCGCCTGTCTGGTCGAGTCCCGGAGGAGCACCGGTCATGTCCTGCTGGCCGACGGGGACCTGAGCCTGTGGGGGCTGGGCGAGCATGGCGGCCGTGGTGTGCACCTGGGGAGCAGCAGTCATGCCCGAGATGGCGGGATCGATGATATGGTCTCTCTGCCCGCCGGCGCCGGCAGCAGCAGCGGCGGCCTGGAGATGCGCGGGAACACCTGGCTGCGGGCGCGGCGGCGGGGGAGCCGTGTGAGATGCGTTCGTTAGATGGGCGGCAAGCAGCTGCTCGCGAAGAACTACAACGACGTCCGTCAGCATCTGGTCTCTGCATCTCGGGTGCTGCTTGTCTGGGTAGCCTACCTTGCTCTGCTTGGTCCTGGAGACGGGGGAGGGCAACGGCAGACCGCGAAGCGCGTCCACCGCCCGGCTGGTTAGCAAAGCTGTCCATGAGAAGAAGAAACGGGAGAAGTCGACGACGCGATCAACGCAAGCAACAAGGGACTAAGGGCGGGAGTCAAGCTGGCACACCCGACAGGGCGTCGGCCAGGACAGTTTGGTGTTGTAGATGTAGATGTAGATGTAGATGTAGATGCAGGGCTGGATGGATATCGCAGTGGCCACCCGCGACAGGCGCAGGCCGGCGCAATGACCGAGGGAGCGGCGAGCAGTGAATATGAGGGCATGCACTAGAGCATCGTCGCTACGGGCAGCGGAGAGGAGGCAGAGGGAGCAGATGTACCGTGGTGTATGGCGAGCTTACCTGGACCGACTGCGGCGCCTGGTGCGACTTGCTGGGGTCCTGGGAGAGGCCCGGATGGGGCGCGAGCTGCTGCTGGCCCTGCTGGCCCTGCTGCTGGTGCGACTGCTGCTGCTGCATCGTCGACATCGCGGGCGTCGGAGCTGGAGCTGGGAGCTTGTCTTGCTGGCTGCTGTTCGGCTTGCTGGCGATGGAGGGTTAGGTAAAAAGGCCGGCGTTTCTTTTTTGGCCGTCGCGGTGAGTCAGGATGTAGTCAGCGTCCGCGTCGTCTTTTCCCGCTTTGGGCGTTTGGGGGGAAAGTCGAGGAGGGAGCAGAAAAGGGCAAAAAGGCGGTGATGAGTAAGAAAGGCGAGAGAGAAAGGATAGAGCAAAGGGAAAAGGCGGCGCGGGCGGGCAGTATTAATAAGCGGGCAGAGGGTCACATGATAAGGTTGAACAAGTGATGACTAAGAGGATGACAAACAGGTGACTAAGAGGGTGACTAAGGCGAAGATGACTAAGATTACGTCATTGCATGGGCATGCTTGATGCTTGTTGTCCACCAGGGATCTAGAGTACTTAGAGTAGTTAGAGTAGGTAGGAGTGAATACATGAATACAGATCTCTATCTATAGGTCATCTCGCTCGCAGCAGACCGCAGCTCCCGCTCAAACTCGGTGCCCAGCACCCGGGTCTGCGGCGACTCGGCCCCCCGCTTGCGCTTTTTCTCCTTGGCTATCCTCGCCCGCTCAAAGTCGATGAACATAACCCGCTTGTTCTCCCGGCTCCAGAACATGTTGCCGATGTGCGTGTCGCAGTGCAGGGTGAGCTGCCGGTGGATCGCCTGCAGCGCCTCGCGGGCCGACGGTATAAACAGGCTCACGCGGTTCTTCTCCTGGGCGTGCGAGACGATGGACTTTCCGACGTGGCTCAGGAACAGCAGGTGCACCACCGGGAAGATGCCGTCGTACCACAGAGGCCCGCTGGCGATGTCGATGCTCCCCAGGCACACTGGCACATACTCTCCCTGGATCCTGTACAGCTGCTGGTAGATGTTCTCCTCGTGGATGGCGCGCCTGACCGTCTCAATGGGCATCGCCTTGGCCACAAGGGTGTACCCATACGGGAAAGTCGTGACCCAGAACAGCGCTCCGGAGGTTCCATGGCGGTGCATCGACTCGCAGCCCCAGGGACCCTTTGGCCCTTCTATCTGCTCCCGGACCAGCTTGCGGAACTGGAAGTCATCAATGGCATGTCGAGGGCCGGTGCCATGAATCGCCACGTTGGGACACTTTGGATCAAGGGGGCCCCGGGTCCGCAGTCCTGCAAGGCATTTCTGAGTGCACCACGGGTTGATCGGACCCGTGTTGTACACGTATCGCTTTCTCTCCGTCGGGGGAGGAGGGCGGGCCCGAGAAGATACGACAACTTGAACTTTTTTCGACGAAGGCCGGGGCCGTCTTGGGGTTGGGCTGTTGGGATCATTGCCCCAGTTCCCACTCTCGTCGTCCCCGTCGCTGGACTCACGGTTTGGCTCTTCAGGCTCTCGGCATGAGGAGGCTGCTGCGGCTGCTGCTGCTGCTGCCGTCCGGCGTTTCGATCTTGTCCTGACAGGCGACATCCGCATATACTCATCTCTGCTCGACTGCGGTGGCTTGTAGCCGGAAGAAGGCAGTTTCTCCGGCGGGCTGCTGCTATCTAGCCCGAAGACAACGTCGTGGTTGAACTCAATCTCCCACTTCTTCAGCCGCTCCTCCGTGTCCGCCGGCCAGTTCTGACCGTGCGGAGGAGACCTCAGGGCCCGGAGTGTAAAGGCGAGAACCTGTCCGATTGCCGTGAGATGTAGCCTATTATGGCCACCCGAGTCACTGGTAGAGCTGTCCGAGTCGCTGGTCCCGCCATCCGAATCGCCAGTCCAGCCGGTGCTCTCTCCCACATCTTCATTGGGTGTAGAGCGATAGTAGTACACAGTAGTAGGGTCGTTGGGGTCTATACGGAGAAATATAAACAGTTCACCAGTAGAGACATACCCAAACTCAATCCTGGCCTGGATCATATAGGAAAACGTCTGCGTGATGACCGCAGCTACCATGCGGCGATTACGCTTGGCTTGATCATCGTTATCACCGCTTATAACCACCTCGTCGACCTCGATATCCAGGAGTCCGTCCAGCGCGCTATCCATGACCAGCTTGTGAGGTGGCTTGTATTCAATGATAAAAGCCGGCACCATCTTATCATTGCCTGAATTGTAAACGCAGAACTGATCAGCTCGAGGGCGTGAGGATCCCGTCTGCACTGTGAGCGGGTCAGCTGAGTCAGTTTGCTTCCGCCGTTTCTGCACCGGAGACTGTGGTGGTAATGGTAAACCAGCATTTACGTCTTCATCCGATTCCGGGTTGATAGTGTTGCCATGGTTTTCAAATGTAACGCTCCCCATGAGATTGAATGTCTTACGCAGCTTGGGATCCGCGTAAAGAGTCTGGATGATAAATGCAACCCGATCCTCAACCGTATACCGCTCATAATAGCCAAGATCTAGCTCAGACCTAAGCATTCTCAGTGATATATATTTGCCTTCTTGCTCTACTCCATTTGCAGAGGCAAAATGGGGCTGAGAGACAAAGTCGGACTCAAAAAGTAATTCCCACACCTTTGCTTGCTCCTGAGGGAAGGTTCTCCATTCACGGATGTATCTGGGGCGTAGTTTGGATTTTGCATTCTCAACGGGCCCCTTGGTTCCCTTCTTATGGTCGACCCGTGAAGAGAAGCCAACAGATAGGTAGGCATGGCAGGCATCCAGGTATTCAGGCAGAGTCGTTGGTTTTACCTGTTGCTTCAATGCATTGAGCTCCTTTTGTTGTTCTTTCATTTCCTCCGAACGCTGTCGTCTATCTTCTTCAAGCTTGCGTTTCTCTTCTTCGTGACGACATCTCTCCTCTTCGTTGGCGCGTTTCAACCTCTCCAGCTCCTGGAGAAGCTGCTCCTCTCGAGACGGCGCGGGTAGGTCACTAGACATGGCTATTCAGCAGGTCTTCGGCCGCTATTCCATTGTGATGATATCAGATATGCCACTGGGTCAAACGAGTGAGCCCAGAGTCAGGATGAAGTTATATAGTCAGAGGTATCCCTGTCTTTTCAGCAGGCAGCAGCCGGATAATCGTTAGTCCACCAACGTTTGCAGGCATGCAGGTTTCCAATAGACAGGTTAACTAACCGCCTCAGCAGCTAACTGACGCCTGATCGCTCGGTCATGGCTTGAATGGGTCAATCAAACGCGATGCCCGTCTCTCGACACGAAGACATCAAATATTGAAAGTTCGATGGAGTCGCGAGATCAGGAGCAAGATCCACTCCAAATTGATTACTAATTACGTTTAACCTCAAAATAGACACGAAACTCAATTCTCCATATCAACAAAAACGCTGGCTACTGACAGGCATATAGTTAGACGACAGGGTGAAGGACAGTAGATAGGAAATGGTAGGTGGCCCGCAGATAGGAGATGGTTTGTAGAGACAAAAATAGCAGACGGTGGAAATTAGATAGCAACTATTGACTCTTCTTGGTTTCCTTGGGTTCCTTGGTCTCCTTCTGGGCGCCAGCCTGGATAATAGCAGCCCCGATCCTGGCGGACTCCTTCCACCCCTGCTGCCGCGCCCAAAAGAGCTCAGATGGAGTTGCGTCTGGCATGCTGAACTTGCGTGCGTCTTCTTCGAGCGATGAGCGGGTGATCTGCCCGATCTCCTCTTCCACATAGTCGCTGCCAAGCTCATCGAAATCGCCAACTGCTTCACCTACACCAGCACTAGCTTGAACTTCGGCAAGCATCTCTTCTCCCCGACGCTGGTAGTGGTTCTCGTCAGTATCATTGATGTTTGCATGTCCGCTGCTGGCGCGGTCAAGGTAGCCCTTTCGCATGAGGTAACGTTCCGCTCGGTCGCGGCGGGTTTCCAAAGTCTCCAGCTTGGACATGGCCACCTGGACTGCCAGGCGGGCGAGCAGGTAGATGTGCTCAGAGAAAAATATGGTCAGCAGCAATAGCCAGCCCTTGATATCATCGTGAGGCTCATCGTTACCGGCACCAGCTACAGATGAAAACATATACACTAGTGCTGCGCTCGTCAGACTGCCCATCCACGACAGGAAGCTGAGTGAGTCCAACCACGGACCGATGGAGTCCGCACGGAAGGGCGTGGGACGCTTGTACTCGATGCATATCTTGAAAAAGTCCGATCGCAGCTCGACCCAGTTGTTGACCAAGAAGGAGACCGGGACCAGAGACCAGACGGGGGAGAAGAGGGCCAGGTATCCAAACTGCACACACATCTCGCGCAGGTCATCGGTCACATCGTATTCACTCAATTCAGATTCATTTCGTACCCGCTTGAGGAATTCGGCTTCTTCTGGTACATCATCCAACAAAAGGTCGGTAGAAGATGACGACGCGGACTTGCTGTCCTCTTTATTCTTCCTTGCCTCGGACATCTCCTCGTATTTGCGGAAGAATTTGCGCTTGACATAGGGAACTACCGTCTCTAGTGCAAAATTCACGATCTGAGCTGTCACCGTAAAGTAGATTACCTGGTTGCGCAGTCGCGCTCTGTTGATGCGGAACTCTCTGATCTCTGTAGCTGCAGACGCTGTCGTTGCGCCCTTCTCATTGGGCTGGAAGGGCTTGACGGCAAGGTGGAAGACATCCAGGTACGGCACTATAGTTGGTGCAAAAGGGACATACACGAACGCTGTCAGGAAGATAGGTAGATAGGAAGTGACAAAGTTAAGTATGAAAACTTTGCGTGTCAGAGCAATATCATGGCTGTCCTGCGTCTCATAATTTTCATACTCTGTCATTTGGGTCGCGACCTTCGTTAGTATAGCGCTGATAGTCGGCACACAGAGTGATAGTATGATTGTAGGTACAAATGCCTGCTGCTAATTAGCAATTTGCTATAAAAACCGAGTAAGAGGTAAGGATTGACAAACCAGATATGTCCGGAAAGGGCCAGAGTAGATCTCGTTGATAAAGACTTCGATAGCAAAACATGTTGCAATTAAGGTGCCCAATGCTACAACCACTGCCATAGTAAATGGAATCACCAGCAACTGTCTAACCAGGCGCTTGGAGGCCGGAAACACATAGACTGTCTCACCCGTAATTGGGTCAATGATCTCCTTCTCATGCTTATACTCCTTTCTCCGAGCCTTAATCTCGGACACTCCCTTTACCTGCCACCTCAGCCGCAGATCGGTCTCCTGTCTCTTCCAAAACTCTACAAACACAAGACAGAAGAGCGAGTTCAAAACAGCATAAAAGATCGAAAAATGACCGAGGAACACCCAGCAGAACAGGCCCAGGCCCGCGGGGACCATGAGGAAACGGAAATACGTTTGCAGGAAGGTAAAGTAGAATGCTACTTTCTCTCCCAGCTTCACTCTTATCTGCTCCAGATCGCTGTTGTCCAAAAGCGTCTTACGGCTCCAGGACTTGATCCACTCGCGGTTCATGTCGTGGTCATGTAGAGGGAATATCGACTTGACATTCTTCCAATATCCATACCCTGGGGTAATATCTGCTCCACCGTCTGCGCGTGGGAGAGTCATCATGTCATATATTGTGCGGAGACGCTCTGCCTCCGTCCATGGCACCCCTTGGGTATCGTTGATATCATTAGTGGGCTGTGAGGTACGCACACCATACAGCCAGTCCTTGATCCTAATATCCATGAGCCATACATCCGTACATCAGCCATAGAAATTGTATATACCTTGTTCTATATGCCATTGCTTTCAACTTATCCTCCCTAGGCCGGACGAGGACGACAAGACACTGACCCTTGCCAGGGCGCACGGCAGCCTCGAGCCCGACACTATACAAGGCCCGAAGCAATCTCTGCAGCTCTCTGCTAGCATCTACATCAATAGATCGTCAGTACACATTATTCCGGTCAATTAATCGAATATACCCAAGGTAAATGACGGAGTCAGGATGCTAAAAGGGGGGGAGCTCACCCTGGTCCTCGAAGGAGTAGAGGATCACATACTCCACACCAAAATTCTTCGCCAGGGTGTGCCCTGGTATATATTTCGTTCCCAGGTCCTGAGCCATGGTGACAAGATTCAATGCGATGTCGGGCTGCAAGTCAGTTCATGACATGCGGGGAGAGAAGAAGAAGCAAAAGACGGAGCAGAGCAGGAAGAACAGGTCGAAATCGATGTTTTGTGTTTGTTTATGTAAGACGCTTCTCTGACGTCATTGGTGGGGGGGATTTACATATAAAAGGCGAAGAGACGGGAAGAGGAAGAAGCCCCCTTTGTATATAGGTGCATATCATGGGGGTCTCAAATGCCAGTGACAGACGCTTATGCAAGATGAGAACTATAGGCCGTGCTGTATAGGCTGATGTTGCGTATGTTGGACTAAATACAATGCACGAAATTGGATTGACTCCCCTGGAATACTATAGATATACGGAGTACTACGTATTGAAGTCAACAGTTAGAATGAGACTGGTATTCACGCCTGTGTTCGCTATGCTGGAAGTAATGTGATATATCCACAACCTGGGTTCTCCCCCATGACATGGAAAAGGGTGGTTAACAGTCCCTTCTTAACCGATTTGTGCTTTGGAAAAGTCCATCTCTGCATTGAATAGTTAGTACGGATCCTGGCAAGTAAATATTTAACATCACAATGGCTTACCTGGGTGCTGTTCCTGGAACTTCTTGAGCATCTCAGCCTTCTTCTGCTCATCACTAGATGGCTTTCCCATCTCCTTCTGCTGCTGATCATACATCATCTTCTCAACCATTTTTCTTGTTTCACCGTCAAGATCACTCAATTTCGAGTTCTCAGGTGTTATCTTGCTAACGTCGATCTTGGGAGCGGTAGTGACAATGTGAGGCCACCATTCCATCTTGTTCACCTTGTCCAGATGGACAGTCACTTCTTTTCCGGGGGGGTTAGAGACGGTCTCGAGGGTCCATGAGGACTCGTCAACGTGAATTGGATACGGGAAGGAACCCTATACAAACACGGATTAACATCTGTCAATTTTCAGTGTAAGAGGTGGGGCGTATGCAAAGATATGTCTGTACATACATCAATGAGAGGTTCCTTGCCCTTCAACGCAACTCGGATTTTGGTCTTGGTCAGCACGACTTCTAGGTCCTTTCCGCGTATCTCAGCAGGAACTGGAATGGTGACTTCTGCCTCTGAAATCGTCTGTGTCCATTTGTATGGCAGTGTAGCCTGCTCTTTTGCTTCCCTTTCCTTGTGTTCACGGTCGAGACGCTCTCGCTCGGCCCGTGAGGGTTCGGCTTCTGTTTCTGGAGGCGACGGCGACATTGTAATCATTCCGCTCTCTCGGACCTTGTCCCTATCTTACACACAGCCTCAATATCCAAAGGTGTCTTTTCTTCTAGTCTGTTCTTTTCGTGTTGCGGGGAGCTTTTTTTTTTTTTGATAGCTTGCGGGGCGACATGCTTTTGGTTACATAAGCAGCACTAAGTAGTTAATTAGCGTTGGAGTGACTTCAAGTTTGCTCAGCGCTGGACTTTGATATCTTTGACATGAGGGAAACCCGTGTGAAGGAATCTATTATCAACGACAAAAACATGCTAGCTATTAATACAAGAAACAAAAATGAACTCCTGCTTTGCCTTGAGGTTCAGATCGATTTTTTTTCTGGCTTTCCATCAATTTGCTTGGCAAAAAAGGAAAACATCCAAAGGAGAACACGCAAATCAGGAACATCAATGAAGAATGAAACATTTGATATCCCAGCGCCCAAGTCCACCATGTCGGATCATAAAATGAAATTCACAGCATTTTGAACAGTCTCAAATGAGTACCGGGCCGGAAGTGAATTAAAGAAATAGAAAAGATTTCTCAAGTAAAATGTGGGTAACCTTGCCTGCTTAGCGTTCACATAAGTGGATGTGCTTGACATAAACCTTCATCATGGACTTGGAGTGCCCTCTGCATATCGAGGTGCATCGTCCATGGCGCCAGGTGTAGCAGGGAAGCCCATCCCTATTGCAGGAGTTGGTGCGTCATATGGTCGATGATCACCAGCGGGTGTAGGCGCATCATAAGCATCACCATCCATACGTTTTCCAGCAAACGTTGAGGCACCAGGTGTAGGTGCATTATCCGGCCATGCACGAGGAGTAGCAGCTGTTGCTCCAGGAGTTGGAGCACTGGCGAATGGTGCAGGAGATGGAGCTGCATAGTCACCGCCAGGAGTAGGAGCATCGAACGCTCTGCCAGCATTGGCGCTGAGATGTGAGCTGGAGCTTCCAGAGTGGCCCCAGGCAGGTGTACGGGAGCCACTGTTTGCTGCCATTGCACCCGGATGACCCGGCGTTCGAGAGCCGGCCATGAAGGCGTCAAAGCCTGAGTTAGAAGAGCCTCCTGAGAACCCGGACCCAGCATCGTGAGGGGTCTTTGTTCCAGAAGTCCAGGCTGGAGTACGTCCACCAAACCCACCGTAAGAGGTTCTGTTACCATCATAAGGGTTGGCGGTACGAGAACCTTCCGCCTTCCAAGCGGGAGTGCGAGATCCTACAGCGGCATTCCAAGCAGGGGCTAAACAAAGCAAGTTAGTCGGTGTCCTGCAGCCGTCCTTAACGAAGAATAACGGGATACTTACTTCGAGAAGATGACGCTCGCCAGGCTGGTGTACGAGACGAATCGCCCATGGCAATCGGTGTTCTTCCCCCTTGCCATGCAGCATCTTGGGGACCAGCTCTTCCTGTCGCCATGGATTGTGGTACTCTCGGAGCGCCACCACCTCTGCCCCCAAACCGGTTGATATCTACAGGTTGCCCAGTAATCGGGCTGCGTATATGTGAGTAGGTGAGGACAGAAAAAAATAGGAAATGATAATAATACGTACTCCTTGACAGAAAGGTTCTCCTTTTCAACGGGTACGACTTTTGAAACGGAGTGTAACTCGACTCGAGCAATGATATCCGTTGTATCCTTGACTATACCCAGCAGACCCTTGAACGGGCCCCTTCGAATATGAACCGTCTTTCCAACAAGTCGGTCCCTGCCGAATGTTCGCGGTGGTGGCATTCCAGAACCGTTCATACCGTTCTTCTGCAAAGCCGGGTTCATCTTTGACAGGTCTGGGGCAGACCTACCCAATTTAGAACCGCTGGTTGCCACGGTAGTAACGTTTATAGCTCTAGTGACCATTATACCAGCATTATCTCCCACAACCTTGCTAGTGCAGAAGAGGAACGCTCTGTGGATATGTAAGATGGTGCCGGTCCGTTGCTCGCCAGTCACCTCTTTCACGGTATCTCCACACTTGATTTCAGAGCCATTTCGGTCAGTGGTAACAGCATGTCGTCGGTGTTCGATCTTGCCCAAAACCCGTGATGGAAGCACAATCTGGGTTGAGCCATTCTGGTCTATGACTCGCATCGACTCTCTGTCAAGTTTCACCACACACCCAACCGTTGTTTGACTGTAATCTACTTGTTAGTGGATAAATGGTATTCTAGACTAGATATAGGAAACTTACTCGATTTGTACCAAATCATGGACATCATACTGGCCCAATTTTCCATCAACCCCAATGTCATCAGCTTCTCTCAAATCCTTGCTAAACACCGTGATCTCTTGCATCGTCATGTCTGTAAGGATGGTAACTCGGTCGTCCTTGATCCGAACAACCATACCCAATTCGTCGCGATATTTGCTCCCTCCGATCACTTTGACATGATCACCTTCGCTGAATCTCTTTCGGAGACCCTTGGTCGGCACATCAATGTGCTGGCCTTGCAGTTCACCTTGCGTGACTTTGATGGTAACAATGTCGCCACGGGTTGCTACTGTCTGGCCAACGACGCCGCGCTGTTCGCCTGCAAAGACTTCGACGGTGTCTCCAACCAGATAAGCATCCTCTTCGGTTGTATTCTTGATTGTGGCAGCCAAAGATGCAAGATCGAGATTCGAAGTTCCATCATCCGCACCACGAGCGAACTTTGTCACCTCATCAAGTTGAGGGTTAACGTTTTTGGTGATGAGATGTTGAACTTTCATGTTCTTGATAAGGAAGCCATCAACATAAGTATCACCAAGATAAGACCAAGACTTGCCTCCTAAGCTAGATGTAGCAGAGAGGTACTTGGAGTGTCTCTTCTTTGCTTCTGCCTCACTGAACAGGCGTTGAGGAGGCCTGGCAATCGCACTGCTCCCTCCTCCAATCCTCTTGCGCTTGGGGTCCAGAGCAGGCGCATTGCTGTCTTCGTTGAGTCCGTACTCCAAACGAGGAACAAGTCTAACGGTAACATTAAGTCCATTTGTCTCGACTTCTTCAAGCTGGGCCAAGTCCCCTTGGTATCGTCCACGCTTGATTCGAACCCAGCCTCCCGGGGTAAGCTCCTCTGACTTTTTCACTCGGAGTAGATCAGGCATTTCCTTGACTGAGATCAAAGTCATCTTAGACCTGACGTAGATATTAGACATTCCGTCCAAGGCATCAATGATATCAGCTTGTTTCCGGGCTTCCACGTAGATGTAACCAGCCATAGTTCCACCACGCTCAAAAGCAGATATGATCTTGATAGGGTTTCGTGAACCAAGGGGCCGCTCTTCCATGCGCTTGATAATGCTGAACACGATCTCCCTCTCTTTGCCTGGTCGACACTTGACACCCCATATGCTTGGGTCATCAACGCTAGGTAGGAGAAGCCTTTTGGGGACAACGACAAGGTCAGCTCCGGAGGCACGGTTTCGGCCATATCTTTCTTTCAGGGCTTGCGCCTGCTGCTCCGCATCCATCGTTGCATCCATATCACGCTTTCGATCGAGCTCACGATGGCGCCTATCGTCCGTTTCTGCGCCAGCGGGTAGGACAACCTCATCGTCATGGTGGACGAAGCCAGCTTCGATTTCGTCTTCTTCATCTTCTGCTTCATCTTCGTCATCTACCTCTGCTTCTTCTTCGAAGAAAGCGCCGAGTCCATGTCTTCTGCGCTTTCGAGGGCGACCCTAGATACACTCGTTAGTAGAGGGCTCAAAGGTAACCAAGAGCGTCTCAAAACTGAAGATGTAAGGCACACTTACAGTAACTGCTTCCTCGTCCTCTTCCTCCTCTTCCTCCTCTTCATCGTCATCCTCGTTATCTCCTTCGGGCTCCCCTTCATCATCGTCTTCGGCACCGGCTTCATCTTCACCTCTGGCCTGTTGCGATTCATTAGTATTCAAGTCACCATTTTCGCCATCATTCATCTTTTTCACTTCATCTCCATTTTCTTCATCATCTTCTTTTTTATTTTTACCGACCTCTTGTCCATCGTCGTTATCTATGTGTTTTCCGCCGCTGCGATTATCTTGCTGGTCATCTTCAGCTTCTGGCTCAGAATCTCCAGCCGGCGCAGGATTAAAATCTTCTTCATCTTCTGAGGCAAACTGCTGTTCGTTTCCTGGATGCGACATGTTTGGTATTAATTATGCGTTGGTCGGCTAGGACGTCCAGCAGTCAAGCTAGAGTCTCGGGTGACGGGAGAATATCTCGTTGATAGGATGGCCCTAATCGTCCTATTAAGGAGTACAAGTCTTTCCAGCTATCTCAAAGAACAGATCGCAGAAAGAGTACGCTGGAGGCGGGTCCGATAGGTGTGTGAGGCTCGGAGTGTCGAGTTCTTGGTGACGAAGCTATCTCAGGAACGGTCGAAAAGAGCTCACTTTCGGCCAGCGGGTGATCTCGGAGAATTGAAACGAGAGGAAAAGGGAGTCTTGATTAGTAGTAGAGTCAAGCAGTGGCTTTATCTTGCCGAGACGTCTTCTCTGCGCAGAGTCGAAGCTCTTCATCCGCCATCTTCGTCTTCTTCGCCTTCAAAGCTTTGAAGTTGGAAAATGCGCAAAAGGGACGGTCACGTGATAGATCCTTTGCCCAAGTGCCCAAGTGCGCAGCTGTGTTCTCCAGCCCTTTTTTTTTTTTTTAAGGCACAACCTTCATCGGCAAAGAAAGATAAAATATCTAAGGGATGCAGCGTTTACGTGGCTCAAGTAATAGATTTATGTGAATTTGTGAATGTTTTGATTCTACGGAATATGTAATTTGGGATATAAGGTACAGGTGGCCACGAACGAAATTGCAGTCAGGAGTTATATCAAATGGAACAGGCACAGATCACCGGGGATATATGGACACAAGGGAATTCATACAGGTGTATTCGACAGAACAGAAGGTAGCGAACAAGAAGCCAGCCATTATAGCTTCATACCAAAGATCTCATGCACCTTCAGGGACTGTCTCATACTCAGATCAAGCATGATCTCCTCGCTGCCTCCGGGAATAGCATAGGCTCTGACATCACGGTAGAGCCGTTCGATCTTACCACCCTGTCCACCACGAGAGTAGCTGAGACCTCCGAAGATCTGACTGGCCTCGCGGGCGCAGAACTCGAAGGTGGTGGTTGACTGCGCTTTGAGACCAGCGATGGCTCCGCCTAGGCGAAGGGCCGCGGCGTCTTCATCCATATTTTGACACTGGAAGACGAGGTTCTCGAGCCAGTTGAAGCTGGCTTCGATCTGGCGAGCCATATGGGCGAGCTTCATACGGATGACTGGATGGTCGATGAGTCGTTTGCCAAATGTGCGGCGCTTGTGGGCGTATTTGACGGACTCCTCGTAGCAGACTCGGGAGAAGCGCAGACACTGGATGATGATACCCATACGTTCATGGTTGAAGTTGGTCATGATGACTGAATATTGAAGTTAGCATTGACATCTTTGATACTGGGGTAAAGGATATGCACACCTTTGAAGCCCTTATTCTCCTTTCCAATCAAATTGCCAACAGGAACCTTGACATCTTCAAAGGTAACGTAAGTGGTACCGCTACTCCAGACACCCTGGCAGTCCATCTTACGTGTGCTCACACCTCCGGCGGAGCGCTCGATCAGGAGAACACTGACACCACCCATGCCAGGGCCTCCGGTTCGCACAGCGGTGGTGAAGTAGTCACTCATGATACCGTTGGTGATCCACTTCTTCTCACCATTGACGATATAATGCTTTCCATCAGGGGTGAGCTTGGCTTCACAGGACAAGTTGGAGACATCACTTCCGGCATCAGGTTCGGTTATGGCTAGACAGATACGTTTGTCACCAGCCAGGATACCTGGAACAATACGCTCAACAAGCTCCTTGGATCCGTACTTGACGACCGGTGGACAGCCAATGCCAAATCCACCGATGAGGTTCCAGACGATACCTCCGCTGCCTGCACGAGAAAGCTCGTCGGTGACAATCAGTTCGTGGAAGAGATCCCACTTTTCGGGGGAAACACTCTTAACCTGGTTCTTGACTAGATCTTTGTTGTATGATAGGCCAAGCAGACCAGCAAGGTAACCTCTCTCGCCCATTTGCTTGTAAATGCTCTCGGGAACTGCCTTGGCCTCATCCCACTCGTGGCAGTAAGGCTCGATCTCGGTCTCTACCCACTGTCGCACCTCGTCACGTAGGGCAGCGTGTGATTCGTTGTAGAAGGGAGAATAATACTAGATGCAAGCCAGCTGTCAGTATCTTTTGCTATATATATGTAGTGCAGCATGACTTACTCCGTGGTACCACGACGGGTCCGAGAAAGGAATAAGCTCTCCATAGGGGTCCAAGGCCTCTGCCGCTGGGACAGGCGAGGATTGTTCCTGGGGCTTTGAGGCCTCCTTCTTTGGAGCCGGGGTAGGAGCTGGTGCTGGTGCCGGGGCAGCTTCGGCTTTCTTAGAGTCGAGGGAGCCAATCTTCAGCTTTGGCTGGTACTTCTTCAACACGCCGGCATTGTGGTACTTCCAGAACTGCTTTGAAGCATCCTTTCCTCCCATACGCTGCAAGACTATAACAGAACTGTGAGTATATATCGTCAAGGAAGAAGGCAAGAAACGATCGTACTCTTTTTACCGCCTATAGTAAGGTTAGCTTCGTTTCTCAACGCTGATGTATATGCTGTTTATAACTAACCTGGGTGGTCATCGAGAAACTTAGACACATCGTAGACGTCTCCGTCGATGATAATCCACACGCTATCCCCCTTGCTATGCGACGCAACGTCGTCCTTGGAATAAACGCCAGACATGATTGTAGCCCAAAAAATGAAGGATAGTATATATATCAAACAGACAAGACGAGATGGTCAAGAAAAGGGAGGCAACGCCGGCTATATATTATGGAAGATATATGTGCAAAGAGGGACCCGCCGAATCAGAGGCAACGTATAACTAACAACGATGGGGGCAGAAGAGAAGAAAAGGACAAAGTCCGGGGAACCCGGGGCTCCTAAAAAGCAGCTCACAGGAAGAAAAGCTGGAGGATAGCGATGATTAACGGCAGTGGATTCAGCCTAGGTACAATCACAAGCCATCTCCCTCCCATACAAAATAATACAACAGAAAGACGAAAAGGCTTTGCCGTCACATGCAAACATGAGCTGCGCTTAGCTATGACGTTTTAGCCACTTGATGCCCCCTTTTTAGCTCGGGTCTTATTTCGATACTAATCGATCTCTGCACACCACCATGTAACTAGATGGGAAGAAAAGAGACAAAGGATCAACTGCTCGGCATTCACCTTCTTGTCGTCTGCTCTGCCTCCTCATCTTTTCCTTCATCTTCATCTTCATCTTCATTATTATCAGCGCCGTCTTCATCTTCTGCTTCGGCCTTTTCTTCGGCTCTTCCGCTCGGCGAGCCGCAAAATCCATGACTAAGCGTGATCACGGGGTTAAATACCTCGGCTCAAGTTGGCGCATCTTTTTTGCTTTTTCTACTTTGCTTCTTCAAGTTATCAAAAGGAGATACAAGGCCGATAAACAGTAAGAAGTTCGTTGTACAACAGTTTAGATTAAGATGGTCGAGTATGGGCTAGAGTACAGGACATGGTTGTGTCTAGGGATACAACCCAGTGTATGCTATGCACAAGGAGCCAAGGGAAGTCGAGGAAATGTAGAAAAAGATGGAGAGAAGGGAGAGGCTTGTAGCTTTAAAGCTCTTCATCCTCTCCTTCGGTTTCATATGTAAAGTCGTCTGGCACTGGAGCTTCTTCAACTCCTTCTTCGTCCTCATCAACAGCGGTAAGGACACCTGCAGCGGCTGCAGCGCCGCTACTAGCGCCTGGACGGGCAGGAGTAGATGGAGCGGCAGCGGAGGCGGCCTGAGCAGCTCCCTGGAGAGCAGCGTTAAGGCGGCTCTGGACAGTGTTGGCCTGGCTGCTTCCAGCCGCGGCGGTGGCGGCTGGCTTCGTCTCCTTGCTGGCACTCAACTCAATGATATCGCGTGGCTCAGAGGGTTTTTTGTCAAGAAGAACGACAACTCCTCCAGTGGCCTGTAAAATCAAAAAGTTAGCAGTTTGTAATCTTAATATCTTCAGAAAGCGGGTCTATTTACCTTCTTGACAGGCTCATATCTCTGGTCGGGGAAAGAGATATACTTCACTTGGGCGGGAAGAACTCGCGACAAGTTGGATATCTCGTAGCCAACCTTCTCCTTCTCAGGCTTCCGCTTGGGTTCGGCAGCTGCCTCCTTGTCACCACTGGCCTTTGATTCTTCTGCCTTGGGGGCTTCATCGACATCCATTTTCTCTGGAAGCTGTTGGGCGGCAGACTTTGGAGTGGTTGGTGTTTGTTCAATATCAATGCTTCCACTCCGTTGCTTCTCCCTTTTTTGTGCTCGGCGCTTCGCCTGCGCAGTGGTGGACAAAACTGCAGTCTTGATCTTCTCCGGGGCTTCATCTGCCTTTACCTGCTGTTCTGGGGGGTAGTCAAAAAGGCTTGGGCGAGTATTACTGTGGAATTTGAAGTCCGGAACTTCCAGTTTCTGGTCCACGCCAATAACAGCAGTAGGTGTGAAGCTGAGAGACAAGAAATGGGTCAATGGGAACCAGTACCAATATTGTGTGAAGACAGCCATTCCCACAATTCCGGGCATGTTGAGGTTTCCGGACTGGGTCTGTAAGCTAATAGTACAGTTCCGGCCACCAGCGTCAATGATCCCAAGAGCAAGAGCACAGCCGAACTTGGCCATGGCATCTTCATGACGGTCGGTAATCACCTTTTGCATTGCCGTGCGGATGGTGCCAACCTTGGGATTCATTGCCTCGTTTTGCTGGACAAGAACCATGGAGAGAGCAATCAGTGCACCCTGGCGGACGAAGTCAGTCGGGTCCTTCAACATAGGCTCCAGAAGATCTATAGCCTCATCTAGACCAGTTCCGGCGCATGAGATGCCGAGAGCCATAGCAGCACCATATCGGACATGAGGGTTGTAAGATTCGGAGAGAAGCTCAACCATCCGAGGAACGCTCTGGTGTTTGCGGAACAGAATGAATCCTAAGCTCATGACTGCAGCGCGGCGGACGTCGTCGCTAACATCACTAACAGCAACGTGCAGGAGCTTGCGGACCGCCTTATTACTTCCAGTTCCACAATACGCCAGTGCAATCGCCATAATTCCACCGTATCGAAGCGTAGGGTCAGGGTCACCCAGGAGTCCATGTATCAACTCATCTGCAGCTTCTTGGCGGCCATACATGATCAATGCCATGCCCATAGCGAGACCACGAATGATTTTTTCGTGCTGAGTCAAGTGAGCATATTGGATCATATCTTCCAGTGCCTTCATGTTTCCGGTTCCCAGCATAACAAGGCCCATAGCAAGGCCAACTGCCTCGCCATTTAGAGCCAAATCAGCATTGAGAACCTTATTCAAATCGGCATAGATTCCTTCATCCCCAGTTCCCATAGCTGCAACACCCAGCCCAAGAGCACCTCCGTGTTGTACTACTTCTTCGGTAGCCTTATTGAAATGCTCACGGATATGGTCCACGGCCCAACCTTCATGGTTGGCATATATCAAACCAAATGCATACAGTGAACCGCCTTGGCTATAAACAGAGCCGGAATTGCCAACACCTGCCATAGATTCCTTGGGTAGGTATGGTGCAAGGAGCTTCTGGCCCTGAGTTAGATTGCCTCGATGAATGACACCGAGAGCGGCGGTAGCAGTGAACTTGGACCAGTTGACCGCCTTGCCTAGCCAATCCAAGTTGTCGCGAAAGAACTTATCATGGGTTGTTCCAGCATGCATAAAAGCATTGGCACAAGTTACTGCGGTGTGGAATATCGAGTTTCGAGCCTCTAGGCTGTCCTTTATCTTATCCAAAATGGCGATATCAGCTTTGTTGTTTCGGTATAGGAACTCAAGGTTGAGTTGGATCGAATTAGCACCATCTAGGATGCTTCGAATCGATTTTAGAGAGGCTCGTCCTTCATCGGTGAACTTTCTTCTTGCTGGAGAAGTCTCCTCATCTTCGTCATCCTCGTCCTCGTCATCATCCTCTTCTTCATCATCGCTCAATAATTTATCGGTTTCCTTTGACTCCTTCGGTTCCTGTTCCATCTTTTCGGCAGAATCCGTCTCTTTGGGCTCAGCGATAGCTGCTGAAAGTTCCTGGCGCACCTTCTTCAAGAACTCCTGGGTGCTGTTGTCGTACAGGTCAAAGGATATCTGATAAGCTACAGCCAGAGACCTGGCGTCACCCTTCGCCACCAGTTTTTGCAATATATCAGATGCCATCGAGTGTTCATTCAAGTAGACAACACATTTTGCAATGGAGAAATAGTCGGGTGAAGGAATTTCGTTTAATAGCTCGAGGATAAGTTTAAGGATCTAAAGGTCTCGTTAGTATGTCACATGGGTAATTCGCTTTTTGATGGTATTCAGGCTTGCAAACCTCATTTCTAAAGCCTCGTTCCTGGACTACGTTCATACAAATGCCCAGAACATATTCCATCAGCTCCTCTCCTCGCTTTGATGGTTCAACACCTTGTTCCTTGGCATCATGAGCGGCCCGTAGAATGGCTACTCGAATGATGTCAAGATTCTTAGCCTCGACAGCGATACCTATGACTTGTCGGTATCTTTGTTGTTCGAAGCACCGGTCAAAGAGCCGCTTGATGATATTTTGCAGTTGTCTTTGGGTTCCTCGCTGAAGTATCACAGGCACATCATCCCTACCACTACCACGGTCTTCGCCGACGGGATAGCTAGTTTCCGCAGACGATTCGGGGCGCGATAGGAGAGACTTCGAAGGTAATGCGGACTGCGAAAAAGGAGTGATTGGAGAACTTAAACCAGCAGATGTGCTCGAGACACCTCCTTCATTTCTTGGAAAAGAGGTATTTAACTGTGAAGCACCACCTCGTCCCGCAGTCTGTGAAGCCTTGAGCATCGAACAGGTCGAAATGAAGGTATCCACGCATTTTGCTATGAGTTCCCTTATTAGTAATTCATCCGATAAAACCCAAGCCAGCCTTAAGGGTGTGTTACTTCAACATACAGATAATGGTCTCTTCAAACTCGCCGCCATTCTCAATATCAAAGCGGTTGCCAGCTCCTAAGGCAAAAACCATGCTCTCGCTATACTCTTGTAGGTGGTAGTATACCTTGGCAGCGACAAGAGACGCAAGCTCGCGTTCAGGAAAGGATTCATCTTCACTCAGAGCTTCTCTATTAGATTCCAAGAGCCCGATTAGCAACCAAGATCTATTAAGATAAGATCGTTAGACGAGAGTGGAAAACATACATCTGCCCGACAGATCCAGCGATCTCAGTCCATAAAAGATCAACTTGGGCGTCAAGAGCCTTGAGAGCAAAGACCTTAAGCTCCGTATCTGGCTCGGAAAGGAACCCTACCAGTCCCGCAGCTGAGGCTAGACCAACCATGGTAAAATAGTACTCTAAGGTGTGCGCCTTGTGCCAAAGGGAGGTTTTGTGTTGCCGGTTCAAGCTCAGTTATGGGATGCGCAGTTGTCTGGCCTTCAGGCTGAAGTCGGATTTTGGTGGATTAAGGGAGCAGAGTAGTCAGTCGAGTAAAGAGACTGAGGTAAAGAACGGGTACAAGAAAAGCAAGATCCTAGCAATACATTCGAGAAAGAAAAGAGGAACGGGGAATGGGATCTTGGTGATGCCTTGAGTTCTGCTGTGTTTCGATGCTGTTTGTTGTCAGAAGCAGCACAGGAGGACGTCGTCGATATGGCACGTGACATTGATTATTAATCTGTATTTTTGCGCTAATCAAATTACACGTGCGCTTAATTATGAGACGCGCGGTTGTATAAGCGCCCCATCCGCCGCTTCTCGATAGAATCTGTAGTAGTGACCGAACACCAACCTTAGGAGTAACTGGACTGGACAGCCAAATTTGACTTGTATATCCTAGCGCTCCTTGACTAGCGGCACCTCTGTCATCTGCCCTGTCAAACACGCATTCAACCATCCAGTTGACTGGTAGCCAATCATGACAACATGCTTGAACTCTGTACGAGGCACCTGCACCTTTCACGCGATACACCTCCATAGACTGCAGTATTTGAGCTGCAGCCTCTATTTATATATTATTTTACTCATCTGCTAACCGCCTTGCACTGCTTCCCAGGACTGACTACCTTACCTCGAACAATCACATCCTTTCACTCGTCAACAATACTGTTTGTTACTTGTTGCGCCTGTTCTTCTAGCCTGCCGTACGGGTCTCTGGCCTCTGTAGTGACAGAATTTCGCAGAACGCCTGCTTTACGCAACAGAAAGCATCTAACACAGTCCTAAAGGCATTCTTTGGGTCAAAATGTCGATATGGCCGTCTGCTAACCCTAAGGTCCTACGGCCAATACCGCTTTCAGTATGCAATAATCCTTCGGAGCCTTTAATTCATATAGAACGGCAATCTCGGCAACTACAGAGCGAATTACAAGAACTCCTCGATGCTCAAAGCCGTATCTTAACTGTCAGACAACCACTTGATTCGCCCACGAATACCCCTTCAACGAGGAGCTCGACTCCTACCACGTCCCGTACTTCAGGTCGCAAGCAAATGATGCCCATTCCAGTACGGCAGCCTCGAAAGAAAGCACCCACCCTCCGAAATGTGCGTCAAGAGATTCTCCGCTCGATCCATCTTCTTTTATGTTTGAAGGAAGAGGAACGGGATATCCTTACCTCTGAGATGTATTCCAGGAAAGACGCGATAGATAAAGTGAAAACTTTCATGGAAAAACAGGCTGGCTTGGAGAAACATATTTCTCAGATGCGAGCTGGTAACCAGCAGAAACACGTGGAAACACTCTCAAACGAACTTCGCGAACTGGAGGGCGAAATAAAGGAGGTCGAGTCCCGGCTTGCAGAGATGAAGTCACGCCGTCGGCACATGATAGACGAAATAACCAAACGTCAAAGTTCCGTGGACTCTAAGCTGTCGTCCTACGAAGGCGCTCTTTCTCTTGTTAAGAAAGACTCCGAACAGTTTCTAAAAACGCCGCCCATCGCCCCCCTTCACAGCGATTCAGTCCCGACGCCATTCTTTTCATTAAAGCCTAATAGGCGAACTCTGCAGATGGCTGAAGAGCACTGGACACAAGAGTTATCATCTCTCGAAAAGCACAGTTTAACGACCGATCATGAGATTGAAGCGCTAGAAGAGGGTGGGCAGGTATGGAACGATACTGTTATTCTTGTAACGAAGACTGAAACCACCTTGCGGAATACCCTTAATCAACTTCGGGGGGAAGACTATTCTATTGAATCAACAAAGCCCGCCGTAGCTGAAAGGACAGAACTTTCCGAAGTACACAAAATGTTGACTTCTACTCTAAAAAAGCTTGATGAATACCTACATTTGGCAGAAGAAAAGAAATGGTCGCTACTGATCTGCAGCATTGGTGCTGAACGTGAGGCGTTCAATGAGGCTAGAGCCAGGTTCTCTAGCATGTTACAACTCCGTCATCAATCCCCAGAAGTCGACCGTGAAGGTACCATGGTAGGAGAAGTTCCCGATGACTTACTTACGTCACATACTCTATCAGGAGATGGCTCTCTTTCACCAGAAATACACAGACCTCCTGAACATAGAGTAAAATCAGAGCTAGAACCAGGATTCGAACCAGAGCAAAAAGGGGGCCTGGAAGAGACTGTACATACTACAGACCAAGCTATCATTTGCCCATCAACCCCACCAGCATCACACAATATGGATGATAGCGATGATGAACCAGACCCTGCCTGGCTGCTCTCGCCATAATATTTTGGTTTTTTTGTGTATTAAGCAGATAGGTGCTAAACTTGGTTGATGATATTCAGACTACCTAATTGAGTTTACTTTCTGTTAACCAGTCCATCATGACTCAAACTAGCCGTTGTAACATATTCCTCTATTTGGCACTTTGTTTGTCACGAAGCCTAGATCTAGGTAATCAGGGGTCACAAATTTGAAGTGTCACGTGGAACCAGCCTCCACTGTTGGTCCTTCCTTGGAAGTTGGAACGTCAACACATCTTGATATTGACGCCCTCCGCAGTCCATAGTTATACAAACAGTTTTTGAACTTTCGTCAAGAGCCTGACGGCCTTTTATAAACGGTTGTGTAATCTATTTACGCGATACATAGCGGAATACCCCTTCTCATGAGAATGGCTTTACCAAAACCTACCCACCAATTCAAGATACCATCAGTATATGATGGTGTACTGCTTCAGTGTAGGATATATCACCCAGATTACGCCCAGGGCACAGATCGAAACACCGTATACAAAACAAAGGGTGCAATGATAGCCCATCCATATGCTCCTCTTGGAGGCTGCTACGATGATCCTGTTATAGCAGTTGTCGCTAGTGAGCTATTGAGAGCGGGATATGTTGTAGGGACATTCAACCTTAGGTATATTCCAGTGATCTGTGCTTTCAGTAACCACGCATTTTACAGGAATACTGATTAATTTGTATAGGGGTGCTGGTGGCTCACAAGGGCGAACAAGCTGGACAGCCAAACCTGAACTTAGCGATTTCATTTCGTTTTATCTCTTCCTAGTACACTATATCGTGGGCTTGGATCCATTCTTGGAGCACGATCCTACCCTTGCTGGAAATGATGCCTCCTTGATGGAAGACAGCCCCTGCCCCTCAATCATAGTGTCTGGGTACTCATATGGCTCTATGTTAGCACGGTATTCACCGTCCTCAAGAGTTATCCTATCGACCTTTCAAGAGCCAAAACAGAATGAACCTGCTTACAAAATCTTACAAGAAGCACGGAGCTTGTCCTCGAAACGGAACCGGGAGGCTCGCGTGCATAGCTGTTCCAATGAATCCAGTTCATCGTGTTTCGGTACAACAGTTACCAAAACAAAGGATATTAACGTCTCTTACCTTCTTATTTCTCCTCTTCTACCTCCAATCACCATATTTACAGCTACATCTCTTCTTCTACCGGCCTCTAAACTGACAGTAACGATAAATGGAAACACTCTCCCTCCCTCAGACCTGCAGGATAAAGTCTTAGAACACCAAACTCTAGCAATATTCGGAGAAAATGATGGCTTTACATCTTCTAAGAAGCTTATGGGCTGGAGTGACCAACTGAAAAAGCTTGAAGGCTCCCGGTTTGATAGCGTCATGGTCAAAGGAGCTGGCCACTTCTGGCACGAGCATGAGGCTGAACCTCGGATGAGAAGGGCAATTCAGGAGTGGATCGCGCGAGAGGCTAGCTATCAGAGTATATAATAATAGCTGTTTATATTATAGTATTCTCGTTTTTCTGATAGTTTAGATAACGATAGAGAAATTATTCTCACTTGGTCAGAGGTCCTAACCTAATCAACTTATCAACACGTTTCTCTATGTCGCAGACACCCGAAGTTTATTTTCACCGATTACTATAACTACTGATTGTCAAGCTATATATTTCAGTTTAACGTAACGTTCATAGTCGAGCCTTACAAGAAAATGAAGAGTCCAGGGTTGATGAATGTATGTTGAGGATAGAGTACGGAATAGACGATGGGATAAAAGCGTTCCATATTTAAAGTTTGATATTTGACTCGAGGCGCTTGTTACTTATGTGGAGCTGAGTGGGAGCGTTTATTTTAACGTGATGTGGTTGAACGAGCCAGATTTCTTGTTCATTAAGGTTAGCCAATAAATGTCCAATCAAAAGTGACATGTAAAAATATAAATATAGCGACGAATTTCTGCCACCAATCAGTGGGCTTAACCTTATGATTCAACATTTTGCACGTGATTTTGACTAATCAATTGCTCTGCTTGTTTTAACTTCTTCAACACCGTCAAAGAAGAAGCACTCCGTTCAAGAGGCGTTGCTTCATTCTCCCCAAGCCTTCTTAAAGAATACCTAATCCAGCCTTATTTCTTATCATTCACAATCACGGCCTCGCATTTGATGCACCTTTTATATATGGTGGATAATGACCTGGCGGATCCCTGCAGCATTTGAGATTCCCTCTCTAAGAACCCAGGCTCAACGTATGATACTCCAGGAAGGAGGAATAAAAGAGCCGAAAATAATGTTGATCGCACCCCCTATCAGATACTTCACCAGGATCCCTTCAGAACCCCTAGCTTCGGAGCAAGGATGAGTCCGATAGTATAAGCGCGCACTAATTTTATGCCCTTGCCTCATCTACTCTGATAAATATAATAGTGATAAATGGGACAGGATCTGCACTATTACCAAAGCTACTCTCCCCTGTGAGGCTACCGAAATTATATCAACCACATTTACTTCTCGTCTAGGATGGGAGAAATCTGTATTTTGGAAGGCTATGAAGTACTTTTGGGTGTTTGAAAAGGATAGGTGGTACCCAACTTATCCGTAACAGCTCGACCGAAACAATTGAGAACTTGATGTTCCTCGTCCCAAATTCTCACGAATACTAGGCGCAGCAGCTATTCGCTCTGGAGTCAATCTATCTATCAAGTGACAAGGAATCATTACCAAGAAATAAATAGGTGGCTTCGGCCTTGTTGCCTAATTGCACAATTTATACCCGATGATTCTGGACACTGAATCACTTGTTGATGGGCGCTGGGCCATGTATACCGCTGCGCCGAATATTCGACTATACAATTGCGAAATAGACACCCGTATTTCGTCAGGCGATGTCGTCTTTCTCCATACATATGACCCAGAGAAGCTCCCGCTTCCGAACATTGAAATGCTTCGATGCAATGGCTTCTTCATGGAATAACTCCTCCCTCAATTGTCACATGACGCGGCGGAAACAACGATGGCTCAAATTACTTTTGATTCTGATAAGCACGTTCAGACGACACTACTTTATTGCCTCCAGTCTCCTTTTACATGGGTAATGACTCCCTATTTTGGTTTGTTACTACGTGCCACACGAATAATGACCTGGATGGGTAAAAAACGATAACGGAGGCAATCAGTGAGTACCAAAAAAAAGGAAAAGAAAGGACCATATTCCTGAAATGCGAAAAAAGGGGAGAGATAGAGAAAATCGCTGTATCGAGTAGCCATATCCGACCTAGGGACACACAAACCCCACTTATATTTTCCAGGCTGAACACCCAACAATTCCACCAATACACTCCATCCCAATCATATACATCTGCAGCCATGATGTTCTGTCTTGGTATTCTGAGCTTCATACAAATCATGGGTGGGGCCATTGAACCTGCAGCTCTGAGAGCTGTAGGGCGTGTTGGAGTTCAAACAAAGTCAGCAATACGAATCTATCCATGAATATCGGGCTTGGACATTGAGGGCCGAGCCCTCAGCCCGGTATGTTTGTTCGTGTACTTACATTAACATTTGCCCTGCATCCGGGAGCCATCTTCCTCTACCCTTAACTAGTTAATCCCAGTTGCCAAGAAGTCAGGCCGAACTTGCCGAGAAACGCTTCTCGTACTCTATGTTACCTGATGTATTCCAAAAAAAAAAAAGATACTGTGTGATACCCGATAAAGATCGATGTACCGGTCTTGAATTCCCCAGCTTCACTGCCCTTTTCTGCAAGGGCATCAGCCGGAAAATCTGTTATCAGGCTGATTCTTACCAACTCCATCAATCGGATCGCTGCGTTTCCCGCATTTCCTTGACGTCAGCACTAAAGGAGACCGCAGCGTTTCATTTGTAATATGCATATCTATCTTGGAGCTTTTGTTAAAGACACATCTGATGGATGCAAAGAAATTCCCGCTCGTGACAATGCTTGTAAGCTGTGTGCTCTCTGGAAATGATTCCAGTTCCGGGATGAAGTAATCTGGCATCCCTGGGGGATACTTTGCTGTCTATATAAAGGCACATTTTCCTTGCTTTCCTCCAAGAGGAATTATCATCTACTTATTACCCCAGGATCCAGAAAACAAATCTATAAATCATATCACGCTTTACCAGCTTATTTAAACGAGATGCGGTCATATGCACTTTTGGCTAGTGCTGTTTATGGCACTCTTGCTGCCGTGACAGCAGCCCTCCCAACTCCTGAATGTGTTAGTACAAGTTCCCATCATCTTTATATAAGTGAACAGAAATAATGCTAATCATAGAATAGTGTTCTACTCTAGCTAAAGAATTGCCGAAAAATGTCTTCACTAGCGATTCGAAGGCATGGGATACTCATAACAAGGATTTCTGGTGTCAGTATTTCCAAACAGGCGTTTTATATATAATCTTAATTGAAAGACACTAACATGAATACGTAGCCTTGACTTCAATTCTCGACCCAAGCTGTGTTTTCCTCCCTGAGACAAGTGAGCATGTCTCCAAGGCAGTTCAAATTTTGGCAGAGAATGATTGCAAATTTTCCATCAAGGGTGCAGGCCACAGTGCCATTCCAGGAGCCGCTAATATCCATGACGGGGTTATGATTGCCATGGCTTGGATAAATTCGACCGATGTCCAGGATAACTACATCCGTGTTGGAGCCGGTGCTCACCTCGGTGAGGTGTACAAAGCCCTTGACCCTCATCACAAGGCAGCTGTTGTCGGCAGGTTTTCGGAGGTTGGACTAGGAATGGTTGTTGGCGCTGGCATCTCATTCTTCTCCAACAGCGAAGGCCTTGCTATTGATAACGTTGTCAACTTCGAGGTTGTCGTAGCCAGCGGTGAGGTCATTAATGCAAACGCGACAAGCAATCCCGATCTGTTCTGGGCCCTGAAAGGGGGCAATAACAACTTTGGTGTCGTGACCCAATATAGCCTGGCTACTATTGACACCGCAGGAATGCTTCATGGCGGCGTGATTACCTACCCTGAATCTT